TCTTTTCCGTTTTTAATATACCTAATAATTAACTCCTCGACAACCTCCTTGTTCATAATTCTTTCATCTCTCCCAAGTACATATTATTACCGCCATCATGCTCTTCTCCAACATCGTCTTCGCCGTTCTCGCCCAGAGCTTGACCGCATCCGCTGCCACCATGATGGTCACGGTTGCTGCCAACAACAAGTTCCAATTCACCCCCAACTCTGTCACGGCCCAGCCCGGTGACACTGTTGCCTTTGTGTTCGCCGCCCAGAACCACAGTGTGGCTTCCTCCGACGCAAACACGCCCTGCAAGCCCCAGGCAAACGCCCTCTTCTCCGACTTCCAGCCTATCGCCGGTAACCCCAAGGGTAGCCCCAACGCCGCCAACGGTCGTCGCCAAACTGCCAACTCGCCCATGTTCATGGTTCCCGTCACCGACACCCAGCCCATGTACATCTACTGCCCCCAGGCCCAGCATTGCCAGCAGGGAATGGTCATGGTCATCAACCCCCCGAGTGCCGCTGTTGTCGCACAGTACCAGAACAAGGCTGCGCAGGCCAAGAACAACGTCGCTCCCGCCGGTGGAATCAACGGTGGTCAAATGATCAACAACGTCGCCGGAACCAACCCCAAGAACGTCCTCGGCGCACAAGCTGGTGACGCCGCGACTGGCAAGGGTAAAGGCAAGGGCAAGGGCAAGGCTGCCGGTGCTCTCGCTGCTCTTCTCAAGGGCAACTAAAGAACGAAAAATCTAAAGGCGATGGAGTCATGGAGACTTGAATGACGATAATATTAATGATCAAAAGTTTTGGGAACGTATATAGGAAAGATAATGATTAGTCTAGAACAGAGGTTCAAGCGGAGCAGAAAGAGTCAGACATGTACTGTATATAATAATTCATGTCCTACTATCATATTCTTCCATTTTACATGCATCTGTGAGGTTGACATTGATTGTTCCGACTTGAGTCTCTGTTGGCCGCTTGTGGCGGTGACGTCACTCAGTCTCCTCCACACACTCACACTTGCAGCTATTGTTTCATCACAACTCACTTTCACTTCGCATATAGGTATCGTTTGAAGTAAGTAATACGTGTCCTGGTTTGCAAGAACAATACCATTACGTTTAACGCACCCGGATGAATCTATTTGAGCCCATCTCGTCAGCACGGTAGTAATACTAAGAGCTGATGATAGTAATCAACCCCCAAAGACCTAGTCAGCCTGTATGCTCAGATACTTCCAAGTCAGAACAATAGCAAGCAGAATCCGCTCATCCCATGCCACCTCTACATACCACGACATGCCACCCCCATCCTGCCCACCCAAGTACAATGGTAAGCAGCAAACAATAGCTGCTGGGCAAGGCACCGTCACCACCCCCCTCCCTCTGTGAGATACAAATTCCCATGTATCCCTGCCTTCTGAACTCAACACAACGTTACTCTAACGATTTTCAAAAGCAAAGCAAAGCAAGAGTTCACAGCAAACAACTACTTCACTCAACTCCCTTTACCAAACTCCCCAACACGGAAACAGATCTAAAACCATCAACTACACACACAGTCACCATGTCTCTCCTTCAAACCCTCACCGTGCTGCTGATTCAGCTCTACACCTTCACCACATTCGTCTCCATCGTCTCCTTCATGACTTCCATCTCCACCACTACCTTCGCCAAGGTCCTCAACATCATCGACATCGACATCGACCTCACCAAGACCACCCCAAAGCTCCGGTCCCGCTTCTTCAAGACCAGCACCTTGTTCCAGGACGCTGGCAAGTCCGTTGCCATGCCCATGGCCGTGGTCCCAGGTATTCTTGAGGTCGACGGCTCAGGTGCTTTTCCACAGTGCACGCTTATGTGAGGTACAGAAGAGGGTGTCGAGGAACTGTGAGCGCTGGTCGTTTACAGGGTTTTCTGGTATGTATGCTTTCTTCTAGACTTGAAAGTAGGTGACTGACTTTTTGGTGTAGATGTGTGATTGGGTGGTTGGGAGGATAGGAGGATGGCATTATGAGGAGTGGTGGGATTTCGGGGCTCGCATTTGGAGGTTCGACTTCGCTATATGGTATGATTTTGTAGGAGTATCTGGCTGTGGAGGGTGGTGAATGGCGGTCTATATCGTGCGGATTATGGAGACATGCTACTTTATTTCGTCGGCTCTACCTGCTCTGCATTGCGTGTGTATCAGTCTTCACCTTATCATCAAGTGATTTTCCTCGTAGCCTGAACATGGTTCACATGCTACCACGCCGTTAGTTGGACCTAGTGATCAGCTAAGAATATACAACGTTGCTGATTTTCCGTGACAAAGTGACTGGACAGCTTGCAAAGCTCGAGCGAATATCTGAACGAGCACAACACATCACCCGACGCTTAGGAGACATCAATTCCAAAAAAAGCCCATAGATTTCATTCAATTTAGTGTGTAGTAAAGCCAAGACTCATGCAGACAAACGCGTGTGTACCAGCAACTTCTCCCCCTCCCCTTCAAAGCGGAAATAAGCGAAAGACAGCTTTGAACAGTATCCGATCATTGACTCGAGCTTGAAACAAGTTGTGTATGATTGATAGCTTCGACTAACTGTGCATACTCACCTCCACCCCCATTCTGCCCCATATATTCCTTCAGGTCTGGTGTGGCCCAGTCGGGTAGGGCTTCGGTTGCGGACGTGGAGGCGGGGTGTTCGGTCTCTTGACGCTGCTCTGGTGTGGTCCAGTCGGGTAGAGCTTTGGTTGGGGATGGGGAGGCGGATTGTTCAGCTTCTTAATATTGCTCTGGTGTGAAGCAGTTGGATAGCGCTTCGGTGCAGGACGTGGTGGGGGATTGTTTGTCGCCGCCTTCGAAGCCGATACCTTGTTGATGGAATGGTCGTTCGTTGAAAGGTTGCTGCTTGCATAGACGATAGCCACACCAGTTTTGGCGTTGGCACTTGTGCAAGGGTAGCTTAGAAAGCGAATGAGCGAAAGCGTGGCGCTGCATGCGAATGAAGAAGCCTGGGTTTTAGTAGAGGAAAATACAGGAGAAAAATAAGATATAACAACGTATTACGAGGTGCACCGTGAGAATACACCCGTGGAAAGCTAAAGAAGATAGCTCGGACCTGCGTGAAGAGATGACACCGATGATGCCTTTTGCAAGCTCATGTATGTTCAGGGTCTCGAATAAGATGATCAACGTGTGATGCAACATCTTCCCGAGTAGCGCAAAGAACGATGAGCTTGAGCAAGCGATGTCGGCAAAGCCAGTAAAGCCATCCCGATATAGAAACCAGATGCCTGTGCAAAGCGACAAGTGGTAAACGTATAGGGGAGCAACAATAGCCATGCTGTACGTACCCTCACGGGCGTTCAGAGCTCTAAGAAGGATGTTCAACGTGTGATGAACAATCCTCTTAAGCAAGGCAAAGAACGATAGCCATGAGTGGGCAAAGTCGGCAAGGCCGTCGTGATGTTGGCACCAGGCATATAGATGAGGTAACAATCGAAGGGCGCATGAGGAGACGATACTAGCCATGCTGGCTGTGCGCCCAAAGGCGTTCGAAGCTGCGGAAAAGATGTTCAACGTGTGATGATCGTCTTTTCCAAGAAGTGCAGACGACGATAGCCATGAGCGAGAATAGTCGGCAAGACCATCATGATGGTCGAAGGGATGGTGATGGTGTAATGCTGGGTTCATGTCGTCGCTATCGTTGTCGCCGCAGGTCGCCGTCATGGGGCCCTATGGAGATCAACGGGACCGCGACACCAAAGATTGTGACCAAACTCGTCATCAGTTTGAGCACACTGGTATGCTCACATCTTGCCGCTGATACATTGGGAATAGATGCAGCGATGGAAAGCGCGTTGCATGTAGCGCAAATGCGGGTACGGGGCTTGGGAGATGCTTCGACGTAACCTGTTTCGCAGTATTTGAGCTTGTCCCGCTAACGTGTCCGTGCACCTCATGCCCGGATTCATCTCATGCCCCGCCGAACACCGACGCGTGTCTCAATACTACAACTTTGACGCGCAATAACTCCACAACTATGGCTCCGATTGATGAAGCGATTGCAGATTTAGAATCGCGCGATCCAGGAGAGAAATTCACATTAAAAGAAGTTGCTGAAAAATGGGGGGTTAACCGCTCAACGCTAGGGCGAAGATGGAGGCGCGTGACAGGGCCTAGGAGCGATGGATACGCTCAGCAGCAAGCTATCGGCCCACAACAAGAGTTAGAGCTTGTACGATATATCACTAAGCTCACTAAGCAAGGCCTACCTCCTACAAGAGAGATGATCAGGAATTTCTCATCAGAAGTAGCCCATCAGCAGCTCAGCGAGAGCTGGGTTACTCGCTTCATTAACCGACACGAGATCTATCTTATCTCAAAGTGGACCACCGCCATGGATCGTACGCGCCACCTGGCTGATTCTGAGTCAAAGTATAGACTCTACTTCGAGCTGCTGCACCAGAAGATCACCGAATACCACCTAGAGGCTCGAGATATATACAATATGGATGAAAAGGGCTTCCTTATTGGTATGATAGGCAGGAGTAAGAGGATATTTAGCAGGCGTCAATGGGATAAGAAAGAGGTTCGAGCATCTCTCCAGGATGGATCACGCGAGTTTCTGACACTCCTGGCCTGCTGCTGCGCCGATGGGAGCTCGCTGCCTCCAGCCCTTATCTACGCAGCTAAAAATGGAGCCATACGATCGAGTTGGGTGGAGGATATTAAGGCAGGAGAACATGAGGTCTTTGTCTCATCATCTCTAACAGGCTGGTCAAACAATGACGTAGGCCTAGCTTGGCTAGAGCAGGTGTTTGATCGCTATACAAAGCAGCGATCAGGGAGATGGCGATTGCTCATCCTTGATGGCCATGGATCTCACCTCACGATGGAGTTTATCAAGTACTGCGATCGCCATAGGATCCTCCTCATGATCCTTCCTCCCCATTCGACTCATACGCTCCAGCCGCTCGATGTAGTGCTGTTCAAGCCACTCTCTCAAGCCTACTCCAACGAGCTCACTAACCATCTCTACAAGGCTCAAGGCCTCATTCCAATTAAGAAAGGAGACTTCTTCCCACTCTTCTGGAGAGCTTGGCAGGCCTCGTTTAAGCAATCAACTATATTAAAAGCGTTTGAAGCTACTGGTATATGGCCAATAGATCCCAACGTTATCCTTCGTAGATTTGCCAGCACGCCAGAAGCTGAGAGAAGCTCATCTTCAGGGCTCTCTGATCATGACTGGAGAAAGCTCGATCGGTTAGTACGAGCTGCTGTCAATGATAGCCATCAGTATGAGGCAAGAAAGCTGCGCTCAAGCGTTCACCATCTCTCTGTGCAGTATAAGCTTTTACAGCATGAGAACGAGGGCTTAAAGGAGGCTCTTCAACATAAAAAGAAGCATAAGAAGAAGGGCAAAGCTCTTGACCTTCAACAGCGCCAGGAGTATCACGGTGGCTCTGTCTTCTGGTCTCCTCGCAAGATACGCGAGGCTCGAGCTAGAGAAGTAGTACGGGAGCGAGATAAGATAGAGGAGAAACTCCAAAAAGCACAGGCCAAGAAGCAGCGTGAGGAGGTTCAACTGCAGCGTCAAGTTAAGCTCGAGGAGAAGCGTGTAGAGAGGCAGAGGCTCAAGGAGATAAGGGAGCTTGAGCGAGCTGAGAAAGCAAGCTGAACGCGCGCGCAAAGTTGAAGCTCAACACCAGAAAAAAGCCACCCAACAAGCTCAACAACGCAAGCGTAAAGCCTCAAGAGCGCCCTCTTCTAAGAACAAGCGTCAAAAACGAGCGATGGAGGATAGAGCTCGCGATAGAGTTGCATCTCCTCCATCGCCTCCACCACCAAAGACCACATCACGTGGCCGCAACGTCAACCTCCCACAAAAATTCAGATAGTACAAGTTAATCGCAAGTATCTAATTACTGCAATGCTATGTTTTTATTAATATTAAGCTATTGTGTGGTGTTGTACAGCTTCAAATTTGAGATCGCTAAGATGGTGTTCGCGGGGCATGAGATGAATCCGGGCACAAGGTGCACGGACACGTTATCTCAGCCAAAGCATCGTCAGTAACGCTTACCTTATGAATCGAGCCAAAGTGGTTGTCGGTCATCTGTATCGTGTGCTTATGGATGTGGGTTTGTAGAAGGTGAGATGGTTTGCGCTGTTATCAATGAATAGAGCAGGCAGCAGCGCCAAGCTGGCTCAGGCGTTTAGTGGGGCGATTGCGGCTGATCATCTGACCGGAGCAGTTACCCAACATTGAATCATCCCCAGGTTGGGCACATCATCCTCCATCGAAACAAAGTTTTCGATGCAGCAACTTCCAATCTCCGCGTAGCATTTTTGCTTCCGGTCTTTCTCAGAAACTGCTACACTTCGCAGTAAACATGGCTTCGCAGCCCCAGCAATTTTGGAGCGAGTCCGACCAACGGTGGTTGAGGTCAGGTTATGACATAAATTGCCAGAAAGTATTTCATGAATACTATGACGGTATGCCATTGATTCACTGTGAACAGAAGTTCTACAGCTAATGCAGTTAAGCACTACAACAACAGTGGGCGTTTTTCAGATGGGCAGAACGAAACGATTCTTCCTATGTCTCTGGCCCTGCCGAATATCCCCGCGGGGAAGGACCACGGGTAAATGGAACCCACAACATCTCAAACCCTATTCATGGCACGAATTATGAGAGATTGGATCCATGTATAGCTTTTCCTCAATTGCGAGCGTGGGCATACAGCTGACCTTTGTGCACAGCCTACTACGTTCGACACAAAGACTTTTTCCAACCAGGAAAAGTACTACTGTCTTCCTATTTCGGGTCGATTAGACTTACTGATCGTTTCCAGGTGTTCTCGGTTCTTTTCACAGAGTCAGCTGGTAATACAGCCATGACTAACTACAAACGTGATGATATTACAACGATTAGGTTTGGGGAAATGGTTCACGCCCAAATCCGACGCTTCATCGTTGTCCAGCAGAAACGAGAATTCTGTTACGCTCTGTGAGATCATACAAAAAACTTTTTTAACTACCGTATCTAACTTTAATTAGCCCAATCTTCACTTACAACAAACAAGGGACGAAGAAACCCGGTGTGGTACCGTCTGAACACGCCATAGCTTATAGCTATGGTTACGAGCCTATTTTACTACCAGGGGAAGCGCGACTTGAGAAAGACCCAATATGCATTGTTTCAAATGATTCGGAGCCCCTGAGTACAGCGTCAAGAATATATTTCGGTATTCATCATCCTATCCAATATAATGTTAAGGTGAAGGATCTTGGGTACGTTGTGCCAGTTGACTTGAGCAAATTACATAACTATTGGATAAAAGAGGGCCCTCTATATGAATTAGAGGTTACAGGACAAGACGGTTATTCAGCGACAGCGACGGGAATCTTTACCCAGACGCAAAACTCAGCCTGGACACATCAAGAGAACGAGAATGTCAGTTCCAATAATTGTAAGTTCTTCCTTAAAATGATTGCCAGCTTACTTATTTCATATAGACTTTGAGCCCGTTAAGAATCCGCGCGCGTTTTTCAAGAAAGGTCGGGTTTTCGAGTCTTCACAATGGGGATCTCAGTTGTCCGCAGTAGTGAAACCCACGCCCACTCATGCTGTCTGTCTACCGATATTCCAAAAAGGATATGCATATCCAAGTAGAGAACATGCGGACATAGTGTTCACTACCGAGGCATATACCCAACAAGAAGTCAACGATCAGAGCCCTAATCGAGCGATATATGTCAAGAAAGAAAATGACAATGTCCCGATCCAATCAGATATGTGTATGGATTTTGCTAAACCGTATACGATGGAGTACGACATTCAGGTTTGCAACATCGGGCGGGTGTTTGGAGACTCCGTAGGGTATATGGAGAAGAGATTTGCGGAAAGCTTAGGTTTGGCCAGGTCTGAGTGAAGACAACGGTGATTCTTCGGCCGTAGTTCAGAGCACAAATATGACCTGAATGGCTTCTTCCAATGTACGAAAACACAGCTGTATTGCGACGCCCCATGCCGATCGCAAACGATATCTATCGTAGTGAGTCCCGCGGGAGCGAGTTTCTTCTCGTGGGAGTCACACCAGTTATGCTCAATTCCCTCAGCCTCACGCACAGCCTCAATTGCAGGAAACGCCATCAGCTGCACAAGTTGCGGAATGACAACGTTCGGTTGGCTCGTTTACGCCAAGAGAATCGTCCTGCTTACCGGTTTATGAGGATGCAGCCTTCCTGCATGAACAGCGAATCAACAACCTGCATAAATACCATACGCTACGGACGAACACACCTAGCTTTGCCTCGATGACCGATAGGCAACCCGCATAATAAATAGCATAACATACCACCTACGTGTTACAGCTTATTTCCCTCCATTTTTCGTGTCCCTCTGTGCGCAATGGCCGAAGTGATGGCTGCCCTCGGTGGCGCAGCAGCGTTCGCTCAACTATTCCACTATACTATCGTTCTCTCTACCACTGCCTCAGCCTTGTCTCATAGCATACGGCATGCACCGGAAAAGATACAAGCTTGGTTGAATCATTCAACGGTTATGATTTCGATACTAGATGAAGTCCAAGGCACAGCCACCAATCTTCATCCAGCTATGGCCGGCCTAATTTGGCAGTGTCGTGAAGATACCACCAGGCTTCAGTCTCTGTTACAACCTTTCCTTACAAACGGTTCCAGCCGAGTTCCGTCCAAGATCAGTCTGCGTGTGTTCGTGGTGCGGAGGGAAGCAGAAATAGAGCGAACAGTAGCCTCCTTCCGGAGTACCTTTAACACGTTGGCTTCATATCTGAACGTGTAAGTTGGGTAGAGTTGTTGTTACTTCCAGCCGTCTGACATGCTCTACCAGATTATCTCTCAAACAAACAATCGCCCATTCGAGCACACAAAGCGGCGGATCTGTTGTGTCTCTGTATCAATTCCGAAATGGAAGCGTTGCACAGAGCCTTCTCGCCATGCTATCATTTTTCGACAATGCTAAAGTCTCCATGCAATATCTGCGCAACATGTTTGACCAAGAGTCTCTGTATCTGGCAGTGGCCGATCTGCTGTCAAAGTCATTATTGCGACAAGATCTTCCAGGGGACGCTATCCAGATAGATTCATCGGCACAAGAAATCATTCGGTCGGAGCTCATGATGTCCAATGATGGCTCCCGGCACCTTGTATTCGCTATCCAGTCATTGACTAAAGGGTTTCGTGAACACCTTACTCGACCACGGACACTTCGTCGAGTTTCCAGCCTGCACATGCATGTCTCCACTGTACTGAATACTGCAATGGAGTCACCACCTGAACTTGTCAACTTTGCAGGAGCCGCAACTCTGGCTGTTCATTACTGTATGTACTTGATCACAATGGGTTACTTCAAAAAAGCCTTGAAATTCGTCTTGATGTTCCAGAACTGGGGTGAGCGTGTGCTGCATGCCCATTTCGACGCGAAAACATCACTGCGGGCTAAGGAAGCCGTCGCACGTGTTTTACAGGGTGATAACGATACTGCTCTACATATTTTTCATCGCATCAACCGTTCTAGGACCAGAAACCTCGGGAAAGACGACATTCGCACTCTGCATAGCATTAACGGGCTAGGCCTAGCCTATCATGCAGTCGGCGACAACGAAAGAGCAGCACAGTACCATCAAAAAGCTCTAGTTGCAAAAAACGCGACCCTAGGATCAAACGATCCAGATACTCTAGTCACGGCAAACAACCTTGGTATAGTTTTGCAGAGTCAAGGAGATAATAAAGCCGCCCATAAGTTGTTTAGCCGCTCGCTCAAAGGCTGGCTGCAGACCTATGATGTGGACGACCTTTTGGTACTCACAGCAAAAAGCAATTTGGGTATTGCACTTCATTTTCAGGGTCTTCTTGAGGAAGCTGCCTACAATCATCGCTACGTGTTCAGAAAGCGGTATCGTATATTGGGCGCGACTCATCCCGAGACGATCAAAAGTAAAGCCAATCTTGCTATCACGATCAATGAGCAAGGGCAGCATGCGCAGGCCGAAGTACTTTATCGCGAAGCTCTCACTTCCTTCCAGGATGAGTTAGGTGACTCACACCCAGACACCCTGAAGACACACACAAACCTTGCTACTGCCCTTCACGACCAAGGCAAGTTCGATGAGGCGCATTCTGTTCTGGCTTCAGCGATACCACTCATACGGACAAAATATGGGCGAACGCATGCTGAGACATTGGAAGCTATAGAATTCCGATCCATTCTTCTGCAACACCTGGGAAAGTTCTCCAAGGCTCTTGATATCGCTACAGAGGTATATGAAGTCCGCAACAAGCAATATGGGTACGATCATGAGGACACACAGAGGAGCCTTCGCCATGTGAGAGACTTGGCAGAGGATTGCGAAGAAGCGCATGTTATGCAGAGGTTTTCTTCAGGCATGGCGGTTGTGGCCTGTTAGTCGGCTGTTCGACTCTACGCTTCCAGTTTGTTGTGGCATTTTTGTTTCTTCTGATACGACCATTCGCTTCGATTATTGTTTCGCTGGATTCATTGCTTTACAATTTTAGATCCGTCTGCACCAGCGTCTCACTCAGCTCCCACAATCGCTCTGCCAACTTCGGATCTGTCGCGTATGGCATGGCATCGCACATCTGACAGTCATGCAGCAACACGCCTTTTGGCTCTGATAATGAGTTAGCGGCCATATATACTTGGCTGCTAGCAAGCCATTACTTACCGTTCAGAGCTGGATCAAGTGCTGCGACCATTACAGTAGCGGCACCCTGGTCATGATTCTTCCAAAAGCGGCTGGTCTTTCTGACCGCCGCTTCTTCATTAGCATCTAGGCCACGACTCAAGCCAGTCAATATCGCTTTCCATTGTTAGCATGACTGTGGCAAGTCTTTTTCTCGTCAATTTCTGCCAGATCGAGATACTCACATCCAGGATGTACAGCGTAACTTCTCACACCCTTTGGCCCGAGTTTGTTGTCTAAACCCACTGAAAACAAGATATTCGCCGTCTTCGCCTGCCCATATGCTACCCAGCCATTGTATCCGTCATCTGCGTTCTTTGCAAAACATGCCAGCAACGGCCCATGTCTCTCTTCTTCAGGTACATCTTCATTGCGCTTCTCAAGATTGTAGTCTGATAAACGCACTGGGCTGATTTGATGACCGAGGGATGTCAGATTGACGACCCGCGTTGCCCCTGGAGTCGATGAGGAGGCAGAGGACAGGAGTTGAGGTATGAGCAGGCTGGTAAGAAGGAAATGGCCAATGTGATTCGCGCCGAATTGAGCCTCTAAGCCCTCCTTTGTAGTCTGACGTTGCATCGTCATCAGACCGGCGTTGTTGATGATTATATCCAATTGGTCGGTCAGCTGTGCTACTTCCTTTGCGGCGCTCTTCACGAACTCTTGAGACATCAGGTCCAAAATAACGATCCTGACATTCGCGTTTGGATAGGCATCTTTGATGGTCTTGACGACTTCTTCTAGCTTAGACTTGGTGCGCGAAGCGAGGATGACAAGCGCGGGACCTTGTGAGGCGATGGAGAGGGCTATCGAAGAGCCGATACTCTCAGGAGACACGCCAGTGATGAGTACTCACAACGTGTTAGTTTAGTCCTCAATCTCTCGAAGTGAACTCAAGTAGCTACCATTCTTCCCGCGGATCTGATCAGCGAATGCCTTTGCAACTTCCAGACCACCAGTTTCTTTGTCCCACTCTGGATGTGTAAGGGTCGCCATAATTTCTCTTGGAGATTTTCTTTATCACTTCGCGGAGGATTTGTCTTACTACAGCTTTGTTTACTACATTTCTGCCCCACACAAGTCTGCCGTCCTGATCCGACACCTTCACTAGAGGTCCGAGCGTTATCGCACCAATCATCAGAGTAGTATTAGTCAACTCAAGTGATCCCCAGGCTCGGTCAGGCATCCTAAGTATCCATCACTCATACATGATTCATCCAAAACAAGCTAGCTGCTAGGGCAATAATGGTGAACTTTGCGGGGTACACTGCGGGGAAGCTCAACTCATCGGGATGTGGGGCATATACATCAACCACTTCACCACTTCGTTAATCCAACGTCACGCATCAACATCATTTTAACCGGCAGGTGGGATGATACCCACAACTTCACGATAGGTACCTGGTCGCTTCAGGGGGTCGATACATCGCGAGAGGCCTTGCAGTATGTCGCGCCACGACCCACCAGGTCGTCGGATTCATCTCGCCTTGGTCAGAGTAATCGTGGATAGGATTAGGTTGGCTGGGATTCGGTAGATGTAGGACTTCTCGGCCCCACGCTGCAAGATTCATTGCACCTGGTCGGCGCGCTCTGGCGCCTGAAGTCTTATCTCCAGTATCGCGTGTTGTGTAACATTGTTTTTCTTGGACTTGAGTGAAGCTCAATAGATTCTGCATATGCCTCTTCGTGCAAAGATAGACGAGACAAAGCTACCAAAGATGTCTGCTTTGGAAACGAACGGAAATGGTATCCATGCCAATGGGACAACGCCCAAGACAGGCATCAAAGTCATCATCATCGGCGCAGGTACGCTGCTCTACAGTACAGAAATATTCGGGTTGAAATCTGACCAGTCCTTTCAGGTTTTGGTGGTCTCACGGCGGCCATTGAGTGTGTCCGCCATGGTCACACGCCTGTCATCTACGAGTCGTTTCCCGAGCTCAAGATCCTTGGCGATATTATAACCTTTGGTCCCAACGCTGGCCGCATCTTCGCGCGATGGAGCGACGGTCGTGTCGCGCGCGACATGCGTAGTATTTCGATTGACCTCACCGACTACGGCTTCAACATCCATAAGTGGGACACTGGTGAGATTGTCCTCAACCAAAAGACGCCGCCACGCGACGAGAAGGCGCCCATGTTCAATGGACATAGGGGCGAGCTGCACGAGATTGTGTTCAACTACGCCAAGGAAATTGGGGTGGAGATTAACCTCGGGCATCGCGTGAACGAATACTGGGAGAACGGCGACGAGGCTGGGATCGTGCTAGAAGATGGGACAAAAGTCAGCGGTGATGTCGTCGTTGCTAGCGATGGCGTGAGGAGCAAAGCTAGAACGTTGGTGTTGGGTTATGAGGACAAGCCCAAGAGCAGTGGCTATGCGGTTTGGAGAGCCTGGTTCAGCAACAAAGACATGCTGGCAGACCCTGAAACCAAGCATTTCTGCGATAACGGCGACACCTTCAACGGCTGGATCGGTACGTGGCCACATGAGCTAGCATCAACAACACCAATACTAACCCAACACTAAAAACAGGCCCGGACGTCCACTTCCTCTTCAGCACCATCAAAAACGGCACAGACTGCTGCTGGGTACTCACCCACCGCGACTCCCACGACATCGACGAATCCTGGTCCTTCCCCGGCTACCTAAAAGATGTCCGTGCCGTCCTCGAAGGCTGGGATCCAATGTGCTGGAAAATCGTGTCCAAAACGCCCGAATCCAAACTTGTAGACTGGAAGCTTGTTTACCGCGATCCCCTCCCTAACTGGGTATCTGGATACGGGACCGCGCCAGGCCATGGTCGCATATGTCTCTTGGGCGACGCCGCGCACCCGTTTCTGCCAACGAGTGCGCAGGGCGCGACACAGGCGCTTGAAGACGGCGTGACGTTGGCGGTGTTGTTGAGGAAGACTGGGAAGGGCAATGTGAGGGGCGCGTTAAGAGCGTACCAGGATGTGCGATATGAGCGTGTTAAGGCGGTGCAGAAAACTGGCGAGACGACAAGAGATATGTGGCATAAGACAGACTGGGAGAAGGTCAAGAAGGATCCTACATTGATCCAGTTTCCGAGGGAGGATTGGGTGTTTTTGCATGATGCTGAGAAGCATGCGGAGGAGGTGGGAGATGAAGCTATCAAGAAGGCTAGTGCTACTGCTGTGGCGTCGCAGGGTATTCTGGAGGGACGATGATTGGTCGTGTATATGGTTGACTGTTGTTACTAATTTTGGCGAATGCAAATATCGATTCTATTATATCCAGGTGCTACGTGATAATCTTCCATTGATCAGGTGGGGGGCCGAACGATTGCAACCACGATCGTGAAAGCTTTGTTGATGTGGCCAACCTCCAGATCTTCACTATCATTCAAAGCCAGATGTCGAATATGAAACCAAAGATGTATTCAATTTAGAGAGAACATACTTCATTTTACATATCATATGTGCTCCAAAGTGCCATCACAGCTTGTCTCAGCCGCTCTTCTCAACGGCAACAACTTCCCGTCGGATGGTCTCATCCTTGTCGCTATCGCGCCTCTTGGATGTCTTGTCGTCTCCATCAACCACAAACCTTCCAGTGCACACGTACTCTCTAAACTTGCGCGCTGGAAGTCTAGCCTCAAACATCTCGTCAATCTCCTCGAGCGTGCGGTTCTTGATCTCGGGTAGGTAGAAGTACACCCAGATAACGGTGATGAAGCATGAAGGGCCCCAGATCCAGCCTTTGAAGGATGTTAGCCAAAAAAGCGGACAAAAATTGAGATGCACAGTAGCATACCGTATTCAGGACCCCAGTTAAGGGAATCAGGGTTGATAAAGTATGGCGCAGTGAATGTGGCAAGCCAGGCTCCTGCAAAAGCAACTGCAGATGCCATTCCAAATGTGTACGAGCGCAGACGCTGGCTGGGGATTTCTCCACCGGTGAGCCAGGCATATGCTGCGACCATGCCGTTGTAACCGATGATGTATATGACTGATAGCCCGACGATTACCTGTGTCGCACATGTTAGTCACAGATCGGGGCGTAAGAAGGGACTGACTACACGTACCCTGCCGGTCTCCGTTGTACCGGGATTAACGTGATACACAGCGGCAATGATGATTTGGGTAATGCCGCATATAGAGAGACCAGTCATGAGGAAAACCCGTCGACGACCGATCTTGGATATAACACTGCTGTTCACCATGATGGCTACGACACCCACCGCGACAAGGATGCAGGAGTTCATGAAAGGACTGCCAACTTGCGCCATCTGAGGCATGGATTAGTAGCCATATCAACGTCAAGGTTACTACCACTGTGGAAAACATGACGGGTATCCATACCTGGAAGAAGTACGTTCCGTACGCGATCATGAACATAGCACCAGAAGCAGCCTGAGTGCTCACCGCTGCGATGGCCAACAAGGTGCGCCGACGATCCACGGGGTCTTTCCAGATATCGATGAAGTTTGCATTCGCCTTGGTAGCCTTCTCAGCATCAATGGCGGCCTGTATTTCTGCCACCTCGCCTGCAACGCTTTCCGGGTGGGGACGCATCCATAGCAACGCTTTCTCGGCTTCTTTAGGCTTTTCGACCAGGATAAGCCATCTAGGGCTTTCAGGGATGAAGAAAAGCCCGATGGACATGAAAACAGGGACGATGTAGATGGTACCTAGCGGGATAATGTAGGACATACGGCCTTCCATGTCGTGCGTTGCATTGTCGATCACAGTGCCAATCAGGGTGCCGATAGAAGTCCAGATCTGGAAGACAGAGATCATCATACCACGGTAGCGAGCTGGTGAGGATTCCTGACGAAATCGTGAGTATTCTGTCATGTTCTAGATGAAAACAGAGTGGCTTACCTGGATGTACAGCTGCGCAAAGGTCATGTACCAGCCATTCGCAAGCCCAATCAACAGTCTCCCAATGTATAGTCCCGCAATGTTCGTGGTCGTCATCATAACAACATTACTGATGCAGCATAGAGCACTCGCCAACCACAAGCAGTGTCGTCGTCCCAGCTTCGTCGCAAAGGCGCCAGCAAACGAGGCGCTCAGAAACGCGCCCAAAGTCATCAAAGAAGAGATGAGTTGTTGTCGTTCGGTGGAAATGTTGTAGCCCGTAGGAGAATGAGGATCAGGGTGCCCAAACACCTGAAGGAAGCCACGCATAGCTTGGAGGCCACCGATGGCACCAAAATCGATGCCGTATTGAAACGGCGACATCGACACGAGAGTGCATGCTGCAATGCACTTCCAGTTGGAAAGGAGACTGCTGGTCAAGTCCGGCATCGCAGCGGATCTAAGGGGAGTTTTCGCTATAGTAAGAAGAAGAATTCAACAGACGAGATAGCGCTTTCCGAGATACGGAAGGAAACCAAACTCAGCGGGTCTGAAGTATCAGCAGAGGATTCAAACTCCCCGCATCTCAATCCCGATATGTTGTGATGGAAGCGAAAGGCTGTTTCTTCCCGGCGTATGGAGATCTCCGTCTGTGTGCCAACCCCGGTCGCAATATGTGCCGATATTGGCTACAAAGATTAGTTCGACTTACCCTAGACTTAACACAGTGCTGAGTGTGGAGTGTGGAGTGCGGAATCCGGAGGTGGCGCTTTTGCTAGCGATGGCTTCGAGTCGTTTGGTATACATCGCTTGTCACTTTGTCCACATGGTGTCGTGAGGGTTTCCCTCGACAGTTTATACACCTGGGATCCCCTTTTTTGACTGTGTGCCTGGTCGTTCCGTTTCAAATCTGATTGCATATACTGGCACTTCCGCTCATGGTGCCTCAATCGAAACGCTGAAATTGAGAACGCAGGTGCAGACGGTGTGAAAGCATGCGACAATTCGCACGATCGCGTATCAATCAAGATTTCCATCATGTTTGATAGGGTAGGCTCAAGAATACCGTGCGATCGGAAAGATAAAGCCGTGCACATTGACCCTGACTGCCCAGTAGCGATCTGCATGCGGCAGCATGCGAAGCCAACGGAAGATGCGCCTTCTAGGACAAAAGTGACTGGGCCTGAAGAGAGCTTCAGCCGGTCAACAGAGAAAGATCTACTTTTCTGAAGCTTCCGATGTGGAGGGAGAGGGGAACGTTTAATGTGACCGTGACCTTGAAAGTTGCGATGCATAAGAGTGTGGGGCGCGCTAACGCGCTCTGTTATCAAACCTGAAATAGCGCTGAGGTATGTGCAGGATCCTTCACAATGTGGACACTCGGATGGTACTATCTGTATATTTCGGATATAAAGCTGTAAGGATACCGTGGCTAGTAGCATATTTCAACGTTAATGTAAGTTAAAGCTACAGGGTAATCTTCACTTCCAACCTTGGAAGCATTCAGCAGAGGGAGAAACAAAACTTAGGCAGGGCATCTGCTCGTCTTGAGCAGGGACTCAATGTGATTGGGTCCAGAACGAGAACTCAACCACTAACGAAGAAGAGTATGAGAAGGATATTCCTGCGCAGTATCCAGCAGCAATATGAGAAAGCACTCTGAGATTATGCCTACACCGCATCTCCTAGTTTGTCCGGGGCCGTAACTTTATTCGGGATTTGAACCAATCATGGTTTTAACTTCTGTTACAATATTATCGTTTCCTTTCCTTTTGAGGGGAGGGTATGGGAGTCTCTAGTGGAATAATCAAAACACGATCCAACATGAACACGACCTAACAACCGCAACTATGACCGTAAATATTCGCGCCCTGAACCCACCGGCTCTACCATGTCCACGAAATCGCACACCTCAGCATTTTCACACAATCATCTCCTTCTTTAAGAACCATATTTCCCGAGGTCCCTTAATCTCTAAATACACTCGATCGCACCGCATTTTATGGCTATGCCCACGCCTCTGAAGGCTGACTTAATGCCGCCTTTTTCCATTGATTCGTCATAATCGTCCCATACAAATAAACCATCATTGTCGACAAAATCCCGTGTTATATGTACCCAGTCTTTGTCAGATTCAGGTGCTAAGCCATTATAATATGTAGGCGTCAAAGCCTCATCTGGAACTATCGAGCACAGCAAGCGGCTGCTCATGAGACAGATGGCCTGAGGAACCATAAACTGCTTCCATGCATAGTATCGTACTTCTGAATTAGCTAACGCGTTGAAAAAAGCGCCGAGCGAATTTGGCGGGCAGAAGTTCGTGTTTTTGAGGACCAGACGGCGGAGGTTGGACGAGTGCACGTCGATGATGCGATCGAGAGTTGGTGCGGTGGTGCTAGCAATAAGTCCGTCAATTTCGAGAGTATGCAGGCGAAACGGGGGGTCGGAACCAAGCGCCTCAAGTAAATGAGCCCAGTTCTTGTTGTACAAACGATGGTAAAATTCCATATCCGGACCCGCACATAGTTTAAACACCTTCAGGTTCGGGTTTCTTCCAATCAGTTCACTAACCTGTGCCAAGTGGAGACCCGTATTATGAGTTGACATATCCAGCTGCAGGTCTAGCGTTGTCAAAGCTTGTGGAACAGGTCTCATTGTCAGCTCCTGGAGTATGTACGGTGTTCCTGCCAGATTCGAGTGCCACCTTGACTTTGCGAAGTTCATGATACTAAATTGCTCTAACTGCGGCAATTCAAAGCACATTGTATGCACCAGTCCGTTCAGAAGAGCGCGATAAGATGCTACGTTGACAGTGTGATGATGGCCCATGTCAAAACGTAGCGCTTCTGCACCCACCGAGAAAGTGGATCCCACGGCTGAGAGTGGCAGAGCATCTTGAGATAGTAGAGCGGCAGAGACCGACGCATCATGCATGCTGCCTGATCGATAATCAGGGGCATGTACCATGACGCTCTTGAGGCTTGACAGCCGCGAGAAGAGCACGCCGAACCAGGTACATGTTCCACAACCGTCGAAAGCGACTCTATGCTGCCGTCGGCACAATCGCTGATCCAACAAGCATCCCAAATCGATACGTATTTCTAGGGTACGGATACGCTTTGCGAAGCGGCTGGTGCTTATCATAGTAAGGCGGGACACGCTGGCCGGGGTGGCTCTACAGACCTCGCGAGAGAACCCAACCGTAGCCTACTTATAGTAAGTACTTATAGATACTACTTCTTTCAATATTGATAGCTATATTTACGTACAAAAGCTATGTCGATAGCTCGCGTAATCATCCAGTTATGTTGTCTTCGAAGGGCACAGAGATCACCCAGTGTGAGATGATCAGCAACCAAGCCGATCAACTCAAAAGGAATATCCGCCAGTGAACGTGTATTTTGATGGGGGAGCTTTTGTCGCTTGGAAGCGTGCTCATTCCGAACACTCTTTTTGCGCATGTCGTTGTCGTGGCGGCATATAGGCAGATTGTACATTTGAAAAGTTGCTCCGTGAAGGAGAACGAAACTGAAATATGCGAGTTTTTACAGAGCTCAACGTAATCTCATGATTATGGCGCGCGGCCTACGGTCCAGGAAGTGGGGTAATTGGTCATGTTCCAGCAGAAGTTCTGCTAGATGACGATATCAAAGTCGTTCCCTATCATCGTTTGGTATCGTTTGGGAGCGGTGGTCTTGGGGGTCGGTGTCCCGATGCGGTTGACTGTACCATGGTAACATCGTATTCTAGCAAAAAAGAACAGAATGATTACAAGCTGATATCAAGTGATAGTTCACCCCTTGTGAAGGTCGTTTCAGCCTATAAAATGATGAATGGTCTATTCGAAATCATCGCGCAGCTTGCTGTAAGCTAAACAGAAGAAAATATGGATACTCGAGTCTACATGGATCGCACCGGAATAGCTTTATTCACATCGGGCCCCCAGATTGAAACTCCTGCTCTGTTAGTTTGTAGGACCGTCGCTAAACCAAGGTACACATGTATGCCTACCCTCATCATGAAATAAACTTTAGGGCATTTTCTTTCATGCGCAAGATCATGTCAGCATCTGTACACAGCGAAATGTAGTACATGGTGCTTCTGTGGAGGTGGCGGACTTTCTTTTTTTCTCACAGAAAGTGAAGCGCGTGACCCCTAGAGGGCTTGAATGCATCAGGTGTAAGTGGTAGTGCGCGACAGAGGCTAGGATGGATCCAGTGACAAAGATACCCACCCGAGAGGTACAATAGGCGCTAACGGGGCACGTTGACACGGACGTCGATCATAACTATTCCCCATGCATCTGTTGATGCATATCCTCGGATATCCGAAGCGGGAAGCAACCCTCGCCTTTACCCGACCAGCGTCTGCTGAAGCCCCACCCCCGCGATGTGGGGTTGCAAGCCGAGTGCATGTCACCCACCTGTGATGCAGACGCTAGAGATATTGTCTGCTGCTGCAAGTAGACGCGAGTGTTTTTCCGTTGGCTGTACTGCTTAATTGCAGATCACTGGTGCAGGTAAGTTGGTGTTTGCTTTGTTGGAGGGCAACGATTTGAAGACTCGTCAGCTTCATCTACTTACCAGATAGAAAGGAGGGAACTCCGCATTAGATGCATACGGTATGGCGATAGAACAGATATTCGAGGCGCTGCCTTTCCACTACTTGCAGCATGGCATATCTAAGTTCGGCGCTGGCAACATTGCATTGGCGGTCTTCGTGACTGCGGCGCTTGGCGTCCTTTCAGATTATGTCTGGATGCTATACATGAGGTCGAAGATGGTAAGATTATCGAACCATATCTCGCTATATGCAATACTGATGATGAGAAGCCTCCTGGACCATTTCCATACCCTATCGTTGGCAATACCTTCCAACTGCCCGATAACAAGCCGTGGTTGTACCTTGAAGAACTCTCCAAGAAGTACAATACGCCTCTTATCACGTACTGGATTGGACGTAACCCCACCGTATGGATCAACGATGCTTGGACTGCCAACGAGCTGCTGGATAAGAGAGCAGGCATCTACTGTTCACGACCTCGCATGCTCGTATTCGCAGAACTTGGATCTGGCCAAAGTAACCTTGTCAACCTTATCACCACCACACCGGCTCAGCGCGAGCGCTTCAGAATGTTGCGCAAGTTGACGCATCAGGGTGTCGGAATCCAGCAAGTGAAGAAGTACCGCAACTTTCAGAATGATGAGAGCAAAGTAGTTGCACTCGACTTGCTCAGTAGCCCTGAGAAATACGTAGCGCACTTTGAGCGATATGCGACGAGCGTGGTATCAATCATTGGCTTTGGAAGACGAGTGGCGAGCCATGAGGATCCGATCATCACCGAAGTCATTGCCTTGATGCATCGCGCCGCTGATCTGAATGTACCAGGCAAGACGTTCCCTATGCTCATGGAAACCTTTCCAGCACTTGCACGAGTACCAACAGAATACGCACCCTGGAAACACGGTATGGGCTCCAAGAAGAAGTCGCATCGTGGTTTCGACTTCTTTTACTCTCTTGCGAGCGAGGCAAATGAGAAATCTGGCCACGAGGACTGTTATGCAAAGATGCTGTTCCGCGAGAAGGACAAGTACGGTTTGAACGAAAGAGAGATTTCTTCCTTGGCCGGCAACTTGTTTGGCGCTGGATCGGACACTTCAAGTAGCACGCTCATCACGGCTGTTCTTGGCATGCGAGCTTTCCCGGAGACTTTGCAGGCGGCATGGGAAGAACTAGATCGTGTCGTCGGTCCCGATCGAAGCCCCTCGTTTGAGGATAATGCGAACCTGCCTTATATGCGCGCCTTCGTCAAAGAAGTGTTCCGGTGGCGTTCTGTGGCCATCATCGGTGGACAGCCACACGCACCAGTCGAAGATGACTATTACAACGGATACTTGATTCCAAAATCGACTTGGGTTCAAGGCAACGTATGGGCAATACACCACAACGAACGCGAATTTCCAGATCCTGACCGCTTCAACCCAAACCGTTTCTTGAAAGGCCACCCAGACTCGCGACCGTTCCCGGGTGAGCGGGGATACATGACTTTTGGCTGGGGTCGTCGAGTGTGCTCAGGTCAAGCGCTCGCGGAACAAGGCACATGGCTGACGGTTGCCCGGCTCGTATGGGGTTTCAAGATCGAACCAGCACTTGACGGAAACGGAAACCCGATTCCGGTTGATATTTTTGATTACACGTAGGCCAATCTTGTCACTGTTGCATAGATGAAGCTGACACCTTACTAGGAACGGACTAAACATGCGCCCACAGCCCTTCAAAGTCAGCATCAAGCCACGAAGCGAGAGGATACGCGAGGCAATTATGCGAGAGGGAAAGCAGGCGTTGGTAGATCTTGCGCCGTATGAGGGTGAAACAAAGTACCGTATGAGTACCTTTTATCGCAAATGAGCTGGATGTATTAGCATCATTTTCAGACATGTTAGACAGATAAATTGTATGCATGTATACAGCAATTCAATCAGACCTTAATAACTCAGAACAGGGAAGGTCTGTTCATGTCTGAGGCTGTGGATTCATGAACTAACCCCGATGAGGTTAGTGTAGGCGATGATCTTGGTGGTTCTCGCCTTGAACATCAGCTCGTCATCAGCTATCAACGCCAGATCAGAACTTGCCCTTTAGGGCAATTGCGATAAGATAATCGCGCACAGCTCACACCTGCCTCGGATCTACTTCTCACTACCACGATGACGATGCGTGATATCGACATTTAGCTGGCAGATCAGCAAAGTCGCAATTGATATCTCTTGGTGCACCGTTCATCTAGGCTTTCCAGAGCACCAGCCATATATCCATATATGCAACCTTCAATCATGCTCTGTGCTTTTTCTGTGCTCGTCCACTTCTCTCTACCCTTTTCCAACATCATGAAGTCAACACGCCATGCATATCTCCGCATTCCAGAAGCAATATTCGAACACTCCATGTCAGAAATTCTGACTTAGGCCCAAAGCATGGCTTGAAAAGAACAGAGATGTTACACCCGAATACCATACGGAAGCAGTACTTAAACTGTTCGGAACTTAATAAGGTGAAGGACGACGCCTTGAATTCGAATCTCAATACCATTCTGTCATGCTCATCTACGGTCATCAGAGATCTGGGCTCGTCGGCTGAGCAAAACAAGTCAAGAACCGAGGCCCAAATGCTGACAGACTTCCACTTACCCCAACACCTCCACAACCCTGCTCATATAAACTCACTACCCACCCGCCCACTTCAAACAGTCATCTGTCACAAAATTTGAAGTGTAAATACAGCATCCTTCAGCAGCAAGATCACAAATAAACTATAAAAAGGCAGCATAATATATGCGCTTCCAAATAATCTGCGGGGAAATCCAAACAGGCAAGGAAGCCGATCGACATGTTCTATGCAGCAATGCAATGCGAATTGCGCCATAACATCACACGGGTGTGGCGTTCACGTTTGTGGTTATGGCTGCGGTTGGGGGGGTCTTTCCATGTGAAACGAAGATGAAACCCTGCACGCCAGAACACGTCCTGCTACGAAGACCCCGGCGAAGGGATTCAATGCGAGTGTTCTAATATAGACAGGTGCAGATCGGAAAAGCTTAGCTAGACGACGGGCCTTGGATGTTAGGCAGGAAGACTCTTGGCGAACGCTGTGGAGTGCATGTTCATCGTTCGGCTGTAGGTATGTATGAGCTTGACAAGAGGGCTGTGATCATATACGTTCAGTCGTAGTTTGAGTATGATAAAATCTGCTGGTATCGAACATGGATTATCAGGGCGTGTACGGATGTTGGCGAAAAAGATGCGAGATTCTGGTAGCAGAGGTGGAGGTGGAGGCGGGGATAAGGAAGATGGAGCAAATTCTCCCTGGCAAGGATGCAAAGATGACCAGTTCCTGAGTAGAGAACTTGATGAGATCGAGATGTGATAAATTTGAGTGTTAATTCAAGGAAGTTAGGTGGATCACTGGGGAAAGCAAAGCAGGGGCATAAATTTTTATGGATATAACCATTTTTTGAACTATTAAGGAGCGTAATAGACCAGGGGTTCCCATCCCAGACCAATCACACAATCATTCCACCAATTCCACCCTACAAGTACATACCATTATTGCCAGCCTATTCCCCTGGTCACAGACCAGCAGGAGAAGCGATAGGCTCCACCATACTCAATACTATAGAACTCGTAGATACTCTAACATTCGAGGTATATATGCAACCAATCATTAATCCATTCCGTCCAACCTTTCTACCATTAAATGTGAGCCTGTAAAGCTTCTTCCTAATGCTCGTAGGCTGAGTATGAGCTATCGTCCGTGTTGCGAATGAAATGATGCGCTTAGTTGTCGTCAGCGAACTCGGCCTCCTCCTCTTGGTCGTCGTTGGTGAGCTGGGGCTGGGGCTTCTGCTGTTGTTGACGGGCAGCCTCGCGCTTGCGGGCAGCGGCACCAGCAACGGCGGGCCTGGCACCAGTGGCAGTACCAGCAGTATTGACACCGTTGGCAGCACCAGTAGCGGCACCAGTTCCAGTAGTCGCTCCAGTACCGGTGGTTGCGCCAGTGTTAGCACCAGTTGCGACGCCAGTGTTAGCACCAGTGTTGGCACCAGTGTTGGCACCAGTTGCGACACCAGTGTTAGCTCCGGTGTTAGCACCGGTCGCGACACCAGTACCAGTAGTAGCGCCAGTGTTGACACCAGTGGTAGCACCCGTGTTGGCACCCGTGTTGGCACCAGTCGCGGCACCAGTTCCAGTGGTGGCACCAGTTCCGGTAGTTGCGCCAGTGTTGGCTCCAGTTGCGGCACCGGTACCAGTAGTAGCACCAGTTGCGGCGCCAGTTCCAGCAGTAGCACCAGTTGCGGCGCCAGTTCCAGCAGTAGCGCCAGTTGCGGCGCCAGTTCCAGCGGTAGCGGAGGTAGCGGCACCAGCGGCACCAGCAGCAGCCGGGGCGGCAGCGGCACCAGCAGCAGCTGGGGTGGCAGCGGTGCCAGCAGCAGCAGCAGCGCCAGCCATCTGGACTGGGACACAGCCACCGAAAGGTCCAGCACGAGCGGGGTTCTGGCAACGGACCATGCAGACATTGGCCTGACCAGCGACGGTACCTGTGCATGCCATGCCAGCGGGGACGGTAGCAGTGAGAGGCTGGTCCATGAGCTGAGTGTCCTTGTTCTTGCCCTTTGCGTTACCAGGAAGGTTCTGGGTAACGGTCATTGGCTGCCATGCTGTACCGGTACCAGTAGCATCGATCATGCAGGTGTAGGGACCAGCACCATCGGAGTTGACTTGGTGGACGGTCATCATGACTGCACCACCGGGGGTGATCTGAGGAAGAGTGGCACCGTTGAGCTGCATGACTTGAGCAGTTCCGGCCTGGATGTCGTTGGCACCTCCAGCGAGGGTCTCACCGCAGGTAGCAGCGGCATCTCCCTTGAAGCGGGTGGTGTCCTGTTGGAAGGGGTTGCGAGTGGTGCCAGTACGGGGAGTGTTGGGGTCAACACCGATGGCAGAGCCGGCACCGCCAGCATCACCAGTAGCGGCGATGATAGCACCGTGGCCAGCCACGAGCGAAGAAGAAGCCAAAAGGCTGATGGAAACAATGGAGGTCTTGAGAAGTACATGTTGATTTTGATGTTTTAGTCTGAACCGGTCAGAGAAATATTAAAGTAAAGTGAAGGGGTAATTAAGTAGAACAGAAAAGATGTAATGATTATAGAACTGGATGGTTGGGAACCTGAGATGCTGGATGCTCTTCTTCGAGTGCGGTGCTGGCCATCTTTATACAGCTTCTTGAGTTGTGGATGTGTCCTAGCTGAGCTTGGTATCTGGTAACGTGCCCTGCATGTGCCTTGGTTAGGCGTGTAGTGGTGAGGCGCTCCGGTTTTGCCAAGATAGTGGAGTTCCCAGAATAAGGTTTCAGAACATGCTGTAAACTCGTAGAACACTGTCTAAGCTAGTGAAGTTGCTAAAGTAAGCCCACGAAACGCAGCTGAGGCACCTTCGGGTTGAGTAAACACGTCTTAAGTGGCCTTGGCTATATGCTGAGATTCCCGACAGATGCAAGCCTAAACGCCTCCAGTAAGCCTCAGGATACTTCTCTGCTGTGTTATGAGCCGCCCGGATACCTGCAATCCGCTGATACATAGTATGATCATACTCTGTTCTCGGCCAATCATGGTATTCGCCCCGTAATCAAGGCGTATACCGGTCAACATTGCCCATATGCGAGTTGCACATGTCATGGCGTGCATTGCCTATGGTGTGACGGACAACTTGTTCGTGACTTGTTCGAGGTCGTAACATGGCTAAGCAATTGTTAGTCTGAGGTTGTGATGCTTGGCAAAGAACTCTAATAGATCCTAGTGTTCGTGAAACGGAGAGTGGCTGAGGCCTGACGTTGTTAATGCGTGCCATTTTGGGGAAGCTATTGCGATGCAACAAGCGAGAGCTCAGTCGAAACCCTCTTCTAAACAATTCCGTTCCATACTGCAAACGCTTCCCTTCCGAAGTGAACACCGATGACTTTGTCGTCATAGTCGACCTTCAACCCTCAATATCCTTTTGCCGAGCGGCAAAGACCACCAGGATCGACGTCGGCAGCCGCAATGGAGATGTGCGGCAGGGAAATGGCGATCAGGGCTTCTACCACACTAGGCTGGACCGGTGTTTACATACCATGATTCAAGTCACCGTCAGAATCCGAGTTTCGTTCTGGCCGTTTTAGGCTCAAAGTTTGTTTAGTGCCGCATGGTCAGTTTCATGTGTGAAAGGGTCCTGATCTGGGGAAATTTCTGATCCCGGCCGGATCATGATCCGGCGTCAGTAGACCGTTTGCGGTTATTGATGCGGAAAGGGAGTGGATGTGGTGCCCGGGGTGGTGAAAGGAAGATCGGGTGAAGGATCAGGGAGGAGATCTGTGCTGTAAGCACAGATCAAGCCCAGCGGAAGCTGCCGCGAGGTCTAGTCATTTGTATGGTTGCTTAGTCGCATACGCTAGTCATGCATCCCGCCAATTTTCGCCTTGTCGAACGAAGACGATGGATGTCAACACCTGTCCATAACGCGACTATGGTGATCATCTTTGTCGCCGTGTCGAAATACTGGCGATGCTGTTGATGCGATGCGCGATCGTATTTCGTCGTGCTCCAGATTCGCTGGCTACAGGCTTGCATTCATAGATGTATACCTAGGTACTCTTGCAAACCTTTAGAGCAAGACAACAACATAAGTTTATGATGGACAGTAGTGTATTGAGTCTGCGAACCTGCTTGTTTACTTGCCACTTCCTATGCGACATTTCTCGAGCACTTCTATGACCATCATGGCTGTGAAATGGTGTTATGGACACTTTGGCATTCTTCTCGATATCACCATATGAGGCACATGCAAAGCGCTTGAAGATCGTGGACAGCCTAGTATAAACTTGTTGAAAAGGAACAAATCCATGCCACATAGGTTTGCTGGACTGCAACTGTAAGCATGTAGCTGTCTACGATGCTACCGGTAGATATTAATCTCCAAGGGATGGTGCTTGACATATGAGCTCGCCGACAAAGCAAGTATCTGGATTCAAGACTTGAGCTACAATCTCTTGCATATTTTCTCATTGCAAGCTCGTAGCTGGTTATGGCGGGTATGTATGAGTGATACGTCTTCGCCCTAGATGAAGTGTGCCTTGCAACGGCCCGGAGTAATGCCATCATCATGCCTTGAACAACAAACTACGTAGACATTGTCGAGCCCACATAAGTCTTTCAACACAAAATAATAGGTAGAATAGCGGGATGCGTGCAGTCGCATTCCTACCAAAAAGGCAGGTGTTGAGCCGTCTTGGCGAGCTACGTCACTCCGATCCTTCCGAGATCGGTACTGCAAGGCCATTCGCGATAAGATCGGGCAAGGCAGCCTACAGATTATCAAGAACCGTGACTACGCTGAGATACACGGGATATACGATTCAAATCCCGGCGAGATAACTACCCGCCGTGGGACATGACGGATCTACAAAATCGTATAAGTAGTTTTTCCGGAAATTTGGTAAACCTTCGTAGTATACACATTTGATACCAGAGACTAAACTTTGGCTATACAGTATGGTTCATCTCCCACGCCTTCTTATCGCATCGCTCTGCGGTCACGCTGTGTTGGGCAATAATATGCCTTTCGATGCCCGAGAAGCAACCATTGACTCGGTCCACCATGCGCTCTACTCTGGACTCTCAACATGTCGAGAAGTGATATCATCATTCATTGCAAATATCGAAGCGAACAACAAAAGGACGAATGCGATCATCTCTTTGAACCCTAATGCTTTGGCCATTGCCGACGAAAAAGAGGAACAGCTGTCTGCAGGCAATGCTACTGGATCCCTCTTTTGTATTCCAATACTGCTCAAGGACAATTATGATACAAAAGACCTACCTACGACGGGTGGTAATCTGGCTCTAGCCCGCTCGCAGCCCACCGAAGACGCCCCAAGCGTTGCAGCGTTCAAGAATGCCGGAGCTATCATTCTGGGCAAGGCCAACTTGCATGAGCTTGCGCTAGAAGGCATCAGTGTGTCTTCCCTGGGTGGCCAGACTATCAATCCTTACGACTCAACTCGAACACCCGGTGGTAGTTCTGGTGGTACTGGTGCAGCAGTCGCCGCGTCTTTTTGTGTATTCGGCACCGGTACAGACACTGTAAACTCGCTCCGCAGTCCAGCCTCCGCCAACTCGCTATGTAGCATCCGACCTACTCGTGGGCTGATCACCAGAGCTGGTATTATACCTATATCAAAGACTCACGATGTCATTGGACCCATTGGCCGTACGGTCAAAGACGTTGCCACTGCTCTCACAGTCATGGCTTCAACAGGCTACGATGCGGCGGATAATGATACCGCACTGGTACCTGGCCCCATTCGCGGAATCGACTACGCCTCATCTCTTTCTAGTGCCTCCCTCAAAGGCCTGCGCATTGGTGTGCTCAGCGGCTTCTTCAACCGCACCGATACGCCAGAAGTCACACCTGTCAACAACGCCATGGACTCTGTGATGTCGCGCCTTTCAGCCGAAGGAGTAACACTAGTCCCCATCAACGAAACCATATACAATGCGACTGCCATTCAAGCAGCTTACGACGTTCAGCGCTTCGAATATCGGCAGCTCATGGACCAATACCTCGAGCGTCCATCACTCGGAGGCGAGCACCCAACTACCTTAGCCGAATTGTACTCTCGCAAAGCAGTCAATGGTTCCGGTGGGGAGTTTCTCGTCATACCATCTCAATACGAATACGTTAATACAGCGCTTGTCTCTTCTACGGCGAATGCAACATATCTCGACCGTCAAGCCGGCATCCGCAACCTCACACTCGCTCTCCTCAACACCTTTACAGCCAACTCGCTCGATGCGATCATTTACCCCGAGCAGAAGAATCTCGTGGTCAAGATCGGTTCTCCTTCGCAATCTGGTCGTAATGGCATCCTGGCCGCATTGACAGGTACGCCTGTCGTCACCGTGCCTGCAGGATTTTCGGAGCCGAGCGATGAGGCACCGGCTGGTGTGCCGATTGGCATGGAGATATTGGGCAGGCCTTGGGAAGAGCAGAAGTTGTTGGGGGTTGGATATGCAGTGGAGCAGTTGTTGAGGGTGAGGAAGAGTCCGGTGTGGGTGAAGGAAGCAGTAGAAGTGAGGGCTTATGATAGGGTGCCAGTTATCACGCCTGATAGGGGCAATATCCCCAGTGATTATCCTCTGGGGACATTATAGATTATACGATTTAGGAAGGATCATTTTCGTCAACTCCGCTAGAAATTTTGAGTTAGTATAGTGATGTGAGTTATGCAAACACTCGATAATAGCCATATAGCTTCTGTATCTATACTTTTCAACCGGGCACTCGAGAACATGTCATTTTCTTCCATGTATCCAAAAGACACATTCTGCGTTCTCGAAAATATTTAAATCAGATCACAAACGACCAGACATGTACACATGCATGCCTGATCTCGTCATATCCTTTGGAAATTCCATGACTTCCACAGATTTTGCATGGCTTTTTGTGTTGCTACTATAAATGGTATTAGCGATTTGACAGTCAAGAAGCATTCATGCTGCACCTAGTGGTTTTGGAACGAGCCAGATTCTCTCAAGACATAGATAGAGAGTGTACCGCTTTTGTATATCTTTGTGTAAATCAGACAAGCAACCGTTGCCTCGGGCGCAATTTTGGTAAAGCGCAAGAGTGGAAGGAATGAGAGGAAGACTTTTCTGAATAGCTTGATGGAAGTAGGATACCATGGTGCCTTTTATATGCACGGTCACAGTCTGATATGGCGTAGTCTATAATAACATCTTGTTGTACCGTATATAATTTCAGAAGTCCTGGTGCGAGTTGACTATCCATGCCCACGACGTTGACTAATCGACTTTGCGACTAGCATCTATGACGAACCTCCAATCACTCACGATGATGCGTTGACCGTTGAAATGAATCGATGAGTCAACACGTCTGCACTGGCACGGTGATTTTTCAGATCTACCGGGTCATTGTAGAGCAGACACGGCAGCGAGTTGGTACACTTTTGAGAAATTCGATAAGCTTCTGAACTATTGGAAATACATGGTTCTCGTAGGAGTAGGAAGAATATAGGGTATGTACTATACATATGCTACTATTACAAGTTTTATCCGTGCTTTGAACTGGGGTACTCCACTTCTCTTCTGGGCGTTATAACTTCGGCCTTCTGGCCCCTCTTTCTGAGTCCTCTCTTGCTCCTATCCTCCTTGGCTGGGTATTGTTGAAATCGGCGCTGGTTGAGGGCTCTCCGGTGCGACTCAACACGGAAAGGATGCAGCGCATATGGCAGTTCTTCTCCGAGTGCTGCTATGATGGGTATCGGTGCGGAAAGGCTGCTCCGCATGCATGGAATGGTTAGGAATCCTTGCGATAAGATGGCAGTAGCGCATGGCTGGAGAGCATCGTCTATCCACCTGGGTATGCTTATAGCGCGATGATAGTCCACAAGTAGGAATGTCCACCGAGACGTTCCATGGGAGCGTGCCAAAGGTGCTCTAAAAAGCACCTAGGTCGAGCAGATCGCGTGCGGCAATTTGGTTCCGGCCTTGAGGCACTCGATGTTAATTTGGCGGGTTACTTTGACTATCGTGGCTGCTCTGGCTGTCAACACTCTTCTGCTTTGTCTGCTTAGTCTCTTTGCTCTCTTTGGTCTTTTTGTTGTCTTTGGTGTCGTTCTGGGCGTTTTGCAGGATTCTTCCCAAAATCCAGTGCACAAATTGCAGGGCTGACAGAATCATGGCGGCAACAACTCGGGATACTGCATCATGCATTTTCCACAATATCGTCTCTTGTAGCGCATCAACATCCATATTTCTTGCTTCGTTCACTTGGTCTCCAATTTGACGTCGCAATCTCGCCGCCTTGCTGGGCAAACCCAATCCAAGAGAGAGATATAGTGCAACAATGATCCATTCCTCAATAATTTGCCTGAAGCACGTCAGCATGGGAAGGTCAACGTCGCAACAAGAAAGTATGTCGCGGTTAATAATACGTACATGCACAATTGGATGGTGACGCTTCCACTGATGACGTTGAAGCGCATTCTCTTCCATCCATCATAGCTGTCGTTGACCACCCACTTCTCATAGGCAAAGCACATCATGTAGACGATATCGACAACGAAAAACGGCAGACTGAGCACGACTGTCGTAAGGATACGTACTTCATCTCGATCGGCAAGGTAAAGACGCGCCGAGATGACTGTGGTTGCCCAGACCAGGACAAGAAAACATGCCAAGTAGAGCGTGACACCGGCTTTCGTCGATTCCGTAGCGGCAAAAGTGGGCCCTTCGCGTGAGTCTGGATCAATACCACCAGCAACAATGAGAATGAACGAGATAATGAGAGGTATGTGGACCACGAGCAGGATCCATTGCATGCGCCGTCCTTTTGGCCGTGTCGTCGCGTTCAGTAAACTGCTGGTAGCCATGAAGAGAGGCGTGAGACCCATTGTGGTCAGGATAGCGACACCGCTTTCGAGACTCGTGTTTGCGGCCTGTCCTATGGGATACATGGTGGTGGCTGCCAAATCGAGCGCTACCTGCGTAAGGCGACATATGGATAAGATGGAGAGCCATATCCATGGCGAGCTATGGCCTAGGCCTTGTCGAACGACGAGATAGAGGGAGATGACGAGGTAGAAGAAGAAGATGACCAGCGTGGCGATGTTGACGATGGCCGGGTAGGTGATGAGGCCCACCTCGTTCTGTGAGGTAACCATGGATGGCAAGACATTGGTCTTGTCAGCTGGTGAGGTTTGGAGGCAAAAGGGACGAGGTCGACTTGTCTTCTAAACAAGTAATCGCACTTCGCTAACTCCGCTGCCCGATCGCTCCGCCCCAATGCCAAGCCTCCATCACGTGCACTGAACGCTGTTCCGAGGCCCGCATCTCAGCCCTGGCTTCATATTTGTGAACTTCTCGCATTCCGCCCTGCTCTGCCTGCAACGTTTAATTCCAGTGCCCTTGACGATTTTGGTCCAGCTAACGCCATGCGCCCAAAGTCGACGCAGCCCAGATCGTTTGAGGAGCCACCGGGATCGCGCGGAGATGGGCTCGGCCCTGGCGCGTCACTTCGCCACGTAGCGGGCAGTGCTCAGCAACATCGTCATCGCACTAACACGCGCAACCCAGCTTGTTTTACGAGTAGCATCATGAAGCGAATTGCAGCACACCATATCACGACAGTCAACACCTCAGCGTTGGCGGCATAGCCACCTTTTCAGCCAAATAAAGCTTTGTCGCTCCTTGATGAAATGCCGACGCACAGCAAAGGCTCAATTAATCTGTGAATGACACGATACATGCTATACAGAATACATATGCGCTGCATGCTTCATCCATACATGACGCCAAGCAGGCAGTTTAGCACTCAGCAACGGTGTTACTATGGCAGCGTACGGCCTTGGCAGCCCACCGATTCATGCTTCCTGTCTGTGCCAGTTTGTCTTTTTTCATTCCATGTCCTTTTCCTCTTACATCATCTCGACCATATCCTATGCCATGTCCTATAGCCCCATGCATCCATTGATCCTTCTAAGTGTAACATTGTCTGACGTTGATCTTCTACGTGGAACCCTCCATCGTCCATATTGAAGTCTATATCGAGTGTGCCCCTCCTAGATTGGCAGAAAGGAATCATCCGTTGTAGCCGCTTTTGCAGTGTCCACCCGAGCGACTGCAGCGTCAATCCCTTCGCGGACCTGTCCGCGGGCTTCGGGGCCATTGTTCGTGCGGGAGGCGGTGCTGCTGACAGCTTGGTTGATGCTGGTGTCGTATGCGGTAGCGTGCCGAGTATCATGCCGAGCATCGTATGGTGCTTGATGTAACGCCTCGAAGTCGCTGGTATTACTTACAACCATTCGTCGCTGGGTCTCCAGTGAATCCATGGCAGCCAAGTTGGGATTGCTGTTGACCATCGCCGCCTTTTCGGCTGAGTGATCGACTCCGCAAGCTTCCAAGCCTTGTCTTCTTTGGCCACCATCGTTCTCCAGACGAGCGCCCAGGTCGTGGGCAGCTTTTGTAGCAGCAGTAATCTCAGGATAATCATCGCAGAGTTTTGCGGCCTTAGGAAACGGGAGATCCCAGAACGGGAGATCCCAGACTTCGTTCTGACTCCTCTTTCGAATGTTTGACGTCCCCGGTACTGTCTGTGGTTGATGGGCAGGCACCTCTTGATCAGGCAAAGCACTGAAATAATTGGGATCCGGCGGATAGCCGCAACGCTGGGCCGTCCCTACGCTGGGCTTACTGGCAAGCCTGGTTTGTGCCACTTCCAACCAGTCGGAAGTTGGTTGAGAAGGGCCTTGGGAGTGGTGAGACAACATCGTGGATCCCTGTCCCACTCCATTGTCCTGCTTGACGAGCGGAATACTTTGTGGCATTTCCGGTATATTGGAAGTTCTCTGGATGTATTCCCGTGGCTGGTGGCTGATATATTGTCCTCGTCCAGCTACTAGGGTATTGTCACTGGTCGGCGTAGGTTGCGGTATGACTGTTCGCGCACCCGCTATGCGTACAAAATCAGCCAACAAGCCCCTCCGTATGCGAATCCACGAAGGAGGAAGATGATGCGAAAGCAGATAAACTAGATCCTTGTTTCTGTCGTATGTATAAAGCTGGTTTGCTCGGCGTGCTTTGATCCATAACAGAGGCATATCAGGAGGAATCGGTATGCCGTTGATGCCTGATATCTCAGCGCCAAGTTTTTTCACACGAGCCCGGAACTCCCTTTCTGCTGTTTTCGTGAAACCAGTCCAGTCTTCTGGAAAAACATCGCGCCTTAACGCGGGATCCGTGGCGAGAAAATGTAAAGCAGGATTGTTGCTTGGCTCAAAGGGTATGAAACCATGCTCCTCTCTCATAGTGGCGATTCGCTGCTCGTCACGCGTCATTGAGGACCATTCGTTGCTTGACATGATGATGGCTGATGACTGTTAGAATGTGATATGAGTATGTATTGAATAACACACGCACTTACCTTTCTTATAGCTGAACAATTTCTACCAACGCTGTACAGCGATACTAGAATCTGGACACACAAAGAAGGACAAGATAAAATGCTAGTGAATTGGTGAGCCCGAGTCAAGAGTGTGCAGGAAAGTTAAAAAAGTGTAAGAATCTTTATGGGCAAGAGGTTCAGCCAGGCATCTGCCCAACCATGGTACAGACCGCGACTACTGTTTTCCACATGCTTGTGACTCTTCGCTCCTATCGTCTCATCGTTTGTAATGCCTTCAATCTCGTTTGCTAGGTCCATGCTTTTGTGGGCCACTTCTTCCTAAATCATTAGTCACTTCCTCCAATTTACATCACAAGACATCTGAAATCTGGGCAAAAGCGCGGCCGGATACTCGCTTAGGCTCAATGAAGTAGCGATATTGCGCCCCTCTATTTCCGAATCACAGTTCAGGAGACAGTGAACAAGCCAGTGAACCATAGTTCACCTCTCAAAAGAGATGCATCCCAGTGTGAGTGGTGCTGTCGTTCCTTCAGATAGCTTCCATAACTTACTCGATGATAAATTGCTAACGATTAATTTCTACCCATTTCGACAGCTCTGGAGCGCATAATCTATCCCAGTTCTCGGAACTGGTTCCTTGAATAATTTTCTGTGCGTAATTGGGATTTCACTGTACGGGTATGAAGGCGAAAGTCGACGTAAATTTCAGCACGGCGTCAAATTCTTTTTTTGGCACCTCCCGTAGTCCCTGAAATTTCATCACACAAGCGTACCATGGTTATGTAAAATGGCGCGACTGCACCAATCACGAGTGAGGAAATCATGTGATGCAGACTTCCTTCCTTCTAGCCCTCTTACATACTCAAACAAGAGATCATTTCAAGCTAGCTCCGACCCTCTCAAACCTCCAAACCGCCCCCTCCCCAACCTTCCCCCCTATCCTAGCCACTCTTCTCGCCTCTCCCTCCCTCCCCTTGACAACAACCAACGGTCTCATCATCCACCCATCCATCATCTGTAACACACACCCTCCCTCTCCCCCTCCTCCATCCGCACCCACACCCGTAACGACGAACCGGCCTCCCACGCCCTCCGCTCCAACAGGCACATTCATCCCCTCACAAACCAAGCCACCGTCATCCCACCTGCCCCCAATGCACAAAAATAGCCCATTACTCCGGTTGCGAAAAGCGAACCATCCACCGGTTTCAATAACGTCCCAGTAGATAGCTGCACGCGCGTTGTAGGAGAGGAGGTGCACGGTTGAGGTGGAGGGGCTGAGGGTGAGGACGGTGCAGGTGGTGGGGTGGTGAATTATTGTTGCTGTTGAGGGAGTGGGGATACAGTGGGAGATGGGAAGGTTGAGGGGGGTGGAGAGGTAGAAGTTGTATGGGGGAGGGGGAGAAGAAAGAGAGGAGGATGTTGTGGTGGGGTGGAGGGTTGCTGTGTCGGAGAAGTCTTGTGGGTCGTTTGCTGGTTGTGGTTGTGGTGATATGGCGCTATGAGTTTGCACCCGGTGCTGCTGTTGCTGAAGAGAAGACGAGATTGGACGGTGATGGTGGTGGTTGAGTCGTCTCTCCGGGCGGATGTACGTGAGGATGTTCATGCTTGTTTTCTTTCTCCAAAGGGTAAGCTTGATGTCGCGACAAGGATAGGCTTGACGGCTCGCTCGCAAAACAAGACGACTAAAATGTCGATCAGATTCAGGGAAACTGATAAGCAACGACAAGCTTTTTCCCTTGATTTTATCTCTTCCTTTTTGGTCCTGCAGGCGGCCTAAAGGTTGCGGTAATTACCGGGGTACGCTTAGGCGAAGGAGGCCTATTGTTAGTCTTCCTTGATGTACCTTAACATGATCCATGGGCGAGCGGCGCACACGGGCGAGCGGCGCACCCCACCAACTTTTGCAACTTTAAAGCGATGCATCTCAACAACGCGATAATATTATTGCTAGATATTGATACAGTAGATTACTCTATATTAATAGTATCAGTCTTGCATGTGCGCGAGTTGTGCCCAGTCTCCTTGCACCTAGTGCAGCGCCTTTGAGCCCGCTGGCTGAGGCCTGATCGCGCTCCTCCTTGACGCTCTTCATGAGCAATCTGCTGGTCAGCCTCATTTTGAGCCAGTATATCCTCTCCAGCTCCCTTTGTGAGTACTCCATGCTTCTGTATACGCCTTTTAGAGCGCCGCCTACGCTCTGAGGCTGCGCTATTGGCCTTCTCAAGACTAGAGATCCGATCGCGCATCAGCTCAGCAGAGAGCATCATCACCTCGGCGCCCTTCTTTAGCTGGTCAATCGCCATAATAATTGAAGCTGGTGATGAGCTCTTGTGCTGGCGCACGCGCTCACGTATTAGGCTTGACTGAGCCTCAAGCTCACGCGCGTTGCTCGGCGTTTGAGCTACCCAGGGAGCCTCTGGCAGAGCTGCTGGAGGAGTAGGTGTACGCAGTTGTACATCTACCTTTGATAGAACAGCCTCTGGTTGTAGAGGAACAAGGCCTGCGCCGCGGAAGGCTGAGCAGATATTAGCTGGCGTGAACGCTTGATCAAATGCTGCCTTGAACGCTGGCAGAAACTCTAGCTTGGTGATGTGGTTGATGTGGTTGCGCATAAGGCTCTCCACCTCACGGCTGTACGCGCGCTTCAATGGCGAGAAGCAGCCAACATCAAGTGGCTGGAGTAGGTGAGATGAGTGAGGAGGCATACAGAGCGTATGGATATTGTTCTCCTTGCAGAGCTCCTGGAACTCTAGAGATTGGTGGCTCTTATGGCCATCAATAATAAGCAGGCGACGCGCGCCTACACTACGAGCCTGCGTGTGAGCGTTGAAGTGCTTTAGCCACTCAACTCCAAGCTCATTATTCGTCCAGCCATTATCGCTGACTGCGATCGCCCAGTCGCGTGGGATCTCAGCTTCCTTATACCAGGCTGATAGGTGGTACTGGCCAGCGAAGATGAGGAACGGTGGGACTGACCAGCCAGCAGCGCTGATAGCAGCGATCAGCGTTACCCACTCGCGATTGCCTGGCTGAATACTCTTCGGCCTGCCTCTCCTCTCTGCTCCTGTTATAACTAGCTGCGTTGTAATCTTGCCCATCATAAAGCCAGCTTCATCAAAGTTGTAGACGTCCTCATCGCAGATACCTAGCTCAGCCTTTGTCTCTTCTACAAGCTTAAACCACCTCTTTATTAATGTTGCATCCTCACAAAGAGCTCTCTGCCTATCGTACGCTTGGTTGAAACACGTCCGAAGACTGTCTGTACGCTTAACAAAGGTAGATGGCCAGTTGACTCCAACCTGCTCTCCACCACGCGCAGCCAGCAGCTTATCAGCCATATCACGTACAGCTGTGTAGGTAGGCGCAAATCCACGCAGATCTAGCTGAAGTATATAGCTAATAATCACCTCCTCTTCTCTCTGGGTAAGCTTCCTTGAGTTGGGCGGGCAATCGCGTCGGGCAGGTATACCAGCGCGTCGGCGGCGGAGCGTTGTTTCGGCTACGTTGTAGACTACTGCAGCAGTACGGGTACCTTGGATCTGGTGCGCATTAATAGATGAGATAGCAAGCTGAATATCTGCTTCATTTGATAGTAATTGAGTAGCGCTGCGTTGAGCCATTGTAGATTAAGATCAGTAAGGTGAGTAAAGTTGGTGGGGTGCGCCGCTCGCCCGTGTGCGCCGCTCGCCCATGGATCATGTTAGTTTGCTTTATTTTTAATATATTATGTGAGCTTTCGGTCTCCGTAGCGCTTGGTCGTGTTCTTGTAAGGGCTGTTGTGTAAGTAGAGAGAAAGGAAGGGGAAAGGAGGAGACTATGGGAAAGAAGGCGAGTAGCACAGGGGGACATGGCAAGCACAGCCAATAATTATTATGTAACGACAATAGTGAATGGTATCAATAGGCTGAGAAACCCCACCTCCCTATATAATTCCCTCGCGCCACCCCCCAAGTTATTACATCAGCCGTGAACCGTGCTCATGTTAATGCTCATTCCTACCCACCCACCCCTCCATCCATGCAACCCAAACGCGAAAGTCCGCATTGCCTAAAGGAAGAACACCAAAAAATCAAATCACGCAACAACTTTAATCCTCCACAGCACACTCATCCGCCTCACCACATCCCCTACCCTTCTCCCCCGGTGCAAAAATATCCGGATTTCGATTCTTCAACGCCGCAATCTGACTGTCTTTGAAAATCTTAAAGTGCGCCGGGTCATCGCGTTCCAGATTCCTCAGCTCCTCAGCGTTTTCCACAATGCTGTCAAACGCCTCTTCCCAGCCCTTGCCTTCAATCATGGTGCGCATATCGTCACCACTGTACTTCATAAAGTACTCGCGCAGAGCAAGAATGTGCTCCGGGAGGCCCTCGCAGTCTGCTGAGCCGGAGATGAAGGCTTCGTGGTTTTCAGATGCGTTGGGTGTGGTGGGGCGGGATGAGTTGAGGAGGCCGGTGCGGACGCGGTGGCCGAAGCGGTGGAGACGGCCTTCTTCGAGGGACATGTTGCGTGAGGCGAGGGAAACGTCGGAGTTGTGGCGTGAACGGATTCTCATGGGCTCGTCTTCATCCGACTCGGGTGCAGTCTGGTCTGTTGTGACACTAGCGTCAAGCGTAGGTACGGCTGAGGTGGGTGGAGAGTTGCTAGGTATAGAGCTGGACGTGGATGCGGCATCAGACGGCTGGATACGTGTTTCCGGGTACTCGTCTTCAAAGCGTTGGATCATACCCTCCAAAGTCTGATCCAAGAACAAAAGACGGCCTGTTTTCTGTTAGCTGTATTCGTATCATGGAGAACTGGCACAACATACGGTAACTCATGTCATTGCCGCTCTTGGCCTCTCGAATAATCGCTGGCTGAATCCTTGACCGCGTATTCCGCGCCGTTTCAAGCAAGTCCTTCGACATGGCTCTTGCTTTAGAAGGTTCTTCAAGTACCGGCACCCTGCTTCTGCTCCTTGGGGTAGAAGTTCCACTGCCGGAGATCCTGCGGAGGTCCGCATCCTTGTGAGATAAGCAGTAGCTGAGCGCTTTGACAATGCCCGTTCCACCAACAATGTAGTCATTGTCGTTGTCAGCCGATGTGTTATCACTCTCCTGGTATTGTCCGTCTTCCGGACCTACGAGATGCCTCAAGATCTGCGGGATTTCGACTTGCTTCGGCGCGGCGTGGAGCTCAGGTACTTCATTGATGGACTCAATGTTGCGCAGGCAGTAGGCGACGACCTGCTTGGCGAGGGCCTTGATTACTTCACCCTGTTCAGGTGCTGGGATGTCGACATCCACACATACGAGCGAATTCGAGAGTTTGGCTGCCAGAGTAAGCGAGGCATATAGCGCAGCGGCATCTTCTTGTGTCTCTTCGTCTGTCGCGGTCGCTACACGCGTAATCTCAGGGTTTTCAAGGATGTTGATGTGTGCAATCTGTAGACAATCGGGTAGGATTTCTGCAATGGCAATCGCTGCTTCAGGCGTCATATCTACGTCCATGAGGTGTATGCGTTTCAGTTCCCTGAGCTGTGGCATATACTTCCGGAGAAGACATAGTGAGGTCTCGCCCAGGAAAAGACCCCTGTTGTGCGAGAGATCTAAGAATTTAAAGGAGGGTAGTGCTGTCAATGCGGGGAAGAGTGTCTTGAGCGAGTCGGGTGTGAGGCCAGTATCCTGTAAGCATAGTGCCCATAGTAGGCTATTCTTGCAGTGGGTAATACCCTCGCAGAGCTTTCCTATCCACGGTCGAAGGTCATTGCCGCCCAGGTCAATTCCTTGACACACACCTGAGCGTAGGTAGTGCAGGATATGCTCCAGACCCTCCTCGTCAATGTCATTTGTTGCAAGACTGACCCGCTGGATGCCGCTAATAACGCAGCCGTGAATTATCTTCTTGATGCTGGAAGAGGTCAAATTGCACTCAGCCATTGCTAGCTCTTGGAGCTCGGAGCCGCCCAGTCGCTCGGATATGGCTTTGGAGAAAATCTCGGCGATATCGCCAGTTCTGCTTCCATTCGCAGGGCCGTTGGTAGTTGGGGAAGTCACCTGTGGTGGAGGCTGGGGAAATGGTATCATGGACACATCAACTGCCATGATTGATTTGCACATGTACAGGAATAGTGCAATGTGTTTCCATCCTTCGGCTGTGATCTTGGGGTTGTTCTTGAGAACGAGTTTCTTGATGGCAGAGGAACCTTGCTGACAGAGTCCCTCTCTAGTACCAGACGAGTGATCACGGATTTTTGGTGGCTCCGGGACTTTAGCTGCGAGGAGACCAGCGAGGATGACCCTGATCTTCTCGTCGTTCAGATCGGCATCTTCCAGAAAGAGCTTCTTCACGGGTACGATAGCGAGCCAGTCGGACAGGGTCATGACATCGGCCATTTGTAACCTTGATCCAGTCAAATCCAGACATGTGACAACTCCCGGCTGGACAACGGAGCATGCGCGCGGGGCTGCGAGCTGGTCGCTGATGCGTTTGAGGATGGGCGATTCGCGCAACTGGCAACATCTTCGGTAGATGCGCAGTGGGTCGATGGTGGGCCGGTCCTGCGCACGCGGTGTCGTGGTCCCTGAGGCAGCGGGCACTCCTTCAACGCTGCCACTGTCCTCATCTCTTGTGAGCTCCAAAGGTATCGTCCCGTTCTCTTCAGCTTTCCGGCGCTTCTTCTCTTTCCGCTCTTTGCGCTCAGCCTCGGAGCGTTTCTTCTTTTCCTTCTTCTTGCTCGGCTCCTGCTTCTCGTCATCGGCAATGGTGCCTTCGGGGTTGGGATCCGCGTCTTTGCCCACGACTTCTTGGGTGATTGCGATGACACCGTCCTTGTCCTTCTCCTCGGCCACGGTCTCGGGGTTCTTCAGTGCCTCGCCCTCGCCGCGCTCCTTGAGCTTCTTCTCCTTGCGCTTCGGCTTCTTATCGTCCGTGTCTGCATCGTCCTTGTACTTGGGTCCTCCTGCGATTTCAACGTCGACACAGAAAGCGACCTTGCGCAGCTTATTCTGGTCCAGCTCTGGCACCAGACATCGCTCTCGGTTCGGGTCTACGTTCATGATCTTGCGCGGACACATGCCGCCGTTGGGGTGGGCTTTGCCCCCAGTGCCCACTTGGGTGCCCGATGACAGGCGTCGCAGCACATTCTCGACGAATGAGCTCTTGGGAGGTTGTGGAACGTAGCCTTCAGAGGCGGGTCCCGAAGCCGCCTGGATGCCGTTGAGGGCGCCGTTGGCCGAGGGCGTAGTATGGGCGGCGCCATTAGGAGCAGCGGGCGAGCCTTGAGCCTGTGTATGTGTAGTTTGCGCAGGCGAGTTTTGTGACGAGAATTTGGAGCTGATGCTGTTCATCCACGAACCGCGCCGTGACAAGGCCTTGCCATCTGGCGGCGTGGTGCCACTGACATTCTTCTCATTGCTGCCCCGACTAAGCAGCGTTGGTCGCTTAGGCGGCGCTATCTTCTGGGGCGGCGTCGCAGATTTTGGCGGTGCTGGTTGCCCTCCCTTTACTGCTGCTGCCGGCGGCGGTCGTGGGGGCGATGCGGGCCTGGTGGTCTCCGGCTTCGGCTCGTGATTTTGGTGTGATGAGCGGGGTCTATCGGGGAGGCCGCCATGCGAGGACGTCTTGGGCGGCGCATCTTTGCTCAGGCCTGGCGACGACGGTGCCTGTTGGCGATGGTGATGGTCTGTAACAGCAGCCTGTCAGCAGGGCTCTCAACAATGCCCAAGTTGCTAGGTTGCGTCGCGCCGCAAAGCCGAGCGGTCTCCACCCAGGGTCGCAAGCGGGCCATACCTCGAGTCGAGTGATGCAACCACGATACATCCACTCCATGAATCTCCTCCATAGCAGACGCGGTGTCGACGGGTGCTTGAATGGCCGTCATCTTGATTTTAGCTTCAGGGGTCTGGCCTTTAGATGCGCACAGTGTGGCCGCCGGAAGCCCGCGGGGTTATTGCTGGTACGGTAGTGCCGCACCGTGATCGGGAAGCAGTGAGACAGTCCAGACTTAGATCCGTACCCAGCGACGCGTTGCACTCAAATCAGCTCCAAGCGATTTCAAAAAGCTGCGATATGCGATATGCGACATGTGCGACGGCGAGGCGGATGGCGGAAGATGGCTAAACTACAAGGACAAGGAAGTCGGCGCCATGACGAAAGGTGTCGGCTGATAACTTCGGCTCTCCTCCACACTACTAACCCTAGCACTAGGTCCCTTGGTACACATCTTTCCGGCTATCATGATCGCCCGCGAGGATTGCCCTTCTGCTTTGTAGAGAAGCTGATCATCAACAGAGGCTTGACTCATGAGCATCCACTTGCGGCTGAAACAATGCAAAAATACACACGACAGCCCATGCGCATCTGTCTAACAGGCATGGTCGAACTTACGAGAGCAGCTGTGCGAAGAGCTCCGTCATCTTCATCTTGTCTATCAACTCAACTGGTCGCACTGCTCCTCCCTTGAGTGAAGATTGATATGAAACAAGGGTAGGTTGAACAAATCTATCTTTGCTATCTTTCTGCTATCGGAATAACAATCTGGTCACAAAAATATCTGGCCCGTCAGTTCCAAGCAGGTAGTCGAGCTAAGTGAGCATGGACAAGTTTGGAAAGAGGGAACGCTCGTCACATGGTCCGTGCTTCCAATGACACCATACACACAGCGCTGATAAAGATACACACACTGACCCTATGCGGAAGTTAGCTAAGCTCATACGAATCCTATGCACGTGAGTACTGCTAAAAATATGGCACATTTCGTCATCGACGTTAGGTTTGTCTGCAAAGTTTCTTCATTGTTTTATCTCCTCTGCCCCATCGTATCCTTGGCATATAGAAATAGCAGCTAATACTAATATTCGCTGTTATAGTTCCAGAACACTCGCTTTGGCTTTTTCTAGGGGAGTTTTCTCTTGCTTCTTTTGCTCCAATAGCTTGCACCTCCTCGTTGGCGAGTCGAGTCGAAAGTGTAGCGTACTAACAGATTGTCTGTATATACTTAGTTCGTGATCCAATGTATTTAGGAAGCGGAAAGAAACTTACAAATCCAGCGTAACAGTATTGGCATGTACTTTCAGATGTTGTGCAGCAATGATTTTCGCGATGTTCTCCCACCTGATTGCAGCAATCTCCACACACTTGATGGGATGAGCCGGGCTGAGAACCGTGACCGCCGTTACTATTACCGGGACCTTGAGCGTTGCCTGGAACGTTGCCGTTATTGTGACTGGAACTGCTTCCTATTGTTTGAGGCTCTCTCTTTTCCATTGCATTCGTTTGAAGAGCCACGATTCCCAAAGGAGTTGCAGTCGCTAGTCCCATGAAAGCGATGGTGATGATGACTGAGAAGCGCATGTTGGCGATTTTTGAGTGTAGTAGATGGACGAGATAAAGGAGTGTTGATTGATTTTGATCGAAGAGTACTTCATCTGCCTATTTATATTCGTCTCAAAGACTTCGTTATGATTAGACTATACCCAATCACTGTTAGATTCGCCAACAGACTACCGATCTGGCCAACACAGTTACAGTTCTTGCGAAATTCAGTGCCATCCCTACTGCTCCTCCAAGTGATTCTTAGATTGGTATGAACACGAGAACCAACTCGGTGATATTTCAAATCTGACCATATCTTGAACCATTGCAGATCGGTCGGGCATACTCATCCATCCATCTCTCGTGCCAAGTCCGACGTTTACAGCCACAGACAGATGCACAGTTCCAAATTGTTGATCAGAATACTGCTAGCATTGATCTAGACTTTATTGAAACTGAAGTTACGACAAGATGCCGGGGCGGGGGTTTATCGAGAACAAATAGAGTGCTAGGAATTGAATTCAATTATCCCTAGGTCACAGTGTACTCAATGTCACGACCACTAGCTTAACCGCTCGCTCACAAAATGGCATAACAATTTATGCATAGGTACTCCCACTTATCTGTCCGTATGCATCATGGACATGGATTTTACACATGCTGTCTGTGCGTATCAAGAACTATCGTTGCACCGGGGGGATGAGTAGAAGTTTGACATGCCAAGCTTAATCTGGCCAGAAAGCAGGCTTGGCAAATAAGGTATACTGTCAGCTGTCAACTTTATCTCGTCCCCCTGGTAGTCGTAAATCTAAAAGACTTTCCGCGACTTTCCGCCCCTCTTCCGCCCCGTCCCTCTTCCGTCCCGTATCTCTCCACTCTCTCCACTCCCTTCCCCACGATTAGCTGTCTCTCATCCGATACTCTTTACCCCTTTTGTAAACTACAGAACCAGACTAACTTTATCACATACTTCAGCCCCTGTGTGCCATCTGTCCGTGAGTGTCAGGGAGATGAATTTGACGGTTCCAAGGTTACTATCAATGCGTACCAAGAACTGTCGTCGTAATCCTAAAAGGCCCTACGCGAACTTCCGCACCTGTCGTCACGCACGAAATATGCTGCAACCTTGTATCAGGTTAGAGAAGTACCGATCAATGGCGGTGTAAATGAACAATGTCTTGTTCACAACAACCAAGCAATTGGGTGGGATATCAAGTAAGCGATGTCCCTGGCGCTATGGCATGGAAAGTATGTAATAGCGTGCAATGCCGCACCGCGGACTGATAACAACACTTGTGGTGTTGGGCGGAGTCAGACTACACGGGCCCTTGAGTGACCAACTAGAACAACAGCCAACAAAACATAGACTTAGACACTACATATGGCTGTTACATATGGCTGCCTCACTATCTCACATATCAAGTACATAAGACACTTTGAATAGGGGTATCTTAATTGGGGTAGCCGACTAGGGCCTGCCGTCTCATCATCTCATTGAGGTCGTGAAAGGCTAAATACAGAACATGTTTCCTGTCATGCTAGCTATCCTTCCCATTGTCACCCCTGGACGCTTGGGCCGTACTTTTGTCATCATGGAACAAAGCAAGACGAAGAGAAAGCCAACGCTTACGCAGTAATCTCGGCAATCTTGGCCTTGACACGCTCCTCCTTCTCGGCCTTGGTAAGCTTCTTGGTCCTGTACTTCAGGGACTCGGCCTTCCACTCGTCCTTGGACTTCTTGGGGCCGGCACCCTCCTCCTTCTTCCAGGGGTCCTCGCGGATCTGCTTGTGGGCATCCTGGTAGAGCTCCTCAAGACCATCAGCCTCGATGTCGTCCTCAATGTAGCCGCTGAACTGAGACTTGTAGCGCTCCTCATCGTCGTCGGCAAGGGTCTCCATGTACTCAGCAACGTGGCCACCGAAGATGTACTTGCGGAGGGTCTCGGCGTCGAGCTCCTTGCCTTCGATGTCGTATCCGGGGAAACGATTCTCGGAGTGGGGAACGAAGACACCGCCGTCAGAGCATCCCTTCATGGCGCCAAAGACACGGGCACCAGTGGACGTACGGGTGAGGCCAACATCCAAGAAGACCTTGAATGGGCGGCGCTCCTCGCCGTCAATCTCGGCGGCTTCGGTGAGAGTGAACTCACCGTCGGCCTCCTCAACACCGACGAAGTCCTCGTCAAGCTCGAGCTTCTTGAGCACACGGCGGGCAAGGAGCAGACCAGTGGCGTATGCGGAGGACCAGTTGGTAAGACCGTGGGTGATGCCGTAAGCCTTGAGCTCGTGGGCACTGTGGGGTTGTTAGCCATGAGCCGCATAGTCGCGGATTGAACGGAACGTACTAGGCGGCCATGAAGACCTTGTCACCGCTCAGCTCAGAGTGGATGATCTGGCAGATGATGTCCTTGTTGGTGAAGCGGACGACGAGGCGGTACTTGGGCGCATTGTACTTGTTCTTGGCCTGGGTAATCAACCGCTTACGCGCATAGTAGTCGGCTACGCATTGTTAGACATAGTCGCAAGTCGGATTCGTTTGTACGTACTCTTTCCCTGCCTGCGGCGCTTGTACTTGACCTGGTACCTCGAAAAGTAGGCGTCGTTCTTCTGGAGCTTGGACTTTACACAGAGTCAGCGATTGACGCTTCAAACCCGCATTCGAAGCAACTCGCAAAGACTCCACTCGACAGAACGTCGAAGCGGGGATGCCATGATGGCAAAGGCAAGGGGACTACGGTTGCGAATGCAATTCGGATGTACTTACGAAAGGCATCTTGAGCTGCTGTTAGTTGAATCGGCTGAAGAGAGAAAGTTCGATGTGCTCGCAACAGATGCAATATTGAGTGGGCGCTCGGACCAGGCTTTTAAGCGACGCGCAAGTCGTTTTTACCCCAAGGTGGGTGACCATGCAAGCAACGTCGGGATGGGTGACCACGAGCATGCTAGACTAGAGCATGTTTGCTTCTGCCTGCAGAGGAACCAACTATCAAATCTGTCAATTTCTAGCTGACGTGTTGATGTGAAATTTCAGTTGCAGCATCTGAATCAGGCAGCAACTTGGGACAGCACTTGACACAAATAGCGTTCTCCTCACATATTGTAGAATACTTGTCAAGATTAGTAGTATATTTTTAACGAATTCTTGTCAACGGCAGCGAGTAGTTATCATTCCAAGTTCAAGTTGCAGTTTAAGCATTCGCATTGCCCGTTTGGGCGCTCACGGACCCCCGACCAACCATCTGCCCCCGCCAACGTCGTCAACCTCAAGGCACGGAACACGAGCTAACAGCCAGCTCACAACATCACACCCTCCAACCTCACAACCCATTTTGAGCTTTGACAGCATGGCGGAAGTGCCCATTGGTATGCGCAGCTGCTCTGCGAGCAATTCCAGCTTTACTCACATTTCCACTAGTGCTCGATGGAGGTACCGGTTTCCTCAAGGCAGGTTATGCTGGACAGGTGAGTTGCGGCATATCATGGACAAGTGACATATAGAGCTGATGATGTGCTGTTTAGAACTTCCCAGACCACCAGTATCCGTCAATAGTCGGCCGGCCCATCCTACGAACCGAAGAGCAGAATGGCGGAGACATACAGCTCAAGGACATCATGTGCGGTGACGAGGCAGCGGCAGCGCGCTCAATGCTTCAAATCACGTACCCCGTATGTCTTCATACAATAGGATAAAGAGCAGACCAAGGTGCTAACCATGTCTCATGCAGATGGAGAATGGTATCGTGAAGCGGTGGGACGACATGCAACAACTCTGGGACTACACCTTTTACGAGAAGATGAAGCTCGACCCTACCGGCCGCAAGATCCTCCTCACCGAACCGCCGATGAACCCACTGAAGAATCGTGAGACCATGTGCGAGGTCATGTTTGAACGTTATGGCTTTGGAGGTGTATACGTAGCTATCCAGGCCGTGCTGGCTTTGTATGCGCAAGGTCTATCATCTGGTGTAGTCGTCGACTCTGGAGACGGTGTCACGCATATTGTCCCTGTTTACGAAAGCACTGTCCTCAACCACCTCACTCGCCGTCTCGATGTTGCCGGACGCGACGTCACGCGCAACCTGATTGCGCTCCTACTACGAAGAGGATACGCCCTCAACCGAACCGCCGACTTCGAAACCGTTCGTCAAATCAAGGAGAAGCTCTGCTACGTATCATACGATCTCGAATTGGACCAGCGATTGAGCGAAGACACAACAGTTCTGGTGGAATCCTACACGCTTCCAGATGGCCGCGTGATCCGAGTGGGTAGCGAGCGTTTCGAAGCTCCCGAATGTCTGTTCCAGCCACATCTCGTCGACGTTGAGCAACCGGGTATCGCCGAATTCCTCTTCAACACGATCCAGGCTGCCGACGTCGATGTCAGGAGCAGTCTGTACAAGGCGATTGTGTTGAGTGGTGGTAGCAGCATGTACCCAGGCTTGCCTAGTCGATTGGAGAAGGAGCTGAAGCAGCTATGGCTTACCAAGGTTCTTGGTGGGAACCCGGAGCGACTCAACGTACGTATACGTCAACGCGTTGCACTAACCGTTGCTGACACATTCCCAGAAATTCAAGGTCCGCATCGAAGACCCGCCACGGCGAAGGCACATGGTCTTCCTCGGTGGCGCCGTGCTTGCGAATATCATGGCCGACAAGGAAAACATGTGGATATCAAAGGCGGAGTGGGAGGAGCAGGGTGCACGCGCATTGGAGAAGCTGGGCTCCAGATGAGGCTAAATTGGAAATATCGAGACAAGCCTGCAGATGCATACCAACAAATCGAACATTTTTACAACACAGTACCGCCGTTAACAATACGCTTGGGTGAAACATTTACTCGCACCGCTTGGCAGGCCCTGTCACCTTCTTTTTGTTACCGCAGTTGGTCTCAACACCGCCCCAAGCGTCAGTAAACCTAGCTTTTGGTCACAACGGAGCGAATCCGCGCATCAATGTTGGCTGCCCAAGCTTCCCCGGCGTCTGCGGTGCTCCATCGATTGCAGCCGCAGGCGGGAGATCTGCTTAGTCTGTGAAACATTGCCGTCGTTGGACTTGCTACTTCCCGGATGGCGCGTCCATGCATGAGCGGCATGAGCGGCATGTGTAGATTGTTATTTTTTTTCTGTGTTGCCGCGCTACGCTTCTTCTGCTGATGCCCGACGCCCTTGCAGTGAGCGATAACCGCGGTATTGTCCGTATAGCCTTGTGCCCATAGTGGGTTCACTCAATGCAGCAGGTAGGTCGATCGTGATCCCTCCTGCGCCTATTCCGTTGTGTGCTCTGAGATTAACTACCTAGGTAAGGCAGCAGGTTATCCTACCTCAATCAAGCCGCTCTTGGCACGCTAACATATAACGTATTGGTTCAGGTAACGAGCCAGTTCTCGTAGCGAGCCACTTTTTACTAGTAATACTAGCTTTTTTCGCTTTTCAGAAAAGTTGAGTAACTTCTCTAGTTTTTGTTAACTGACTATTCAATTAGTTAAATTTAAAAACTTGCAATAGTTAACTACTAAAGTAACAGAATTTTATACTCTCTGGAATTCTAGAATTTGTTACCTAAACTAACGCTGTACCTTGTTTGTGCGCCACTCGTTAAGTCTCAGATACGAGATGGCATTAGCGTCTCGCGAAAGACAATACTCTTCCTCTTTATCCAGGCCGAGGCAACGCATAGCAATGGACATTTTGGGTCTAGAAGGTAACAACCACGGGGAAGGACTTCAGCGAATGAAGCTCCGCAGGCCGAGGAGCCTTTCGATGCGTTGCTCGTTCACAAGGCAGCCGAACAAGGCGACATCTCGAAACTCGTATCCCTTGTACATTCTGTCGATAACATCGACAATTATGACACCTATAGTGAATGTACATCACTTCATCTTGCCACACAAGGTCATCATGCTGAGACTGTCAAGATACTTCTTAAAGCTGGGGCAGATCCAGAGAAACTAGATTACTCAAACACTGCAGTTGATCCTCAACAAAGACGGATCATTGTACGACACAAGACAAGAGTGTGTGCGCACAGCTTTGATACAAGCTGCGCAGTGTTGGCACACAGAAGCTGTCGAACTACTTCTCACGCACGTCGCTGGCTTTCCGGACCTCAGCGCTATTAAAGATAGATCTTGTCTGACCGAGGCCTTTTTCATAGCGCTATATGGGTATTGTTGCGATTATCATTGTCGCGAACGTCTCTATCAGAGAACCCCGGACAAGTACGAAAACTTGGCCCAACGATTCTTATCTGTGCTTCAGAATCTCGTACACTACGGGGCTGACATAAACGCCACAGTGCCAGAGACCGACATGGCTGGCTTCTGGCTTCTCACGGGTCCAGTACCGAGCTTCAACCTTGAGAGTGTTCTAGATATGCTGTTGTCGAAGGGTCTACGCGTAGATGAAGAGCCACGTCTAGATGATGTCATCCACCTCCCATCATGGTCGCCCTCGCATACGTCAAAGATATCGAGATTATTAAAACGATGGTAGAGGCTGGGGCTAGCTTCCAAGTGACGGACCAGAGCTTGCGTACACCACTCCACCTTGCTCAAACGCGAGCAATTGCAGAGTTCGTCTGTAGCCTTGGGGCAGATAGATCGGCTAAAGACGACCGGGGATGGATGCCCCTCCACACGGCATTTCACGAAGTGCACACAGACGTGATAGATCTTCTAACCTCTCGCCGTTTAAGTGTGAATTAACCTTCCAGAGGACCTATATATTAAATTGCTTGTTATTATTAGTTAGTTACAGTTAATAGGTTTTAGATAGTAAACTAGTTAGTTATAAGTTTTAGTTTTTACTATTAACTACCTCATACTTAGTGCGCTAATTATTAGCCAAGGCAATCTAATGCTACGATAATATGCTAACACAATTGACCCTAGAAACAACGTTGACGGTTGACACCACATGCATTACGATTGAGGGAGAGCCGCTCCCACGGGAACAACCGTGCTATGCATTGCCATATTGACGGCCAACGCAAATTACCGCCGCAACGAGCGGTCGCCGAGCCCGCTTCCACCAAAAATCTTCCATTGTCAGACTGCTTGTCTGCGCTTTGTGTTGGATGACGCGGAGACCAAACGCGTATTGTGTGCAATAGGTACCCAATTGTCAGGGCCCGGCAATCTTGTCCGTCCTACTGCTACCAAGCCGTCATGACAAGTTGATGTAATGCACGCTAGTCTTGAGTACCAAGGTCTTCAAGAATTGCCGGCGCTCGGGGTGGTGTCGTGTCGTGTCTGGTGGGCGCTGTCTTTGTCTCATCAGACCCTTTGCTGACGAGCACGCGCGCGAAGCAGAGGGTGATGGAGGCTGCAACACAACGCAGGGCTCTGATGCAGCGGTCCAACGGTACCCTATCGCACCAGGTCAAGCTGCAGGGCAGTTGATGGAGGTTTGGCAATGCCGTCTTCGCTCCACGCGTTTAGCGCCGGGAATTCCAGGCATGGCAGTGGGCACGTGTTGGCCGCGAGAAAAGGAGCCATGGCACCCATGAAGCTGCACTGCGTCATTATCGCCGTTCTGCACAGGTAGCTCGCCTGAACGATTTCGTATGGCTAGCGAGGCAGGAAATATGACGCCCCGCTCTAGGACAGCGTACCAAGGCCTGCGAGGCTCAATGACGAATGGTAGCGCCTCCCGTGGCGGCAGGCCTCGTTGTTAGCAGACCGCTGCATTTGCATGGTATCGTACAGTATGTAAAGGGTGCCCGTGTACCGCACATTTGCTCAACTCGTCACATTACATCGCCCTCGCAGCCCCAGCAGCAGACATCGACATCGACATCCACGGCCGGCGCCAACACTGAAACTAGCCGACCACCTACTCCAGCTTATGTTAGTTTGATTGTGGGCCCCAGTTTCGGGAAAAACACACGCGCCATCTGTACTCCGCCATAACCGGCCCGCCGCTACAGGTTGCAACTGATAGACACATTTGTTTTATGTGGTGCCAGTAACAAGCCCTCGTGCTTCTGCCACATTGAAACGGGGTCCACTTGACCCGTGCACCCCATTACCCTCTCAGGCTTGATTACCGCACGACGGCGCGCTTTCAAGCGGAAGATCAACGCTGTACCATTCCAATAAGATCGGCTACCATTCCCGAAGCCCTCCAAGGACCAAGCTTCCTGCTGGTCCTCCCACTGCCAGATATATAGGACGCCTCCGCTGCCACTTCCCTTGTCGCTTTCAACAACGGTACTTCAAACTCGTACCATCACTTCAACCAAACACTCCCTCGCCACACATTATATGAGATCACCGCCAACCTCACCTTCCCTCTTGCGAGTCATTTTCAGATCCGACACCTCTCACCAGAACATGTCTCGAACAGTCGACCGCACCATGCCTACCATCAGCTCACCCCTCTCTCCGAGAAGCCAGCCTCTCGACATTCCTTCACAGGCTCGACGTCGACCAGCCCTGAGCCCGCGACAGTCCAGCAACACCGGTCCTGCTGCCCATCTGAGGCTCCCGTCACTGCCTCGCTTCCACCCAGCCAACTATGCTTCGTCCCAAAGCTCAAGTCATGCAAACACACCATCTACAGGTCCAGACAGCCCTTACTCGCCCTCCTCCCCCCGATCAACCAACAGACAGTACGAAGTCCAGAGACAGATGTACCTCTACCAGCAGCAGCTGCTTGCCAACACCAATCGCCAGCACAAGGGCCTTGGTCCCAGGCCTACTAGCCCTCGCCTTGAGCCTCTAGCTAGTCCAGGAGCAGTCACACCTCTGGAGCTTGAAGACGAAATGGGTAGCTACCTCACTGCTGGTGTCAGCCGAGCTGAGGCCGATCAGCACGTTGAGAAGTTGATTCGCGAAGAGGCTCGTCGACGAGGCGAGTACTCTCCCGGCAGGACCACTTCCGTGGGCGGCAGGTGACTCACGTCAACAGCAAGGCATAACCAGCCAAGAACAACACACCGGGCATGAGCCCGGCTTCACTTCACATACTTTCTTTTGTTTTCCATTTTGGAGTTACATCACAACCATGGGACGGAGCATAAACGGCGTTTTTCAAATCACCATCACGGCAGCAGAGTGACCAACAGTCGAGTACAGCATGGCAGGAGAGGAGTGGAACGGACCATGTTGCAGAGATGAACACGCAAATTCTCCTTCTTCTCCACCTCCAAGTGCTGGAGCGTGGCACCGATCGCTTTTATCAAATACCCAAATCTGCTTCCTTTTCAGAATATCTGCACCGCATCTCGCCTGTCCATTAGCTTCACAGTAAGCGCTCCACCGGCGATTCGGTGTTGAGCTGGTCAGATGACGAGTCTTTCTTGCAAATAGCTCTCAATTCAACCATTCGCATTCAAACAAACTCCCATGTGCTCCTTTCTTCCTACTAACCCAAGAACCGGTGACGACTGCTGTATTCGCCACATCCTTCCTCTCAGGCGTCCCAGCACTGCCTTTCCCTCCTCTCAACCCCTCTGTCCACCACACCGTCTGTCCTACGCGAGTTGCCGATCTAACCGATCCTTTACTCCATTCAAAGCTCCGTCGACAATCCCCACCCGGGTCCCATTGATACACAACGGGCGTCCGCTATCTGAAACACGCAAGCTGACACCTGCTAGTTCGCCGAGATGTACCATGTTCACCGTCTAAACGTAGATTGTTGTCCCTAGACCACCGCTCTTTCAGTCACACACCCACCACCACCACCACCACCACCACCACCACCTGGCAGACCCCACAAAATCCTTTCTCCACGTTGAACTAACCAACGCACCGGCGTGGGACCCTGAAAAAACAAACGGACCCCCATGAATCGCGCGTTGCTGGCATGGATGCTCTGCTGGCAAGGAAGAAAGCCTGAAATTGTGGCTTTTTTTATTTTTAAACAGCGGAGTTTGGGTGGTTTAGTTGACCATACACTGCGAACTACGTATATGCGACTGTGATAATTTCTGCTACCATGGATCGCGATGATGATGCTGGATAGTAGAAAACAAGTTTCAAACGGACCGTTTACAGTTCATGACTCCATTATCCGCCTTGTTTTCTCGCCGGCTTGTCATTCATGAGGAGCATGGGAAGGAAAGGAAATTGAGACGCAAGTGCAAGCGCGCACAGCAACTATGGCGCCAGCAACACCAAAACGATCGACCTATCTCGGCGCAATTAAAACCGCCTAAAAGGTCGACGGACAGCGCAAGAGAGAGCCAAATGAAAGAAGATGATCATTCAAGGACCAAAAGATAGTAGTGTCCGCTTGACAACACCCAGCGCCGCCGCCCAAGAATTATACGGGCGGCGTATTATCGAAGTCTTGGTGGAAGGAAAGAGGCGATTTCAGGCTAGCGTAGCCGAACGGATTGCTGCTGTGTGTGGTGTGTGCATGGGGCGGCGGCGCAACATTATTGATGTGTTGTGGAAACCGCCGGGACCTTGCGAGAAGAGGGACCCACTACACCGGTGCTGATTTGCCCAGGAACTCCAAGGGAAATTTGTAGGGGGTGTGGCTCAAGATCTTCATCACATGCTGAGTGGCATGTTGAGATCGACCTCTTAGTCGTGTGTTCGTCCAACGTTGGAAGGTTTAATGGTTGGACGTTGAAGTCGTACGTGTGCTGCTTCAAAATCGCGTGGGAAAACGTGGCATTGCGTCTTTTTTCCCACATCTCCTCTCCTCTCACGTCTCACGAGAACGCATTTTGTATGCAGGAAGACGTCGTTGTGCATGGGTTTACCTGGTGCGCTGGGAAGACGACTGTGCGGTTTACGGCTTCCAAGGTTGCTTGCGTGCGCACACGCATCACGGAACAACGCTAGATGGATATATCCTTACCAACAAAGCTATCGTATGACCGAGAAAGAAAAATGAAAGCCCATGAGCCATGGTCCCTTAGTACGGTCATTGAGCCTCCTACGCAATGGTCGCGGGCATCACGGCGTGCAAAAAGCGTGTGGTAGCGTGTTATCTAACGTCCTAGCCATCCCGGCCAAATGCCGCAAAGTCTGTCTCTATCCACTGTATAAGAGCAGAGAAAAAAAAGGGGTCTTTAGCTTATCGCACGATGTTTTAACTTCTTATCCAGCAAAGTCCCTGCGTCTCAAGAACAAAACGTTGTTGATAACGGGGGTAGGGGCCGTTTGTTGGGGGGGTGTGTGTGTGGTGACCGGACCTCACCGTTCACGGGTGTGCGGTGCCGAAGAATGCCATGTATGTGGGTCCTGCGAGGCGGTGGCATTGCAGGGTTGTGCCCATCGGCTTGTTTTGCACAGGTCGCTGCAAAGACGACCAGCAAAGAGGACACAAGGCGAACTTGTCCAGGGAAGTCCCGGACAGTCAGTGTCCGGTGATGTGTTCTTGTCGCATGCTACTGTGTAATTGCGACGACCCGATCTTGTGGGTTGGGCTCATGTGGTTGAGGGGAGGGGCGAAGGGGAGTCCCGCGGGTGGTAAATTGCGGATGCGGTTGCGGCGTTTCTTCCCAACTCGCGAAACTGAAGACGTGGCTGAGGGGATTTGTTTGGTAACTAAGATGAAGATCAGGGTAAGCTTATCGACAGCGACGTTTTTTCTTTCCGTCTGCTTATCTTGAGCGTCGGTAGATCTGATAATAGAGTATTATCAAGCACGGCTAGCTACCTACTGCAATCCTTCCAACAAAATACGCGCTGGACAACATAGTGCTGCATTGCCAACATCTCAACAACACGACTTGGCCCTGGACTTCATCCAAGCCAAAGGAACCGATAATAAAATAACTTTCTCAACATCCAAAACAACTGCTTTGATCCCATATCATCCTGTGGCGCCCCACATCACCAAAGCAACCAACGAAACAACTCATTAAGCTGTGAAATTGATCTAACCGTACGCTAAAATAGACCAAAGGCAGCCCGTCCCTCGTCCGCTCAAGCGACTTTACCCAATGCAGCCAGCCTTGCATGTGCCGTTCAGAACAGCTCTTACCGGTAAACATCTCACCTCACCGCACGTCTGACCATATGGCGAACTTCTTGGTTCACCGTCCGTTCCGCCCATGTCAGCAACGCGGCTCGAACGGCGCCTCCATTCGCATAGCCATGGCTTTAACTCGCCTCTTAACCCTCGGTTACAGCTTCCTCTGGGTTGTCAAGATGCATCAATCAATTTAGCCCCATGACAAGAAATTCCTCAACCACAGCCTCCCAAGCAACTTGCCTGCAAGCGTGCAAATGAGGAAATCACAAAACGCACCGCAGATCCTCACGTTTTTTCCTGCACTCATCATCGATGCACCTTGCTCATCCTCCACACACTCTGCATGCTTTATAAGCGATTATGTGGCTACCTACATACGTCTCCTTCCATCTCTCTGAGTCACGGATCAGAGCTACGGAAGTGTGGAGTCGATGCGTTTCAGGAACGCGCAGATCCCACGTGAAAGAGGTGTAGCAAAGCGCGAAAATCCAAATTGATAGACCAAAGATGAAGACTTTAAGAGAATACGTCAGCGGCGTGTGTGCATCGATCGCTGGGATCTGGGGGGTTTGAACTGGGAGGCTGATGGGGAAGCTAGGCTGTTTCGGGTTAAGGCGTCCGAGGCTTGGGTACGGACGGGTGATTGGAGTTTTGCCTAGGCTAGTTAGGGATTGACCTTTATACGGTATTGTTAAGAGATAGGTGGGTTGTTTGGTCTTGGAAAGATTCGGAGTTTGGGAGTAAAGTACCTTGTCGTTATTGCGACTGCATCTTGGGTATTGTACACATTCTTATTTCTCTTTCCCTATTTTTACGCGCACCATCAACAAACTCGCAAAAACCTCATCGTCATCATAGTAAGAGCCGCCGGGTATGAAACAAGGCACCCCCACAGCCTCCACGGCAACGGCCGCGGAATTACAGCGGTATAATAACCCAGCAAAGAAAAAAAGTTACAGTACTATCCCATCCTATCCCATCACCAACCCCATCCCACTTTCAGCAAGTCTCCACAGTCCCGATTCACAACTCCTTGTCCACCCCGCAATATGGATGCGGGAATCATTACAGAGGTATTGCGTAGAAGGGATTGATTTAGCCTCACCTTGCCCTTCCTTGCCTGCCCGACAGCCCCGGTTGCATTGCCCATGACTCCATGTCGAAAGCTGCAGCACCGCAGCGGGGGGGGGGCTGATGATCCAATTCCCCACGCAGAAAAGTAAAAAGCTCCGCGCTGCAGGGAATCCAGCGCTGTAGCCGCGGGATGTACCAGGCGGAGCATTGCGGGTAAGGTACCTAGGTAGGCATGTAAGAACCCATATGCTTGTACTTTCTCGTGTTTCGTCGTCAGCATTGATAAGTTTTTTTGTCTGACGTCGGAAGTTTGGCGATGAACGGGGTATATTCGATCTTCGTCATCTATATCCACGTATTTTGCTTCAATGACGTTGGGCTGCGCTGCTACGCGCGATCGAAATCGATGGGTTGGCAAGGGAGGGGTAGAGGTGAAAAAAAAAGTGGTGAGACATCGGTCCGTGGGGGCTGTAAGAAGGCCCGTATGTATGAAAATATTCCGGATGATGGTAACAGGATTTTCCTTGTGATACTTGGTGGTGAGGTTTTCAAGATGGCGAAATTGCAGGAGTTTGTCTGTCGTCTTGGTGCGCTCTATTCCTGACTTACTTGGAATTGTGATCTTCTCTCTTCATCGTCGGTTAAGTTTACTAGACGAGCCTGAATGCCCGTGCTGGTCAATGCTTGCATTCCGCGAGTGAACATCAGGAGACATTGAGGTGTTATCAAGGAGACATATATCCAGTAGCTCCGAAGTCCACATGTTGCTTGTAGATAATGCAATGAATCTCTCCTATGGCGTGGTATTGTCCTCTGCTCATTCTCTCCCTGGATACCCTAGGCTTGTAGACTAGGAAGCACTCATTGAGAGAATAGTATGCTTCTTTTGAATCCCCTAGTTGTTGGAACCTTGGATTAATACTACAGTTTACCTGATATGCAGCTGGAAAAGGTGCAAAGGATATTCAAATCATCACTGTAGGCGCAAATAGAGTGTAACACTTACCCCTGGCTTACTTCTGCTTCGTGATTATGCAAAAACAAGCCCAGCGGTTCTTTGTTTCGCTCAGATACCTTGTATTCCCCGAGATGATCTCATTATGCTCCTGGGCCGCCGTGAACCTTTCGTAATAGTGGCAAAAGCGTTTGGTAGAACATCCACACGAAAGCGATAGTATTCCGAGCAATCCTAGTATTTTTCCATCTTCTTGAGACCAGCAATCTTATTTCCGATCAAACTGATTTGAAGATCTTGCTGTACGAGAAGATGTGGTGTCTTTGTCATTGTGGTGTGGTCCGAATTCTCTTGCAATATTTCAGGTAGGTCCAATACCGAAGCCCGTATGGACACTTTTCTTGAGAATTAGAGTACATCATAGAGTTCCCTTGGAGATAGTATTTTAGTTATGTGCAGTTGAATTGCGAGAAATGTGGGGTAGCTAAGTGCACCTAACATGCATGTCGGTCCATGCAAAGTAAAGTCTCGCAAGTCCACTTCTCAGCGCATCTCTAGAAAATTTGTAGAAGTGAAGAGCATAGAAATGTAACAATTGCCCCTGTAGGGTCCATTCTTTTCTAGAGACCCACCTCTTAGTGCAATGTCTCCTACGTGTTGTTGTGGCAATTCAGGTAGATGGAACGATAGATACTCTAGGCTTTCGGGGATGGTTGATGTATTTATGAGAAATCTCGCCAAACTGACTGACATGCGGGTCTTGCAGTCGGATAGTCGCACTAACCCTTCTGCACATAGAGCTATGGTCTTGAATGTCGACAAGTTCCGTAATCGAACGTTTCTTTTTAGCTGAGATGCACCGATAGATTGCAACACGACAAAATTCGAGGTTAGTTTGACATGCGTAGAGGAAGGGCTGTCGACGGTGTGGTTGTTGTTCAGGCGGTTGAGTAGGAGCTAGTCTGTCTCCGGAGAGTGGTGTTCGTTCTCGGCCCCTCCTTCACCACGTCACAAGCCATCTCACACCGATAGTGGCTATTATTGTCGTCATCATATGTCGGATCCAAGCCTTGGCTTCTGCTTTCTCTACGTCGTAGCTGCTGTGCAGCCACGTTACTTGCTAACCACGACATGTCTGCCTCCAATCCATTCACAAAGAAAGCTCTAGCCTGTCTGCGAGACATACCTACCCTACCTCGGTACCCCACTCACACACCCCAGAACTGTGCGCGCCGCGCCGTCCCGCATACCCACACGATCGTTCAAGATATCCCGCTCAGAGCTAGACGTCTGCCTTAGGTAGTCTATGCACATTGCTTCTTCTACAGCCCAACAGCGGCAGTAGACATAGTCGAACAGAGCTAGTTGGCAATGACATCCCCCATCATGTCTCCTTATGGTATACATACGGTGCAGACCACGAAGAGATTATCCTAACAAGTCGGAGATACAGGAAATGAAGGGGTTCGTCGTGCGCATCGAGATGTCTCTTCCGCAGTACCACGGTACCAATCCTTGGCGTACGCAACTGGATCCCCATCAATTACATGACTTTGATGACATCTCTACCGAGCTTGTTTGAAGTTGCTTTTCTCATCCTAATAGTAACTCACCGATCAGTCCTACAAGGAGAGGATTGGTTGTCAGCCTGCCAATGAACGTTATGTACCTTCGAAATGCTCCAAGAGATATAGGAACACACACTCCACCACTCCTCCTCTGTGCGATGACTTGGTGCATTGACTGCGGGGGATGCTAGATGAAGTTTGCTGCGGACATGCACCATCCGCAACCATCGTGACAGTTTAGTAGCGTGCTTCCCCACATGATGATCGTACAAGACGTCTAGGCCTCAGTGAGCAAACTATTAATGTTGTTGGCACCATGCGGAGCAAAGTCCGTCGATGGCCAAGATATGTATCGGAATTCAGACAGGGACAGCAGCCGCCACTTTTGCCCATCATGAGCTGTTTAGGTTTAGTAACTTCTTTTGAGCTCAACTCTTACTCACTTTGTGTGACCCTCTTACGTCAAAGAGCAGGTTTATTTGCCCGATGTTATGCTGTAACTCACTGAGTCATCCCTACTCGAAGGATGAGGGGGGAAGCTCGAGACCATGCTTACGCTCCCATAAAACTATATATAAAGTCCTCTCTAACCCCTTCTCAAAGCCATCACTCAATACAAAATCTTCCACATTACAATCAAAATCCGAGTCCCTCTTCTTCCAAGATCCACTCCCAAACTCTTTTACAATGTCCGACTACTCCGGCCCCGGCCTTTACGAAATCATCCCCCAACATGCTCAGAAAATGAGCGTCAATGTCTGGGGCGGCGCAACAACCGCCGGCACCGAGGTCAAGCTATAGTACGTTGTTACTTCAAGCAGCCACAACAACTCTGACCGACCGACTGACGGCTTCCAGTGACCGAACCCCCACTGCCAAAAACACACACTTTGAAATTGTGGCAGCAGGAGGCACTTCCGCAAAACCAGAGATTGGAGACCGTGAATACCACATCATCGCGGGCAACTCTGGGCTCTACCTTGCATGCGACGGTAAGTATCATCTAGTTTTGTTTCTCCATCGCATTGCTTCACTCGACCCCTATCTGAGATGGAATGCCTCCCCTATGCATCACACGCTTGCTCTACTGACACGTCCATGTACGAAGATGCCGACAAAATCACAGTGCAGCTTCGCGCCCCTCTCGACGCCAGTATCCGCTGGAAGCTAGCCCACGTTGGAAACGGAGCTTTCTGGTAAGCCCACCAACACGGCTTTTCTTTTTGGTCCATGTACAAGCGAGGCTAACCACGTGTGCCCTCTTAGCATCAACAGTGTCAATGGCAAGAAACAGCTCAATGTTCGTGGCGCGGGCAAGGAGAATGGAACTGAGATGATCATGTACGATATGTCGCCCAAGAGTGAGAATGCGCAGTTCATTCTCAAGGCTGTTGTTTGAGAGAAGACATGGAGAAGAAGACGCCATGCTATATGGTATGGACTGTGTTGAAGGGAGTTTAGAACATGTACTGTAGTCTAAGTTCCTTTGGTAGTCCAACTCACTATCACATGCTCAACTTGCTCATCTTACTTTGGGATTCAGACAGCCTTGGAGCTTGACTCTATTTCCTTTGTGTCTCATCATATGGTTCCTCATCTCACAAACCAAGTCATCACCATCATTGTCACCAGAAAGAACAGATTTTTAACCAGACTCGCAATTCATTCGAAACTATTTACTAAAGGACTTCCCATCCAAAGCGTACCAACTAATTACAAACCATCCCTCTCAAACAGAAGCCTTCAATAGAAGGGATTCCACCTAAAAGTTCAAGTTACATTTGTATACAAAAAGGAGCGGCATCGACCATCCGGTAAAGGTGCCCGAGCTCACTTCATTCTCATACTCGACGTCATACTAGAAACATCGACTTTCCAATTTCCTCCGAGGTGAATTGCCCAGCAACCACAACAGCAAATAAATATGTAAAATATCCTGTACAAACAAATAATTATTGACAACATCCCTTGTAGTGAATCAAGAATGCATCGTTTTTCGTCATCCGTTGCAGCGAGGTCTCGGGAGGGAGTTGGAGTCGAAAGCAGTAAAGTAACTGCTTACTCGTCGCAAGCAGGCTTTCCGAGGATACCGCGGGCAAAGTGACGCTTGCGGAGGTTGTACTCGACCGCGCGCTTCTTGGCAGCAGTGCTCTGGGTGAACGCCGCGGATCCACCAAAGGGACCGGCGAGAGCGGCGTTCTGCATGCGGACGACGCAGACGTTGGTGGCACCACCTGCGGTACCCGAGCAGGTCATACCAGCGGGCATCTGGACCTTGACGGGGAAGTCCATGGTGGAGGCAGCAGAGAGACCTCCGATACCGATACCGGGGACGTTCTGGGTGACGGTCGCGGCCTGGAAAGCAGCAGGGTCGGTACCAGCAGATGTGGGGTCGATCATGGCGGTCAGGGGACCGGCACCGTCCTGGTTGACCTGGTGGAAGGTCATGGTGATGGTACCGTCGTCGGCGGTGGTAGGAAGACCAGATGCGGCACCCGCACCAGCGGCGGCGGCGACACCAGCCTCGGTGGTACCCTTGGGGGTCTTGGTACCGGCAGCAGCACCGCCAGCACCGCCCTTGGCAGCAGTTCCTCCGGTCAGAGCATCGAGAAGACCACGCTTGTTGGCAGCAGCTCCCTTGCCTCCCTTGGCAGCACCAGCGATAGCTGCGGCAATGCCACCAGCACCACCAGCCTTAGCGGCACCAGCACCAGCGGCACCAGCAGCACCAGCGCCAGCGGCACCAGCAGCACCAGCACCAGCGGCACCAGCAGCAGGAGCAGCGGCACCAGCGGCACCACCCATGAAGGTAGCGATGGCGGAGGCAGCGTTGACGGGTCCGTTGGCAGTACGTCCGAGAGCGGAAGCCTTGCCACCCATCTCCTTGGCACGGATGATGGATGTGTCGGCCTCAGCACCGGAGAGAGGAGAAGGAGAGTCACGGGGAGTGCCGTCCGCAACGGAAAGACCGGGCATGTTGACACCGTTGGCACCCTGGACCTGAGTAATGACACCGTGGGCCTGGACGGAAGCTGACAGAGCAGCGATGAAGACGATAGAGTAACGCATCTTGATGTGTAGGGGTAGGATTAAGTACGAGGAAGATTTGATATTAGAGTATCGAAAAAAGTGTGATGTCGAAGAAAACAGAAAGCGATGTACGAGTAAATTGCGAGTATAGAACAAAGCAAGCGACCGGCGCAAGTAATAGTAATTAGAAGGGAAGGGAAGTAGAAGAAAGCGAGTCTGGTTGGTTTGATGGTGATATCGACTCTAGGTGGATGGGCAGGACGTCTTATATACAGTCTCTGGTGGCAGTCAAGGTCGGGAAGCTAATGCTTAGCTACACCAAGCATTTCGAGGTGCACGCTAGTTTCCCATGTTCCAAGACGCCTAGCAGGCCGCGGCCCCTCGTCGCCGTGCCTAAACATGACGAGAAGGATGGAACGAGGCAGTGATACCGAGGCACAGACGAGAAACGGAGAGCTGAGACGTTGCTGGTCAAACGATGCTCATGGTTACTTCACTTTTGGTTGGTTGCGCTAGGATGTCGGCTACGGGAAGATCATCTCCAGAAGTTTGGTTCAAGATCTTCTGGCGCCAAGCCCGTAGAATTCATCGGAACATCCATGATGCGGTGCGGGTTGGTGCACTTGATGTTTGGCATCTGGAAGGGATGGTCCGTAGCCCTGTATCAGGAATCGAAGTTTGTTCCAAACTTAGCGATTCAAACAATTCTGGAGACATGTCGTCCCGCTTCTCCCACAGATGCTCGCCTTGCTGACCTGCGAACGTGGCCTACGAATGTGGCCTTCCAGCTTCTGTTGTCTTTGTCAACACGTGTCGTACCACGATATCGAAAGGGTCCACGCATTCACCGGCGACCTTTCACCGCTCTGTAGTGTACCCGGTTAGCAATGAAGCCGTCTGGAGTAGAAGATCGGTGGTTGTTTCAGCCAGAGGTGGGGATTGAAACTCTAAAGTTTGGGATGTGCCGTGGATTGGCGCGTTACTTCTCTCCAGCACCGACTATTCCCGAAACCATCATAGATTGCCACCCCGCCGCTGCAGTCGCACTGCAATAGTAAACAAGGTTGGTAAGGGCGTCTCCAAGGACTTCGTCGGTGAGATGGTGCAGTACGCGCATGATCTGGGTCCAAGTCGCTGTTCTATCGCTTCACAGCGTTTCCCTATACCAGCCCGGCTCTGCTCATGATGGCCGTGATAGCGACGCGCTCGTCTTCTTCTCACTGCAGTCACATATCAACCGTGACAGTTGCAATCCCGCACAATGCCGTGACAGCTCCATTGGGAAGTGAGTGTTGCAGGTCCCGATTAGTCGCCCATGTCGTCCATCATCACTATCAACACCACGAAACACCCGAGGCAGAACATACGATTCAGCGCATCAATGCAGATTGTTTTCCTGGGGTCCAATGCCGTACAGCCACACGCACCTGCGTCATCTTCATGCAACGGATCCGATCCTCCACTCCACATATGGGGGACATAATATACTGGACAGTGTGAATAGATACCAGATAGGTGTGCCTGGCGCTGCAATGGCCTTTGTACCCTATGTCACCCAGGCGGCCACAGTATTATCTTAGCATCAGTACCGACTTGTTGATCTTCTAGATGAACACATCAATTTTTCCCACCCAGGTCCGAAAATCCCTGACCTCTCTGATCCACACGTACCGCACACAAATCTCCTGGAGCTCGAAGATCAGCGGTGTCGGCTCCAACAAGCCCTTGGTGATCGAGTTCTTCATGAACAGTAGTAGCAATTTAACAGCGCGACTCTGCGGCTCTTTGCCATATTCGACGATAGCAGCGCCATTGGAAGCCCCACCGACTGGCAAATTCTGCTCGGACGTGGGTGGAGGTGCCCCCATCTTCTCGATGAGTCGCAATGCGTGCTGTATGTATTGGAGTATGACAGGCGGACCGTCAATGCCAAGCTCTTCGAAGGTACGATCGGTGAGGAGTTTCGTGAGGAAATCGAGCGTCGATAGATCAAGCGGGAGATGTGACAGTTCTTGTACAGCGGCATTGGGATCTTCCTTGAGCTTGCGAAGCATAACATCCTCCCATCGCTGTGGATCACTGCCCTCCTGTGTCTTCGATTTGCTCAACGCTCCTGTTTCTGGAGCTTGTACCATGCCATCGGGCAGCCTATCCCAGATTTCTGTTTCTACGAGCATTTGCATGTACGGCAGGAGGTCGAATTCCGGGAGGATAAATTTATCCCGAGCACTTTTCTCGTATGCAGAACGTACTGGCTCGGCAGAAGGCAGCGGCGTGTCCTTCAGCAGCGCCATGATGTATCCAGCTCGAGTTACCAGTATCTCCCTCGTAGTGATGGTGTCGTTCGTGTCGCTAGTAGTGATGGCAATGTGTTGATGATGGGCAAGTTCCTTCTGCGTGCTCATAAGGGTCTCTACCCAGTGGCTCAAGTAAGGCTTGAACCTCAGAGGCGTCTCCTCGTGCGTTCGCCAGAGCTTGTACTCGCAGTTTAGGATAGCTGTGAGCAGTTGCTGGGTTGGCATGGTCTTGGCCAGCACTTCGTACGTGTCAAGCGAGTTCTTGACTCTCAGAGATTCCTCAAATGCATCTGCTGCGCCGCGTGTGGTTTTCGTAATGTGTTCTAGGTCGCGGATCGCGTCGTCGTACGGCTTCATCGAGTCCATGAGCGCGTCGAGTTCGTCTGGCTCCAGAGTGGCGGTAAGGTAGCTCATATTGGGCGGTATTTATATCGTGCCTTGCGCATCAAGGGATAGTAATGTCGGGAGTGAGACGTTGTAGACTGCGAGGAATACATAGGGTCGAGTTGGGTGAGGTGTCACGGTTGTGAGTGCTGTTGCCGAACGCGTAAACCTTGGAAAGAACGGAGGGCCTTGCCAAGCTTCTCATCGCGCCTTGCTGTCAAATGACCATCCAAGGACGACATTCGATATGCGTGTAATATGCCATGAACGATTGAGTTTTTCTTCAATTTAGGGCTGTGGTGCGTGCGCTGACGCATTCGCCTGATAATTCAGGCTCCGAGATATGTGCGCTGGCTTGGGCTCCATCTAACTCTCCCACCTGGGCTCATGGAGTAAGCGTGCACCACACTAAAACCTCAGCGTCGGTATGCCACCTCTCACCACCACGTTCATGGTATGTGAAGTAGTCGTGTTTGTCAAGAGAAGTGGCACATGCTTCAATCTGCTATTATAATTCCAGGTAGCCTGATATTACACATAGTCACAGCAAATCAATCAATAACACAGTTGTGAAATGAATCCATTAAATTTCTCATTATGCTACGCTTATGGAATGCGCCAGGGTACTCCCAAGCATGCCAAAAAGTGTCCTAAAAAAACTCAAGGACGCCGTAACATAAAGCCAGTCATGATATGTAAAATTAGCCAAGCCAAAGGTCCCATCATCCGTTATCCGACCGGGAGGTCCGGAATTGCCGGATGAATCCCTTGCTAAACAAAACCGAGCTCGGTAGATATCAATAGCTCGCGGCGGGTGTCAAGTGGTGGTGGGAGCTTTGGCGTTGGCGAACAAAGATAAGAGATGGGTATCGTGGGTTGACGTGGTCGTCATGCCGTCGTCATCGCGGCTCCGTCGTACATGTCTGAACGCCTCCGCTAATACTTGAGTATAATGTACAAGGCGTGGACGATACCCTAGACAAAACTGTTAGTGACGTGCTGATAGGCATGGGCGGCTATGCGGAACTCACCGGAATGTAGGCCAGGATGGTCAACAGGATGTTGATGAGGAGATCCGCTCCACAGCCACGCTCGAGGAAGACACCTAGAGGTGGGAGGACGATGGCAAGAATGATCTTGCAGATGTCGCTGCCAGATTGTTAGCATCAAAGTTTGCTAGCAAGGGCACTCGCAAATATCGACTTACCTTGCGGTGAAAGGCATGTTGAATGTGTTGGTGGTTTCTTAATGTAAGAAGGGTTCTGGGTGTATTGGAGTATACGGGTACTTGTAGTGTGCTGTAGTAGACTTTGGTGGAGTGATGATGTTAGGCAAGCAGCGGGTGCCAGCGTAGCATTTATTGAGGTGAGGGCAACTCATGACCACACACATATGACGTATCCTGCGGACAGGGAACATGATTTGATGCCGCGTACCCGCCGCTTGATTTTCGCAGCCACAGCATGTGGCGTTACGATCTGTTAATTCCGATCAAAACCAAGTTAACTGGCCCAATTTCCAAGCGAAGTAGCGTTCGTTGGGTTGGCTTGTCATGACGCGTGACGTCTTCCAAGCGCCAACAACGGTTCTTTGTCACTGAGCGCATAGTCAGTGTCACAAAGGCTCGCCAGCAACCAACTTTCCACTTCCCTTGGCCGGATATCCGCACAACTCGGCATGGAAGAAAACCTGCTCCGCATAACCGCTCACAATTCTCAATCGCCAAGCTGCAAACGGCCTTGTGGTTTCTTTCACCTCGGCATCCGGAGTCCGGATGGTGATGAGTTGTCCAGGCCATGCACCAGCCACACAGCTTCGCAAGCTCCACTCAGTCGCCATACGCATCACCGAACGCCAAGTATGATGTCAAGCCGCAATGTGTGGCACACGCATCTCTTAATGGCTAGGCGTGGCTTGACCCTGGAGAGATTGGCAGATCCAGAACGAATCCTTTAACCGGTTGCGCGGCTTCCAAGCTGTTGACGTGATGGCATGAGGCTGTGACACTGCACTTGATGCTCAATTTTTTCACATCTTCGTAAAATTCTATCGCCGATGCGCAGCGCAATCGTGCTGCTGCGCCTGCGATGCGGATCGCCGCCGGCGTATCTTGGCAGTCTACTGAGCATCACCTGTTCAAGCAAAGTGCGCTCATGAGACCTCGAGAGGCGTATTTTGGACTTGGTCCAGATGAAAAATGTTAACAACCTGGTATTGACTCTGCTACAACGATAGCTTTGAGGTGCGTAACGGAGTTTGTCTGTGGCGTGATACTTGCACCTCAAATATCATTTCTGCATCGACTACATTATGTACTTCGAAGTTTTTCGTGAAAAATTTGATTCATCCAACTTGATAATTTACCCCGAAACTCATACGATCGAGCGCAGAGAAAAGATGGATAGCGGTGTAGAGTTGTACACGTAAGATAACTATATAATCCATGAGGAGAGACAGAAGGGTCAAATGACCAAATGCTTACATACTGCCTAGGTGACTCTCCAACAACTCAATGTTCATGTCCGAGTGCAGATTGCGGGCTACGCCGATGAGTACAACATAAGCATGTATTGACGAAACCATATCTGCCCTATAGACAACCACAAATACAACGGCAGAATGAGTCCAAAACACATGTAGTAAGCTCTACTGCACAAAATACAGGCGGAAAGATACTTCTTAGAAGAAGAAAACAGGGTATATCATTCCAAGGTATCATCCACACTGATCAATCATCACCACCCTCCTCGTGCCCAAGACACTCAAGTCCAAGAAGCCCCCTAAGTCCTGTCCGCCTCAGCTTGCTTCTGCAAATCAACCTCCACCCCCCTCTGCCTCGCCTTGCCCTCATCATGCTGCTTCTCCGCCTCCGCCTTCTGCGCCGCATTTCCCGTCAGACCCGCAACAGCACCCCCAATCGTACCTCCCACACGATCCGCAACACCTTTGCCTAGATCATTCACCTGGCCTGCAGCCTCCTGGCCCTTACCCTCCTTGTTCTGCTGGATACCTTCTTGCTTGAGGCCCTCTGCGCCGACGAAACCGCCGACGGCTTCTTTGGCAGCACCGACGTTTTGGTTCCAGGAGCCCGCGCTGCGGTCTGGGTCGTCTTTTGCGACACCGCCTGAGGGGGTCACGGAGAAGGGACCGGCTTTGGCAGCGGAGTGGGAGAGGTCATGTTCGGCGGCGGCGGTTTCCTTGCGGTTTTCGCCTTGGGCCTGGAGAGTGTTAGGGGAGGCTCTGTGTCTTCTGCTCATGTGGGGAAATGGGAGAGAAACGTACCTTGTCGGCGGTGCTGCCGGTGATGGAACCAAGTGCGCTTTGTACGGCGCCCTTGGCCTGGTCTAGGTAGGACTGAGGAGTGGAAGTTGGGTCGTTGGACATGGTTGCGGTTTGGCAAAGTGTTGTCTTTAAAGTGTAGGAGTATGCGAATGTAGGCTTTGTAGATGTGTAAGTGTAGTAGGCGATTTCAAAGTGATACTGATATATGCAGCTGTAGCGGCGCTTTATATTTATATCCCCTGTTGTTCATTGAAGAGTACGTATTGCACAGACCTGCATCTGGAATATGACGTCACAGCACCCCGCGACGCGACGCAACCCACCATGTTTGCCCTGCAGCAAGGCAGCCGCACGAAGATCTGACGCGGTGGCGTCAGGCATGTGAGAAGTTACCGTGGCACCGTGATGAAGAAAGGAAAAGTCTGGATTTGTTCCATGGGGCTCGCGGCCGCATGTGAAACTTCCAGCAGGGTCTTCAAGGTATGCGGGTGGGTTGCATGCAGATCAACGGGCATTTGCGACAGCACATGTACAATGATGCAATGTCTCCATGAAATTTTCTATAATCTTTTAGGAGAAAGATGTCGATGCCTTGAATCGATCCGTATCACCGAGCCTAAAGGGCTAGTGGTATTCTTCACAGCTCAGCTGCAGTAGGGGTATGTTCGCCAATTCCCAAGGTCTCAAAACGCCAGAGTAGAATGCATTCTTCAAACACCATGTCATACAAATCACCAGTGACAGATACCTCCCTCGCTATCGTCGACACTCCAGGTACCGGCAAGCCCGACAATCTCAACTCCGCCGTTGAAACCAGCTGAGACTTTGCCGGGTCTTGCGACTCCATCGTCGACGCCTAGGAATGCGCCAAACTCTGCAGGTCCGTTGTTGAGCAGGCGCTTCGCCCAGGCATCGATGGCAGGCTCACCAGTCTCATCGCGAGCCTGCTTGAGAAAAGGAATTAAAGCCGTGCCACCTGTACCACGAAGCTTCTTGCTACCAGAGCGAGCCATTGTATTGGCAAGGTTGACGCGCTGAGTGGAGGCTTGCTTGGACGACAATGAACTTGAATTGGATCGTGTCTCTCGCGACTTGATGATGATGTAGCGCGAGACAAGCTGAATGTGCTTGTCGCGAAGAGTACGCAGCATGGCTAGGCATGCATCGTAGGCCGTAGTCAGAGCGCGGTTGTTCCGGTTTGACGTAACGTACTCCCGGATATTGGCGATGCTCTCCATGTGTTCGAGGAATCTACGGTGAGGTCCCGGCATGTAATTGCGCATGTCCTGGATAAATCCGTGAGACGGCCCAGACAGTGCCGGATTCTCCACATCTGTTCGCTTCTCACCGGTAGGTCGATGCTCAACTCCCAGGACGACGTCAAAGAATTGGATGATGGAGCTCTGTGCGTTACTGCCACCACTGAACTGCACGTAGGGCTGTTGGCCAGTGCCGTCGTCAAACATGACTCCGTTTGGAAGACCAGCGTCGGCCATGTTCTTACTTCCAGCAAGAAAAGGGCGGATACGGTGATAGAACACGTGTGGATCGCAGCTCTCGTACATGCGCTCTAGGAGGGTGCCTATCTCATCTAATCGCTCCGCGAATGATCGCAGGCACTGCACGACCATGTTGCTATCGTTTCGACGAGCAGCCGCAATCGCTTCGATCATCATCGGAATGACTGGTCCGGCTCGTGCCTCAATTGCTACAGACACCAAATAGAACCATGACTCGTCCATGGAACCAGTAAATGTCATCTGTGTCGCAAGGTTGCCCAGAGTGTCCGTAGGCTCCCCCTGGAAAAGGGGTCGCCAGTTCCACAAGCATACCGCAGCAAACGTAGCGACAGGCGGGAGCTCGAGATGCTTGCATGTCTCGAGAAATGGAATTGAGATGGACGGTGGGACAATCTGCATGGAGTGGTTAGCTATGCATCGCTTTGGGACATGTGGGTACTCTAGGCTTACATCGGCGGGCCTGTCACCTCCCCAAATGTATGCGTGTGCAATGAAGCCCAGGATCGAGTAAGCTCGTCGCCATTCGGCTTCTGTGAGGAGAAGGTCGGTGTCCAGCACAGGCAGTGTGTCAACCATCCGGCGCAGTCGCTTGGCAAGTATCAAGTTTTGGAAATTGCTAACAATAGTTTCCCATGGCTGGTAGTATCGGTCTGGCAGGATATCGAGAGGTACTTCGTCAGGCAGGAAGCCATTCTTGGCCGACACATCGTAGTCGCTCAGTTGGGGGAGAGTAGGAAGCATTGTGGTGGTGGAGTGGCGAAGAAATTGGGGGTATATTTCAAGGTGAGAGACAGAGAGAATGCGCCTATAGGAAAATAAATGGCCCGAGATGTCCAAGTAGCCGGTAAATGGTCAGGTTGGTGGTACGCTAGGGAAGTGTCGCGTGAGAAGTCGGAGTCGGAGGTTGGGCGCACGTTGACAAAGGACAAGACTAGAGGAAGTTGCCACCGAGCTGTTACCCCAGATGGAATCAAAGTTTGGCAGGAACCAGACTTGAGAATGGTTGGGAGAGACGACTAGTTATGTATGTGGTTGCGTGTGGGCGAAAGGAAATCTAGCCTAGTCGGTGGTGGTTTCGGGTGTGGGACCTAGACTGTGGTTCTGAGGTGTCAACCTAGGAAAAGAGTAATCCTTGCGGAGATGCTGGAAGCAGCCTAAGAGGCAGTTGACTCAGCTAGTCGCAACTGGAACACGAAAAGTAGCAAGACAGTCAACGAGTGGCGTGAGAACAAGCACGAGTCTATATAGTCCTGTCGGCCGCGCTTGCGAGCCGTGGAGGTGGTGGGAAGGAAGGAGGCCGAAACGCGCAGTGCTCAGTGAGTGCGTATGTGAAATCTTTGCTCCGAAGTCTCCGCTCCACCGAGTTCGTGGGCGTTACCATGGGTCACATTAGCAATCAATTCACTCATGGGATCGATGATTCTACTATGGCGGAGGTAGCGCGCCTGGCCGACGGGCTACTAGGCGCTAACCCCCTTCCCACGCTAGAAGCAGAGAGCCCTGCAGAACGGCTCGAAGCCGAAATCGGTGTTTCGCCGTTGGCCAAGCAAGGATACGGTTAAACCCGCAAATGAGGACAGCGACACAAAATGGACTTCTTCTGACGACCTCTTCTCGCCTCGTTTGATGAAGTCACGACAAAAGTGCCGAATTCGACGACGAAGATGCGTTCTGCAATCCTGCCCCGCATGGCTCACCCTATGCGCCTCCCTAGCTGCGCTACTGCAGTGGCAGGAAGCTAGACTGCCGATCAGGGACCGCATGTTCACCGGAGAAAACTATGTGGCCACATCCAAAATAGGTCATATGGTGTTTTAATGCCATGCTGGGTGCGATTGCAGTGTGTTGAGGCAATAGTAGGTACATACATGTCACCTAGCTGCGGCGTAGGCTGCATACCGTGTGGGCAATCCGCATCCACGTAGGCATGCAGATAGCGCACATGGAGATGGGCACAGCAAGCGTAACAGGATACATCACATCCTAGACATTTTGCGGTATTTACATGTGCAGTCGTCAATCTTTTGCAACATCTATCCATCTCACTACGACTGACCATCTCTCCAAGGCATGCGTTCAACGCCCCGGACCCACCTCCTCCTTCTCCATTCTCCCTTGCGACTTGGCTTGCTATCTTCCCAAGCCCGTCTGAGAACTTCTCTTTCCTGATCCCCAATGTCCTTACTGCCGCCTTTGGAGGAACCCCTTTTCTTCAACTTGGCTTTCTCGTCCGCAGTCTCAAGGACTTCATAATGCAAATCTGTAACCCATCTCTCGCCTTCGACTTCTACCTCCACACCCGTAACACAGCGGTCTTCGACCCATTCGCGGGATAGTAAATCTAGCGTCCACTTTTTGTCACTCCAGCGCCAACCCCGTGGCGGGAGAACATCCTCGAAGAAGGGCGTACCGCGGGGTCGATCGCCGGATATACGACTAGGTGAAAGTGGCGAGTAGGGCGAGGGGGAAAATATAAAGCCTTCATACTCGCCATCTTGATCGTGCAACGCACGATACTGCAGTTCAAAGATTTCAACTTCTCGGGTTTCTTGAGAGGTTTCGAGTTCGATGTCCGCACGTGAGATGGTAAGGAGAAAGGTTCGGCTTTGCTGTTCTGCTTCGGTAAGGAACTTTTCAGTCTCGGGTGTCGCAATAAGTTCTTGAATCGCTGGATGGCCGAGCGCAGTCATGATGTATCCGAGCACGAGTATGATAGCTCGCCAGGGAAGAAGGTGTGCGGTGATGAACAGCAATACGGAGACGACAAGCAGGATTAGATAAAGCATCGAAGAGAGGTTCTCGTTGCTGAAGTTTGTGAGAGGCGTAATGAAGCTCAAAACTGCGTCATGGCCGCGGCTAAAGTCTTCCATGCAATTCTGCAAGTCACGCATATTGCGGAAGAAGTCTTTGCTGAACTCGGGCGCGGGCTTGATCGTCTTCGCATCTGCCAGTGGTGGTCCGCTTAGACTTCCCCTCCATAGATCGGCGTCCACTTCCATTGGATTGCCTACAGGTTCAGGGTGTCTGGTAAGATAAGAGGGCACCATGACGAAAAACATGCCGCTAGCTAGTGGCAGCACAGGTAGCAGATACGGATTGATGCATATGAATGTCCAAACAAAGAGGAACGAAAGGGTTTGCGTAGGTTGTGCCCACGTGAAGAGGCGGATAAGTCTGTTCTGGAAGATGAAGGCTACACCAATACGGGAGTTGAAGCGACGAAAGTTGGAGGACATTGTGGGTATGCTGAAGCTGGGGCGCTCGACATAGGCTCGGGAGCGCCGGTCCTTGATGTGAGGAGTGGTTCCGCTGGGAGTAGGTGTGCCTGGGGACGAGTTGTCCGACAGGTCTTCAGAGGGGAGGACTTGTGCAAGTAGCCTAGGAGAATCAGCCCTGTTATGTCGACTTCCTTGCTCGGGTCCCGTGCGGTTGATAATAAAGAGACCGGTGAGGTGATTATCTTCTCTGACAGACATTTCTACAAACGGAGTACCTACATGTTCATCATCTTATCACCCATCCTGTTGCTAGAGTCGCCTTTGATGTTCTCCCCCAGGTGCTCCAGCTTGTGCTTGAGTTTGCTTGCGGACAAGCGACGCGACTTGCCCTTCGTCTCGGTGGGGGTGCCATCGTTTGACGCGTGCTGCACTTGTACTACTGGAATGGGTGCATCGCGGTTTGCGAATGATTCTGAGTTGTCGCCAGCCATGGTCGGAGGTTGATGCTGGCCTTCCTTCCCTGTGACGATGCTACGATGACGACAGTGACGTGCAGTTTGCTATACAGTCCCGTACTCTGGGCTAGCCTAGGTTGGCAGTGTATGGTACGTGGAGAAATATCACAACGAGCTCAAGGTGCCGGAGGGAGGTGCGTGACATGTGACTGGGTGGCGACTTCCTTCCAAGTTTGGTACTAGGCAGCTGGCAACCGGTATGTAAAGCTCCTTCGCATGCAGTTCTCGATGCCCGCCCTTGAAAGCTGCATGCAGAAGACCAGAGTTCGATGTCGACGTTTGGTGCAGCAGCCGTGGGCGCGGATGACGCACATGCTTCTGCCCGTGGCTTGCGCTGTGGCACGTTGCTCGTTCCGGGAGTTTCCCCACAGGGTCCGTGCTCGGTGGTGGTGGTGCGCAATAACGCGGATGATCAGGGACGCCCAATTCACGGGAGCTTGGTAGCTGTAGGTAGTGCCGCGCGGTTGATCTGGATCTGGATCTCAGCAGCTTACCATGACTCCGATTACGGATCCAGATCGGTGACCAGACGACTCGTGTGGAGTCGATGCGGCATTCCCGCTGTCATGTTTCGCAGTACTATGGGACCCGGGCTCTGAAGGTGTTGATAGCATGCAATGCACAAGGGAGGGTTCAGTCAGGGTTCGATTATGCACATGCTGAGAGCCGTGCCATGTGCGTGCAGGTAGTTGGCAGCTGATGGTTGCACTGCTCCGTGTGTACAGCCACCCGTCACTAGAGCGTGGCAGAGGCATGGGCGGGACAACGGGCCCTGTAGCCCTGCAAGTAGGCCTGATGTGGTTTGAGATGGACCATGCGTCGGTTTCCCAGGAGAGTTTGGTTGTTTTGATTTGGATGCCATCTTATTCAGTGCCAATGCCAAAGGGCAGAGATATGAACAGGGGCCCCGTCAACTAGACAACCCTAGTGCCTAGTGTGGCTTTTGCGAGGTGCCGACGCTCAATGTGACTTTGACCAACGTCTGCTATCGCCGCTGCGACCCCCTCGCCCCTTTGCTGCCATACAGCGCGGTGCTTTTTCTGCGCTGAACACCTTCACCCTTGGAAACTTCGGATATTCGCTCGCTCACCTCATTACCGGACCGCCGATCGTCTCTCACCGCTGCTGCCGGGCCCTTTGACAGATATGTCGGCATAGTGCCATCGGAGCCCAAGCGCGACGCTTGGAGACAGTCCCAGCGTTCTTGAAGGAGGAAGAAACAACCAGGGCTTGCTCGCCGTGCGCAGCAGAGTCCGTGTTGGTGGTGTTGACGCCGCACAGAGTGTGTGCTGACCATGTCAACGCAACCGCGAACGTCAATACGAGCCATGACACCCACAAACGTGCCCGAACGGTCAGGGTCCACCGTCTCAGAAGACTCTAGTGGCTCTTCAGGTACGAAAAAGCAGCCTGCCAGCTGGCCACGCGATGCCACGGTGATGCTAATGGCGCCTCTTGCAGAAGACCGAGTCCGCAAGTTCCAGAAGACGGGCGAGCAGGGCAACCGCCTGCGCAAGACGAGTGTCTCAAATGCCATAACGGCAGGTCGGCCGCTGCCCCCAATCAACCACAACGCGGCGGGACGCGGGAGGGCAAAGGTGCCGCTGGGCCCCCGCGAGCCGCGACAGGACTTCTCCAAGCAGAGGTAGGTAGTGATTGACATGACTGGGCGGTGAACTGACTCTCAAGCTCGAGAGAGCGAGAGCCATCTTGTCGCGTTGTATGTACAGTAGACTGGAGCTGACACGTGAATCCATCTAGAATGACGAGCGGTGCTAGCTTGGCTTCGGTCGAGGGCCGCTCCTTCCTGCCCACGCCCGCAAATGAGACGACCACGCGCCTGGCCCCCTCGAATCCACGCTTCAGCTTCTCCAAGCAGGAGCATCAGCATCAGCAGCAGCTTCATCATCAACACCAGCAGCAGCAGGGCCACGCTCACGGCCAGCTCGAGTCGACCAAAGAAGAAGAGCTGAGCGAGAGCTTCGGCTCGTACGACTTCCTGCCGTCGGTCAACTTTGACGACTTTGCTAACAGCCTGGCCTATGAGCCTGCTTTGAGCGACTTTCCCGTGCCCGGGACCTTCACCTCCAACGTGGCTGCCGGTAACGGCCAAGTGCAGATGCAGCCCTTCACAAGCAACCCCGTTGACCCGTACCCGACACGCACCAGCTCCTTCGCCCGCCGCTTCAGCCAGTCGACCGCGAGAAAGGTCAGCGGTGGATCAACCGCGTCTGGATCCGACACGTCTTCGATGCTGCCGCCGCCTTCCAACATGGCCATCCGGACACGCCGCCAGAGTCAATTTCCTGCCCAGGCACCGCCAAATCCAGCGGCGCGGCCACCTCGCAAGAGCGTTGGCCCTGGAATGCTGCCAACGAATAGCTTCGAGCGAGACATGGCCAACGACAACACCATGCCCCGCCTAACCCGCGCACCTTCCTTCACCAAGGGCGGCCGCCGCGAGACTCTCTCTGCAAACCTCAGCAGCACCACCACCGGAGTACCCAAGCTCCCTACCGCAACTCGAAACGCCAAAGCAAAATCGCTACAGCCCCCATCACGCCATCAGTCGGGCCACCTAACTGTCTCGTCGAATGCCCCTGATCTAAATCCCATGCCCAACAACGCCCGTTCGCCGGGTAGGTCTCCTGGCGCCCAGCCCTCATATACCCCTTCTTCGGCCAACAAGCGACAATCGGCTGCACCCCACATCTCTGGCCTGGGTGCAAGAACCATCAGCCCCACCGACGCCCGAAGGCTGCGAAGACTATCCATCAACCCTAATCATCCTCCCTCCGGCGGTCCTGTCGGGCCCCCCACGCCCCAAGCCGACGCCGCATTTGACGAGCGTGCATTCAGCCAGTCCCCGGCCATGGTACATGGCGGCAACATGACACCCTCGTCGGCGCGTGCAACCCCGGAGCAGAAGCGCAAATCGTATGCATCAGGAGTCTCGCTTTCGTCAAATTCAAGCTTGAACTCGCTGAAAGTGGGTCCGTCCTCAATACCTCTGCGTGTCAATCCCGCGCCCTCGGGCTCACGACTACCCGCACCCAAGCCGCGAAATGTGCAAAGCTCGGCCGGCGGGGAGCAGGAAGAAGTGCCTCCTGTGCCGGCCATCCCGAAGGCGTACGAGTCCCCCAAGGAGCCAGAGCGTGGCAGTTTCACGTTTACCACAGCCCCGTCGAAGATGAGCACACCCCAGCCGGCACCTCAAGAGTCCATGGCAACACCAGAGGCACAAAAACCCGACCCGAGACAGAACGAGACTTCGGACGGCAGTTTCTCGAACAGGAGCTCTGGGTCAATTAGGCACAGGCGAGGCTTGACAGTCGGGAATGGTCCAGAACAGGAGAGAACTCCTACAGTACAACAATCCAGCAAAAAGAACCTGCAGCCCATCAGACTGCCACCCCTCAACTTGCTGCCACTTGGCACACCGTTCAACAACAGGATGTCGTCTTTCCCAACACCGTCTGGTGAGCTAGAGGAGGGCGCTGTCACTCCGCCACCAAAGCGCGCTCTCAACAAGACACCGAGCACGCCCATGACAGCGTCAAAGGCGAATTTCTTTTCACGGCATACCAGCCATGATGAATACCACAAACACTTACGTAGCAGTAGTTCCGCATTCAATCTTCGTCAAACAGACTCTTCGCTCGACGCACACCCGAACATCGGCAATCTTCCAATTCCAACCTTGAACCCCACGCGACAAGCCACCACACCATTCTCATCGAATTCATTACCTAAAGGAAGCGGAGAGTTTGCTCGTTTGCAATCAAGACCCAGCGGCGAGTACAAGTCTTCTCTTAAGGATGTGGAGATGCAAAGCATGGTTGCTGGCCCGCGGCCATTACAGAAGACGCTCACTTCGGATTCGGCGCAGACTTCTACCTCTACAGAACAAGAACCGGAAACACCATCGTCTGGTTCGTCTCTGCGACGCAAACTCAGCTTGAGTGGCTGGAGACGAGCATCGTCGAAAGCAGCATCGCACCCAGCGCAAACTGCCCAAGTACGGAAGCCAGGTCCAAAGGCTGAGGAGGCAAGATCACAACAACAGCAGCCGCAGCAGCAGCCGCAGCAACAACAGCAAAACAAACAAAGTGGGATGCTACCACCACGGTTGCCTGCATCTGCAACTTGGAGCGGTGCCATCGATTCAACCCCCAGTCCTGCTACAAGTCGTACGCGGCCATCTCTTGATTTTGGGCGTCGCAAAGCCTCGACATCAGCAGTCGCAAGTGACACAGAAGTGGAAAAGAACAGTGCCCGCAAGCCGACTGGAAATGCGGGAATGCGAGTTGTGTCAGGACACGTGGACCAAGCCAACAATCAGCAAACTCAAAAATCTTCCTCTATTTTGACACCGATGCAGCGGATGTTGGGCACGAAGAGCTCGTCAAACATGCTAAAATCTCGCAACCTGGACCCCAATCTCGATCGAGACGATATGCTGGCAGACGAAGAGATGAAGAAGCTTGCATCGAAGCGAAAGGACTTTGAGCATGCAGCACGCGATGTGGACGAGCTTCGCAAACGCGCAACGGCCAAGGAGCGCGTCAGTCCAAGTGATGCTATGCGCATGGCTAATCTGAACATCTTCGAGAGAGGCGAAATCATCGACTACAAGGAAGTCTACTTCTGCGGGACAAAGAATGCGAAGAAGCACGTTGGCGATCTCAATGCCCAAACAGCCAACTTTGGCTACGACGACGAACGCGGTGATTACAACATTGTCTTGGGAGACCATCTAGCCTACAGATACGAAGTTGTTGATGTTTTGGGCAAGGGTAGTTTCGGACAGGTCGTTCGTTGTATTGATCACAAGACGGGAGGGCTTGAAGCGATCAAGATTATCCGTAACAAGAAGAGGTTCCATCAGCAAGCTCTGGTCGAAGTCAATATTCTCCAGAAGCTACGCGAATGGGTAAGTGGGCAATGTTCAGAGGCCTATATGATTGCTAACATGTTTCCAGGACCCCGATAACAAGCACAGCATGATCAACTTTACCCAAAGCTTTTACTTTAGAGGCCACCTCTGCATCTCCACCGAACTTCTTGGTATGAACTTGTACGAGTTTATCAAAGCGCACGAGTTCAAGGGCTTCTCGGTACGCCTGATCCGCCGTTTCTGCAAGCAAATGCTCGCTTCGCTCGTTCTTCTCAAGGCTCAAAAGGTTATTCATTGCGACTTGAAACCCGAGAACATCCTATTGGCTCACCCTCTACACTCGGAGATCAAAGTCATTGATTTTGGATCCAGCTGCTTTGAGACGGAGAAGGTTTACACTTACATTCAGTCGCGATTTTATCGATCCCCTGAAGTTATTTTGGGCATGAGCTATGGTTTGCCGATTGACATGTGGAGCTTAGGCTGCATCCTTGCGGAACTTCTCACTGGCTATCCTATTTTCCCTGGAGAGAACGAGCAAGAACAGCTTGCATGTATCATGGAAATCTTCGGTCCCCCCGAGAAGCACTTGATTGAGAAGAGTAGCAGGAAGAAGCTTTTCTTTGATTCACTTGGCAAGCCTAGAGTCACCGTTTCCTCCAAGGGCCGCAGACGCAGGCCTAGTTCGAAGACACTTCAGCAAGCTCTGAAGTGTGACGACGAAGCCTTCCTTGATTTCGTTGCGAGATGTTTGCGGTGGGATCCCGAACGGAGAATGAAGCCCGATGAGGCTATGCAACATGAGTTCATTACTGGGGTTCGCAAAACCAGCCAGCCACGACGGACATTCAATGGTTCCACAGGTGTCTCGTCACCTGCGAAGCGCGTACCCGCTGCGCCAACGTCACAACCCCGCGTTCGACCGCTTCCCGAGCCTCCGGCAACTAGCTTCAGAAATGCAACCGCTGCCAGCGGACAGCGGGAAGTGGCAACTAGCAACTCCCCTTCAAAGGGCAGCGCTCCGCAACGACGACATTCCAACGTCCAGGGAAACTTGGTCGGCACTAAGCGTGCTGCGAACGGGGCGCCGCTCAATACCGCAGGTGGGAGTGGCTTACCGCGAGTAGCACAACGCAGTGTGTCGGGCAAGCCAGACCTTGCTTCGGCTGCAGCGATTGCCAGTCTTGTAAGTCGAGAGGACCTGTACTAGTTCTAGTCGGTAGTTGCTAACAGTGTTGCAGAAATCGCGTTCTTAACCTTGGGAAACCGGAGATATACCCACTATAGATCAACGACTATCTCCGCAATTGCTGAGGCTTTCAAGTACATACTACAGGTGTCTTCACCTACTGTCGGGGTTGGTGCTGTTCTGGGCAGGTGCAGCAGATGTGGTTTGGAATGTTTATGTTTCTTCGTTCAGCTACGTTTATACCCCGAAAAAAGTCTCTACTTGAGCATATTTTCACTGGTGTATTTATGAGATTTTGGATAAGATGAAGGTTTGTGGGCTTTTCGACATGACTAGCATTCTCGGGCGTTGTAGCAGGATAGCTGTTCGCGTCCAGGTTCCTTTAATGTGATGGATGTTGGGTGGTTTGATCCTTTACTTGTGTTGGCAAGTTTCTTCACACACTCTCTCTACTGCATGTATGACGCGATGCTCCCACGCTTAGATGACCTTTATGTACTTTGCCGCTCCTTTGGGGAGCATTCACGAAGCCATGAATATTGAATAATTGCTTTTGTCTTTGTCTAGCTTCAGCGCCACTATAGTGGTGAGTAACGATTGGACTGAAGCTGGAATTTGTATGACCAGTTTAGGCCTGAGTATCAGCTGGAGTTTGAGGATATCGGTGGCAATCTACTTTCATGTTGCCGATTTCTGTTTCTACAGGAGATACATATACGCCTACTCGTGAAAGAGTAGAATTTGTGATGTCAGCGCGCTTATCGATAAGAAGCGCGAAATTGACGATGCCGGCATCAACTTTCGCACGGCTGCCTCGAGTTGACACTGTCCTTCTTTGATACCCAGTCTCTCTTTCTTTGATCTTTACTAAAATGCCGCGCGATCCTCTCATCGGCCTCGTGGGCAAGCCTTCGTCTGGAAAATCGACGACTTTGAACAGGTGCGTAATGCCCCCTCCCCCGCCCCTCCTTCAAAGGGCCCTTCTAAGATGGATACCACGACAGTTTAACAGATGCTACCTCTAAAGTCGGTCCGTAAACGCGCAACAGTTTGGGAAGCTATGTAGGCTGATCAGAAGTAGGTAACTTTCCGTAAGTCCTCCCTTGTCCATCACAATCCACCGGGAACATAGCCTGTCGCATGCCCTCCTTCGACCCCACGGCTTCGATTCACGCTCGCAGACTAGGGTCGTCTGATGCGATAACGGCAGATTTACCACAATCGACCCCCAACGCGCTATCGGGTACCTTCAAATTACGTGTCCCTGCGCGCGCCTCAACCTCGCCGACCGCTGCAAGCCCAACTACGGTTCCTGTGTCGAGGGACGGCGATCGGTGCCCATAGAACTACTCGATGTTGCCGGTCTTGTTCCTGGCGCACATATGGGCAAGGGGTTAGGTAATAGGTTTCTGGACGATTTGCGACATGCGGACGCGCTGGTACATGTGGTGGACGTGAGCGGGACTACGGACGCAGAGGGCAAGGCGACAAGAGGGTATGATCCAAGCCAAGATATTGTATGGCTGAGGAGCGAAATCGTGAGGTGGATACAAGGCAATTTGATGGAGAAATGGGGTAGTATCAAGAGACGACATGTCGCAGTCAAAGCGACAGCAGTAGAAACCCTCCAGAACCAATTCTCCGGTTACGGCTCCACGTCCAGCGTCGTCGCACGCTGTCTGGACCGCCTCGCCCTCAAAGAGCCCTTGCAAGACTGGTCCGACGAAACCATCGAGCGCGTCGTCAACGCCTTCACCGACGAAAAGTTCCCAACCGTCATCGCACTCAACAAAATCGACCATCCAGACGCAGACAAGAACATTGCGAAAATTGCAAAGATGCAGGATCCCAAAAGCATAGTCCTCTGCAGCGCTATATCCGAAGTTTTTCTCCGCAAACTAGCCAAGCAGGGCTTCGTCAAATACACCGAAGGCAGCGAATTCGTAGACACGCGCGAAGACCTCATCGAGCAAGGCGACCCCGACGGTGGCGGCCTAAAGGAACTAGACGAGAAACTCAAGACGCGGATTGAGAATCTTAAAGATATGGTTCTGTATCGCTTTGGTAGCACTGGCGTTGTTCAAGTGCTGTCACGGGCGGCGGAGCTACTTGGTCTGGTACCCGTTTTCCCCGTTAGGAATATCCACGCGTATACGAGTGGTTCGGCAAGTTCGACGGCCGTGTTTCGCGATTGCGTGCTGGTAAAGAAGGGGAGTACGGTGGGCGATGTTTATAGAAAGGTCATGGGTGATGCGCCGATGGCGTATGTGGAGACGGAGGGTGGGAGGAGGGTAGCGGAGGATGATGTTGTTGCTGTAGGGAAGAATGATGTGAGTGGTATATCCGATGGGGTTAGATGATCGAATTGTGATGCTAACGAATGGAACAGATATTGAGTTTCAAGGTGGGTAGGGCTTAGGGAGATGGCTTTGGCCTGGACTTGGGCTTGGACTTTGGTTTGTGGTGTAGATGCATGCTGGGTACATGGAAATAGGGCCTACTCTCTATACACGGCTTTCCGGGAAAAGCACGAGACTGGGGAGTGGTAGTTTTGCAGCTTTGTGTTTTCAAACAATGCATACATCGTTCAATCCATCTGCCACCTTCACAACTACTCTACCTCTTAAATACTACCTTTTTTCTGCCCCCCTTGGAACCAAAGGATTGCTCCTACACCAACCACCCGCCTCATCTTACTCTTTCTATCACCATCTCGCATACTTTTAAACGCTAACCGGCCTGTTTCTTCTCTGCCCATGTACTAATCTCGCCGGCCTTTCTATCTTTACTATCACCACTATGCCTTGCTACCCTGCGCATCTTGTAGTATGTCATATCCTGCCCCGTCCTGTCCCGACATGTACATACCCTCCCTGCGCATCGCAGCGTGACTTGTGTGTGGTGTGCGTGTACCTAGTAGGTGTAGCAGAAGACAGGATGGTGCAGTGCAAGCACGTCCCGCGATCTCCATGATAGGAGAAGTAGGATGGGAGCGATACATGAGTGATGTTGATGATTGTGGTGAGCGCGATGACGATGACGATGATGCTGGTGGTGGCAACGAAGAAAAGAAGCGGATCGCTGTATGGAGTGCTGCGAGAGAATGTGGTAGTGGGTATAGACGTACTTATGGACGCATGATGTGTAGTAAGAGAGCGACAAAGGTGGAGATGGTAACTTGCTCTTTTGATGAGAGTGGTGATGGTGTGGTAGCATATTGAATGCCGCCTTCTTGTGCTGTCACTGCTACAGTCGAAAAGATGATATGCAAGATGAGCGTGATCGTGGCTGCGGCTCTGGCATGTTCGGGGTAGGGCAGGAAGTGGGTAGACATGGCTTGGATATGAACTATGCACTTCTTCCTCAACCAATGACCAAGGCCATCGAGTCAATGAAAAAGATAGACCAGCTGCCGATACAGCCTATTGTATAAGATACGGGTATACACTCCCTAACATATGAGCGCGAGAGTTGCTCATGTTACTCGCAGGCTCTAGCGAGAGTGGTGTCACTGACTGCAGTTCCCGTTCGAGCCCCTTATCCATACGCGGTCGTACCCAGCAAGGGTCGCAAGATGGCGAACCATCCGTTGACCACCCCCAGAGACCTATGTGCGCAGTGGGAGGCCAGGGTCGATGAAACGAACATTTCCCGCAATAAGAAATGCCCGGCGACATCTGCTGGTCGCAACGACACTGTCGGATGCTTTCTCGGTGGCGCGCAAGCTAGTAAAGCAGCTGCGGACCGGTGGAGTCGAGAAGGACAAGCAAGCTGGCTAGGACACCAACGTTGCTCGCAGCATCCTGGCGGAAGAGCAAGGCAGGAGTGAGTAACGTCTTACCCACTATCCACCAAGTGAACTAGTCAGCGACTTCTGTTGAAGAAGCAATACCTCAACTCGCTCAAACCATACCCGGGTAACCGCGAGCGAGCGCAGTTTCCAGGTGGGAATAGGTAAGTGTTTGCTGAGGGCGCCAAGTCGTTCATTCTTCCAAAGAGTTCAATCAAATCCAGACCGCATAGGTATCACAAACGTGACCTCAGAGACCCGGTAACGGAATCCAACCATAATGTTACCGACAATAACTATCCGGGGGCTCTGGACCTGAAGGTGTGCCGTGGGAAAGAGAAAGCAGAGTGGCAGCGAGCGAGGGGTTATATACCCATAGGGACCTACCAATCACGGCGCTAATCTAGCGCCCACGTGATTATTGCCACCGGCAATACCCCGGGTGTGACGTTGGGGCTGCGAAGTGGAAGTGAAGGTGAAGGTGAGTCGGCGTAAAGTCGCGTTGAGGCACATGGACTTGCATGAGCAGTGACGTCCACTACAAATCATACCCGAGTAGCCAATCCTGAGGTTTAGCGAGAATTTCTGCGTGGAACATCAAGCAACCACTCGGCGCGAAACTGTTCGTGGACGTGGGGAGAGCCGAGCCTTAGCGACGGTAGATATTTAACTGGTGAGAAGCACTATGGTAGACTTCTAGCTGATATGTTACAACAAGCTCAGAAGGCTACTGCAATGCTAAGATTCATCAATCTGTAATAGACGACCCTCGCTAGATCCTCTCGACAGGTCGCAAGTTAGCAACTACATTCACTGTCTGCCAAGTGGGCGCATAGCTCATGTATCTTAGTTGTGCATATACCTCTTCGTTAACAACCAAAAAAAAGATACCCATATCCCTGACACCATCTTATACGTACTTGCAATGACTGTAATACTCGCTTCGCAAAAATGCACTAGGTTATCAATACCGTAAATGAAGCGACTGGAGCAAGAAATTGAGAACTTGAAGATTACCAAGCAGACTGAGAGCGAGTGCGCGGAGGTATCTGCCGAGAAGAAGAGGAGGAGGCACGATGAGACACCCAGATAAGTAAGATATGTATGAGTTTGAAGAATACATGCTAACTATTTGCGTAGGCCTACCTTCCCCGAAGACCGATTCTGAGATACATGGCTTCACGGAAGAGACGAGAAGAAATGCATAATACATGGAAGGATGGCAGGCATCAGAAAACGTGCCAGGAACTATGTATAGAACGAAGATCGTTTCCACCTCAGATCACACACTCATTTGACGACTCTTGTCCTTATCGCAAGCAGTGGAACCGCTGCTCAGCGTAGTGAGCCTGGATGCATCGCAGCACTCAGCATTGAGAAGTTGCTGGTGGGAGTTTGGTGCTCTCGATGCAAGATTCTGGTCATTGACCACGCCTGCCCACATGGCGGAGAGGGGGAGAAAGATGCAGACAACCGTGAGGACGTGAGCGACGATCTCAGGAAGAACATTCGTGAACTGAAGACTCGCGAAGATAGCTGGGGAACATATTAGTCAAGCCAAAGACTGTAGACAACGAATACATACCTGGAACGAGCATAGTCTGCAGACCCATGATGAAGACGATTTGCATCGGTCCAAACTGTGGCATGTTGAGCCTACGTCTCTGCAAGATGGCATGCCCCAGCTTGAAGGTGAAGACGCAGCTGAAGAGCCAGATGGCAACGACCTGTACGACGTACGAGGTCGATGTCAGGTTCTGAACGGAATCATTACCCTCGAAAGCCAATGTCAACTTGGTGTTGTAGTACACGGCAGCGGCTCTGAATCCGAACGCGACGCATGCCATGGTGGTAGTCACAGCCATGATGATCTTGCGATGCAGTGGCGGTGTCGTGACGCACACGATCCATACTTGAAGACTGAGCGAGATGAAGATCAGAGCGGTGACCAGGATTCCGAAGATATTGATAGTGATGTAGCTAGCAAAGTCGTATCCGGTGATGTGATCCCAACTCTGGCTCATGACCGAATAGGGATTGTTGAAGTTTCCGGTAATCCATGTGCAAAAGAGCAGACAGCGTATGCCGTTGGTGAGCAGACATGCGGCGTTGAGCAGAAAGATCCAGGACTTTCGCTTCTCAGCCTTGGTCAAGAGGAGGAGAGTCAACAGAAGCATCAGAGATGCGCCGAATCCAACTCCATAACTGATGCCGACACGAAAGTCGTAGATGCGCCAAGTGTCAAGGTCCTCCCAGCTCTTCTGTACCAGAACCCATCCACCGTTGCCATCGGACATGGTGAAGTTCAAGGGCTGGGTCCATGGATCGAAGTTTGACGGGACCTGAACGCTCTGCATGGTGTCGTCCATGGCGTTGCGTGTTGCTGAGTGGCGTTGGTTGGGAAGTTTGCGGGGATAAGAGGGGCAATGTGCTGTGCCACGGGAACGAGATAAAGAAGATGCGCTAGCCGTTGAGGGGAGGTTTAGTTGATGATAAGAGTCGAGGCTTCGGAAATGGCAGGTGCCAGTTGGCTGGGACAAAATGACAGGTACAAGGTGGCAGGTGCAATGTGGAAGAAAGTTGGATTAGTATAGAACGGCAGGAAGGAACAGAGGCCGAGTAAAGAGCAAAAGAAAGCATTGACAGAGATTATATCGTACAGGGCAGCAATGAATAATAGCTAGAAAATCGCATCCAAGATTGATCCTAGACATTGTCGTTGATGAAGTGAGTGGGAAGGCGCTTCGGGTCCCGAGCGGATAATGGCAGCTGCAGCGAAAGCGTGGAACTGGTCCGCTATCTCGACTGACCACTATAGCTACGACGATCTTCAGGCGGCGATGAGGTTTTAGAGACCACTGAAGCCCTTGCTATTGTTCTCTGTGCCCTTTGCCTGCATGCGTCGGATCACTCACCTCGTCGAGCCCCAGCTCGGCGACGCTCAACCAATGCTGCATCGTATTTCTTCTCCTGTCTTGCAACCAGTCGCAGAGTCACTCAGGTTTTTATTTGGAGCTATCCGAGGCGCTGTTCACCGTCTGTGGTGAGGTTGGGATGAAATAGCGCAGATTCCTTAGTATTGTTCTTCGTCTTCCACGGTCAAGGCTCTGAGACAGCTTGACTCGGGCGCATGGCCCCCAATTTCATCTACTGTACTTACAGTCGTATGGTTAGCGCCCGAAGTACATGAAGATGCGGCTATCCATACTTAGCAATGGGTGCCATATGCACATCGATTTACCCCTGGTGAGGACCAATACCGAGGTCACAGGGCTCCGATGTTGGAGGTGCGGGATACAGCGCTAACCCTGCCGAAGACCAATCAACTAAGCCCCACTTGCCGTGCAGCCCATGGCTAGTTCCGGCCGTAGGTAGTCGCTTTGAACATTGCTCAACTCCACCAACGTGATCGCGCGTTGCTTTCGCCACGACGCGTCAAGACTCGCAACCATGTGGACTTTGGTCACATCCAGCGCCGACACCACGTCCGGCTCCACTGCCTTTAGTCTGCCAGATGAGGGCGTTGCTCATATCGTCATGGGTATACACAGTACAAATGTCGGCGTTGTTCGCAATCCCGTTCCAAATGTGGACCGCCAACTTGGCCGCATTAGTTGGTCTCATACACACTATTTGTGCATAGCTTCTAACGCCAATAGCTGCTGCATCATTCGGAGTCAAGGTTCAAGCTGTCGCCGAGACTTTGATCATCGTACCCGATGCAACCCCCGCCGGCATTGGTGGCCCACCGAGTGCCAAGTACGAGTTGCAACCACCTGTCGATGGCCGCACAGAATCAATCTTTCTCCGCCATGGCGATGTGTTGAAGTTTACATCATCACAATACAATCTGACTTGCAAATGGGCAAACTCGGAAGTACAGGTTGATTCCTCAGCTGCCGACTTTGTCCAGGTGGAAAATGGTCCCGACGCCAAATGTATCCCCAAGACTCCTGAAGAGGAAACCGAAGATGAGGATTTGGACGAACACGCTATCGCTACATCAACGAAACCGCAGAACAAGACACATCCGCGAGCAACTCCCAAACCTCCAGAGCAGCCGTCTCTTGTGATTCAAGAAACCCCAACTGCAACTCGAGTCAATGGCGCATCAGCATATCCAGATACTAAACCACCAGATTTCACTCATCAAGTGGCGGAACCTGTAGAACATACGACCTCTCCATTGCATGACGAAGCGTCAACTCAGGGTCCAACTGTCCCACAAGTTGCGCATGCTTCCCCACGAACCAATCATGCTGCTATCGAGGTAGGAAACCAGACTTCCGAGACACCTTCACACCATGATAGGAGAAACCCCTCGCCCAAGGTAAAGATTCCACCGAGATCAGCCAGAAAGCGTGGCACCCCTGCTATTGACGAGGATACCGGGTCGGAGTATGAAGCACTCAAAGGGCCTAATAAGCGTGCAAAGACAAGTGACGATGATACTCAAGATAGTCGCCTAAGCAATGTCAATGTTCTTCCGTCCAAGAGATCGTCGGTCAAGAAAGCGGCTGCAGAGACAGAGGATATGGTGCCCACGCGCTCACAACGGAGTTCACAACGATCAACGACCATTCCGGCGGGAGCTTACGAGGGTGTCGCACCACGCATGGCGTTTAGCAATTCGGCCATTCCAAAGTCCCATCAAGCCGTAAAATTCTTGAGGAAACAAGGCGGAGCGTATGTGGAAGACTTAGCTGATGGCTTCGATGTACTATGGTAAGTTTGTTTGCGAAGAGAGTAGCAGCCACATTCCTGTAACTAACACCTTGCAGCGTGAGACAAGGTGGTCTCCAGAAGAAACCCAAAGTATTATACGCTATCGCTCGCGGTATCCCCATCGTCACCGACAAGTGGCTTCTGGATTCTGCAAAGGCCGGACATCTCCTCCCGTTGTCTGATTTCAAGCCCTCTGTGTCTAAACAAGAAAATGAATGGAACTTCACCTTCGATGGCGTCTTTGGTCATCCACAAACTCTATTCGAGGGCTATAACGTACACTTCACCAAGAGTCTCAAAGCGACATTTGAATCTTTTGCTGATATTGAGGAAGTCTGCAAAGCTGCAGGCGCCAAGGCCGTCACAAGCACGAAGATGGATAAGACTGGGAACAGTATCGTGCTTGCGAATAACGACGATGATGCGGATGCACAGAAACTGGCCAAGGAAGGCATAACATGCTATACCAAAGATATCCTCATCTACAGCATCCTAAGGGGTGTCCTAGATCTCCGCAGCAATGACTTCAAGATTACAGAGAATACCACCAAGACGCCATCCAAAGGGAAAATGAAGCGGGGTCGTAAGAGCGGGTAAATTCAACCAGCTCTATCTACTGGCATGTATACGGCTAGTATCAGCGCAGGATGGTCATTCACGACTTTTCCATTATGTTTATACCGCATAGCAAGGGGCACATGTGTCACCGGAATGGGACAGGAAAAAGGATGAAAGACGGTAGCGCGATCAGAGTACATATACCCAAATTCCAGTTACATTGCAGCAATTCGGTATCCATAGCCTGTGTATGTACTTCGGCAACAAATTAATGCCCGATCCCATTGAAGACTAATGGTGAGTGTACAGATCTCTGTGCATTTACTAGTGGGAGCAACTGGGAGTGGTTATCGAAAAGCACTCCATAATATCTGTGTAGAAAAAAAGCCATACTCTAAAAAAATTTATTTAACAGTATATCCAACGTCAATCTTTTACCAACCCAAACTGTCGTGTTCCAGCAATTCTATCTAGCCTCACACGTCTCTCCATCCCCCCACGGCAATACCGCCGCATAAGCGAGCCCAAGACCCACAATTTCCCACCCACTACTCCTTCCACGTATGCCACAACTCCCTCCCTCCCACCTCAGCGCAGCCAAAACAACCCACTCACACTATTGTAATGTCCAATATTAATGTTCTAAGGCAAATATTCTTCATCAATCACATGACAACAAGCCACGAGCAATTTGAATTGCTTTATCCTCCGTGGCGCAATTGGCTAGCGCGTCTGACTGTTACAGCTTCTGTGGCGATATCAGGAGGTTGAAAGTTCGAGCCTTTCCGGGGGAGCAGCTGTGTTTTCTTTTTGACGTTTTTTTGTTATGTATGTATGTATGTATGTGGGAGCTGGGAGGAAGGGGAGGCAGGGCTGTGGCTGTGGCTTTGTTTTTGGTTAGGAGGGGGGAAGTGTGGGAACGTGGGATGAGGTGTGGCGTTAGTGCGGGTGGGGCGGGTGGGGCGGGATGGTAAGTTAAGAGAGATGCTTGTATGCTTCACGACAGTAGTTATGACTTTTGCTCTTCTTTATTCCCTTTAGGTACGTATGAGTTATAGACAATCTTATTTGTGACTTTACACAAAAACGTCTTAATCTCATACGCTTTGCTAGCTACATCTTCGTAGATGCAACATAATTGCGCAGTCGATATTGCTCCACAGAAAATCCTCACAATCACTTTAAGGAAAACCTCTGAAATCGATCAATCAGTAAATCCCATACCTAGGGTTGCGCATAATAGGTTATGGGGCTCGTTTGGGGTCAAAACCGCAATGGTTGCTGTTGAGCGTACCTCATAAGCGGACAGGTAGGAAGGATTGTTGGGAGGGATGAAGGTACAATACACGGTTGGAAATGATATCGAATTTTGATCCACAGCTTATCTACTGTCGTCTTTACTAAAGACTTTTCCGATTGTTACAGTTGCGCACGTTTGATATGTCGGGTCGTGGAAACGGTAGACGCTGACGCGCATCTAAAGAATCAATGGATATCGTTACGGGGGTCAAGGACGGCATGGGGAAGCCTCTTTTCGATGTTAGCAGGACAGCTACTGTATTATAGCGTGAAATACCGTTGAAGGAATATCTCAAACAGCGTGGTTGTACGGACTCAATTCAATGGCACATTCAAAACGCCCTGAAAGGAGTCAAAGTAAAGTTTTAATATCTCAGCGATCGTTCCAAGACCACCAAGACCTTCAGAGTCGAAGTGCCCATAATCGATATGTTTCGCAAAGCCATCGACTGGGACACCGATCCTGAAAGTGGAAAGAAGGTGGCGAAGGCCTGGGAGGACACCACAGCGAAAATAATATTAGTAGAGTAAAAGAAGACGAAGAAGAAGATAAACGCTGTTTTGGATAGCAAATTTTGGTGAGGAGTACGCCAAAGCTCTCGTAGATCCACTCAAAACCTTTGGTGTTGAGTTCAACATCATAAGCGGCCAAGAGAAGTACAAAGTCATCGACATCTATATGTGAAAGGACATCAGTAACGATACCACCTTTGAAAAAGCTCTAGAAGAAGCAAAGCGGTTCAAAGCAAGCCTGATTGACTTTGTTAACGAAGCGCATACTCTACTACAGAGACAGTGTAGGAGACAGCCTGAAATCCGCAAAAGCCAACTCATCCGCATAGTTATGCAACGTCTACCACCAACTGCACACCGAATACACCCAGGCCGGGGACCTCTCCCCATGACGCAGGGGACGGCAGAGAGGCGCTTTGAGGATTCGGAGGATGATGCTGAGACGGAGGTTGTTAAGAGTGAGAGGAGAGGGCATTGAATTTGACAGACATCGTGCCAACGACGGAAACACCCACTGACCCTGGCACAGCAACCTGAACGGTACTATGTTTTGGATGTAAGTGGGTGGAGGGGAGGTTCGTCCAAGAGAAGTGTTTATGGTCCCTGGTTTCCTTTGTTCTGTCAGCATTCTGTCAGATTTTCATACCATTCTTGCTGTCTGTTTATCTTATTACTTGCAATAGATTTCCTACGTTCATCAGTCTCAACATCACCATACGCCAAACATACACATGGAACCATAACCAAGCCAGGTAACTGAAGAAATAACGAATACCATTTTCCAGTGCCTTGAACCTAGTAGGCAAACACCGCGTTTTCTACATAGCATAATATAAATCCTCTGAAAAACTTCCCATCTACCTCTTCTTATTTTTCTTCGCCGCCCTCTTCTCACCCCGAACATCCTTCTTCAACCTCGCATCAACCATCTTATACTTACCCTTTGTGCCCTTCGGCCTATTTTTAATTCCCTTATTCCCGCCCTTGGCCACAATAACACTAACCTTCTGCTTCGGTTTCTTCTTGGCTGCACGACTCATCAATCTCGCAATACTCTGCGCCTTCTCCTTCTCTGTCATGCCTTCCTCGTCGGCAAGCAGCGCGCTCTTCTTCTTGAGCTTTTCTAGACGCTGGGCGGCCTTGAACTTCTTCCTGGCTTGGGCTTCGCGGACCTTCTTGATGGGGCGCGCGTTTAGGGCGCGAAGCTTTTCTTTGATGGCAGAGGCGGCGGCAGCGGTGGTGGGGCGTTGAAGTTTGGAGTGGCGATTTTCGTCGTCGAGGAACCAGTCGGGGAGGCCGTCGACGTCGCGGAGGGAGTAGCGGTTGAAGGATTCGTCGAGGAGGTCGTGTTTGGATTTTTGGCCTGTGGCCATTTGGTGTGCTAGGGTCATGGCTTCGGCAGTGATGATGTCGATGTCCGGTCGTCCGTTCTTCATGGGCATGTTGTCTTGCTCCCATTGAGTTTCGTCGCGTGCGACTTCTTCGATTTTGTCTTCATCGTCTGACGATTCTTCGTCGAAGGCTGAGGGCGCGGGATTGGTGGTGGTTCGGATGGATAGTTCGGCCTCTGGTGCAGGGGCGGATGTGACGGTCTCGTCTTTCATTTCTGTGTCGCCTTCCACATCGATGCCACTGTCCTCATCATCTTCTAGGTCATCGAGTCCGTCGATGCCCTTGAAGATGTCCTGGTCGAAAAAGCGTGCAGCGCGCTTGGTGAGGCCTTGTTTAGACTGCTCTTCGTTGTCTAGATCTGTGATGAGGCCCTTGGGTCCTTCCTCCTCATCGTCGCTCCAGTCGCTGTCCGCATCTTGTACCAGCTCTTCATCGTCACTCTGTTCTTTGTCCTCATCAGAGAAACCATTCCACTCACCGTCATCGTCTTGTTTCCTAGCTCGCTTTGCACGATACTTTGCATCTCGCGCGGACCGTTGTTCGACGTAATCGCCGTACATGGCGTCTAGATCCCGTTCAAGATGATCCTCTTCGTCGTCGGTCTCAAGTTCTTCCTCAACTTCCTCCTGCTTCTCACGCTCGACGATTTGTGCCATCTTGCCTTTGGCAATCTTGTTGATAGCACCAGCCTTATCGACAGCCTTCAGCGCAAACATGGAATCGTCGCCACCTGCCTGTTCCATACCGAGCTCGAACGGTGTAGTCATGTTCATTTGTAAACGGGTGATTTCTTTTTGCTTGCGCTCGTTCTCGGCTCGTCGCTGCTTCTTTTTTGATTTTGACTCCTTCTCCTTCATGCGCTCTAGCTCCTCTTGGATTTGCATTTCCTCGTCCATGGACTCGATTTCTGCAACTTCTTCACCTTCTTTCGCCTCCTTTGCCTTTGCCTCGTCCTCAACCTTTGTCTTTTTGGTCGCAAAGCCAAAGATCTCGCGCACCCGCAATCGCCAGCGAAGAAGACGCTTGAAGTCGGCTCGTCCCAGGACCTTAAGGTCAGCACAGCAATCCCTGATTTCCTTGGTTGTCTCGGGGAGCTTGTCAATGGTAGCGACAGCAATATCACCATTAGGCTTCTGCTCAAAGCTGAGCTTGTTCAAGCCACCCAACATGGCAATGGGGTCGGTCGTTTGGATAAAGTCGGATACGGGCGCCTCCTTGAACTGTGTCCAATCTCCCTCCTCGTAACCTTCACGCTTCCTCTTCTTTAGCTCGGGCTTGAAAACCTTGGCTTCGTTGTTGGGCGTTGGGTCCGCGAGTTCGGCGAAGACACTGCGAGCGTCGAGGAATCTGGGATCGAGGTTCTTGGGGGCTTTGTAACCACGGCAGACGACAAAGATTTCGGCGGAGACATTTCGGGAAGAGGGCGGCTTCGTTGCCTCGACCTTTGCGAAAAGCTGGTTGAAGACCCAGAGGAGCGAGTTGTAATCCTTTGATCTGAAAATCTTTGTAACGAATGTTCCGCCCTCTGCGAGGAATTCAGTGGCCAGCTTCATGGATTGTAATACAAGCTCAGCCTGAGTGAAGGCATCTTGTACCCAGGCAGTTCCGACATTGGGCGCACCGTCGTGCAGGACTGTATCACACTTGAGATGCTTGAGATGTTGGCGCAGCGTCGCTCGGCACTTGTCGGTCGTAATATCGCTCTGGAAGGTAATGCATCGCGGGATAGGCTTGATCGGGGCAAGGTCGACACCAACAATGAGGGAATGCGCGGGCATAACCTGGAGTCGTTAATATAGAGGCGCATAGTTTGTCGCAATGTTGGTTACCTCTGAAGCGACTTGACACCATGATCCGGGCGCAGCGCAAAGATCGATCAAGACCTTACTCTTCTCCAGGAAGTTGTACTTTTTGTTCAACTGGATCAACTTGAAGGCGGCACGCGCACGGTAGCCCTTTTCCTTTGCGAGCTTGTACCATTTGTCGAGACGACCTTTTCCGTGCTATCAATTATTAGTCACTATTGCGCGCACAAAAACTGTATTTGCGCACCTTTTTCTGGATCGCCATTGCTGCGGGTTGGCGTCGTGATACCGCGGGCAAAAGTTCGCTCACTAAAATTTGGGAAGCCGACAATATCGCTAGGCGGTGGCAGAACGCATGCGGCAGAAGTACGCTAACACGGCTATGGAGTAGTGCACGGGACATGCACATGCGTCATGGCGAGCCAGACGTCCGACGCGCCTGGCCCGTCCACGTCGGGATGAAGGTATTCAGCCGACCTCACCCATGGCCTCTTTGTGCTAATCGCTACTCTAGAGGCCGTATCGCCTGCTCAGCTCTCTCTCTGCAGGAATGAATCCACGTAAGAAATCAAAGCCAAACACAGAGGCCCCAGTCGATGCAACATCTCCACGCCCCGAACTGCCACCTGATGCCAGCAATACCAATACTCCGTCTAGTACCCCTAGTGGGAGCCAAGTTCTTCAAGATGCGCCCTCAGATAATTCGGTAGCCGCCTCGGCGACTTCAGTTGACGCTACAACACCAACAAATTCCGGCACGCAAACGCCGAGAGGCAAAAAGTGGCTTTCAGGCACCGGTAGCTGGAGACTAAAAGCACCTGCTATAGTCAGGACAGCGACTGAAAGCATCGGCGTTACTGGCGGTGCGACTAGCGAGTTGCCTGGAAATGAAGCAAGAAAGCCAAGGGACGAGTCGCCCAAGAAGTTCCTCACAAAGCGCAAGTCGAGCAAGGGCGAAGCTATACCCGCCGCCATCACTACAGTGAACGTGTCGTCAGGCGGACTCATGGACGAACCAGAACCCCCGAAGCCGAAAGACGCTGAAGAACCGCAAACGCCCAAGGTGGACGAGCCGCCATTACCCCCCGAACCGCCAAAGTCACAAGTGGATGCAGCTGCTAGCACATGGGGTTGGCGGAGTTGGTGGTCGCGACCTGATGGGTACGCGGATACAGGCAAAGCCAAGGTTGAGGCAAAATCAAGCGTTGAGGAAGCCTCGACCACGCCGTTGCCTGGACCGACGCCCTCAGAGGAGCCAGACGCACAAACAAAGAGCCTGGACGTTGGTGTAGTGCCGCCCAAGTCTGACCTGAAAGCAGACACAGAGACGAAGGATGCACCATCAGAGTCAGTGCCCACTCAAGATGTGGAAACGAAGGATGCTACACCTAAAACTTCCAAACATACTGCAAGAGCTGCGTCGGGTTCATGGTTTTGGTCGTGGAGCAGTGCGCAGAATGCCCAAGCGAACGCTCCTCCTGTAGAACCCCCCGCTTCTGGACACAGTGTACCGAAGCCAGATGCGATACCTGAAGCAGAGCAAGAGGTGGCACCGGCACCACCCGCCGCGACATCGGAGACCGCACCCGCACCGGAAGTAGCAGCCACCGCCGAGCCAGCAGCATCGACCGATGTTACTCAGGCCAATACAACTCCGATGACATCGTCTAAGCCTTCGGCATGGGCGTTTTGGTACAGAGGGAAGCCAGGGGAGCAGAAGGATCCGAACGAAGCTGGGCCGCAGAAGCATGTGGGCGAGGTCGCAGTGTTCAACACTCCTTCGCAATCTCACCCAGAGGCAGCGCAGTTCAATGAACAAGAACAGCCCAAGGCGGACGCCGATGTGCCCAAAGAACCGTTACCACCGCCAAAGGAAGAAGCTGTAGCGAAGAAATCATTTGCGTCTTTACGAGGACGACCAAAAGCAAAAACTCCAGCCAAAGGCACGCCAACAGACACTCCAAGCTCAAGCCAGACTGCCACTCCAACTAAGACCTCCCCCGTACTTACGCCTACAAAACCAGATACCGCCTCCGCGGCGAAGCCAGTCCCAAAACAAGAGTCCAAGGCCAAGCAAGAACCAGCGAGCCTTGTGCTACCAGAGTTCAAGAACACTTACCAGATGGTACAGCAACCGAACTTCTGGCAGCAGCTTCGTCGGTACTTTCTCGGAAGTGAACGTGCAACACCACACCTACACATCAATCCAGCCCCGCCGAAGATCAAGAAAGCTGTGGCTATTGGTGTGCACGGATTCTTCCCTGCTCCAATCCTTCAAAAGGTTCTAGGCCAGCCAACTGGAACATCAATACGATTCGCGAATGCTGCTGCCGCCGCGATCAAAGACTGGTCCGAAGCTCGTGGCTATACGCCGGAGATTGAGCAGATCGCGCTAGAGGGTGAGGGCTTCATTGCTGAGCGTGTCAACTCATTATGGAAGCTCTTACTGAACTGGATCGACCATATCAAGCAAGCCGACTTCATTCTTGTAGCGTGTCACTCGCAGGGCGTACCGGTAGCCATGATGCTAGTAGCCAAGCTGATACAATTCGGCTGCGTCAATGCGACAAGGATAGGCGTTTGTGCCATGGCCGGCGTCAACATGGGTCCATTCATCGAATACAAGACACGATACCTTGGCCCCACAGCCGCTGAGCTCTTCGAGTTCTCTAACCCAAAGAGCCTAGTCAGCCAGATGTATCTGGCTGCCCTAGACGAAGTCCTTCGATTTGGTGTACGAATACTCTACGTCGGTAGCATTGATGACCAACTCGTCTCCCTTGAAGTAAGCCCTTCCCTCCACTTCCAACATCGCTTTTACTGATCACCAACCACCCAGTCCTCCACCTTCTCCACCCTCTCCCACCCATACATCTACCGTGCCGTCTTCGTCGACGGCCGCATCCACGCCCCAGACTTTGTAACCCACCTTGTCGGCTTCACACTCAAACTTCGCAACCTCGGCCTTCCCGATCATGGCCTCATCCGCGAACTCAGCCCCGCTCTTGCTGGCTCCCTCTACGGCGGCGAGGGCCACTCCCGCGTCTACGAAGACCCCGCCGTCTATGCCCTCGCCGTCCAACACACCCTAGAAACTACATCTCTCCCCATCAACCCCACAGGTAATAAAGAGAGACCCGGTACGGCGAGTAGTTTTAAGGGTATACAGATACCTATTATCGGCGATATGGGCTTGGGGAAGGGCGGTGCTGGTGCTGCTGGTAGTGGGAAAAAGGAGGATCTTTTCAAGCTGAGGGTTAAAGAGTATGAGACTAATACTAGTAGTACGAATCCGAATCCTTTCTTTCTGCCGTGGGCGATGAGGGGGTTGCTGGAGGAGGAGTTTGTAAAGAAGGAGTTGGGGAGTGAGGTCGAGCAGTTGTTGGAGTTGTTTGAGAAGTGGAAGCCGGTGGGGAAACAGCTTAAGGATGTTAAATTTCGCTTGGAGGGGGTGAGAAGTAAGCTTTAGATGACTTGTAGACGGGGACGTTCTTTCTTTCTTCGTATGAGAGCGGGCGTTCTAGCGAGTGGCTGTTCGGGAGGTGTTAGACGGGCATTATGGGCGTTTTCTTTTTTCTCCCTTCCTATTCCGGGTGTGATGGTGTCTGATAGAAATGGGATGATATATATCCCCACGTTTTGAAAGACCGGATTGCATTGTGGTATGGCACATCAAGCGTAGACATTCGATGCGACCAATGTACATGATTCATCTGTTCAATTTTGATGCTCGACTATCATTGCACTAATGACCATCTATCCATTCATTTTTCCTCAGCAGAAAGTTTGGATCTGACATCAACTCCCGTGACTCACGCCCTTTTCCATACTGATACCTCACCTCTACCAACTGTCTCAGTTGTCGTCGTAGAAGATCTCCTTGTACCGATGTGTGGCTTCCACTACTGCGTTTGCAGCGTTGAAATCTGAGTTGCCCGTTAGCGTGAAATGACAGATAGACAGGAGAACCGGAAAGAGAAAAGATCACATACCGATATCCGTCCCAAAGTCAGTAGCAGCTTGTACCTTGACATGCAAATTCTGATCGACTTTGCCGATGACTTCTACCGCATGGTTGAGCGCAAGATGGGAGTCCTAAATGTGTTAAAAAATCCGTGTTTTAGGCTCCAACTTCTTAAAAGGATAACTGCTAATTCAAGACTTGGATTCAGGGCTAGGGAATCGGGGGTGTTGTAAATGGGATTTGAGAAGGGGATCACACGCAAAACTCACCCTATTCAAAATCAAATCCACATTCCCACCGGCATCAATAACAGCAGTCTCGCCGCGGAGCGATACTACTTTTCCCAGGATGCGGACGATGCGGTGTTGGAAGTTTGAGAGGTGGGGGGCGAGGACACGCGGGGTCTGGAGGTGGTCCATTGTCACGGGCTTATTTTGGTTCTTTGCGGGATTCAATGGGGTCAAGGCTCCTCTGTGAATCGAGGGAGAGGTGGTGTGAGTGTGTTTGACTAGTTTGGTGGATGTGTTTATGTGGTGGGAAAGATGAGTGAGGGTTTGACGCGTCGCGTGGGGTTAGCGCGGTGCGCTAGCACGTGATGGCGCTAGTGGAGGGGAGGTCGTTGTTCGTGGGACGTATGTAGACTGGTTCACCATCACAAGAAATAGGATCAACATATATTTTTTAGCAAATTACAGCGGTATCTCGTTTCTCTCTCTACAGAGAGAATGTAGAAATTGCTCCTTCATCCCATTTCAATATCCTCCGACTTTCTGCACTTCCGCCTTGTATCCCAGTGAACTTTGCCTCTCTTCTCTCCCTTGTTGATGATGGAGTCGTGTCTTTCTTGCTTAGTCTCTAGCTTCTCATACTCTTTTGCAAGCTCGGTGCCTTTGAGTACACCGTGGATGTAGCCCTCGTAGACAAGGCCGTAACCGTTACCGCCTGTCTCCTGGCGAGGTTCAATGTTTGGCGGGGCTGTGGAAGCAAATGTTTTGGTTGAGATAGATAGAGGTGGCTGTCGTGTCTCTAAACTTTCGGTGTGAAGAGATGTTGTGAAGATGGAAGTTTTATCTGGAGAAGTCATGGTGGTGGTTGTGAGTTTGTAGAAGCAGTATTGACCTTCGAGATTGGAGACTAAGTAGCTGACAGTCTTAGTTCAATCAATACTGCAGAAATGGTATATAATTGCTTATTAATGGACTTACTGGCTCTGCGCCACTAGTTTGGCATACTATGTTGGTTGTGTATCATGCGATTGGCTGAGACGACGGCACGATTTGGCTGCTGCCTTGCCTCAACTACTCGGAGTCCCCGGAGCCCATGCCAACAATCATCTTTTAACCGAGAATATGGTAGGCGGGCGTATAAAACATAGCCCGTGGTCGACGATCGACTGGACATCAGCTGAAAAGGTTGTGAACTACAAGCAGCAGGGAGTGAGATTAAGAACGACTTGCATGATGTTAGCTCCAGAGATTCAGCAAAATTATCAGAAGCCTCGTCCTGCCTCGTATCTCTTGTGTATATCTTGAAGCGGGGGATCATACTGTAACTGGTTGAAAAGTAGTCAGGTACCTACATAGGATGCAATTAGATTACAGTTGGTCGGCAAACAGCCTTTAGATAGCTTCAAGGGTTAGACACTACCACGAAAGCACAAGTAGAACAGTGTTGTATTTGTCCAGGTGAGCAGTATATGCGAGAAGTCGGAGCCTAAAGAAATTGAGATAGGGTTAATCGCGGGCCATTTCACTGTTTAGGTCTTATCGCACTTTATTTCCGGTAAGAATATTTAGGCTGTCGGCTTTTAGGCGTGTGCAAGATATCTACTGTTAGAAAATGCGAAGGCGGAATTTTACAGTGCGAAATCTGTCGTAGAAGCGAATCCCTACCACGACAATGTCACCAAAGTCATATTCTGGATGTAGACCCGGACTATCACTTCATCAAGTAGTGTGTCACTGAGAAAAGTCTCAGAAAAGCCGCACTCAACTCTCCCCTTGTTCATTTTGTCTTCCCTTCCCCGTTTTATTGAATTTCCTTTTTCCTTGTTCTGCACTTTTGATTTCCTGCTCGATCCCTCCAGCCATCTCTTTCTTTTGCTATTCTGTTTGTTTACTCATCGCGATAGATTGTTACTGTACCTATTTCCTGTAGAATCATGCATCTCTGTTCATAGATTTTGCCCTGGTGTATAACTACCCTCGTACTGTTGACACAAACGAGCGCAATAAACGAGTATGAACAGTTTAAATATCCTGCCAGAGATCGATGCATCAGTGTTACGATATCTTGGCTACATGTATCCGGCAACACACGAGTACAGATAGTCCTGAGGAAGTAGCGCAAGGTGATGTATACCGCATACAAGCTCAAAAGAACAAAGCATCAACAAAATCTCAAATGCCCGCTTTAGTTACACGGCATTCATGGTATCCATACCATGCAAGGGTCGTAGAATCGAAAACACAAGCTTTTTCGCTCAAACTCTAGAATCTCCAAACTTTCAGGGTTGAGTCAAACTTACTAGATCAACACACGCGCAGCAACAGAGACTCAATCCCTTCTCCTCGTATAGTGGCATGTGGAGACTTTCCCAAGCCCAACCCGCACCATTAGCACACCTACGTACAACAAAGTTGGTACCGCTAAACAGCTATCCCTGGTACTCAGCTATTTCCGGTACTCGAACCTCGGAAAGCTAATCGTTCCCCGCTCGCTAATCCTTATTTCCTGGGTTCCTCCCCTAGCTGCCTCGGCACAACCCCTGTGTCGAACATGGTTTTTTGTTGCATTGAATTGGAGAGATGACGTGATAGATGTAGGATATCAATTAGATATCAATTAGGAGCCTATTCTTCACCGACTATTTGATGTGCTGGGCAAGCGATGGGGATTCGCCCGTTTCGTAGTCTGCAATGCCATGCCGATATGCTTGGCCATTCTGATTAGTCTGGGCTAGGCTACTGGGCATAGTCAAGGCCGCGGTATGGTGCGTAGGCGAGGCTGAGGGGGGCCTTAGATGCATACAGTAGCATATGCGGGGACGGGGTGTGGAAGTATATGAGGGCGATATCTGTTGATGAGAGTCGACGTCTACACACCATCAACTTCTGTGATTGTTGACTGGCACCAGACACTCATCACTCCTCCCTTGAATACGACGGACGGAAAGTCGCGGAGTAATTATACCATAAGATCTTACGGCACGAACTCAATACTATCTTGACAAGCAACATCATTGCAACTTGGTCCATCTCTTTCATCAAACAAGACCAACCAAACCGCAACCATGGTGATTAAATCACGTTTCTCGGTCCCAATCCCTCAAGTCTCAGTCCCAACCTACATATTTGAATCGCCCACTGCTCCTCTCCCCAACCAACCCGCCTACATTTCCTGCGAATCGCCAGAAAAATACCAAATCTCACTACCCGAGTACCGTCTCTATGCGCAACGCTTCGCCTCCGGACTACGACGCATGGGTCTACAACCAGGGGAGCGTGTACTCTTGTTCTCAGGCAATACACTCTTCTTCCCCAGTGTAGTCATGGGCATCATCATGGCCGAGGGAATCTTCACTGGCGCAAATCCAACTTACGTTGCACGAGAACTGGCATACCAGCTTAAAGACAGCGGGGCACGGTATTTACTCTGTGCAGAGAACGGTTTGGACACTGGCATCGCAGCCGCCAAAGAAGCCGGGATGGCAGCATCCCAAATCTTCGTCTTTGACGACGGCATCGCTACATTCGAGGGGCGGAAAGTCGAACGTAGCACGGAATTGGGCCACATCCGGCATTGGACAGAGCTGCTAGACGACGTAGAACGCGGCGCTGCATACGCATGGCCAGAACTGAAAACAAAAGAGGAACTCGACCGCGTTGTCATACTCAACTACTCGTCCGGTACCACTGGCGTGGCAAAAGGCGTCATGATAACGCACAGGAACCATATTGCAAACTGTGTTCAAATACTACACGTGAACAGCCAGCGGCAAAACTACGAGGAAAGTCAGAAGCGGGCGAGACAACTTTGTCTTCTGCCCATGTACCACGCCTACGCGCAATCTGTATTTGCCATTTCCGCTCCGAAGCAACGTGTGCCAGTCTACATGCTGGCCAAGTTCGACCTACTGCAGATGCTGGAGTGCGTACAGAAGTTCCGCATCACGGATCTCGCTTTGGTGCCGCCGGTTGTCGTGGGCATGGCCAAGCATCCAGTGACGAAGAAGTTCGATTTGAGCAGTGTGGAACATGCGGGTTGTGGTGCTGCACCGCTGGGCCGCGAGATCAGTGTTGAGTTTGAACAGCTCTGGTCTGGTGGCGCAGTCAACTTGAAGCAGGGCTGGGGTATGACGGAACTTACATGCGCGGGGACTATCTGGGGCCCGAATCGCAGGTCTACCAATGCTTCGGTTGGCGAGATTCTGCCCAACTGTGAGATGAAAATCGTGCTAGATGAGGCTGGGGTAGTTGAAGCGCCGCAAGGTGAGAGGGGAGAGATCTGGATTAGGGGCCCGAATGTCATGAAGGGGTATTGGAATAAGCCGGATGCGACAAAGGAGACGCTGACTGAGGATGGGTGGTTGAAGACGGGCGATGTGGCATATGTGAATGCGGATAACTATCTGTTTATTGTGGACAGGAAGAAGGAGCTGATTAAGGTTAAGGGACTGCAGGTTGCGCCTGCTGAGTTGGAGGCGTTACTGCTGGATCATCCAGACGTACAAGATGTTGCTGTCATCGGTGTTACTGCGTAAGTTCCACCCCCATGTCGTCGAAAGAAGATGAACTAACTGATTCAAGTAACGATACTGAGCTACCAAGAGCATATATTGTGCTCAAAACAGCGGATAAGAAAACAGCAGCTACTGCAGAGAAGATCAAGAGTTGGCTTGCGGAGCGTGTGTCTAAATTCAAACGGCTAGAAGGTGGTGTGCACTTTGTCGATACCATTCCGAAGAATCCGACGGGCAAGATTCTGAGGAGAGAATTGAGGGAAATGGCTGCACAAGAGAATACAAGGGCGAAATTGTGAGAGGTCGGCTGGGTATAGCTCTGTACACATCCGGATAGTCAATGCAGGGCACGCTTTACTATGTTGCTGGGCCGCCAATGCCGTATGTGTCCAATTGAGGGTCTGCCGCTGCTTTGATATATACATGCAGCATTTTCACCGCTCGTGAAATCAATGCGTGATGTGTCGTTGCCGCATAATGTGCCTCTAGTTACTGCGCTCCCCGTTCTTAGCCGCCCTGAGCTCGTCCATCTTCTTCACGCGCTCCTTGAATTCGTCGTATTGGCACTTTTCATACGAATGTCGCTCGTTCTGGCCACACAGTCAGTCGCTCGGTCTTCAGTACATGCATATGATCGTTTCTGCTCACCTCGCACTTCCACGGAAGGTAGTACTCCTCAACCCGACACCGGTTCAGTGGGATTAGAAGATGTGCGCAACTGTCTCGGTAGGCTAGGGGTAGTTTGGCAGCGCTCATCTCCTCGCGGGTAGCCTCTGTGCGGTTGTCAGTCTCGGTTGTTGCTTCCTCAATTGCATCTCGATGCGTGGTAGTGCTCACTTCTCGGCTCGCCGTCAAGGCCGACGGCATGCTTGATTGTGTCGGTGATGGTCATAGTGGCGGCCAAGGGAGTTGTTTGTCTGCAATGGCGCGCGGGGAGAGCTGGTGAGGGTTGAGTCGTTTGCGGGCGGGCTTGCTGATGTTCACCAGCGATGCGGTCGGCATGGGACGATGGCACCTGCCGACCCGAGGCTTGGCAGGGCAGGCGCGAACGCGGCCTGCTCAACGCGACTTCCCCAGGTCTGACGCGAAATGCAGACACGCCTTCACGAAATCACTTGACACGCCTCCCAGGACAAACCCCTCTAGCTCATCGAATGGTGAAAATGCCCCCGGCGCCTGATGGCAAAATCTACTCGGCGACATATAGTAATGTGTGTAGTCACCCCCTCGTGCGACAGCTTGCATCCATATCATAATCTTTACGGCTAGCTGCACCGCTGCAAATGTTTGCTGCTGAGCGCCTTGCTCACATCACCTAGGTCCCCGTGTATGAGTGCAATGTCAACGGCAACCATGTCATGCGCCGGCGTGCTGATGACTGGATTAATGCCACACACATCCTCAAGGTAGCCGACTACGACAAGCCCGCCCGTACCCGAATTCTGGAGCGCGAGGTGCAGAAAGGTGTGCATGAGAAGGTTCAGGGTGGCTATGGCAAATACCAGGGTACTTGGATACCGCTGGAGGAGGGGCGGCATCTTGCAGAGCGCAATGGTGTGCTGGACAAAATGCGCGCCATCTTCGACTACATACCCGGTGATAGAAGCCCGCCGCCTGCGCCCAAGCATGCGACAGCGGCATCGAATCGCATGAAGCCTCCAAGGCAAACCGCCGCCGCCGCCGCAGCGGCACGGAATGGTAAAACTCTCTTTTCGCCTAAATACATGCAGTGGTTATTCTTGCGTCAGTGTGGAAGGCTATGGCTAATTCATAACAGCAGCATTCGCCGCCTCGCAGGCGCAGTCGCAGCAGTCTCAGGTCAGCGAAGAAACATACGAAGCCTCGCAGATTAGGTCACAAATCTACCGCGAGGAGACGCCTGATAACGAGACTGTGATTTCAGAGTCTATGCTGGGGGATGCCGATATGCTGGATGTGTCCCAGTACTCGACCGGCGGCAATAGGAAGCGCAAGAGGGCAGATCAGATGTCCCTTTTGGACCAGCAGCATCAGATATGGGCAGATCGACTACTAGACTACTTCATGCTGCTGGACCACGAAGAGGCCGTTTCGTGGCCAGAACCACCGGCCAGCATAAACCTGGACCGGCCAATCGACGAAAAGGGACATGCTGCCATGCATTGGGCGGCGGCGATGGGAGATGTGGGGGTAGTAAAAGAGTTGATAAACCGAGGCGCGCGTATTGATTGTCTGTCGAACAACCTGGAAACACCCCTGATGCGCGCCGTCATGTTCACAAACAATTTTGACAAGGAGACAATGCCGAGCATGGTGAAGATCTTCCAACAAACAGTCCACAGAACAGATTGGTTTGGGAGTACAGTCTTCCACCATATCGCAGCAACAACCAGCAGTTCAAACAAATATGTGTGTGCGAGATGGTATCTCGACTGCATCATCAACAAGCTCTCGGAAACGTGGATACCGGAAGAAGTTACACGGTTACTGAATGCTGCTGATCAAAACGGTGACACAGCCATTATGATTGCCGCACGGAACGGGGCAAGAAAATGCGTGCGAAGTCTGCTGGGCCGCAATGTGGTAGTGGATATACCGAACAAGAAGGGTGAGACAGCAGACGACCTCATTCGAGAGCTCAATCAGAGACGACGTATGCACGGCCGGACACGACAAGCTTCCTCATCGCCCTTTGCGCCACCACCCGAACATCGACTAAACGGACACGCCCCGCATCTAGACGGTGGCCCCTTGATGCCAGTACCTTTTCCCACTATGGCTGTTCGTGAATCACCACAGTACCGCTCACAAACCGCCTCACATCTTATGAACAAAGTAGCACCAACACTTCTGGAGAAATGCGAGGAATTAGCCGCAGCGTACGAAGCCGAACTGCAAGAGAAGGAAGCAGAGGCGTTTGACGCAGAACGTGTGGTCAAGCGCAGACAAGCCGAACTCGAAGCCGTACGGAAACAGGTGGCGGAGCTGCAGGGCATAGCGATTGGCCTTCACATCGACCTTAATGATGAAGAGGCCGACCGGCAACAAGAACAAGAGCTGCGGCTACTAGTAGAAGAAGCAGAATCCCTTCTTGAGATTGAACAAAAGGCTGAACTCCGACGGTTATGCAGTAGTATGCCTCAGCAAAACAGCGACGCATCACCGGTCGACGCCACAGAAAAGCTGAAGATAGCATTATTGCTACACCGAGCCCAGTTGGAACGTAGAGAACTTGTCAGAGAAGTAGTGGGCAATTTGAGCGTGGCAGGCATGAGCGAGAAGCAGGGCACGTATAAAAAGCTCATTGCGAAAGCACTGGGTGAGCGGGAAGAAGACGTCGAGTCCATGTTGCCCGAGATCTTGCAGGAACTGGAAGAAGCGGAGACGCAGGAGCGGGCCGAGGGCTTGGACGGGAGTCCATTGTAGTGTCGCATATTTTTGTTTTATCCTTTGCGTTTGTCGATTCCCCGCAGCTCCCATGGTTGGAGTTGGAACTGAGTTTAGGAGGTAGGGTAACGAGACATTGATGACCCAGGATAGTAGCCATCTACCTCTTAATGTACACACGCGATCGTTCAAGCCGTTTCCTGGCTTATCTTGCTACAACTATGGATAGTACAGTTCCTGCCGAGCGGTCCTGAAGTGAAGGTGGTTCCTGCTGTCGTACGACAGTTGACTAACTAGCGGCCTGGCACACCCAAGACTCATTGCCTTGGAGGCTGTCGCGTGTAGCAAAAGCCCTTGGCGCCTCCCATGCACATTTGCGATAACGATTCATACGATGCTTCGGTGACGACACACACTCGGCTCATGCAAGACACTGGTACGTGCATGCAACTGGCAGATAGAGGGTCATCTGAAGACATGAACCCCACGCAGACAACGCGTGTGGCGGAACCGTGATTCGATCACGCATGGGGCTAAGGATGACGTGATTCGGCAGGTGCGTCGTGGAGCTACACGAGATGTGTGTGGGTTGGGCACGTCTGCAGGGCGCTGAAGATGGCATACTGAAGACTCTCTCGAGTTTCACACCTTGTCAAGAGCTTGGATCTGGCTGCTGCGTGGGTTTGGGGGGAGATGAGATGTGGGCGGAGCCGCGTAGTACGGAGGTGAGGTTGGCGGCGATTGGACCCTGCGGAGCTGACGGCAATGCAGGGGCTTGGCCGCTCCCATTGTACGGGTACGGGCAGGACCCAACACACCGAAGCCAGATATCAGCAGTCCAACTTAATTCGACATCGACTAAGACAACAAGTCCCGCTGCGCCATTCCGAAGACGCCATTAGCCCCACCCGGCCTGTCACTCGCTAGCACCAGGACCACCTTATGCCTGAGTCGATTCCGCTGAGGAAGAAGCCGCAGCCTCATCCTCGTACGCTTGCCCATTCTCTCTCAGACGACTTCAGCCTCGAGCATAGAAATAGAAGCAGCTCGCCCGTCCTCGTTTCCGGTTCCAGCTCCAGAAAAGCCTCGCGAACTCGCTCATCTTCACGTCAACAGCGCAAAGCAAACGGCAAAGCATCAGCCCTCAAAGAGCCAGACAGTCCTGCCAATTCAGAAGTCGATTTTGACGATTGGGATGAACACGACGCAGCCATGCCCTCTGATCTCCGACCGTCGATAGACTACCACAGAGATGGTCGCGCCAACGCGCCACTGCTCGGGCGCAAAACAGAGGACGATACCGTTGATGACGGGATGGTACGGAGCACACACACCTTTCACGAGCGTGACCCAGAAACACAAGCAAAACTCGAGACGAGGAAGAGATACACATACGCAGCGCTGCTGCTAGCGCTGAGCCTGATCAGCTTCACAGTGCAGACGGAAACGGCAGTGTACATTCAGCATCAATTGAAATGGGAGAAGCCATATTGCATGCTCTACATGACCCACGGATCATGGGTAGTATTGTGGCCATCAACCCTCTTCTTGTTGCGACTCCAGCACTGGAACGAGCCATGGGCGACTTTCTGGCGGCGCCACGTTCAGCTCTTGCGCCAAACAGCCCTCATGGTGCAACACCAAAACTTGCATCCCACACCGCGCCAATCCCAGGTCTCGCCCGTACGCTACATGGTCAAGATGACCTGCTTCATCACGTGCGCTCTTACCTTGGCTGGAGGCAGTTGGTACGTGGCAGTCAACCAAACCACAGCCAGCGACCTTACAGCCATTTACAACTGCTCCGCCTTCTTCGCCTACGCCTTCAGCATCCCCATCCTCCACGAAAAAGTCCGAACTAGCAAAATCGTCGCCGTCGCCATTGCCATTGCTGGCGTCTTCGTCGTCGCATATGGTGACACGTCGCCTGCTAAGCACGGCTCCAAATCTGGCGGCGGCGCCGGTGGCGACAAAGCGCCTCCTTCACACGAAGCGGAGAACCGCGCTTTTGGCAACCTCGTCATCGGTGTTGGCAGTGTCTTGTATGGACTCTACGAGGTGCTATACAAGCGCTTTGCGTGTCCGCCCGAGGGCGCCGCCCCCAACAAGGGCGTCATCTTCGCAAACTTGTTTGGAAGCTTGATTGGCGGGTTTACGCTTTCTGTGTTGTGGCTTCCGATTCCCTTTTTGCATTGGATGGGTTGGGAGATTTTTGAGCTGCCAAAGGGGGAACAGGCGTGGATGATGGCGATTTCCGTGTTGGCGAATGCTAGTATGTTTCCCTCTCCTTTTATCGCATTTTTTTCTGAGATTCAGTATACTAACTCTAAGAAACAGCTTTCTCGGGCGCTTTCCTTGCTCTCATCTCCCTCACTTCGCCCGTCTTATCCTCCGTCGCGGCTCTCCTCACCATCTTCATCGTCGCTATTGTCGATCAATTACTTCCTCCACCGCTAAACTCACCGCTTACCCCTGCGGCCATCGTAGGCGGCTTGCTCATTATCGGCGCGTTCAGTCTGTTGTCGTGGGCTAGTTACAAAGAGATGGATGAGGAGAGGAGGCATAAGCTCGAGGAGGCCCCTAGCGAGTCTGATGATTGAAACACCATATGGGATTGTTGAAAGGACAATTTTCTTCTCAATTTATAGAATGGCGGTGCGATGTAAGCCTTCTTTATTTTTCGATTCTTTGTGGAAGGGTATATATCTATCGGTTAGCTATTTTGGGAATGAATGGAAGGGACAGGCTTCTGGTGGCGGCTTTATTCGGTACGATCCAGTGGACTGGATTGGGCTTGTTTTAGCCTGGGTTGGTTTGGGGGTATATAGATTTGTTGGGCATTTCAAGCGTGCGCTATATGCACTAGACGGCGTTGATGGGATTTACCTCTTCAGAGTCGGCCATAGATATGGCTGTTGTCTTGCGTTCGTTTTGGGAGAATGAGATTGAGATGTTTTGTATGTTTCGACGAGTGAGCGATGTGATGACGGAGGGCATGGAGAAGACAGTGGGCAATGTTAAGATGGAGATGGAGAAGAAAGTGAACGATGCGTGTGAAGAATCTGTGATGTTTGGATAGATAAGACAGAAGATGGATGAAGACACAGCCATACAATCGAGAGAGACACGGATAGAGGTCATAAATACCAATACCAATACCATTCTCCTACCTACTTGTCATCCTTCCCCTTCCCAAGACTACAAAGACATATCTTCACAACCTATCCCACACTTCCTTACACTTCCCAAATCAAACATCTAAGTTGGCAAAATGCTCTACTCTCATTTCTCCCCGACTCCAGCCATTCCCTCTCACACAATCTACTTGGGGAACAGCCACAAAGAGCCACGAGGGCAAAGATTCAAAAATTGGTTGGGATACCCACAAGGTTCTTGGTGTTACCGCAGAATGCGGCACCTCCCTGATGGAACTGAGAGAGGGAAGGAGGGAGGGGATTGTTTATGTTTGGAGGAGGAGGGGATGGTGTGACGTGGTGTGAGTGCTTGGAAGGGGGTGGAATGTTCTGGGGGTGGGGATGGCGAGGGTGGAGTGGAGTGGAGTGGAGTGGAGGGGCGGAGCGGGGGACTTCGGTGGGATGTGTGACAGGATCGACACGGCAAAGATGGGATATAGGTGATGGATGAGAGATGCACATGGGAGTGTGTGGGAGTATGAAGAGAAATGGATAGGGAGCTTTAGCCTCTTTTAAGAGTAAATTGATTAAGTGAGTACTTGCGTGCGGCACGAGAAGTCATGTATGCGAGACTACATGCGGGAGTCGTAACTAAAGTGCCCAGCTACGAAGACGCGAGCAACACGTCAGAACGGCGCGACCGACGTAACGCGCGCCAGTCCAATTGATTAGCCAACCGTACCCTCAATCCCCGAAAAAGTGTTTCAGAAGGAATCCCACTTAACAAAAAGTCTTGTTTGTTAGATTCCTCAAGTGGCGTAGGTCCACGGCCCACTTCAACCTTCCAGCATCTCAGAACATCAACTTACTCTCTACACTCTCCACCAACCCACAACATACCACCCCCAACCACCACAATGACACAACCCGATTCCATACCACCGCTCGCCCCCTCTCTCAGCGACAAACTTCCCAAACTCATCCCCCGCGAACGAACGACGCCAACGCGAGAACCGCCGTCCGCCCCTCCCCCGCCAACACCTCCTCTACCCGCGCCGCCAAACCTCGAGAACCACACCTACATCACCCCCTCGCGACGAATACTGAGTCCAGAAGATCACAAGCTCTTCCTCAGCAGCGACACGTGCACGCTCGTCGAATCCTTCATCTACAACATTGCCGACTCTGTACGCGGCCGCAGCATCTCCAGCATCAGCGACTCAGAAAAGACGCCCACAATCACAACCATCGTATCCATCCTACAGTCCGCCGAGGACCTGCTCTCCCAACACCCACCCGAAGATACCGGCTCCCGCTTCGGCAACCCAATCTTCCGCACCTACCTCACCGCCGTCGAAGCCGCACTGCCATCCTGGCATACCCAACTGGGTCTACAAGACACCCCCCAAGTCGAGGAAATTTCAACCTACCTCTCTCACTCCCTCGGAAACAAATCTCGAATAGACTACGGATCTGGTCATGAACTAAACTTCTTCCTCTGGCTGCTCTGTCTCAATAGACTCGGCATGCTACCCACCTCTACCTTCCCCGCGCTCGCGCTTATCGTCCTGCCCGCTTACCTCAACCTCATGCGCCGCATCCAATCAACATACTACCTCGAGCCCGCCGGCTCCCACGGCGTCTGGGGTCTCGACGACTATCAATTCCTACCCTTCCTGTTCGGGGCCGCACAACTGCTAGGACATGCGTACATAACACCGAAGAGCATACACAATGCGCTTGTATTAGAGGAGGAGGGGAAAGAGTACTTGTACCTTGATCAGATTGCTTTTGTGAATAGTGTCAAGAATGTCGAGGGGCTGAGGTGGCATAGTCCCATGTTGGATGATATCAGTGCGGCGAGGGGGTGGGGCAAGATTGAGGGCGGCATGCGGAAGATGTTTCGCAAGGAGATTTTGGAGAAGTTGCCGGTTATGCAACATTTTCTATTTGGGAGCTTGATTCCTGCGGTGGAGGGCATGAGTAAAGAGGAAGAGGTAGGGCAAGATGGGAAGGGCGAGGGCGAAGAGGAGGGTGTGGTTAGTGTGTTTGATGATGAGACGGGGAAGAGGCATGTGCATGCGAGTGTGGGCTGGGGCGATTGCTGTGGAATCAGAGTTCCAGCGGCTGTTGGGGCCGAGGGGGAGGCCAGGAAAGGGGGTGCGAGGGGTTTGAGGAGGGTACCGTTCGACTAAGATAGATAATGGGAACAGAGGTAAATGTTTATAACATAGATGGGCCATCGAACATACCCTGTACAAACGAACAATCAAACAAATATTCGAAATTGAAAGTGCATGCAATCTATTCATTCTCAGTGGTATCAAATACTATTCCTGCTCATTATCCTCATCCTCATCTTTCCCTTTTGCATGGCCCCCTCAGTCTCGATCCAATCTCCATCTCCATCTTCTACTTTACTTGTTGTTCAGCTCCTTCTCAATCTCCGCCTTGAGATCCTCGGGCTTCTTCGTGCTCGCCCACCTGCCCTTGACCTTGCCATCCCGTCCAATCAAGAACTTTTCAAAGTTCCACTTGACACGCTTCAAGCCCATGAGGCCGGGCTTCTCGTTCTTGAGCCATTCGAAAGCGGGGTCTGCGGTTGCGCCGTTGACCTATCATCATAACCATTAGCCATCATTCTCTTACACATTGTATCCAATACCCCCACCAAGGGAGGAAAAAAAAGACGGTGGCAAAGGAGAGAACACGTACATCAATCTTGCCCAGCACGGGGAAGCTAACACCGTAGTTCAACTGGCAAAACTCCTGAATCTCGTCGTTGGAACCCGGGTCCTGGCCGCCGAATTGGTTGCAGGGGAAACCTAGAATCTCAAAGTCGTTTGGGTGTGCGGCCTTGACTTCCTTGTAGAGTTTCTCGAGGCCCTCGAATTGCGGGGTGAAGCCGCATTTTGAGGCCGTGTTGACGACGAGGACGACTTTGCCGTTGAGCTTGGAGAGGTCGTAGGCGGCGCCTTTCTCTGCGGTAGCGTGTTAGTCGGATGTGTACGAAAGAGAACGGGGGAGAGAGAGGTGAGAGGATGTGAATGAGGAGGAGGCGAGACGTACTGTCCTTTGGCTTGAACTCGTAGAAGCTCGTTGCTGAAGCCATGGCTGGTTTCTTAGATGTGGTAAAGCTGAACGCTCTACTAAAAGCCTTCTGATACCTGAACACTTGCTGTATCTGTATGCGCGTCTTTCCAAAAAGCCGGTCGCGATGATCAAGTCGTAGAGTCGAAGCAGTATATCCAGTGGTGTGATAAGCAGATGCCACAGGAATAGCAGGAATAGTAGTCGTAAAGGAATCCCTAAGCTTTAAGACCAAAGCTCCCGCCCTCGTCACCCGCTGCGGGGCTGTGCCCCTAGCCCCTCCACCATTCACAACATGTGATACACCGGAGTTCCTACCCAACACCATCATTTTCGCCTTTGTCCCGCAGCGCTCGGTAACGCAATTGCTCGCTCTCACACTTTAAGCGGCACCGTAAGCGTTATGGTCTAGACGCAAAACGTAAAAAAAAGCTTCCGGACCGGGATGGCTTACAAAGATGGCGTGCGCGCGCAAGATGGGACGAGGGGCTTTCCGAGCGAGCTCTGACTCTGGCTGCTCTCGGAGGTCCGCTGCTTGCTTGAGCCGAGGCTTGGGTCAATGTGCCGGGCGAATAGAAGAGAGAGATGGATTGATTGGGTGGAGTGTCGATGACGTAGACGTAGTGGTGCGTCGATTTGAAATTATGGCCGCACCCGCTGGATATGGGTGTGATCGGGGGGTTTGGAGGATTACGCCGAGATGGATGAGATCGGGGAGTTCTTCGAGATGATGCGAGGCCGCCGAGCAGAGTAATGTTGCAGGAGAGATGGCATTGTAGCGTGCGCACGCAGGAGTCATTTATACGTCCTGTTGGGGTGGGGGCATGAGGTATGGGCTGGTTGAGCGGTGCGCGGTTGCTCCTATGTACCGGTGCTGGGAAGGAAGTCGCGACAGTACAGTAACTCCAACGTGGTGCGTCTCATGAAAAAGCCGACATGGCATGACCATAAAGCACAATATTTCAAGTCTCTCGTAATAAACAATCATCACTTCACGCATTATGACGCAGATGTGTGAGATGAAGATACTGATAATGACACTATGTACAAACAAACTACCGGGACGACCAACCTCCGCCTAGCGGGCAATGGTGTCTATACAAGACTGACCTCTCACCCTGGTCATCCTCCCTTCCGAAACGCCGACTAAAGAAATACAATTGAGATAAATCACTCCTCCGTTAACAATCGATCAATCTGATACATCAACCAAACTCATGCCAACCATTTTGCTATGAGTGGGACCGCAGTCCTTCTGACCCTCAATGGGGTGTGCTGTCGCCTTAAGGGCTGATCAGCGATCCTTCGGCATCCTAGTCCACGGCTGGGACATGTCCTTTGGGTAAGTATCCTTGGCTTGTGTCCAGAGGTATATCCATCCGGGAACATAGGCAGTCCATCCGAGACTTGTGGCAAGTCATGGTCCTTCATCCGCTAGGCACGCGGGAATTCCATCCGGGTTCGGAGAACGCAGAAAAGCAAACGCGATATATGTATGTTGGAAAAAAACAAGGGTAAAAATCCGGCTGTGTGCTGACAAACCTGCTTGGGCATGTCACAGCAGACAGAGTCTACCTGACACGTACTTCATTCAGCCCCCGAAGACATCCCTGTACTGGGTGCAAATGTCGTGAAGTCCGACGACCTCCTTGGTCAGTTGGATGTCGTCACCAAGATCACTAGGGGTAGTGAGGTTGGTCAAGATGTCGATGATGTGTTGCTTCTTGGTAAGGAAGTCCTTGGAAAGAGCATCGCGACGCTGCTGACGTTGTTGCTCAGCGGTGAGCTTGACTACCTTGACACGCTTCTCAGTAGGCTCCTCAGCAGAAGCCTTGCGCTTGCGAGAAGCAGACTTGCGAGCAGCCTGGCCCTGTACAGGAGACGGCTCTGTGGTGGGGCCGTCGTACTGGTGCACACGCTTCATGTGGTCGAAGAGGTTGTAGCGACGAGGGAAGCCGTGGCCGGGCATAGCTCGCTCACAATCCCTAAAGTGGCACAGGTGGGGCCTGGCACCGTGGCCGTGCATGCCATGCGCTTCACGCTCGTGACGGAGAAGGCATGCAGTAGAGGAGAACTGCACACCGACGCAAGTCTTCTTGTTGCAGCGGAAAGGCTTCAAGTGAGAGTCGACGTATTTGCTGTCATCGAGGTCAGATAACATCCAAGTGTGAATGACGTGAAAGAACTTACTCGTAGTTGCACTTGAGAGCTGTGGGCTTGTGGCTGCAACCTGCCTTACCCTCCTCGGGGCAGTGGTACTTGCCATCCTTGTCTGGGCTTTGCTGGTAAAGTGGGTGGCTGCGGGCGACCTTGGTGCGCTCTTCCTCGAGCTTGGTCTCGGCATTCTCAGACTGGGACATTGTGTCTTCGTTGCCGTCAAGGGACTGAGGGGCAGACGCAGTCTTAGCATCGTCGTTGTCATTGCGAGAGCTGTGGAGGCGTGATTGTTCAAAGTCCAACCCTTGAGGGAAGTGGGCGCTGGTGGTGCTGGTCGGGGTACCGACAAAGGCACCAAAGCTGGTGTCTTGTGCAGATGCTCGCCGTGACTCATCTTGAGTGTATGATGAGTTGCGGACAGTAGCAGGGCGCTCAATGGGGCCAAAGGTAGGGTTAGGCCACGTGCGCTGAGAAGAGAACATGGCATCGCTCGTGTTGTTGGCTGGCCATGATGTGAAGTTGAAAGAGCTGTCTTGGAAGCTCTGTTCGGTGCCCCATCGTGGCGAGTCGTTGATGGTAGAAGGGGTGAAGCGTGTCATGTTTGCTGTTGAGTACTGGTTGTAGTCCTGAGCAGTTGAGAAGTTAGCATATGAGAGGGATCCGTCCCTGGATTCCCATGGTCCTGATGTGGCAGATTGGTGCATGTGGCTCATGTCCAGGGTTTCAGGGAAAACGCTGTAATTGTCGGAGCTCATGGTTGGCGAGTAGATGTCGCTGCCGACAAATTGTGAGCTCATCCGGCTTCGGCTTTCCTGGCGGTTTACTTCTGGCTTCCTGGCTCCGCGCCGGCTGGCGCTGCTCTGGCTCTGGTATGCGCTGTCCATGCTGCACTCAGAAGCAGTGTCCTTCAGTTCGAAGAAGTCTGATGTGTGCATGTCCTGGAACTCTGAAGAAAAAGAAAAGTCCTCTGCGGAAACAATGGGCGTTGGGATTTCCTTTCTCCACTCAGTGATGTTTGAGATGTAGAAAGCGGGCTCCGGTGGTGAGTCGAAGAACGAGTCGCTGGACACCAAAGTTAGTATCCAAACATGCGCGTCAAACCTAGTTATAAAAAGAAAACGAGACAAAAGAAAACGCCATGTTAGTAAACCCGAATGCGAGGACCTACGCGACGATTAGTTAGCAAAGTCAAGAGGGGTCAGCATTCAGCAGCACGCACCTGGAAGCCAGTGATATTTTTATCATTGGCGACAGCCTGACGAGCCCCTAGAAGTGTCGGAACCACAGGAGCTGTCGAGCCGGATTGGTTGAGGCATCTCAAGGCAAGTAGGCGGTGGGACAGATATCAGTACAGGAACATCCGGAATGAGGCCAGTACCAGTAAAACACAGGGCAAGCATCCATAACATCTTGTGCTCCTTGAATCACACTCAAGTTAGTTTCGGATCATGGGGGTCGGTGAGGATAGGCAGTCTTCAGCCTACAGTACGTACTTCGTAACCGTCCAAACAATTCCAAATCAGCTCCATAGCCCGGACGGGCACGGGTTAGCACCCTGGCAGGATCCATGAGAGTCCAAGATGTGGTCATCCATGTGGCTGTGCAAAGTAGGTGTTTCCATTGGCAGTCCTTCGAGACCTGGAGTGGGATGGGCTCCTCATGGGCGAAATGTGTAAAGGCCTACTACTAGTCGTGCGTCGCCAAGTGCAGTCGAACAATAACATAGTTGAACGACATTACCGGAAGTTGCCTACGTTGTCCATACGGTGATGCAGGGCTGCATGCCGTTGTTGCAGATGATGTTCGATCGAATGCGATGTTGCGCATGTGACTAGTGAGGATCCACTCGTCCGTTCACCGCCGTTTCGAGAGCTTTGCATCTTAGCTCTGAACTCGGGGGCGTCGAGGCCTCGTGATTGTCGTGTCTACTAACACTGCGAGGGCAGTGTGCTACGCCTGTCGAAATCCTGGGAAGCTGGTCCAAATGATGATCCGGGCATGGTAAACTGAAGAAATGTGGCCTTGAAGCTGTCCATTACCGGGGCGGTAAATCCTGTGGAGAGTATCCTGTGGCATCCTTTGGGCATCCTTTGTGGGCTGTAGTGGCGGCAAAAATGAAAATAACAGTAGGAAAGAAATACATGATTCTAGCAACACAGGATGTCATAGTCATAGCTGAGAAAAGGCGCAAGTGAAAGCAAAACAGTAGTAGGGGAAAACCATTGGGCAGTAAGTACCTGGATAGGGCTCCGTTTGGGCTCCGAATTGTCATCCTGAGCAAGGGCTCTTGTATGATTGTCGACGTTTGTGAGATTTTCAAGCAAATTTAGCTAGAAAAGTGGCTGGAAGGTGGTTTGTTGCGAAAACTATTGTCGACGTGTGGTACTTGTGTGGTGTGGAAGAGGGAGGGAGGAAACGAGCAGGACGAGAGTGTGCGGCGCGGACACAAGTGCTGACCGGTTGGTGGCTTAGTCCAAGTGCCAACGCATAGACATAGCAAAAGGCCCCACAATACGAGTCCGCGAGTAAAAAACCTGTTACGGCCCTTTCGGCGGTTCCAAAGCCAATGGGTTAAATTTCGTATTCTGGCGACTGGGTTGGGACGGGTCAACTTCTTATCACTTTGCGTGCAGCGCTAACGTCACAGAGAGGGCGCTCGGTTCTCGAGGTATCCTACCCCTCGTCGACTGAGAGTGCAAGGCCAGCATTCCGCGTCGTCGGCGAAATGCTTCCTGTCGCTCACGGAAGGATTTGTGGGCCTTCAAACTAAATAGCAGCCAGGGGTACGGCCAAGGGGCAGCGATCAACGCTGCCAACCGCCAACCGCCAACCGCGAAGCCGGATGGCGGCTCGACAGCGCCGCCAAACCTGCAAAATCAGCGACTGTTCAGCCGACGGCGCACAAGATCCATGTGGCTTCTCGTCTAGTCCCGCGATCAACACGGAAACAAAAGATTAATGCGGCTCATGCTCTCAAATCAATTTGCGTGCAGCCTTGTCGACGCTCAGGATTGCGCGGCATGCGGACCACCGGGGAGTGAACGCGCAATATGGAATAAACTTTGCTTCACACGGCTTGCACGGGCTACGGGACAACGGTTGTGTCGTCCCTCCCGCTGCCTCACCTGTAACGCCTGGCATATACTCCCGCAGTCCCATGTTATTCATGTCCAAAAAATCAGGGTAGGGCTTATTTCTGTACATGTACAGTAAGCACAAACGTGCCGGTAGGGCTACATGTGACAAGGCTTCACAACAGCTCGTGGGAGCACATGAGCGAATCTCACTGTAACACGGATTTCCCTGGGGAGCCAGATTAGGCGTGCAGCCTGTCACAAACGTCGTCGGCGGCTGTTTTTGAGCAACGAGGTACAGCATTTGGCATTGCCATATTGCGACCATGCACTTCTTAGCGGCCCTGACCCTGCCTTATAGCGCAACGCCCACGGTAGGTCGCATGTTTTGATTGTCTATTCGAAGTCAGAAGGTGCTCAGATGGCCAAGAGAAATGTAATTCAAATGATGTGGTTTGTAATCAGATAGGAGCGAAAGACAATGCTGTTTCGTTCCTCATTGTCCAATGGACTAAGATGAACTATGCTTTGAAAATTGTGGTATCATCAGGAGAGGGAGGGTCGGGAGCGAATCGTAGTTCACGTACCTTTGGTTGGCGTTCGCTTCTCCGCTGAAGTGCAGCAATGAGAATCTACGGTGGTAAGTCCATTTGGAGCAATCGACGCGGACGTCGAAGCACTGCCTCGGACGGCGTGTATTGCATTTGCGCCAGGAATGCTGGCGTTGCATTGAGGATGGAGGAAGAGGTGCGACATATGCGCTGAGATGCGACAGGATTTTCACTCATCGGCCCGTCTTTTCAGTGGCCGAGCGATCTTCATCAGTGCCTGCCTATCTTCCTATGAAGAAACAGCTTGATGCCCGACAACAGGGAGCTTCAAACTTTAAAGAACGGCACATTCTCGTATTCCAGGATTTCGGAGGTCGTTAACAGAGATTGTGCCGAGCTCGGAAAGCACAGCGGCATCGGAGGGGCGAAGATGAAATGTTGATGAAGAGTCGGTCTGCAGTGCGAACGCGAAAAAAAGAACTGATGACCTCGCTTAGCGAAAGGGGCAGCTCGTTGTCTTAGTCAGCATCGACGTCATCGTTCAGCCTCCCGACAATGAACACCGGAACACTTTGCTTTCCCCTTCCCTTTCCCGGGACCCTTTGACACGCTGAACAAACCACAGGGTCTAACGTGTAACGCGATACAACGAGCCATCAAGGCACCCGAGAATATTCTGCCATTACGTCAACGAACCAACTTCACAAAGAAGCAATTTAAATCGATGCATGTAGTGCCTTCTGGTGTACCACTCCTACGCTCCATTGGGGTCCAACTTTCCACGTTATGACAGAGCGGCCATGTTGCAACAACGTGCGTAGCTTCTATAGCTCAAACACACCGTCGTCAACGTCGTCATTGGACCCTTTTACCCCAAATCTGAAGCCTGAAGGGTCGGACAGCTGCCACTATCACAGATCGGTCCTTCCGCGCCTACGCGATCTGCCTTGAATAGCTAGCGCGATCGGACTCACGATTGATCCAGGGGCAGTGCTCCATATTCTGGAATCGTCCAGCCTGTCTTCGAGACCACAGGTCTTGACAGAGGTCTTGTGGTTCGATATCACATGCCTGTAGACGTTATGTTGGCAGTCCGTATTTCCGATCCTCGAGACGTATAGTACACGCTGAATCATCAACGTCTCATTCGTCGCAGACGGGCGTTAGCTCTGATCAGCATCAATAAACTCAGCCTGGCGTTCAGCACTTATCCTATCGCGTCAATGTTACTGGTTCCAGGGTCCAACCCGCAGGTTCACAATGCGGGGGAATCTCAGCCGCCAGCTGATTGGTACGATCCTATATCGTCTGCGTAATGGTCATGCCACATGCGATCGCATGCTGTGAGCAGCAGACTGAGGAGAAGCATATGAAGGGAGCCGATATCCTGTAGAATCACTATCAAATCATCAGCAGCAACACACTCTTCATACACCAATCAATCAACACTACCACATCAATTTATCCCATACAATTTTCGCAATGTCTTCCCCATTCAAGAAGGTCTTTGGAGACAACACTACACCAGTCATGCCACAAGCACCCAAGCAAGAATCCGACAGACGGGCCTCAGAGTCGTCAATTGGTTCTTCACCCTCTTACGACGGCCGCCGCAGGGTATGTCTCCAGTACCCTAGTCTATGGAGTGATCCCATTGCACATCATTCTAACAATATGTAGTCGTCAGCCGCACAGCGATTTGCGAACCTAGAGGCCATGAAGCGTGGTAACGAGCAAAGTCAAGCCAGGAGACAATCAATCAACGAGATTTACGGAAAGCCTACCTTCATCGGTACCTTGTGGAACAAGTGAGTATATTGATCTACATGCCCTTGTATGGCACTGACAATCCGCAGTTTTACTCGTGGTCCCGTTAGCCCTCCTTCTCAGAAGTAGAGTTCTGGAGGTTTCACAGTTGTCGATAGACTGAACCTTGGAGCGGACATATACTGCCGCCGGCAACACGGTGCCGATACGATGGACTACAGTTGGCGTTCCAGCTATTATTGCTGGGGGTGGAAGGGGAGGAGTGTTTCTGTCGAGAGACGACACGCATGTCTGGAAGCGTGATAGTGGAGGTTTGGACCCCGCATTATGATCATGAGCATTTGTACAATACCAGTTGGATTTTATCTATCTTATAGCGGAAATATACAAGTTATCGCAACCCAAAGTGTAATCAAGTGACGATGTCTGGAGAATATCTTGGCTAAAGCTTAGACCAGTGCGGGGAGGCCCACCATGTTGTGATTGGGCGCTCATGAAAGTGACGTTGTGGCAGGAACATGCGACTTTGCTTGAACAACCCCTATGGTTATTGTACTCACGCATTTCTGCACAACACCCGCGTACGTGCACTGTTTTCAATCAGCTTCACGTCCGTCGTAAACCGGCCCAAGACGACCACTGTGTCAACGTCATCAGCCTAGTACCCCTCTACGAACACATCTTCGTTACCTGGTAGAATCGCGCCAGCTTCCCGACCATATCACAAACAGTCAAAATGGCAACCAAATCGCGTTCCTCAGCATACGGTGACACAACTAGCATCAATCTGAACCGTCTGCTATCGAGGTTGGATTCGATAGTACTGCTAGACCCATCACCCCAGTTGCGCAAGTCGGCGTATGAACGCGCACGTGTTAGTGCTGTATGCCATTCAACCGCCTTAGCATTCGCCTGTATTCAACTGACTGTTGGCACAGAATATTGAACATGCGCGAACGCTGCTTCTCAGTCTCGAACATTCAGCCTCCAAGATCCCTTCCAAATCGAAAAAAGCCGAACTGCAAAGCGATTTGTCAAAGAAGCGCGAGCTCATTAAGCAGCTGAACCAGCGGATATACGAGCTGAATCAGCTAGACGATACAGAGTCGGAAGCATCTGTGGATTCGGATGAGGAAGACGAAGATCAATTCCCATCATATGCGCCTAAAGTGAAGACAGAAGCTGGGCGTGATATTTCAACGTCGACAGAAGGCAACGAAGCATTCCAAAACGCAGCACAGGGCCTTGCATCAGAACTAAGGAGAAGAGGCAAGGCAGATACTGAAGTAGCAGGCGCACAAGCGGCATCTGGAAATTCATTATTGCCTTCCAAGTCTACCACGACCACAGGCGACCCGACACTTGCGCATACTGAGGCGCTCCTCTCACATGAACGAACCGAACAAGAGTCACTCACGGCGAACCTCCTCGATATGGCGAAGCAATTGAAGCAGCAGTCAATACACTTTGGCAATACGCTCGAGGGGGATAAGAGCATCGTGGATCGAACGCTTGCTGGTCTAGACAAGAACACGCTGAACATGGATGCTGCGAGTAGGACCATGGGCACACTGCGAAGGATGACAGAGGGCAAGGGATGGTGGGATCGGATGAAGCTCTATGCCATGATCGCTGGGCTATGGCTGATCGCCTTCCTCATCGTCTTCATTGGGCCCAAGATACGTTTCTAGAGCAGTGTTCGTCTGTTCTGGGCGAAGAATATGGTTTCTGTTCTTACGAATCACAGCCAGAGCATGTCATGGGTTATGGCGTCTACACAGGCCAGCATTGATCGACTTTGTGGGCCTACACATAGCTCTGGCGCCGAAGAAATTCCAGCCAGTATACTTATAATATATAGCAATACGTCCAGCTACAATGGCATTGTTGTCAAGGCTCCACCCATGACATGGCAGTCCGATCCTCGCCGCCCAGCCACACCTGGGCAGATCGATCAGGACCCTGCGCATCTCCAGCGCATTCTGCATGTAGCCGCTTAGCGGCTCGGAGCTACAAGTCATTGACCCGCAAATCCAGGAACAACAACACAACACAGCATTATTAATACCCCATTGACTCTCTTGGAATCTATAGAATCGCGCAAAGATGGCAGCTATGGAAATGTCCTCGTTGGGCGCACGCTGTATGTACCCAACCAGCCAACCATTCTCCCTCCCAATTCAAACTCCCATCGCGCACGCAAACCTATACTAATAAACCGGCGCACAGCTCTAAACCACAACTCCTCGGATGCAGAAGCCGAGTATGACCGTCTCCGAGACCTTGCGCGACAAGAAGCCGCCAAACGATCCTCATGCTTCGACCGCGCGCATCAGGCCTACGAATCCGGCGACGGCGCACGCGCCCACGAGCTCTCGGAAGAAGGAAAGGCCCATGCCGCCAAAATGGACCAATACAACCGACAGGCGCGCGACTACATATTTCGGGAGAACAATGCTGAAGGTCGCGTTGCCAGCGACACCATCGACCTGCACGGCCTCTTCGTCGAAGAAGCAGAGGACGTACTAGAAGAGCGTATCAGAGTAGCACGTCAACGCGGCGAGAACCATCTCCACGTCATCGTGGGCAAGGGCAACCACAGCAAGAACCATGTTCAGAAGATTAAACCACGCGTGGAACAGGTGTGTCGTGAGTTGGGGTTGCAGTATAGGACGGAGGAGAACGAGGGTAGAATCTTTGTTAATCTCCAGGGTGGTGATGTACATGAGATGCCGCCGCCGCCGCAGGCGCCGAGTTATGGGGGATATCCTGGACAGCATGGTGGTGGGCAGCAACATGGTGGTCAACATCATGGCGGCCAACAGCACGGTGGACAGCAACATGGTGGACAACAGCAAGGGCAACAGCAGGGTCAGAACGACGAGATTGAGCAGATGGTTAAGAAGGGTTTGCCCAAGTTGCTCAAGATGTTCAAGTGCTGCACTGTTATGTAGAGTTGTTTTGTATATATACAGGCAAGGGGTTTGATGGGTCTCGGAGAAGAACTTGTTGTACATACTCGTTGGGTGGCTTGTAGAAGGCGATATTTCTTTCGATACCCGGTGATGAGTTTTGGATAGCTATGACGGTGAACGACTACCTGTGCATCATACTGAGATATGGTTTATCATGGCAGTGAAGATACAAGCAATGCATAGTTCTTCTTTGGAAACCAACTAGGTTCGTCCTTTTCCTTTGAAGCTTCATGCAGGGCACCGATACTTGAGGCGCTTGACACGCAGGGCTATTGCATTTCTCGGTAGCAATACAATGGCCCAAAAGACAACATACGTATAAGAGCCCTTTTCGGACTCGATAACGAGGCATCTCTCGGTACTACCAAACCTTTTTCTCACGCTTCATGTGGACGAGTGGTTCACCAAGCTGCCGATAGGCTGTGCGCTTGCATATGCCGGTACTGACCTGCGTGTCCTGTCCTTTCCATCTACTGACGCACTGTGGGTGCTGGATATGTCTGTCATCATACCATGTGCGGAGTATAAGAGGGACTTTGGACCCTAACCTGTGGTTATCCAAGCTACACTTCCATCTTCTTCTGTCTTGTCCCCTCCTGACCCACACATTGGCGGCAGTAATCCGCTGCCAACCATGTCGCTCAAGTCCTCTGACTGGAGTGCTCTTCTGTCTGCTCGGTGAGTTTCTATCCATATTCCCTCTACTCCACCCGTCTAACACCCCCGACCAGGAAATCCTTCGTCCTACCCAAGTCAGCCATGTCAAACCAAAAAGACCCACCCACCGAAGCCGTCCCTCTACTGTCAGACGCAGAAACCGCCTTTCCCGATGGAAGAAGATACACTCTAGACTCACCCCTCCGCCCAGAGCCCGCGATATCCAGATATGTCGGCAGGATATCAAAGATCAAGCTCCAGCTAGACAAGATTCGTCATCGATCTACCATCGACGAAGAAAAAAAGGATGGTGTGGCGGTGGGAGGCCGCAAACAAAGAGACTACCAGATCATTCGCAAGGAGTGGATGGTTGTCCAAAAGGGCCTTGCGAAAAGTGGTGCGTTTGAGCCGTTTGAAGAACCGGTTCTAGAGGCGTTGGATGAGGTGTTTGGGAAATGGGTGGGTGTCTGTGATGAAGTGGTAATGCAGCCATCGCCGGTGCGTTCTTTGGAGACGATTGGGGAGGAGGGACTAGACTTTCTGGAGGGTGATACAGCTGTTTCGTCGCCGGATTTAGGCGATGAGGGGTGCATGACTGGGATGGATGGAGCCAAGATGTGAGTTATTAGCTGGTGTGTGCTTTGTTCAGGATTAACTGTATGCAGATGAGTTGTGAGTTGTGGCCACATGGTGTTGAAGTGAAGCTCCGAAGAGATCGTGATGGGAACGGTTGATACGCGAAGTGGTGACACCGCGTTCGACCATAACCTCCCCTCTTTGCTGATCATTTTACCGGTATTACCGGGAGTGTGATATCACTGCATCGCCTTATGTATTTGAGTGCCCGCTCAAGCATCTCGATGGGAAGTCACAGGGACATGACCTCAGCTACGGAGCGCGAGTTGCATTCGCGTCTTGTCACTTCACAATCAGGCAATACGAGACCGTATCGCACGTTTCTGTTCTCTCTTAAATGATTATCTATGCGAATGCTATAGCTAGAAAGACCTGGTTCGAATTGTGTATCATTGTGTATTCGCTGCTGCAAACGTCGACAGCTTCTGCCGTCGCGGGGTGCCTTCCAGTTCTCTCTTCAGCGTGGCCATCCTGGTAGCCTTGTTCTTTCTTCAAATGCGCTACTTCCACAGAAGAATAGTTTTTTACGCGCATCTAAGTCACAATCCCTCACATCTCCCATTGTCATCATATGCTGTTCTCCTACACAGTCTCTCACTCTATCCCTAATGCATCTTAGCACATTATCGCGCAAGACAGAGACACCCTATCATCATAAATCCTATGGGAAGCTCTTTCCTGAGTCTGCCCTCGCCTCCTCCACCTATCTCTGAAATCCACAAGGCGCAGCGAAAAGATGCCGCACTCGACATTCTCCACACGTCCAGCCTCGCACAGTTGTTGGATCAAGACAATCGACCTACCTTCGTTCTCAACATGGATGATTACGCGAAAGGAAGCGGTGTGCCGATTCAGCCCATACTTTGCAATGCGGCCCTGATGGAGCAAGAGCAACTGCTAAGCAAGATCACAAATGCTCCGCCAGGTGAACCCGACTCTAGAAATGGCGGGGCGACACACGAAGAGTTCCGGATCTGGGCCACTGTGATTAGCAGGTTCGAAGACTCTAGAGACATTTTCCCGATTACGATAGAGTATCAAAATTTGATTTGGTTGGGAATCTGTATCCATCCCAATTGGAGGATAATTAGCGCCCACGCGATCTTTCACAACAAGGACATTCCACAAGGAGATCCGCTATCTGCATCTGCACCGCGACTTGAGAGAGAAGGAAATGGTGAACTTACGAATGATATGAGGAAAGCACTGGCTTCTGCGGAGGCGATACCGACGCATGAGATCATCAAAGATGTGCAACAGCCTAAATTCCCACCTGTATCTCTTGGGTTGTCTCTCGGCCAGGGTTCCAAAAATGCTCGCTCTTACAGCATCTCATCAGTAACGTTGTCGACACCAGATTCTACTGTGCCAGACTGGACAGTCCCACATCCTAGAGGCGTTCTATCAGAGCATCTCCAATTCGTGAGAAGTATCGACTGGTCCAAGACACCTCTGGGCGCTATGAACAGATGGTCGATTCAATTTCGAGAGATTGTTTGTTTGGTCATGCGCAATCCTCACCCTTCGTCTGTCTTCTGGGGTGAGGATCTCACCATGCTCTACAACGAAGCCTACCGAGATGATGTAACTGGAGACAAGCATCCTGCTCTGATGGGTACTGGTTTCTCTGGTCCTTTTGGCGAGATGTGGCACGCAGTTGGACCCATTATCCGCGAGTGTGCTCGCACTAGTCATGCACAGCTCACACACAATCAACCATTGCCCATTATGCGATACGGCTACATGGAAGAGTCATTCTTTACATGGTCTTTCGTAAGCATACAATTCCTTCACATTGTCATTTGAACAAGGTTTACTCACATGGGACTAGGTTCCAGTCTTTGGGGGTACTGAGCGGGTACTAGGGTGTAAGTGATGCTGCAGCATATTGCAGGACAAGCATCTTTTACAGCATCGCCCCGATTACTCTGGATGACTAACAGACATATGAGATACAGTCTATCTAAATGCTTTCGACACAACAGTCGAATCGATCAGCAGCAGAAGGATAGAATTATTGCGCTATCTTGGCGAGTGCATGAACGCGACACGCACTGTCAAGGAGTTCTGGGAAAGAGTTCTTGACGGTCTCAACCACAACGAATACGATGTTCCGTTTGCTCTCTTGTACTCCATATCCGACTCAGAAGATACCGATACTGCCCGGTCGCCTGCTTCAGATGTTTCCACCTTTCCGAACAAATTCTGCATCCTAGAAGGAACAATTGGGGTGCCAAGAGATCATATAGCTTGTCCTGAGAAATTCAACCTGAGAGAAAGCTACGACACTTTGACCTCAGCTTTCAGTGAAGCTACACAGACACTAGAACCCAAGATGCTATGCGCAACGCAAGGCTCGCTACCGGAGTCCTTACTGGAGGCTGTTCAGTGGAGAGGTTATGAAGACCCGAGTAGAGAGGCAATGATCTTACCTCTTCGACCGACAAATGCGGACAACACTTGCGCTTTATTGTTGCTCGGCATCAACCCTCGCAGAGCGTACGACCAGGAGTATCGGACTTTCTTAGCCATGCTCAACAGACAGATTGCAACATCTTTGGCATCAGTTCTTCTATTCGAAGATGAGGTACGACGGAGCAAGCACGAAGTAGAGTTGGCTACGCTGCAAAAAGAACAACTATCGCTACAGCTACGGCTCCAGACAACTCGAATGCGCCGAATGACCGAGTTATCGCCCCTGGGTATGTTCTTGTTCGAACCGGGTGGACGTTTACTAGAGGCAAACGATCGATACTATGAAATGACAGGTGTCTCACCCAAAGAAGCTGAAGAACCTTGGTCCGTTGAGATGATGATGGGAGATAGCCAAAGGGTCAGTCGGGAAATGTGGGACTGTAAGCAACACCCCACATGGACTGTTATGCGATGTATACTAAACATCAATCTCATATACAGATATGGTGAATGAGCACAAGCCGGCAAGTCGTGAGCTTCAGTTCGCCAACTCCAGAGTCCAGCCCAAAGATATTGACGGCCAACCTATCGAGTACTGGGTCCTTGTAAACAGTCAACCCGAAATAAATGCCGACGGTGATCTGGTCAGCATAATGGGCTCGATTACGGACATTTCCCATCTCAAATGGGCGCAAGGTCTACAAGAGAGGAGATTACGAGAGGCTGAAGAGTCGAAGCGCCAACAAAATGAATTTATCGACATTACATCGCACGAGATGCGAAACCCACTTTCTGCTATCCTCATCTGCGCTGATGACATCCGAGATACCCTGAAAAAGCACTGCTTTTCAACCGAAACCGACAAAATAATGGCAAAAGACTGTATAGAAGCTGCCAACAACATTGCTCTTTGCGTTCAACATCAAAAATCTATTGTTGACGACATCCTCACTGTCTCCAAACTGGACTCCAATCTTTTGCGTATAATACCAATGCCATCACAGCCGATCGTTGTGGTTCAGCGCTCTATGGCCATGTTAGTAGATTTGGTGCACAACACTTCAAATCTGCATACACTGACTCCTTACCACAATGTAGGTTTCGCCCAGAAGCACATGCCAAGAAGATAAGCTTCAAGTTCGACCCGCACCCTAGTCTGCATGAACTTGACATTGACTGGGTACTACTAGACCCGGTGAGTAGCCCCAGACATATACTGTGTGTGTGATTAGTGCTGATTACAAGTATCGCCATCAAGGGTCGGCTCCTTCAGATCATCGTCAATCTCATCACCAATGCAATAAAGTTTACTCAGGATTCGCCAACCCGTTTGATCACCGTCCAGGTCTCTGCACACAAATATCAGCCCAACTCTGATACATCTCGAGGATTTGACTTTGTCCCACCAAGAAATACAGTAACCGACATGACAAGTGGTGAGTGCTGGGGCTCAGGTCCCCTCGTCTACCTTCAATTTCAAGTGCGAGACACTGGATGCGGACTCTCGCCACAGCAAAAGACCATGTTGTTTGAGAAGTTCGCACAGGCCTCGCCACGGTCGCACGTGCAATACGGCGGGAGTGGCCTAGGACTCTTCATTTCACGTCAACTCGCTGAACTTCATGGTGGCCAGATCGGCTGTGCGTCAGAAGCTGGTGTCGGGAGTACCTTCGGCTTCTATTTGAAGTGCAAACGCATATTGCCACAACGGCCTGCTCTACCTAGTAATGCGCGCAGACACTCCTACGAACCCGAGCAACACGCAACATTCTGTGAATCGATGGAAGCGACAGCTTCCAAGATCGACGAGAAGCTTGTAAACGTGGCCCTAACGCAGCGCATCGAGGAGTCCAAAGAGCTGGAAGCACCCCAAGAATCAAAGGTAATCCCAAGCCCGGAGGATCCAAAGAATGTAGAGTTACCCAAAAGTCCAAATGACTCACCCAATGAAACCTGCCTCCACGTCCTCGTCGTGGAAGACAATCTCGTAAACCAAAAGGTGCTCTGCAAACAACTCACAAAAGCCGGCTGCCACATCAGCACCGCTGACAACGGCGTCTGGGCCCTCAAGCACCTTGAAAAGACAAATTTTCGCAACAATACAAACGGCATTCCACTCTCTATCATCCTCATGGACTGCGAGATGCCTGAGATGGACGGCCTGACGTGCTGCAGAAAGATACGGGAGATGGAACAAAACGGTGAGTTGAACAGGCATGTACCTATCATTGCAGTCACAGCGAATATCAGAGGTGGTCAGATTGATACAGCCAAGGAGGCAGGTATGGACGAGGTTATTGGTAAACCGTTCCGGATTCCGGATCTTTTGGCGAAGATGAAGGGACTGTTAGAGAGGTTAGAGAGTTGATAGAGTTGTACTTTTTATCGGTAGCACCAAATTGAGTCTTTTTAAGAGGATTGCGTGTCGGTTACATGTGATGTCTCTTTCTTAGAGCACTTGTGTATGCACAGCTGTCTGGATAAGCCAGTCCCAACACACTAACAGGTAGGCTGCCGTCTTTAGACTCGATGGGGTTCATCTTCCCAACCTCGTTCCTTGCAATTAATTCCACTGGTTGGTCATCACACATCCAGCATATCCCGACACTACCCAACGCACCATCGGTAGCCTTCAACCCAGATTTTAGTCACACCATCACATCCTAGACTTGTTGTTTTGACCCCTCAAAAAATTTACACAGAGAGAAATACTCTCACAGCCTTGCTTGTCTTTTATAGTCTCCCCAGAACACACTATACCATGATAACACACCCCCAGACACTCAACCCCACCATGCTATCTAGAAGGCGCTAATTTAAACTCCGAGCACATACCACGCTATCATAAAGATAAGTACGAATTTTTAAGACCAACCATCTTCAGGGTTGTAATGCTTTTATAACCTCCAGAAAAAGGGAACCAACTTAGAAAGCGAGGGACACCATGGGCGATGTTGATTATTTTTTTACTTCCCAACAAACTATCCGAAGGTTTGTAATGCTTTTTTAACCCCCCAGAGAAAACAGAACCTACACAGAAAGCGAGGGACACCATGCACGACGTTGATGTGTCTTTTTTTACTTCCCAACAAACCATCCGGAGGTTTGTGATAATTTTTTTTTACCCCCAGAGAAAACGGAACCCACAAAGAAAGCGAAGGACACCATGTACGGCGTTCTTCAGTCTTTTTTTACCTCCAGACGAACCATCTGAAGGTCCGTCAGGGGTTTTTTATCCCCAGAAAAAGCTAGACCCACAGAGGGAGAGAGAAAGACCCTGTTATGCGTTTTGTCATAATTTTCAACTTCCCAACAAACCATGTATGGGTTCGTTAGGCATTTTACCCTCCAGAAATTTCGAAAACCACACGGAGAAAGACACCATCTGGGTAGTGACTCGTTCTTTCAAACTCCCAACAAACCATGTGCATGTTTGGTGTGTTTTTTACTCCCCAGAAAAATCGGAAACCACACAGAGAAAGACACCATCTCACGAATCAGCAGTGACTTTTTTTCTCAACTCCCCCAACATACACCATAGACTCTGGCATTTTTGTAGAATAAAGAACCACACCCACTCGCCCGCGCACACATCTGAAGGCTTTTTTGAAAACTCAACCACACACCCATTTGCACGGCTTTGTATCGTTTTTGAATCACATAGAAGGAAAGTTTTTGTGAGGATGATAAAGAAGAAGAAGGGAAGGCGCAGGAGGTACGGTTTATATGTCCTCACTGTCTGCGATACCGGCGTGCTCACGTGATGGGTTGCTAAGGACAACGATGTCGGAGACGCTGTTGTCTTATGGAGGTGGGGATCATCGCGCGATTGCAACGTCACGTGTGCTGATATGCCGCTACTCGTTTGCAGGTTGGGCATTGGGTTGGATCGAATGAGTACGGGGTTGGGCAGTGAGGTATAGCATGGTTATAGGAGAGGTATCACAGTAACGAACTACAGCTGTAGACTATCAACTACGAATGCAATAGATACCCTACAGACAGCGTTTCCTCTGGATTGCACTACAGTAAGGTATGCGCGCGCACAGTATGCGATACGCGCTTGTACCGTACGTTTACCTACGTAAACGTGACTCGGGCGCAGTTACCACGCTACGGGTACTCCACCCGCAGTAGTCACGGCTTGTACTACGCACCTGACTTGAATTGGACTCGAGAGTTTGTCAGTCCCGCAATTGTGGCTTGGTAGGCTTGCGATTGCGATGGTCAGGCAGTTGGCCGAGTTCGGGGTTTTCCTCTGTCAGGAAGGCGGTGTCGTGGCGTTTGTTCGGTGAGAGGGGCCGTGGAGAGGGCGTTGGTGATCAAGATCAGGGAGGTCAACGGCTACGGCTATGATGTAAGGGAGGGGGATAGTAGCCAAGAGGAAAAGAATATAGAAGGTAGGCGGATTAGCTTATAGCGATGGATGAGATGGAGATATTTTTGTGCTAGTACGAGAAGGCAGTGATGATTAATATGATGGTTGATTTGCGATTGAAGGAAGGGATGATATGCGTAGCATAGCATGGCTTAGAGATAGAACACCATTTATGCGTAGCATGGCTTGGAGATAGAACGCTATTGCGTCATGCTAAGCCTTCGTTACGTGTGTCTAGATAATAGCAAAGCTTTCTTCAAAGTCTACTCTCTCGAGCAATAACTTATCTGACTCGGGCGCTTTGTACTATGCACAGCAAGTGGTCTATCAACGAAGACTAAGTCATCATATTACACATAGCTACCATGCATATCAAGTAGTCCATCAATGAAGACAAAGTCATCACATTACACACCACATAATTTCACCAACACAGTTCTGAGCAACGGCGGATACAGCAAAAACATGCCACACCAACCAACTGATCAAATTGCGCCCATCATCTCCTCTTTTCCCTCGCCACAAAATGCATCTCTCTACATGCGTTTCTAAGGATATCATGGTATAGTAGGTAGTAGACAAAAAGTGAGAGGAAAAAATGCTTATTCAGCAATAAAAACACCATATACAGATAAGATAAACACCAAAACCCACTGGGACCCGCCCAAGCAGCATTACAAATGTTGCTGGGCCGATAAGAAACAACAACAGTAATACCCACTTACAATAAAGGTAGTATAACACCCTTTCTTATAGGGCTGCCGCGCCCATCAACAGTACTGCCCTCGGCACTATATCCCGAATCCCGATCAACGTCGTCATTGTCAAAGTCGATATCGAAATCCGGTTCCTTCTCCTCCTCACCGTCCTCTCCTTCCTCGTCGCCGTCCCAGGCCTTCTGTGTTGCGCCGCGCGAGTTCCAGCGGAGCGTGCGGGAGATGCTGTCGAACCACTCGGTGGGCTGTGAGAGGACGGTGGGGAAGGGGTACTGGGAAGCCGCAATGGTGACGTGGTCACCCTGGCGGAGCTCGACGCGGCCCTTGCCGTCAAAGGCGCAGTATGCGGTGGCGCGGGACTTAAGGGGCACGGCGATGCGGAGGAGCATGCTGTCGTTGAGCAGCATAGGGCGGAAAGACAATGTGTGTGGGCAAATGGGCGTGAGCAGGATGGCCGGGATATCTGGATGCACGAGCGAGCCGCCGGCGGAGAGCGAATATGCTGTTGAGCCGGTGGGTGTGGAGAAGATGCAGCCATCTGCTTGCACAACGGTGAGCAGGTTGTTGTCGCCGTACAGCTCGAGGTTGGAGACGTAGGGCGATGGGCCGCGGTCGATGACGAGCTCGTTGAGTACCTCGAATTGCTCGGCTTCAATGTGTTGAGGCGAATCTTGCACAGTGTTCTTCTGGTACCGGTATACGGTGCAGGTGAAGCGCATGCGGAGGTTGACACGCATACCCGTCTCAGACATGATTTTGTCGAGAGCTGGTCGGTATTGCGCAAACTCAAAGTTTGTCAGGAAACCAAGACTACCGAGGGAGAAGGACAGAATCGGGGGTACGATGCGCTGGAAGAGCCAGGAGGTGAAGAGCACAGTGCCGTCTCCACCCAGGGTGAGCACCAGGTCGAAAATCTCAGGGGTTTCCCAGCAAAGGTCTGGTGTCCACCAGCGAAGCATGTTCTCGTAGCGTTTGTCCTTGGCCAACAGGGAGGCAGCATCGAAACGCTTCGACTTGCGCAGCTTGTGGTCCACGTAGACGTTCACTCCAACATCTGAGCCGTATCGAGAGCTAGTCATGAGCCATTCAGCCAACTCGCGCGTGAGGTACACAAGGTTGTTGTCGCGAGCCTTGGTAACAATCATGACATTGCGCACCGTCATCTTGATGGGCCGTCGCTGGAGCTGCTTTGAGACCTCACGAACACTGCATGCGGTTTGCATCAGCCTGGAGTGCGATATCGAGTCATCGTCGTTCATCTCTTCAAGCACTTTTCCCAGGTTGACTGCCTTGTCAAACTTCTTGTGGAAGAAGCATGGCGAAGCAAGCGCGGCCATCTTGCTTACAGAAAGGTCGGCTGAATGCAACTCGAGCTCGGACAGAGCCTTTGCAAGTTGCGCATGGTTGATGCTCTTGCTGCGCGACTGTTTTCCTTCGTCACCACCAGCGTTGTCGACCATGAGTTGATTCATCGACTGTGTGGTTGGCGGTGGTCGAGACTGCAGGGCCTTGAGCAGGGTCTGGCGGGGTATAGCCGAGTCGATGGATTGGGCGTTCTTGCGATGCTTCCGAGTGCGATTTTCACCAAAAGAGGGCACACGCGGAAGGACAGAGAGGTTCTCAATGGATGAAGAAGTGCTGATTCCGACGGGGTGGTCTTCGTGACGGCTGTATTCGTCCGATGTCAGACTGGGGGGTTGTTGGGTTGCAGCGGGCGGGCCGCCTTTGATTGTATCCGTTACCGAAGCATTATATGGCGCATCCCGGGGGCAATGGAGGCTCGTCTTCGGGGGTTGCGGGGATTCAGGTTGGGCGCGATGATAAGATGAGACATCGGCATCGACGGGGTTAAGGCCGGAGGAACCTGAGTTGAGTTGTGGGGACAGGAGCGGATGAACCTTGGCCGGGCTAAACGGCTCCCCATTGTGGTGTGTGGCGGAGGAAAACATGGTCGCCTTGATTATGTGATGTGTTACTGAGGATGCGCCAGTACGAAAATGGCGCAAAAAGTATTGACTCCTGGTATGGTTGCTGGCTGACCTGGGGACCTTGGCAGATGGTATCTAACCGGAGGTATTTTGTTCGGGTGCCGCGGAAAAATATATGTACAGGGAAGATGAACGTAACCAGACGGGTTCGGTTGAATAATAAATGCTCCGGGCAAAGAAAAAGACGAGACAAAGGGAAACGTTGGATCGTTGCTACTGCATATGCGCGAGTCGTGAGGGTGCTCGTTTGCTCGTTGCGGGATGGTTGGGCGGTGGTGCGGCTTGGTGATGGCAATGTAACTAACTAGTAATGTGCGCAACGCAAAGGAAGGAAATTGCTTATTGTGAAGGAAGAGCCCGGCTCGACCGATGAAAAAAAAAGAAGAAAGGGAAGAACAGTGAAGTGTGCACGACGGTAAACCGCGTGTCAAAAGAGCGAAGGCGCAACTGGAGTGATGGTGGTGCGGCTTGAGGCAGTTAGGCACGACACGAGGCCCGACTATATTGACTTTCCCATCTGCGCGACATCTGTGGCACTCGCCGAGCCACATCACGATCCCACGCGCCAGCCTCAAACAAAGATACCGTCACTGTGTAGCGGCTAACCCGTCGGGTTCATGTGACACTCCGCGTGTCACAAACCCGTGGGTCCACGCCGGCGTATCTACCAAACATAGAACGAAGCTTGCATCCAAACCACGATCTTGACACAAATCTCATTGCCCTGAGCGGCCCAGAAGCACCTGTCAGCCTGTCTTGCAAGGCACGCTCCAGCACACACCACAACGTGGCGACTGTCTAAGACTGTCAACAATCCTTTGACAGCTCTTTGGCTACACCGCCAGTGGGTCTACCTCGTGAACAAGTCTCAACGACAGGCTTGTACCGATACTCTCCGAGTTTGATCATCCCTTCGCCTGGATCGTACAGTGGAACCTACGACAATGGGCATATGGGTTCCATGCCGCAGTTTGAATCGCATCGCCCTCAGTAATGCCGCTTGCCGACTAGGCTAATTGAGTTTCTCTAGCGACGAAACGCACCGCATCTGGGTTAGTCCATCAAAGTCTCCATATCCTCCTCTGCGTCGAGATGACATCTGGTACATGGTCCGTTTAGGCAAGACAGCTGCCTCCTCGCTAAATGCTCCCCGGCGCAACGCCCGCCAGGTGGAGGCATACGGCATTAAACCTACTGCCGCTAGACCCGATGGCCCACAGACTTCATACGCCACGTAGGCTGCGGCATGAAAGTCGCAATGGCGTAGGCGGTTTACGGCACACGTTGTGTAAAATGTAGAGTAAAGTGGACTTATCTTTGGGGTTATGAGACCTGTCTCCGCGTTGCATCTGCCCAATCGCGGTAGGTCAACCCTGTGTTTGCCTCAAACCGCAGCCTGAAACCCACGCATACCACTGGTCATTGCTGTAAATCTCTTTTAGGAGCCATTCGAGAAACTGCCGGATAGGCGTGCATAAGTGGATAGGGGTAGCGGTCCGAAGCGCACACCAAGCAAACAGCCCTCGTTGAGACTGTCCTCCGGTTTTTCCCGGAAACGCAGTATTGCAATTGACGCTGAGTTGATTTAGTGACATTGGTGACATTCATGAGAGCGGCATGTTTGATCAGAGCGGAATATGAATCAGTAGAGGAAACTGTGCTGCGGCTGCATGTATTCTATTGCGGCCTATCAGCTATGGGAGGGTCTTCTTGAATATGAAAACTCCGTCCCTTTGGTGCCAGTATTTGCCAACATGTACATAACTTTTGGGTGTTTTTAGTCATTCACATGTCGTGGTATCTAGTGGGGTCGCGAGGAAAAGGAAACTGGTGCGTCGGGCGCTTATTGGAGAGCCTTGCGAGCAAAGGTAGGCAGCACAAAGGCGGCCTCGTGGATCTCCTTGCTGTAGTACCTGCACAGCTGCTCCTCCTCTTCAGTGGACCATGTGCGGAGCGGCTTCTTGAGGTCGCGGTTGGCGTCCTTGCTGCAGACCATGAAGCCAATCTGGCCGGAGGGGTAAGTGGGGATGGTGGTGTAGCCGTATTCGACGTTGGGGAAGACCTCCTTGCAAGCCTTCTTGAGCTCGACAATGAGGGGCATGTGAAGCCATTGGTTCTCAGCTATAATGATTGTTAGCCGCTGACCAAAGTAGCACCTGTCCGGCGCATGGTGGTCGTTGACAAGTGAAAACAGACTAAGGGGTTGAGAGAGGGCTTACAACCTTGGGTGGTAATGACACCGCCTTCTCGGAGCGCGCCGTTGAGCAACTCAAAGTATGACTTCTGGAAAAGAGCCTCAGCGGGACCTTCCGGGTCGCTGGAGTCGGTAATGATGACGTCGAACTCGCCCTTCTTGTCCTCGAGGAACTTGAAGCCGTCACCAACAATGGTGGTGGTCTTGGGGTGCTCGAAGCCGACAGACATGCCGGGGAGATACTGCTTGGAAAGCCGGATGACAGCCTCATCAATGTCGCAGAGGACAGCCTCCTTGACGCAGTCGTGCTTGACGACCTCACGGAGGACACCACCATCACCGCCACCAATGACCAAAACCTTCTCAGGGTTGGGGTGGGCGTTCATGGCGAGGTGAGTGATCATCTCCTGGTAGCTATCCCAATATCAGTCATTGCTCATGATTCTGTTATGATGTATCGTACGAGAACTCATCGCGTTCAGTGCACTGAATGACGTTGTCGAGAACAAGGACGGTTCCGTAGTTGGTAGACTCGAAGATGAGGACATCCTGGTACTTGCTCTTCTCGTGGTGAAGAACTTCCTTGACCTGGAGGGTCATGGCCTGACCAGGCCACATGCCGGAGATCTCGCGGAACCAGCCATCTGAGTCGGTCTGTTAGCGACTGATAAGGAATGGAGGGGTTGGCGTGTATTGAGAAAGCACTTTCTATGCAGTGGTAGGCATCTATTTACCTTTGATGGTGGGGTGCTCAATGGAAGGCATCTTGGTGAATTGGTGGATGGAGAAAGGTCGTTTAGGTAGATGGAGTGTTTTGGGAGTCACGCAGTGTATACGAAAGTAAACAGAAGACTGGCAGAGACACCGCTGGATATATATGGGGACCTTCAGGTTTGCGGAGTTTTCCCAATGTTTGCGTTGGGCACAATTTTCTGAGGCTATGCACGTCACTGGTCGCGCTCGCCGCGTTTGCCCCGCCATCGCCCGCCATCATCCTAGGAAAGTCCAGCCGCCAAATACCGAGCCTTGGTTTCAGCATCATGTATAGTCGATGATGCTTCTGTGGAATTCCAAGGTATGATATGGCTAGGAAATACGCTGCAGGTACTCGGTGCAGTGTTCGAGCCGAACTGATTTAGAGGGCGGCTTCAAGGGCCGGGTGAGAACGAGGGCGGACATGCGCCTGACGCTATCTCCTTTTGGTATATTATTACATGCGCTCAGCAACCACGAAGAACATATAAGACCTGGGATGATAGAAAAAATAAAGCGCGTCACCATTGTCCTAGCCTACCTGTTTATTGCCTGGTAAATATGACCGACGCGCAATCTGCCCAGGATGCCACCGAGAACCTCCGCAGCAAGCTTGAGCAGATTGTCGAGACCAAAGCATACGTTAATGACCTGGAAATTGTGCCATGGTACACGAAGGAGCTAGAAGAGCCAAAGCCGATGGTCAGAGACTTGTTCGAAAGCTATAGCAAGGTACCCTCGGTCGACGTGGTAGCACACATCAAGCACGTGAGGGATGAAGCCTTCAAGATCGTAAGCTCATCTTAGCACTGTATACAAAGTAACCATGCCAACGAGTCGTCTAGTATCCATATCCCTGTTTGGGCAACTGGGGCTTTCTGAATTTCTCCGTCGGTGAAGGACCAGCCTATCAGGAAGTTCTCGCCCGCATCAAGAGTGGAGAACAATACCTCGATCTTGGCTGCTGCATGGGCCAGGACATTCGCAAACTGGTCCACGACGGTGCTCCTTCAGAGAATACGTTTGCTTCTGATCTCAAGAAGGACTTTTGGGACTTTGGCTACGAAATGTTTCTGGACAAGTCTACTCTGCAGACTCGCTTTGTGCAGGCCGACATATTCGACGCTGAGTCCCAGTTGAAAGAGTTGGACGGCAACATGGACATTATCAATGCGGCATCCTTCTTTCATCTGTTTGGTAGAGATGGACAGGTCAAAGCAGCAAAACGAGTTGTTCGGTTGCTGAAGCCGCAAACTGGGAGTCTCATTGTCGGAAGGCAGGGTGGCAGAGCCGATGCAGGCGGGGTTGTGTATGAGAGCAAGACGATGACGGCTTTCTGGCACAACCCTGATACATGGGCGGAGCTATGGAAGCAGGTCGGCCAAGAGACTGGTACGGAATGGAAAGTTGAAGCGACTCTTGGAGCAGAGGATCTCTCAAAGAGGATGAAGACGAACCTGGTACCTTCGGGAACGAGATTCATGACATTCACCATCCGTAGAATCTAGAGGAGACGTGGAAGGAAGCATGCTGCTCATGGAAGGGGAAAAGTAGATTTGTACTAGAGTTAAGCCAATTTGAACATGTAGTCTATGGTAGACTGTTGCTGGCCAATGAGCGGCTGACAGGGTCCAAACTCAATCTGGCTTCAACACCACCACGTCGTCAATCGCGAATCCATTGCTACCTGCTACTCACGTCTCTCGCTATTGGCTTACCCTAGAACAACTACAAACATGGATCCCTACTCACCTGAAGGAGGTGCGATTTGACTCGTCTCAAACTGTCTTCTAGACCCCGCTAAGACTCCCCAGAACTCATCAACATCCACTCGGCCTTCCACGCTGGCGCCTACCAACAGGTCCTCGACTTCGACACGTCTTCATTCTCAGCGGCAAATGCGCTGCCCGTTCGCGTCCTTCAGCTCCGCAGCCAAATCGCACTAGGCCAGGCGCAAGCCGTTTCCACTGAGCTCGCTTCAGAAAAGACGCCAGATCTCGTCGCAGTAAAGCTACTAGCCGACTACGAGCAGGGCAAAGATGTTTTGGAGCAGGCAAAGAAGTTGGCCGAGCAGCATGGACAAGAGAATTTGACTGTGCAGCTCTGCGTGGGCATGATACTGGAAAGGGCGGGCGAGACGGAGGCTGCGCTTGAGTTGTTGAGCAAGCATCAGGGCAGCTTGGACGCGTATGTCCTGATATCAAGAGAAACCTCTGGTCGATGGCTGACAGGTGAACAGGGTAGCACTGATTGTCCAAATTCATCTCCAACAAAACCGTACAGATCTTGCCGCCAAAGAAGCGCAGCGTGCACGGAAATGGGCACAAGACAGTCTGTTGGTCAACATTGCCGAGAGCTGGGTTGGCATGCGAGAGGTGCGTCTCCCAATCCAATTCTCTACATAATGACTGACAACAAGACTAGGGCGGCGAAAAGTACCAATCCGCATTCTACGTCTTCGAAGAATTAGCCACAACCTCTCAATCCACATCACCACACTCGCTTGTCGCACAGGCCGTGTCCGAACTACATCTTGGTCGCCTCCCCGAAGCCGAAGCCGCGCTGCAACAAGCAATCTCCATCGACGGCACCTCGGCCGACACAATTGCAAACCTCATCGTCCTAAACACACTGCTAGGCAAAAAGGATGAAACAGAGAAACTCAAGTCACAACTCCAATCTACGGCCCCGCAACATAGAGCAGTATCAGACTGGGAAACTAAGAAGGAAGAATTCGCAAAGGCAGCAGCAAAATACACGCCCATTTTTGAGGTGGCTTCGTAGGAGGACCAAGCTCTAGGGCATCTGCTCTCCAGGCAGGAGCTGCATGGTCATGTGAAATTTGCACCTCAAGCCTGCCCTCAGCAAACGGGCGTCGATGGCGCTACCTAGCATGGGCGCGAGAGCAACAGTGCAGTGACAGAGCTTGATATAGAATATCTTCTAGCGTGTGTGGGTGCTTGGGCCTGGGACAGCGATGACAGTAGCGAAGTATATTATATCTGACATTTTGTTTGTTCCACGGACAAGAATCAACGGTGTTTTTGAGTTTGCAAGATGATGATAGTCGCCTGGTGAGGCTGTCCTACACGAGAAGGTTTATTGCGTCTCCTTGGTAGCGTGTCGCAGGATACGTGGGATCGTCGTGGTCAATTAGCCAGAGTCATCTCGTATCTGTACCGTCGATGTGTGTTGTCGATCCGGTATCGTGTACCGTGCGTCTGTGTATCTACTACCCTCAAAAACGTTCAGCTCAAAAGCAACACCCTCACATACGCGCACATACATGCGCCACAACAGTTCACACCGCCAAAGGAAAAATAAAGTCCCTCAACGGCGGCCTTACAACCCTTGGGGCTTACCTTCCTGTACCTCCTTGAAGGATTTCGCCGTCCTTCCTCGTCCCTCGAGTGGTCAGGATAAAAATTCCGAGAATGTCAGATCAGATCAGATCATAATCCATCACCCAAGTTTCAGTTTCGGCCTAGGCGGCTGACCAGACCCAATTCCAAGGGTCAGTTCCAAGCTCGAGACCCAGCTTACTTAGATACTGGTACAGTCAGTACCAACACCCCAGTACAGACGCACATTCAGATGCCGTGCATGTAGTGTAACAAAACACACACAGCACAGTGAGGATGACGTGGGGGATGATACAGGAACACTGCAGCAACACAACAGGGCCTACGACGTTACGACGCCGCCACAGTACAGCTACTTACCTACCTAACGTGGAGGTGACAGTACCGGTATGCAAGCGCACAGACCGGCATTTTGATCACCGCGCCACGAGGGCTTGGCACGGTAGATCATGAGGGCGATATCTTATCACGTGGCTATGAATCGATGGGACTGGACTGGGACTGTATGCCGATGGATGCAGGTTATCTGGAGCTTGATTTGTCTGGGATATGTTGGGCATGGAAGGAATGGAAGGGGGGTATGGCAAGTGCCGTATTTGAGATTTGGAGGGGTGTAGGAGTAGGAAAGGGCAGGTATACCGTACGTTCCTAGTTCTTGGTCAAGTTGTATGTTGGGGAAAATTGCATCCATTACTACAGGAAAGATCCAACACAACATTCAATATTCAACACCTCTCTCTCTCTCTCTTCCACGATACTCCCTTTCCCTTTCCCATCCCTATCCCACCCGCCTCTTCCCATCTCAAAACCCGCCACGTCTCGTACATGGGACCCCATTACCTTACTCAGCAATCCCACACGCATTCCAAACCCTGCAGGTTTAGAATTTCGATTTTGCCGCCCGGCATCTGTAACATTCGAGACAGTGCAGGGACCGGCAGACCCGCACAGCTGTGGCCCGAGCGTCGCAAGCCTGCTCACCACGTTCGCGGGTGACCTAAAGTGTCTTTTTTTGATACGTGATTACCCTTTTGGCGGCTTGGGCCGGGGTTGTTGGACAGCCTAGACGGGACGGACAAGGACGCGCCGCTACTAAACGGGCAGACGCTGAGTAAAATGAGACTCAGATGGGTGATGCATCCTGCGGGCTTTCTGTTGGTCTCCCTCGGCGGTAAATGGGTACCGGTACGGGCGTGCGCATCTTCTTTTTTTTTCTGGACGCACGACGCAGTCATGGGTTGGTTTGTGCAGCGAACGGTGGCCGTGCCGCAAAATGAGGCCCTTTTTTGTACAATACACTCCCAGCCCACACCGGTTTGTTGGTTTTTTTGTGGGAAATGGGATATGGGTACTGAGTATTCCGTCCTTCTAGTCTCTCTCTCTCGTGTTAATATATGGGACCTGGTCGTCACACATACACACGCACCCACGCAATTATAAGTCGACATTTCGGCTCTCTTGTCCTGTTTCTTGCTTTTCGTTTTTGCAAGATTTAGGTTTTGTTGTTGGTTTTCTACTTTCTACATTTTAACTACCATTGTCTGTTCCTGTCTATCTTCGGGAACTACTCCGCTTGGTCCATTTGCGGTAAAACCGGGTCGTCTTTAGCCAGACGACTATTCGTCATGTCTGAGGTCACGCAGCTTGAGGTGCATGACCATGGCCCGTTTGACGTCGTCGACGACTCTTTTGACGTCCAAACACCTCTACTCGAAAATATGGTCGTTGGAGTACCGCCAGTATTCGAAGGGCTCACGAAGCAGCTGGATAAGATAGTTGAGCAGCCGCTGCTCGGGCCGAAGGCAAAGTTCCCCGCAGGTAGGATGCCCGTTGTAGATCTGAGATGCACAATGGGTTGTTGACCAGCTGTATAGCTAGATTTGCTTTTGGACGTAAAGATGTGTCGGGTAGGCGGAAACCACAGGCTATTGCGCATCGAGGGTACAAGGCAAAGTTCCCGGAGAACACCATGGGCGCATTCCGAGGCGCAGTCGAAGTTGGTGCAGATGGTCTGGAAACAGACCTCCATTTGACAAGAGACGGTGTAGTTGTTCTGTCTCATGTAAGTATATCGGATGTTCGTAGCATTATGGTAGGCTAATGAATTGCAGGACAAGGATCTGAAGAGATGCTTTGGCAGGGACGAAAAGATCATAGACTGCGACTACGAATTTATAAGTACGCTGAGAACGCTAAAGGAGCCACATGAGCAGATGCCTCGTCTCGCGGACTTGCTAGAGTACCTTGCGCAACCCGGCTTGGAAGACATCTGGGTGCTGCTAGATATCAAGGTGAGTTATATGCTAATGGAGTTGCAGAAGACTATGCTGACAAGATAGCTTGACAACAACGCCGACGACTTGATGCGCTTGATCGGTGACACGATACGAAGCGTACGGGCCTTGCCGTCCCGACCATGGCAGAACCGTATAGTGCTCGGATGCTGGGCGGCCAAGTACCTTCCACTGTGCTCACGCTATCTTCCCGGCTTTCCCGTATCGCACATTGGCTTCCCCACGCTCATTGCGTCCTACTTCTTCACGGTACCCAACGTGTCATTCAACATGACTCAGGCTATTCTCATGACACCATGGGGTAAGCTGTTTATCCGGAAAGCGCAGGGAGACGGCCGGCCAGTGTATGCATGGACGGTGAACGATGAGTGTAAGATGCGGTGGGATATACGGCAAGGGCTTGACGGTGTTGTGACAGACGACCCAAAACTGTTCGTCCAAGTGCGGGACTCATGGCACGAAGGCATAAAGGACGGAGTATCGTTGATGACTTGGCTGGATGTGTTGCGTTTGAACTTCTTCTGCCTGATTCATACCGTTTTATTCCAGTTCATGTTTGGTTTTCAAGGAAAGTCGCTGATCAAATTGAAGGAGGAAGAGGCGCAATAGCAAATTCTCACTAGTTCAATGAAAAGAAATTTACTACAATCTATGCGGTAGCTGCCAAGTGAAAGTGAAGAGTGATGCGGTGGAGGAGCTATGACGGTATCTGGGCAGGGTCGTAAACATTTAGCGACCCGACGCGTGAACCCCGCTCAAAGCGCGTTTGCAGGAGTACTCGACATGGCCAATCCTTCACACCATGCCTAGGTACGCCTTTGGTACAATGAGACAGTAGAATACTGGATACTGATATCGCGTAGAGAAATCATAACACTCCAGGCTGGCCAGTGCGGCAACAGCGTCGGGCAGCAGTTCTGGCAGCAGCTTTGCCAGGAACACGGTATCAATAAAGACGGCAACCTTGAGGACTTTGCGACCGAGGGCGGTGACCGTAAAGACGTATTCTTCTACCAATCCGACGACACTCGCTATATTCCACGCGCCATTCTGCTTGATCTTGAGCCTAGAGTGCTCCACTCCATCCAGGCGAGTCCGTATAAGAACATCTACAACCCCGAGAACTTCTACATTCACAAGGATGGCACTGGCGCGGGTAACAACTGGGGTATGGGCTACAGCATGGGCGAGCAAGTTCACGAGGATATTCTGGACATGATTGATCGCGAGGCAGACGGCTCCGACTCGCTTGAGGGCTTCATGATGCTGCACTCGATTGCTGGCGGTACTGGATCAGGTCTTGGATCGTACATGCTGGAGCGACTGAACGACCGGTTTCCTAAGAAGCTCATACAGACGTACAGTGTCTTCCCCAACACACAAGATGGCGATATAGTGGTCCAGCCATACAACAGCTTGCTGAGCATGAGACGGTTGACGCAAAACGCAGACTCAGTGGTGAGTACCAACGCCTATACGGATGACTACGCTAATTGATCAGGTCGTTCTCGACAACGGAGCCCTAACAAGGATTGCTGCAGACCGACTGCACGTTATGAACCCGTCGTTCGAGCAGACCAACCAGTTGGTGTCCACCGTCATGTCCGCCAGTACCACGACCCTTCGCTACCCCGGATACATGCACAATGATCTTGTCGGCATTGTCGCATCGCTCATTCCTACACCCCGCTGTCATTTCTTAATGACTTCGTACACACCCTTCTCCGGTGAGAACGTAGAGCAGGCCAAGACTGTCCGCAAGACGACCGTCTTGGACGTCATGAGACGATTATTGCAGCCCAAGAACCGCATGGTCTCTACAAACCCGACCAAGAAGAGCTGCTACATGTCGATATTGAACATTATCCAAGGAGAGGCAGACCCGTCAGATGTGAGATACATCCAGCCCCTATACCTTACATTTGCTAATCCACACAGGTGCACAAATCGCTCATGCGCATTCGCGAACGACGCCTCGCTACCTTCATTCCATGGGGCCCTGCATCCATTCAAGTCGCCTTGACTAAAAAGTCACCCTACGTCACTTCTTCACATCGCGTGTCCGGCCTCATGCTCGCGAACCACACGGGTATCGCCACGCTCTTCAAGCGCATAGTCGCTCAATACTCTACACTCCGTAAACGCAACGCCTTTCTCGAGAGCTACAAACGCGAAGTGCCCTTCAAGGACGGCCTAGGCGAGTTCGATGAAGCCAAAGAGGTCGTTCAGGGCCTGATTGCAGAGTACGAAGAGGCGGAAGATGCAGACTACCTCACCAAAGAGACAGCACCGCCTACTGAGGAGGCTGAGGATAAGAGGGCGGGTTAGAAGTCGTCGTCGACGTCTGGGGATTTGTTTGGAATTGACAAGGCGTCTTTGGAGTCTCCGTTGCCTGATCTTGAGGTTCACATGAAGGCGTTGACGGAAATGCAAGGGCGGAGGAGATGACTCTCCAGCTGTCTGTTGGTCTTGGTGATGTTGGAAGTTGCTGTTCTTGAGTCAGTGACTGCAAGATGTGACATGGCTATCAATACCTTTGCGACTAGATCCTGGTAGCGAGTGCTGGCTGATAGTACACGGATCTTGGACATGTGCCAATCGATACATCAATATCATCCAACATTGATATGTGCTGGTTTGTGATTCTTTACATAGGTGTCTGTTTGACTGACTGTCTTCTTCCACTACATAAAACCCATCCTTCCTCATCCAGATTTCTTAACACAAACAACTCCCAAGCATCTTCCCCAGCCCAGTCCAACCACAACACAAATAACCCCAGTCTTACCCAATCGCGCTCGTACTCGTACTCGCGCTAAACGTTTTCCCACTCCTCTCCCCTCATACTTACGCTCTGCGTCTCTAACCAAAGAAGAAGAGAGAAATGGCACATACACCCCTCCGTCTAGCAACTAAACTTCACTCTGTGCGCCCTTCTCCTCCTGTTCATTCTTCCACATCTGCCTCTTTGTTTCCTTCACATCGTCACCGGCATAGTCTTCCTATCCTTGTGACTCAAACACTTACTCAAACGCGTACCTTGTATCTTTGTGGTCCGAAAGAAGGGGAGGTTAGTACTAGAGGTCCTGTGACAGGGACTTATCGCCGAAAGGGTATGTTGGAGTGGCAGCGGATGAGACGGATTGGATATGAGTATGAAGAGGAGACGGAGGAGGTAGTCAGTATCACTGGAACTCTATGTATCATGCCCAAGCCCACCCCTCAGTCTGCACCGAAATCTGCGGTAGAAGAGAATAACTTGAGGAGGGAGAGTGACACTCACGCTACTGATACTGCTGCTGCTGTTATCCAGGATGAGGTTGACTTCTTAGAGAAGCTCTTGTTGAAGGAGGATGGGGTCGAGGTGGACGTTGGGGCGCTGAGAGAGGAGATTGATGTTTTGAGGGGGTTGGTTGGGAAGTTAGATGGGGGTAAGGATTGTAGGTAGGACAAGAGAGGGAGAGAGAGAAGTAGGTAGGAGGAGATATGGAATAGTGATAATGCTCGGCAAATGGAAAACAGGAGTGTTTAGCTGCAATATTTTTTGATAGACAATCATAGTTGGTTGTAGCAAAGTAGACAGTACTTGAGGCTATCGTTACGTAGGGGTTACATTTCTCTATCATAGCGTTCTTCGTGCATATGGCTTGATAGCTGCCTACTCTCAAGCCTTTAGTCATTATCAAAGACCCCCTCATGTGCTGTCCAAAAGTGCCCACACAGACGAAGACCCGTACAAGGGAATCGCTGTTCTCTACCCTCGAGTAACTTGCCATTCTAAACATCTCCACTCGTCCGACCCAACACCATCCGATAGCCGTATTAGTGACAAATTCCATCGAAAACCGCTCGTTTCAAACTGAGAGCATATCGACAGGATCAGGGGAGCTGCCAGCAACCAAAGCCTCGAAAGTGAGTCGTGTGAAGTGAGTAGTGTGGTTTGAAAACGCTTCACTATGTTTCTCATAGCGATTCCGCGCCATGTAGAGTAGTATGGTAACCATATGCACGCTTGTCTGGTACGCATGGTTTTAGTCTGGGTTACTACTGGAACTACGCGCGATTCAAGTGTGTATGCCGGATGGATAGAAGCGCGAGGGAATGACGTATTCGGGCGCCAGTCCCTTCAGTCCCCTCAGCCCCGTCACGCTGGTTTGGAACGGAAAGAGAGACCCCCGTGGACGCATTGAACAAGTTGCCCTTAGCTGGCCCCAGAAACCAGGAAATGAGTGCACGTCTTTGCGCCCTTAAATACCGTAGTCTTGGGAGCTTGCACCCCGATGGGTTAAGCGTGGAGAGGATTTGGATTACAAGGCCTCCTCCCAAGCTGACCCTGGCCCCTTACCGCAATCCTTCGAGGCTTGCTTGTAAATAACTGCCGGGAGACAGATAAACGAGAGCGGGTGGAATTACTACATGCTAACGGAGATGGAGTCGCGATCCGGAGTGCTATCCGGTTGCCACACGGTCGACACCCCTCAGTCCAGACATATACCGATCATGGCCAAATCAGATGGCGAAATTAGCAGGGCCGCTACGCAGAGCAAAAAAGCAAGCCGTACCGTTCGCTTCGCCGTGCTTGGTTCGATTCCCCGCTCTCCGTGTTTCCGATCACGAGAAGAAGCAAAGAAAGATTCGTATCTTAGCGTGCCTGACAAAGAAAGGCTGTGCGGCGGCCGAGCTAGGTCGAGCTGGATGGATGCTTCCTATTCCGAGTTTTCTCCCCGGACCTCGCCCGCGCGACGTCCTTTGCCATTGCCATGGCGCAAACTTCCTAACTCTTAGTTTTTGCATGCGCAAAGTAGCAAATGGGGGGTTTGGTGTGCTTATTGGACGTTCTTAATATCAACATGTACAGTGGTGTTGCGGATCTGCAAGTCCGTCGATCTACCTGCATGTGTAGGCTCCGCGGGCGCTGCGGGGGAAGGGAAGGCCTGGCGTGAACGCCTAACTTTCCCTTTTTCGAGCGTGTCACTGCCATGTTGCTTGCGGAGAGGCCCATGAGCTAGAAGACATTGGAAGACGCGAAGGAAGGGTGTGTGGGAGGGTGACTTTGGGAGGATGAGAGGACCAGACGGGGACATAGCGCATGCGCGCGCACGAGTCGAGTCGGTGTAGTTTGAATGTGCTGTGGTTGACAGCGAGGCGAGGCTTCATGAGCTGGTTATGATAGCAATGTGACTTTCCTTTTCAAGTTCAGCAGCTAAGCATCTGCTGGTCATGTGTCGGCCGATCATTGGGACATGGACAAGGCCCAAGCTGCAAAGTCCACGTGTGAAGCTTGGGTATGAAGTCAGAGTCGGATGGTTGGTGTTGATCAGTGCTGAGCCACATATGTGCTTGGATAGGGATATCTCATGTCTCTCTGTTGAATCACTAGGTGCAGCAGTCCTTCCCTGCCAGTTGAGCAAATTTTCTTCATGTTATGGTGTGTGTGTGTGCACAAGGGGGGATATAATACGAAGAATACGCAAGGTAGTTTCTTATACTCGTCCCGAGTTCTAGAGCACCTCTCCTCCCCTAAAGTGTACAGTAAGCTGGGGACTGGAGTGTGGCGCACGGCGAAAGATCCCGTCGACGAATGTCCGGCCGTGTGTTCGTACGAACTCTATTTGCTTTTGCTAGGCCGAGCCGCGTTGCGTAGCTTCACTTCATGGGCGGGCACTATCCGTCCGGTGTCGACGTTTCGAGCGGCTAGGCTGCAAGGAGAAAGGGCGTCTCATCGAAGATGACAATCAGGAACGTCCGCATTGACTCGACCCACTACGTTTGAGCGACGTCGAGCTGAGGTGTCGTGATGGCAAAAAGACGACATCAGCTCACCTGAGCAGGCAGGCAGACTCAGCACAAGGTGTGGCAAAACGGCGTAGATCACAAAAGCTTGTTTGCCCAACAGATGCAATGTATGGATGGCATTGTAAGAAATGCGTTCACTCGACATGACATGGCTGCAACCCATCCGAGTGTTAAGCAGATTACGCAAAACGCGCTTGCTCAAAGGAGCTAACAGGTGGGTCCTGCAAAATCGCGTGTCTTCGATGCATGCATGCCCTTCCACACAGACAACAAAGCCTGTTAGCCTCATTGCGCACGACCATGGTCTGAAATGGCACATTATTAAGAGAAATATTTAGCACTGGGCGAGAAGCCAAGCAACAGCAGAAAAAAAAACTTTGAGTCCAGCGAGCAAGCAAGAAAAGGATCTCCATCGGTCCTTTACTCGGTCCCACTCCCCCGCCATCCGATTCGCACTGCTGCAACAGGCTCTGATGACGACGTAGGGTGCTAATCGCCGTCGTGCTTCTTTTGTTCATGGCAAAGTTCCTACCTTATACCTTCTTATATGCCTTTTTTCGCCGATTGAGACGCGGATAACCACTGTAGACTAGCCCTGCGACTCGCCAACACGTGTGGATACCAACTAGATGAATCAGGCCAGCATGACTACTCCACGACGGAAAGCATGTGTCGAATGCCGACAGCAAAAGGTATGCACCCGCCTCAATTCCACGGCATAAGCTCCGCCCACGGAACATATTGCTGACCTTGCAGATTCGATGCGATGTTGAGCAGCACAAAGTGCCTCATGACCCATGCGGGCGCTGCAAGAAGATGGGCCTGGAGTGCCGCATCCTGCCTACATCAACCAGGAACCTCCGCCAGACAAAGGCTGAGATGCGTCGTGAACTGGAAGAACTGCGGTGGAATATGAGGCAAGGTCAGAATCCAGGCAATCCAAATTACCCCCAATCCACCGCGTCGCCAAATGTCGACATGCAGAATTATACGCCCCTTGAACATACGTCAGCAACATACTCGGATCCCTCTGCAAGGACAGATGCCTCGGATTCAATGTCTCCAGCTTTTGATTCGCGGCCGCCGACAAGGAAAGGCTCCGATCATGGCACGGTACCTCGCGCTATCGACGGGTACGTGCTCGATGCAAAAAGAATCGACGACTGCTTCACACTGTAAGTTGACCAAGAACAACCCCGAAGCGGAAACTAACGGGATATACAGTTACTTCACCCAATACCACCCTCTTTTCCCTATTCTGGACACTTCGATAGGACCAAATGATTATTATGAGCTGTCACCATTCCTCTTCTGGGTTATTGTTGTCACGGGATCGCGGCGGTACGCTGAGCATCCCGATGTTCTTGACAGGACGAGCCAGGCCATTACCCAACTTGCATTTTCTTCCATGGCACTGCGCACCTCGCAGGTTCCCGTTATCCAGGGCTTACTAATACTGTGCACCTGGCGGCTGCCTACCAATTCAATGTACAAAGACACGACACATCTGATGTGTGGTTCAGCTGTACACTTGGCCACACAGATCGGCCTCCACATTGCCGGAGTAGGACAAGATTTTGCCAGGACACCACTGGAAAAAGACCAGACACTCAAGATTCATCGTGCTAGATTATGGCTGTGCTGCGTCATTGTGTCGATAAGGTATGTCCTGGAATATCATCTTCATGGCCTCGCTAACGATGACTAGAACCAGTTGTGTTGAGGGAATTCCACCTCTTGCAGAGTCCTTCTTTGATGGAGACGAACGCGACCGTGAGGATATGGTTCCCTATCTCCCAGCTGATCTGCAGTACCTACACAAGGTTTACATCATTCTCATGCGGGCAATGGTGGCCTTTGGAAAGACTAATCTACAGTCCATTCATTGTGATGTCCGCGTACTACGGTCGTTGATTGGCATCTTCGATTCACAGCTGCTTAGCCTGGCTCCATCTTCCTCGAGTGATCTTGGTAAGCGATATCCCCAACACCTTCAAATTTTGACTGACTTGGTAGATACCCTGCAACTCAGCTGTGCCCGCATTCACGTGATGGCATTCCACTTCTTTGCTCATCCTACAAATCCGGGACCGGACGCAGAATGCCTGTCTCGGTTCTACGCTCTCTGCATTTCTGTCATTCAATCGGCGTCAAATATGCAAACCACGCAGAAAACGTTCTTGGCTTCTGTCTCGCAATCTTTTATTGACCGCACAATCACTCTTGCCGGCTTCACCATTCTGCGACTTGTACGGAGTCCACTTGCCCAGCATCTGGATCTACAAGCAGGCGACCGAGCATTTTCCCAGGCGTGCGAATTCCTCAAGAGCGTCTCTTTACAGCCAGGAGATATCCATTACAGAACAGCCCACATAATGAAGGATCTCTGGGGTAGCGAGAAGGTGTTTCGTAACAAGGATGGCCGGGTCGAATCGCTGTACCTCCGTTTGAGGACGCGGTTGAGTATGAGTGTTAGTTATGACATGTTCTGGTACTGGCGAGAAGAGTTCAGCAACATGCAAAACCCATACAACGGAGAGGATGCAACGCTCCTCTCTAGTGAGTCCACTCAGCAAAACACACCCCGTAAGTGCCTCTCTCAAATTTGGTTGAGCTCGTCTAACGACTTTCAAGAATTTCCAGTTCAACACCGGCAGCAGCAGCAGATTTCGGATCCAAACATGCGACCTCAACCACAAATTCCTGTGGGCAAATTCGATCCAAGCTTGGTCAACCCTCAACTGCATGATCCGTCCGTGATGGGTTTCGACACTTTTGAAGGCCAAGACTACGGCATACCGCCAATGTTGGATCAGTTCCCGGATTACGATTGGGCAGCTGGATTCGAATTTTCCAACTCCGAAATGCCGAGTGTGCAGGTTGGCGCTATGAATCCGATGATGGCTGGGCCTGGCCATGGACACCCACCTAACATGGGCGGCTATACTTATGGCTAGGCGCCTTCGAGTCATTTTGCGAGTAAACCCGTGGAAAGGAGGACGCGGAGATCAGAAGCAACAAATGCAGACTCTGGCTCGAGTGCATGCGATTGCAGCGTTCGATCCATACACTAAATCAAATTCAGTTATCGCACCAGGAAGATACCATCTTCTTCACCACTCGCTCTTCCGAGTGCCATGACCGATGGATCCGCTAGAGCGAGAAATAGCTGAAAATGGATAAAGTGACGGCCTCGATCGGCACGCCCGAAGACGACGGAACGGAGTAGGGCGGAAACTGGACATGACGGAGGTATGAGTTGATAATTCCGATTGATGAAAAGTTATGCTCAGGGGGGCGGGAGGGGCATGCAGCGTCATGGTGGACTAGTGCCGCGTATCCGGAAGAGTATATCCTCCTATGACTCCAGATGATTTTAGAGCGGTCTGGCGCGAACGGAAGGCGAATATTTTTCTCCAAGGGGAAAATTCGGTAGTAGACAATAATAGACAGATATGCAGCAATGCAAAGAAATAGACTCTAGGGCGGAACCAGCCCTAGGAAATAATGATGGGACTTTTGTAGCGTGTACCCTGAGCGAGAGAGATACGCAGTTGAAGAAGAAAAGAAACCGAAAGAAAAAAAGATGACAGCAACAAATGAGGAACCAAAGCCCTCGACTGTAATAAGATCCGGCTGTACTGGTCCCTTTAAATCCCATCCACCCCTGCCCCCATGGTCTTTCCCTTTCTCGCCGGCTTACACGCTGCTTACACGCGTTGTCGCGGAGCGGTTGTGCGGCCAGCATACCGAACAAGGCAGGCCGTCCACCTTCTGCCCGCCACCGCACAAAGAATTTCTAAATCATACGATTTACGGGCAAAAAGAACACCCAGCAGTGTGGTTCACCGACGCAGACTCGGCGAAAGTAAGCAGTGGCAGGCGGGTTTGTTGGTAGGATTGCGGGTGCAGGTGTAGATGTGGCTGTATCGGGGAAGAGGTCGGCGAAGGTCGGCCGGGGTGTGTGAGGCAGAGATGGGCATGCTTACGTTGGAGGAGGTAGGGGAGGAGAGGATGTGGGGGTGAGGGAAAGGTAGGGCGGCGTATGGGAGGGTTTTGCGGGTAGAGGGTGAGATGTGGAGGTGGTGATGGTGGTTGAGGAAGGAAGGGATCTGATGTTGGAAGATAGGTAGTAGCGAGTACTTACCGTGCGATAGGACACAACTCACATACCTAGATACACTTACATGCTGCAGAAGGAGGAGTAGGAAGTACAGTACATGGGCGAACAGATGGGCCGTACAGGCAAATCACGTGTATTACCTAGCATACCACGCGTGTCACACCCTCCGTATCCAGCATAAGCCCTACTGAGAACCCCCAATATAGCCATCTAGGTACACGTCTATCCATCCATAACATCCCGAAGTACTCTGTCCATGAATACTTACCTACACGATCCCTCTCTACCAGCACGTACACAACAACCCGCAAACCCACCGTCTAAACCACAGTACCTACAACCAAAAACAGAACCCTCTGCATCTGCAAGCCACAACAACCAACGCAGGAGGAGACAAGTCCGGTTGGACCCTCTTTACCCCATCCCCGTACCGACCTACCGCTCCCCAACCGACCAAAAACAAAAAGAAGAAAAACGGCCCTCCTCTATCTATGATTCCACCAAACGGCTCCTCTCCGGTGCTTACACCTACCAAGACACCTCCCCTTCACTTCGCTTCGCTTCGCCTCCCCGTAAATCTATGTACCGGTATGTACCTTTTAGCCCCTACCCTGGTAGGTAGGAAACAGTCTTGTAACTCGGCGCCGAAAGCTGCGTCACGTTTGCGATGCAGATGCGATATGTACCACTCCGCGAGATCTGTAACCGTATTTCATCCCCCCCCAACCCCCAACCCCCGGATTCTGATCGTATCTTGAGACGTTGTCGGTATTGGTTTATCTCGCCTCGTGCTTCCGTACAAGCACGGGGTCTCGTCGTGAGCGCGGAGGGGACATGGGGGTTGCAGATACAGTACGTCGATTGGATGTATCCTACTTGAGCATCCCGCGATCGATCATGTTTACAGTACCCCCGTGAAGAAAAGCACCGAGGAGTTGTTATTATGCAAGATACCGATGCGGTAGTTCCATGTTTACTGACGACGAATACATACACCAAGCCTTGGCATTAACCTAATCTGGTTCCAAGCCCAAAAAAACAATAGGCTGGCAAGCCTACGGATATAATCCCGTAGTCTGTATTTATTTTTGCTACCACTAACTACCCTGCCGACAGGTCCCTCCAGCGGACATTTGCTCCGATTGGCAACGTGCTGCAGCTCGCCGAGACTGGGCGAGATAAAGTGGAAGGGAGGCGTAAAGTGAGGCCGGAAGGAGGGGTGGTGTGCATGTGGATTGTTGCAATAGGCGGGGGAGGAGGTAAAGCCTTGTGTTTTTGACTTGCTGCTACTGCTGTGATCTGCGACGTTTTTGGATTGAAAGGATTTAACACTTTTTTCTTGCTAACAAAAAAGGTTTTTGGGTTTCGTTGTGGAGTTTTATTGCCACTGACGCTTACGTGGGGGGCTGGTTGTATATATATCGTGGGGGTAACGAAGGTTTTAGTGGTGTTGGAACATAGGAAGGAAGGATTCAAGACTGTCAAGCGTCAAGGTTGGGGAGAATCATCATGTCGTATTAGAGCTATCGGGAAGAGGTCTATATACGCAGTGGGAGGAGAGAAGGAGCTAGGCCGTAAAGGTACTAGCGGGTAAATAGGTGGCTGCCTGGTTGCCCAAAGAGGAGCCAAGGGATAAGCCCTATGGCCGACACACCCCCCGGAACCAGGTGGCAAGCCATCTGAGTGAATGAAATGTATAGGAAATCGTAAAGAGACGTTCGCTGGAGGTGCCTTGAGAGACTACATGCGGGGAACGTTCACCATATCGATGAGGCCAATGAACTTAGCGTGCTCTTGTTTGTCGAGAGGCTTCGTAAGGCCGTCGGCGGGCATCTCTACGCCGGGGAGATAGTCGAGCTTGAGGTTGCCGTCTTTGTACTGCTGCTTTGTATACTTGAAGTACGCGTCGATGTGCTTTGTACGCTCGTGATGGCCGTCCTTGCGGATCATATTAAGCGCTGGCTGATTATCGGTGTACAGCTTGAAGGGCTTGAGGTCGTTACCGACGTATCCAACCTGAGAGAGTAGGCGTTGAAGCCAATTGATCTCTTTGGCAGCATACGTCATGGCAATATATTCTGATTCTGTGGAGGAGAGAGTAACGAGGCGCTGGCGGTACGATTTGTATGAGACGACGCCTCCAGCCATCTTGATGACGTAGCCGGAGGACGACTTGCGCTCGTTGTTGTCGCCATGGGCGGAGTCACTGTAGGCCTTAAGGCCTATCATGTGATCTGGGTCGTCCATATTAGCGTCTTTAAGGTCACCTTGGTACTTGATGCCGAGAGTTGCCGTGCCGTTGTAGTAGCGGAGCATGTGCTTTAGCAGTGACAGTTGCTCTAACGTAGGGTTGTTTGCAAAGCGTGCCATGAAGTTCACGTGCCAAGCTAGGTCACAGCGAATAATGGAGGTAGGATAGAGTAGCTTCGCGACGAGCGATTGGTACTGCTGTATAAGGTTGTTGTCGGCGATGTCATCACGCTTGATGAGGGTGAGGGCCGACTTTGGGAGGGGGTTGTCTGCCTTTGGAGCGTTGGCGAGGTGATACTCATCGACAATGCGATCAACGTAGCTATCCATCGTCATAGAGAGAGAGCGGTTGGGACGATCGCGGAGGATTCGAATTCCCAAGTAGAAACCAATTGGGCCAAGGTCACGAGCCTTGTATCGATTGAGGAGTTGTGACTTAAGTGCCTTCATAGAGGTCACGTCACGTGTAATAAGGATAAGGTCGTCAACGTACACGACTATGATGGCCTTTGTTGTTGGGTTGACGAAGACGCAGGGATCTGCTTCGATGGGCTCGAAGCCGAGATCTTTGAGAGAGTCCTTGAGGTCGTTGTACCACAATAGGGCTGACTGACGGAGGCCGTACATGCCGCGGCGAAGGCGAACAATATTCCCAAAGCCAGTACAGCCTGCGGGCAGGCGAAGGAGGACAACGTCATCGTCGTCGAGGTGAGCGTTGAGGTAAGCAGTAATCATGTCGATCTGCTCACACTCTAGATCGAAGTAAGCCACAAGGGCGAGGAGGATGCGGAGCGTAGAAGTTCGGACGACGTAGGAGTAAACCTCGCGGTACCAAATTGATTCTTGTTGCTTGTTGCCGCAAGCCACCATGCGAGCCTTGTCTTTCACGTGATAGCCTTGAGCGTTGCCTTTATACGTCCACACCCATTGACCTGGGATGATCTCATACTTGGCAATCTCCTCTGCCGTAGCAGGGCGCCAAGTACCGTTGGCGATAAGAGCGTTGTACTCATCGTCCATTGCGAGTTGTAGATCATCGCGGCGAGGATGTTTGAGAAACTGACGATAGTTGCGAGGCTCCGGTGGAAGTTCTGAAAGCTTTGAGCCGAGAGTGGGCTTGACGAGAGCCATGGCGAAGCAGCGATCAAAAGTAGATGAAGTGAAGAAAGCACGTGCCCGGCGATTGCGAGGGCCGTGTATGATATGAGCTGGGTTGAGGTCCGCGTTAATCTCATGTCGACGCGCTGCCTTGTTGTTACCACGGGTTGGAGGAGCTGGTGGAGCTTCATCATCATCCTCGAAACCATCAAAGCCATCTCCGCCATCAGCACGAGGTAGCTGATGATTGTCCAAATCGCCGCCATCACCATCTTGCGGAGGAGCGGGTGGAGTTGTAGCGGCGTCGGCGAGGCGGTTGATGAGAGGTTTAAATGGGAGCACCTTCGGTGATGGTGAAGGGCCGATGATGGGAGACAATGGAGGAGTGGAGGGTGAGTCGTAGCTATCAAACCGCACGGAGGCGGTGGTAACGATCTCATCAGTCTCTGGGATCCACATCTGGTAGATGTTCTCGCCGATCATACCGACGAGGTGGCCCTTGTGAGCACGAGGTGCAAATTTGTCACCTGTAACGCGCTTCTGGGCGGGTATATGGGCGTATCCAACATGGCCGAAAGCGTGCATCTTGGCGACGTTTGGGACTGGGTTTGGGTAGCCTATAGAGCGATTCCAGGCCTCTAAAGGAGTGATCTTTCCTGGGAGGTTGCTGTTGGAGACGAGGTTGTGAATGCGGGCCATATATTTGGCTGCGTAGGGCCACAGCTTTATAGGAAGCTTGGCTGCAATAAGAGCTCCGCGAGTTCGATCCTCTGTGATACCGTTGGCGCGCTCTGCAATACCATTGCGAGTGGCATCATAAGGTGGTGACGTAACTACCTCGATGCCCACGCTATCGAAGTACTGCTTGTTGCTGGCGTTAATAAACTCGCGAGCGTTGTCGGTATGGATAGTGATGGTAAAGCCTTTGGCCTTCATAGCTTTGCACCAATTAATAAGCTGTTGGCCTAGTACAGCGCGGCTGTCTGATGTGAATAGCCACTGTCGGCGTGACTTGCCATCCGTGATAGGCATGAAGTAACGCTCTCCATCTTTTCCAGGTATAGTGATGGGGCCGACGACATCGACATGGACCTTGCCAAGCGCTGTATTGGGTGGAGTTTGTTGAATTCGAGAGATATTTCGCTTTGATTTGGAGAGGCCGCAGGGCTCGCAGTTGGTGACGGTAGAAGTAGTGAGCTTCATCCCATGTACAACTTTTGCAGTGTCCTTAATAGCGTCTATTCCAGCGTGTCCCATGATATGATGCCAGTCGGTGGCTGGCCGTGAGGATGAGGGCTCATCGGCAGAGCTTCGATAGCAAACAAGAGAGGCGTATGAGAGAGCGGCCGGCGCCTTGGAGGATTCTGTAACTACGAGAAAGTTGGGTATACCGTCGATCTCTGGTAAGTAAGCTAGCTCCTCATCTGAGGCAGTGTACAATTTGTCCTTGCCCGAGTGATACCACACTCCCGCGCGCTTGAATGGAGCTTGGGAGATGACGTTGGTGGCGAAATCGGGGCAGTAGAGGACGTTTTGGAGTGAGATCTTCTCTGTTGTTCCGTCGGCTTTGACGACTTCAAGGCGTACAGTGCCAACGCCGGCGGCGGTGGTTGATCCGGTAGAGCCGTGTACGTCATTGTCGATTGGAGCGTATTCGTAAAATTTCGAGCGGTTATTGAAGACGTGCCGGTTAGCGGCAGTGTCGTAGCAGTACCGCTGTTGATAGTCGTGATTGGAGACTGCCTTCTTGAGGAGAGTCGGAGAGACGAAGGTGGCGACTGTCACGTATGAGTGAGCATCGTACTGATCAGCATCGTCGTCGTTGCTGTTCTTGGCCACTGTAACGTTTGTACGAGCTGCTGCAGCTGCGGCCTTCTTAGCGGCATTGTCTGCGGTGCGCTTCTTAACATTATCTGGGGTGAGAGAAGGGTGAAGTTTCCAGCAAAGCTCATTAGGTCCTGGGTGCTCTCGCTTGCAGTGATCGCACATTCCAACAGGCTGAGGAGTACGCTTCTGTTGGTTGTTATTGCGCGTCGGCAGAGACGAAGGAGTAGGAGTAGAGTTCTGGTTGCTGTTGTTGCCATTGCCGCGGCCATTTAGGCGTGTGAGAACGCGCTTCTCCTCCGCTTGTTTAGAGACGGAGAGGAAAGTCTTCACGGGCTCATCTGGGGCATGGCGTAGGTGATCCTCGAGTGACGCGACGAGCGTGTCGATAGACCATGTATGGCCTTGGCGGAGGTCGTTATTGCGAGCTTCTACCCACTGTGGGAGTACACGAGCTAAGCCGTGAAGGAAGTGGATGATGAGCAGGTCTTCGATGTCGCGGTCGGCGGATGTACCAGGTACTGCTGAAGGCTTCTTCCATCCAAGTGTGATGCCTTGTACCGTGATGTCATTAATTGTCTCGCGAAACTTTCCAATATAGCTGCGGACTGTGGGTTGGGTCTCAGCGCGGAGGTCGATGAAGGCAGTCCACGCGAGAGCAGCATTGGCGTAGTCACCGTTGCTGTTTAGGTCCTTGAGAGCCTTGTACATATCGTGGGCGGTGGGGCAAGTGCGCACCTGAGCTACGAGAGGCTTGTCAATGGATGAGAGTATGGTGTTTTGGAGTCGGGCATCTCGGGCGACCCATGAGTCAAGCGCAAGCTTGTCCTCTTTAAGTAGCTGTCGAGCCTCATTGTTGAACGGTCCTATAGTCTTGTTGAGTTTGCCGACACGGTCAAGCTCGGCTTGGATAACGTCTGTTGAGGTGCCTAATGGATGAGTGATCGGGCGCTGCATGGCGGTAATGCGATATTTGTCGTCTGTAGCGTCAAATTCTGGGCGCGGAGCGCCATCTAGGACGGCTACAGCGCCATCGGCGGCTGCGTAATTGATGAGTTGTTTAATCCAGTCCTTCCAGTTTTTGCCGTCGGCTGCAAGGCGCGCTGTGACAGCTGTGGAGGAGGTGTAAGTTGCCATCGCGGCGGACGTCGAAGACCGTTCGGCTAGCGATTTTTGGCGGTGAGCAGCGAGGAGCTCGTCGTCGTCCAAGCGATCGATGAGCTGCAAGTTGCGGGGTCGCGATTGCTAAAGTGGCGCGCGATTGCGACGTCACCGAGCTGTTTTGCGGGGAGGGTGATGATCGTGATGAGGCGCGCGGGTCGTCAAAATATCTAATAGAATTATCGTGAGCGACTACGGGAGCGGGTGAGGGCTCATAACCTGTCAAGCGTCAAGGTTGGGGAGAATCATCATGTCGTATTAGAGCTATCGGGAAGAGGTCTATATACGCAGTGGGAGGAGAGAAGGAGCTAGGCCGTAAAGGTACTAGCGGGTAAATAGGTGGCTGCCTGGTTGCCCAAAGAGGAGCCAAGGGATAAGCCCTATGGCCGACAAAGACGCTGGATCTGAGACTTTGAGATATTGGAGTGCATCAGCAGAAAGAAAGATATATCAAATCGCCAAGACAAGAGACGGGGTTTTGTAATTGGAAACTGTGATCAAGGAACAAGACAATACAAGACGAGATCAAGAAACCCAAGAATTTAGAAAGAGAAAAAGAAAACAGCAAAAGAAGCCAGAAAGAGAAGAGAAAGATGGGAAACGACACATCATCACCACCACCAAAAACAAACGGTACCAGCACCAACAACCCCAACATGACCGCAGTGCAAAAACTCCGAGCCATGCTCGCCGACTCAGACAAATTTATAACCTGCCCCGGTGTCTACGATGGTTTCACAGCAAGAATAGCACTACAAGAAGGCGTAGACTGTTTATACATGGTACGTCCACCACACCCTCTTTCCATCCCATCCCATCCCCACCCACCCACCACACCCATCTAACCACTCCCTTCCAGACCGGCGCAGGAACAACAATGTCGCGCCTCGGCTTCGCCGACATGGGCCTCGCCACGCTCACCGAAATGCACCAAAACGCCACCATGCTCGCCTCGCTCTCCCCGACAACACCCCTCATCGCAGACGCTGACACAGGCTACGGCGGTCCCCTAATGGTCGCCCGCACAGTAACCTCCTACATGCGGTCCGGCGTCGCCGGCCTGCATATAGAAGACCAACCTATCAATAAGCGCTGTGGCCACCTGCAGGGCAAGCAGCTCGTGGATCTTGATGAGTACCGCACCCGAATCCGTGCTGCACGATTAGCGAGAGAGCAGGCGGGTGGGGATATCGTAATTATTGCTAGGACGGATGCGTTGCAGAGTCAGGGGTACGACGAGGCTGCGAAGAGGCTCAAGGCGGCGGTGGAAGAAGGAGCTGATGTGGCGTTTCTAGAGGGCGTGACAAGTGAGGAGGATGCGAGGAGGATATGTGCAGATTTGGCGCCGACGCCGTGTTTATTTAATAATGTACCTGCGGGTGTGTCGCCGGATTTTAACGTCGAGCAGTGTAAAGAGTTGGGGTATAAAATGGCGATTTTTCCGCTACTCGCATGTGAGGTTGTATATCCGGCGGTTAGGAAGGCGGTGAGGCAGATGATGCAGCTGGGGAGTGTGAAGAGTGTTGAGGAGGATGGTAAGCGGTATGGGCCGCGAGAGTTGTTTGAGGTGTGTGGTTTGGATGAACTGATAGACTTTGATCTTAAGGCTGGAGGGTTGAGTTACAAGAATGGTGCGTAATTGGACTTTGATATCTTAGTATGAATCAGTCAAAACAAATACATGCGAAAAGGGATATACGCACAGCTGTGATAGACAATCTCAATTGAGACGTCGTCACACGGCCTAGTCAAGATTGGTCAGGGTTTATCATCTACTTCACAATCACATAGATGTTCGTTGTAGAGTCAGCTATGAAGCGTGTAATTCGTAAAGCAGCTATTATGTGCCAATCATGTACCCATAAGGCGGTCATGTTCAAACACCCAGCCACCTATATCTCATTCCGTATGTTCCTGCTTTCCATCACCCATGCAATGTAGCCTTGAGGCCCATCACGAGTTTAGGCGCCAACGTTGGCCAGGAGAGTCTCGTACTTGGACTTCCAGTAGCGCGCGTCACCGCCAGTAGGTCCCGCGCCAGTTGACTGTGAAGCCTTAGCCTTGACCGTGGCGAGCTGGAGTTCCAGGTTCTTGACGACGTCGTCCTTGTCGAGAGCTGCCTGGCGGTACTGCTCGGCTTGCTTGGAAAGCGGAAGCAGGTCTCGGTACTCTTTGTAAGAGCGCTAATCTTAATTAGTATGTTATTCCATAAAATTTAGGGTATTTGTTGCTTACCTTGGCGAGTTCAGTCCACTCATCTACAGCGTGCTCGAGATCGCGAATCTTCTGCACCTGAGCAAGCATCTCATCCTCCAGGTTGGGGTTTGGGGAACCGCCACCGCCGGGAGACATGCTCATGGAAGCCTTGAGCTGATTGATCGCAGTCTCCAGTTCGGCTTTCTCAAAATTAAGGGCTTGAATAGTTTCTGCGTTGCCCTTCAACTTGCTAGTGACCTTGGCATGCTCCGACTTCAGAGTCTGGACAGTCTTCTCAAGATCCTTCTTTTCGTTGAGAGCATTCTCAAGTGTGGTCTGAGCCTTACGTCCATCAGCCGTCATAGCCTCATTTTCCGACGTGAGGGTATCGATCTGCTTTGACAAACTAGCCTTCGCTTGTCTGAGCTCAATGACTTCCTTCTCGAGATCGACAAGCTTGGTCAGACGCTGCTTAAGCTCAGAGTTGTGTTTCTGGAGGCGGCCGACTTCGATCGTCAAGGTGTTAAATTGCTTGGTTTGCTCATCGAGCTTCTATGCTGTTATTAGTTTCATATACACTTGGAATATTCATGCATGCACAACTTACCATGAATAACTTGGAATGCTCGGCCGTCTGGTTGCTGTACTTGGTGTTCAGCGCCGCGTGCTCCTTCTTTGCCTTGTCGGCGTCGAGACGGGCGATGTCCTCAGCTTCTTTCAGCTCGACTATCATGGCATCAAGGGCCTTGGTCTTGTCGGTCTCTTTCGCAAGCAAGTCAGCGGCTGACTTGAGCTTCGCGATGAAGCCATCGGTGGTCCCCTGGACTGCAGCATCGTCCTTAGTATACATGGCCACCTCTTTGCGTAGAGCAGCGACTTCAGCTTCAGACTGCTTCTTGGAGTCCACAAGCTTCTCAAGCTCCTTCTCAAGGCTCTGGAGCTTGGACTTGGTCTCAGACAGCTGTGTACGCTCTTGCTTCAGCTGCTGCGAGCCGCTGTCAATCTCTGTGAGAAGTTCGCCCTTCTCGAGATCGAGACGCGAGACGCGCTCCTCGAGTGTCTCTAAATCTTTCAATTTGCTCTCGGTCTGAGTCTTGTGGAGCCGGAACGCTTCATGCCCCTGCAAGATCAAGCTATTTTGAATGTCGGCCTACGTGATTGTAAGTTAGCAAATGTCTTACAGACAAATGTCGATCGTGGAAGCAACTGACTTTCTTTCGCACGATGTTCAGCTCGCCCTCTGTTTCTCGGATGGTCTCGTTCAACAAGGCAGTGTGATGCAGACCCAAGCTGTCGCGCTGTTTATGCAGGAACTCAGGCAGCGCAACCTTTGCATCGTTTGCTGCAGCAAAGAGGCCCTCCAACTCGACCCAGAGAGCATCGATAGTGGCGTTGGTCGCCTCTGGGCACTTTTCACGAACCAGCTCAAGCAGGCGGCGCGTGTTGACGACTTTGTCCGAGACAGTCCTGGAGAGGTCCGCAACATGCTGTTCGACTTCTTTCTTCAAAACAGTACCCTGAGCAATGGCAAGCTCTACATCAGGGTTGTGCTGAGTGGTGTTGCCGGCAACCTGAGAGTTGGTCTTTGAAGCTGCGATCTGTTCTTTTGTGGCAATGGCATTCTTGGCAGTGGGAACAACAGAGGTAGTCGAGGAACTTGAGAACTGGTTCGTAAATGTAAACTTCATGGGCTGTGGAGCATACTTGGAGAAGCCGAGCGCCTTTGGGCCGGCGTACGGCTGATCAGAAGCCATCATTGACAACGAGACTAGACGCGCATTGATTAGCATGAAGCGGGCACTTGGATGCTACGAGAAATATACCTTGCTTGAACTAAGAGGGGCAGGATCGAAGCCGCCGCTTGTGTTGGTTGTGCTGGCTGTCACGGCCGGACGTCACAACAAAGCGTGGCCGTAACTGCATGCGCAAGTTAGTCGAGTCTTGGTATACGCTGTCGGACAACTTACAGACAGATAAGAGAGATGCCTACGAAGTAGCGGGTTTGATTGAGGCGCGTGTGTGGTTGTATGCTGGTGGGGTCAAGAAGGTGCGGAATCTGTAGATAATCAAGGCAGTCGCGCAGTGCGTCAGGGCAACTACACACGACTATGCCGCTAGTATCCTAACAGTCCTAGCTCTTTCAATGAACGTCAAAATCAGAGTCCAGTACCTAGGTAACCGTCTTTTCACCTCATGCCGCTACTAAAGAATGCATGGAAATGCTCATGTCACGTGCGAGGCAGCTTTACTTTCACCCTCACCTGGGACCGGACTTGTAAGCGAAAGCCCACGCTTATGGAGACGACAACATCCGTCGCCATGGTAGCATGTCTTGGGGGATATCATTGACATGAGGTAAGACGAAGCAAAAGGTACAGACTGTTCGTCTACTTGTTGGTAGCCACGAGGGAGTATGAGATGGAGCACCAGAGGCATGACAAGACAGAGAAATGATTTTGAGCAGGAAATTACTTGGAAGTGATATACGAGATACACGCGAGAGCACCATGAAATTCGAGACAGGCACCTACCTTTCTACGAACATGGTATCACTAAAATACACGCCTATACAAAATTACTAGACAGCACTCCCCCCCTACGGGACTACTCGACAACACCCTTTGGACGCCTGACATGGGAAATTTGGCTACTGTGGTAATATTCATGTTTGTGATAGTGATGAGGAGGAGCGGGCAGGTTGGGACAAAAGAGGAAAATATGGTGCTTTTTGTGTGCTCGTCCTAACCGACCTGCATCAAACGGTCTCAAGCTCAACGCTGTCCCCGCAACGCACAAACCACTTGATTGGCCGTGGACCGGAAAAAGGGCATGTGTTGAATGGCATGATTTCGGTCGAGAGTGCATCCAAAAGGAAGAAACAAGCTGGGCAGGCCGAGTGGCAAGACAAGGCTTGAGCGACGAAGCGTGTGGCCAAGGGGCGAAAAAGCATAGGAAAACGCCATGTCGCTCGCGTGTCAAACCAGGAAGACGGGTGCAATTCCCATTCGGCAGTTGAGGTGCTACTGTAAGACGTGGGTGAAATGTCTCACGCCGCATGCATATCCGTCGTGGCAGGCGTGTAGGAGATACAGTTGGGGGTTGATACAGTGGAGGCTGAGGTGGCAGCTGGTAGTAGTGCACAGTGCGGGCGCGGGCAGCACGGATCAGGCTCGCACAACCTCACAAGCTTCGGGCCAGGTCACGACACTTGTGTGATGAGTTCAGACGCTCGTGGAATGAGTTCCAGCGCGTCATTTTAGGGGGCGTCAGACCCAGCTATACGGGCCTTTTTACCCACGTCGAACATGGGGTAGATCTGTAGGCGGGCTCGGATGCCACCTTGGACCTTGTGAGTGGGGGCGCGTCGGGGCGAGGATACCACGTTGGAGATAGTTCAGGGTGAGATGGGAAAGGAGATGGTTAGGGGAGTGGGAGCATGAAGGGGGGCCAGCCGGCGGAGCGTTGGCAGCGCAGCGTGCAGCAATTGCGTCGTCTGCTGAGCCCCACTTTCGGAGGTATGGCAGCGGAAAGGGCCGCCATGTGCTCCTGCCAGGACTGCTTGCTGAAACGCCAACCCGATCCTGACCTAGGCAGTGGTAATATGCCATGTACGTAGTCGCCAGGCCGGAGTATTAGGGAAAGTGATGCAGAGTCTGGCTGGTAAAAGGTAGTGGAGGGCACTGGATGGTACTGGTACTGGCGCTGGGTAGTGTTGAGCATGGCCATCAGGCAATGTCTGTGTCTGTGTCTGTGTCTGTAATGCAGAGCACGGCTCGGCCGAAGCGGCTAGTCATGTTGTACTCGGTTGGTGCAGCAAGGACAGATGGGGACAATATCGGCTGCTTGAGTGCAGTCGATGGGCGCCCACGATGAGATGACTAGAAACATGACGTCCTCGACAGTAGACTATACCTACAAGCCGTACACGGCAGCCAGAAGCGGGCCCCCCATCCCCAACGGCCAAATCGCACGCTTAACCTGCCCTTGGCTGTCGAGCATGGTGTCGTGGGACGGGCAGAGGTAATAAGACGACGCCGAACGGCTGGGTGTTTGGCTGCAAGAGCAAGGACCCCGACGGCGAACGGTGCTGATCAGGGATATCTTCGGCAAGGCACACGTTGTTATATGGCGTCCGCTTCCCAACTAAGAGACTAACTCGCCAGCTCTCCCGTGCTTTCTGTCAGCGTTTCCTGCCCCGTGTGTCTTTTTTATCTCATCTTCTTTTATTTTGGCGGCTGCTGATCGATCGAGCACCCGTCCTGCACTGACATCCATCTCTCTCCCCTCGTCCTAGACAGGGAGGGCACTTGCTTTTTAGTCCCTTGTTCCGCGTAGCTGGCTCTTTTGCCCTCGCTAGCAAGTTTAGCACTTAGCAGTCCCCTACTAGGCCGCCAGTAACCTTTCCGGCACTCGTCCCGCCGTGCACCCCTCCGCCGCCGACCGGTAGCGTCGCCCTCTGTCATTTATTACGCGAGTCACGGCCAAAAGAGTCTGCGTCTGACGCACTTATAGCCTTTGCCCGTAAGCTCAGCTTGGTGCTTGCATGCCTGTAGCCTGTAGCGTGTGCACCGCGTGTCGCGACTTTCTCCTACCCCAACGCAGCTGCTGCTAACAGCTGCTTATACCCACCGCCAACCAACGCACTCACTGCATGGCATCTGCGATAATGTGTTTCGGACGCAAACCCTCCACCGCCGACCCGGAAGCCAGGAAGAATGCCGAGATTGAAAAGAACCTGCGGGTCGACCGCAAGAAGGCGGAGCGCGAAGTGAAGTTGTTGCTGCTTGGTATGCGCCCACTTTGAACATGCAAACAATGCGAATGCATCCTAACAAAGACACGATTGTAGGCGCCGGTGAAAGTGGAAAGTCGACCGTCCTGAAGCAGATGCGCATCATCAATGCCGGTGGTTTCCAAAGCATGGAGCGCAAGACATGGCGAGCCACCATCTTTAACAACCTCGTCTCCGCCTTCCAGACCATCTACGCCGCCATGCAGGAAGACGACACTGACTTTGAAGATGAAGACAACATTGTACGTTCTACTCCACTTGCACTGCTTTCATAGCTCATGCTAACCCTACCCAGCGATATTCCGAAATGGTCAACGCTGCGCCTGACATTGGTACCGAGGAGCCCATGCCCGAGGAGTTTCTCACAGCCTTCAATTGCCTATGGGCAGACAAGGGCGTCCAACTCACCATCCTCAAGGGCAACCAATATGCACTGCACGACAACCTGAATTAGTACGTCCCTCTCTGTGCCTGTCACTGATGTCTATCCGTACTAACCAAACAACCCAAGCTTCTTTCAAGACATCGACCGCCTGTTTCAAAAGGACTTTCTCCCCACAGACCAAGACATCCTCCGCACCCGCTTACGTACAACGGGTATCTCCGAAACCATCTTCGAACTCGGTAATTTGACTTACAAGATGGTCGATGTTGGTGGTCAACGGTCCGAGCGAAAGAAGTGGATCCACGTCTTCGACAACGTCCAGGTCGTTCTGTTCCTAGTTGCCATTAGCGGATACGACCACGTGTTGGTTGAAGACAGGAATGGCGTAAGGAGTCTTGCTAGTCTCAACTCAAGCTCGTTCACTGACACACACTAGAACCAAATGCACGAAGCGCTAATGCTGTTCGAATCCATATCAAACTCCAAGTACTTTGAAAAGTCGGCCCTCATCCTCTTCCTCAACAAGATCGACCTCTTCGCCGAGAAGATTGCAGGAGGCATGAGTCCCATCAGCAAGGTTTTCCCAGACTACACCGGCGGACCCACCGATTTCGAAGCCGGAAAGGACTTTTTCGCAAACAAGTTCCGCAACCTGGTACGACAACCAAAGAAGGAGGTCTACGTCCATTACACAAACGCCACCGACACCAACTTGTTGAAGATCACCATGGCGTCGGTACAGGACATGATTGTACAGCGCAACCTCAATGCCCTGATACTATAATAATGAGCGGTCGCTACGCGCACAGCGATTTTCGCGGCCATCACAGCATCCCAATAACCGGCTGAAACGCTCGCCCACGCGAGAGCAAAGCGGAGCGTATGTCAGTTGTTGATCGACGCCTACTCAGAAGAGGTACATTGAGTAGGACCGGCATAGCAACGGACTTTTTAGTGGAAGTGAAGAAGACGACTTCCACGGCCCTTTTCTATTTTATACCCTCGATATCCCCTTCTTCTTCACATTCTTCTCTTCTTCTTTTGTTGGCCGTTGTTCTATAACGATCTGACGACATAATTTCTCCTTTTGTCAGATACGGCAAGCGCATCTGCATCTGTAGATTGGCAGCATGCAGGTTCGGATACAGACACGCCCCGTTCACAAGCGGGTAACCAGCTGACAAATTCTGCATGTAGCGTCCCAGAAAGGGCATTAGTTTGCAATTTTGTATGCATGAGCATTCTGAGGGTGGTAGCCGCCCTGCTTTTTTCCAAAGCCTAGCGAAAGGGTACAGAATGCAGTATGTCCGATTGGCAGGGTGGACAGGGTAACATGGGGTTGAAGGACGCTAGCTACGAGCAAAATGCTGTTAATACGTTCAGGATACGCGATGTTAGGTAGAAATAAAAAGAAGACATGAGGCCCCCTCGTCGACTTCCGCGGATCGTCATACGATAACCAATACAGATCAACATAACCAGCGTTTCACATGCCCCTCACTTTACCTTAGGTTCGAGCTATTTAGCCATGTTAGTTCCCGTGGGAAGCAACGGTGCAAGATGTCAGATTAAGGCTTAGCCCCCAAGTCTGCATGCGCGGTTGGGGCGTGGTTGGCGAGGCTGATTGCGCTCCCAGCAGCGGACAGACGGCACGAACCGAACACCGAGCGCTACATAGAGTTTGTTGGAAAGGCAGATGATTGGGTAACCGGGTACATGGCGGCATACTGGAGGATGCATAGCCACCGTCGGTTCATGTTGGAGTAGGCTGGTGGGAGAGGCTGACCATGTGCCCACAGTTACACCAGCCTGGTACGCGTGATCGTGATCGTGATCGGCCGGGGAGCACAGAAGGGCGGGGTCAGCAGGTGTGGAGAGCAGTGAAAAGCAAGGCACGCGGACAATGCAAGCTGAAGGACGTTGGGAGGCCCATCCATGTACTAGTCGACTGACTTACTCGCCGCGTGAAGTATATCATCTCGTCCAAGCCCGGGTTCCGATCTGGACTCGTGACTTGTGCTAGTGCCATTCGGGGAAACGTCGGCGCGTAGCGAGTTGCGGCAAGTCCTGACTGATAGCCGCCTTGAGCCTCATCAACCACCGTCATACCGTCATTCCGTCATATCTGCCCCCCTAGCGAGCCATGTTCTCGCCAGCTGTTGGCAGAGTCGCTCGCTCTGCAAACACTCTCTCCACTGCTGCCTTTGCCCGATGCGCACTGAACGCATGCGCTCGCTCCGCCCTCACTTCGACTGCGCCGCAGCAACCCCTCCACCAGCGGCGCTACTCTTCCTCGAAGCCCTTGACCCCACCGAATAGCAAGAAGAAGCCTGCTGGAATAGATCAGAATGCTACCGCCGAGCTGCAAGGAGCGGGGAAGCGGTCAAAGGAGCTGGGCCGGGTGGAGAAGCAGTCTACTGCAACCATAGGCAAGAACGTGCCCTATGTAGCACCTACAAATCACCTGCGGGAAGATGGTACGATTTACGAGACTTGAATTGTTTGTTTACAAGCTGACATAAACAGATGTCAAATTATCCGCCTTCTTCGGCCTCCATCGCCCCATTTCCATTTCGCGATCGTTTCCGAACGCAGTTTCACCCGCCGAGTTTGATGCCTTCTTCGACGTAGATCGCTCAAGTAGCATTAACAAAATGAAAACAACGCAACAAGTCCTGAGTGGATTCTTGAGGCGCGTACAGGACGAGATGGACGTGCAAGAAGAGCAACGGGCCGACGCAGCACTGGCCGAGCAAGAGGTATATCACCTCGACGGCCAACTCACGCAAGAACGTGTAGAAAGCTGGGCGGCCGACCTCCATCCTTTCCAACCCCCGCCAGCACCTGAACCATACGACGCAGTTGCAAACGTGCCAGCGTCAGAGCCGGAGTCATATTCTGCCGAGCGTCTCTCTGCCAGCATCAATGAGCGCGTAACCGAGGTTCCCCTGCCTTCGGACGAGAGTGGTCCGAGGACGTTTCGTGAACATGTTGAACAGCGGCGGTACGGCATGTACATGATTAGCGTCAAGAGGCAAAGAAAGCTCAAAATGAAGAAGCACAAGTACAAGAAGCTCATGAAGAGGACGAGGCTGTTGCGAAGGAAATTGGATAGGACATAGTGAATACATTGCGACGGCGTTATGGGTACGGATTCGCCTTGTCGAAGAGGGCGACTTGCGTTGTCGTGTGGATTGTCAGCATCGGACTTTCATGCAAGCGGCGTTCCGAAATAGCGCGCGCTACCCTACGGCTCGGTCTTCGGAAGGCATTAGGAACAAACTCGACTATCATCTTTTGAACATTGCGTAATCCCTGGTGTTCATGATCATTGTTTCACGCCTATAGCCTTGGAACATGGCCGCGTCCTCTTTCCTAACTAATTCTAGTAACAAATCACCTCACGACCTACCACTTTCCTTGCATTGTGTTTGATTTCTCGGTGTTTGCTTATGCGTTGCAATAGTAGAACAGATATCACATTTCGAATCGAAGCCAAGTCGAAACCGCATTGGCCATGGCCGCTGTCAAACGAGGCGTCGTCGGGCGCCTTCAGGTGTAGCTCCGCGTCGCAAAGTCACATGAAACCCCACCGCGACTGAGCATGTCGCAACGCCCACAACGTCAGGCGCCGGCTAGTAGCAACCCCAACCCCACACCCTTGTGTCGATACCGGTTGGAACCGCACGTAAGCCTCAATCGGATTCCCTAAGGCGAAGCGAAGTCGCAGTCGGGCAATCATACGTTCCAGCACGCCCAACTACGCATGACGCCTTGGCGAGAACGTTCCTTGAGTCATTTTTCCCGCTGTTTTCCAACCCCCCGCCATGTTCTGGACAGCGGATCGAAGGGTGCAAGGCAGGTGTCGATGCATGAATGAGACAAGTGATTGATCCTTCCGCGTTCTTCCTTGACAGGGCGCCTATCCTCAGGAACGCAAGGCGTCATTGTACAAGGCCACGCCTGTATATAAGGCTTGTATACCTCCGCCCAATATTGAAGGCCATCAACTTCGACATCAGCCAGTCAACAGTAGCCACCAGCATCTTCTTCGCTTCGTCCTTTCGCTTTTTCAAGCACTTTTCATTCATTCGCCCAGGTCGGCTCTTTACTTCCTAAACTTACATCCTTTCTCTTCAAGAGCTAGTCTCTCGTTTTCCAACCCATAAACCTTATACCTTTCACCTCCCCCACAACACAAACATGGTTTCCAAAACTTTCATTCTCATGGCGGCTATCGCCTACGTCGAGGCTCGTTTCGGTCAGGAGCAAGTGCCCATTGCTGCCATCCAAGCAGTCCAGGGAGGCAACCCCGGTGAGGCTGCTACCATTGCCGGAGCTGCCATTTCCGACCTCCTTGGTGCCGCCAGCTCTTGCGCCAAGCTCACCCGTGCTGATGAGATCTTCACCAAGCTCGGCGGTGGCGCCGATGCCCTCGCTGCTGCCATTGGCATGGTGACTGCGGAGAAGAACACCAACCCCTCTGCCAATGGCAACGCCCAGAACGTCTGCGGCGATGCTTCTCTTCCTGCTACCCCTGAGCTCCGTGGTATCACCCCTCTCATCGACCCCGCTGTTGATGTCGATGGCAAGGCTGCCGCCCTCAGCCAGAGCAGTGCTACTACTCCTCTCCAGGCTGATGGTATGAGCGTCTTTGATCTCATGTCCGCCAACGGTCTTGGTGACCTTGTCCAGGCCCAGGCTGCTGCTGGTGGTGCTGCCGCTGGTGGAGCCGCTGCTACTGGTGGTGCTTCCAAGGGCAATAATGCTGCTGCTTCCAAGGGCAACAACGCCGCTGCTTCTGGTGACGCTGGTGCTGCTACTGGCGGTGCCGTTACTGGCGGTGCCGTTACTGGCGGTGCTGCTGCCAATGCTACTGCCCCTGCTGCTGGTGCCGATGCCGGTGCTGCTGCTGGCAACGGAAATGGCAAGGCCAAGGGCAAGAAGAACAATGGCAATGCTGCTGCTGATGCCGCTGCTGCCTGTGGCAACGCCCCTGCTGCTGCCGCCGGTAATGCTGCTGCTGCCAACAATGCTGCTGATGCTGCTGCTGGAGCTGGAGCTGCCGATGCCAACCAAGGTCAGGCTAAGAAGGGCAAGGCCAACGCTGGTGCTTCCAAGGGCAACAACGCTAGTAACAACAACGCCGCTGCTGGCAACAACAACGCTGCTGGTAACGACAACGCTGCTGCTGGTAACAACAACGCTGCTGGTAACGACAACGCTGCCGCTGGCAACAACAACGCTGCTGCTGGCAACAACGCCGCTGCTGGCAACAACGCCGCTGCTGGCAACAACGCCGCTGCTGGCAACGACAACGCTGCTGCTGGTGACAACAACGCTGCCGCTGGAAACAACGCTGCTGGCGCCGCAACTGGAGCCACAGACGCCACCGCAGGCGCAGCCGCCGGCGGAGACTTTGGTACCTGCACACCTACCATCACCTTCCAAGGAGGCGAAGGCAACCGCGCCGCCACAGAATTCACCTTCCAGATCGCCGATCCCGTCGCCCGCGGTGGCCAAGGCGAGGCTCTCAACCCAGACATCATCACCAACGCCCTCTGCAATCAACTCACAAACGTCTGCGGCGCGTCTGCTGCCGGTGTCGCAAAATGCGAGTCCGCTCAGGCTGCTGTCAAGGGTGGCCCTCGTAACAAGAGCACTGCTGACAAGTTTAACACTTTGATTGGTTTCCCCGGTGCCGTTACTAACCCCGCTGGTGGTCCGGCAGATGTTCCTGCTGCTGGTGCTGCGAAGAGGAGTATGCGCAGGGGTGTTCGCGCTGCTTAGATTGAGGCTGTGGCTTAGAAATGCGGTGGTGGTTGATGGTGGTGGTGAATTTGCAGGTCGCTGGATGGCTGCTGCTGATAGTGTAAAGATGATGGCTGCTGGCTGCTGGCTGCTTCTTCCTTTTGTCGAGTTTTTTGATACAAATATCCCCCCCTTTGCTTTTGCATCTTTACGATTAGCGGTTACAGCCCATGTTTTTATTAGATATTATATATGATATGAATGAGACATATGCTCTTTTCTATGATCAGATTCTCTGGCTGAGTGAGTGAATGGGTTATCAGTTGAAAGTCATAGTTGGTGGAGCTGCTTGGGAGTCAAAGAGTGTAAAGCAAGAGAAATGGATGTTGGGTAGACATGATGGCTGTGAGTTTGACATTTACCAGGAGTGTGGACGGGCACTCTATAATCTAGTCATCTCAAATTTCATTTCCTGTATTTATTCTGGGGCGGTAGTTCTGTCGGAGGATAAGCGTCCTGAGGTGGTTGACTGTAGAGGCGTGAAATGAGAAAAAAAGAGGGTTGGAAGACGGCAAAGGTATCTTTTAGTTCAGCCGCAGTCTTTTCTTTCGCGCTCTTGAGTAGCGTTGGTGATGTTGTTACATAGCCATGTGATGGAAATAATGGGTGTGTGTGGGTAGGGCACCACCCTGGTGTAAATCAGCCTGCGAATGTGATGTCATTTGCAACTCAAGCGAGATTTTTGTTTCGGATATTTCGGCCACCAGGAGCGGAGGCTCTGAGATTAGGTGGTGCGGGATAGGTACCGGTGATGTCAACCTCAAAGACATGGTTGAATGAAGCATGGCATGATGGGATAATCCGGGGAGAGAAGTGAAGTAAGAAAAGTCCGGGAGAGTTCGCGGCAAACCACTTGGCGCTCTAGTTCCTCAAAAATAGGAGACAATTGACATCGGCAACAGCCTAAAGAAGATACTCCTAGTAAACCAGGTCATCACTCGTCTGTGTTCCGGCATGGCACGCCAAGACAGCAAGCAACCTGAATCAAGAAGGGCAGGAAAGGACCCAGGGGTTTGGAAGCCGTTGAAATGCATCAGAGAAGAGTCGTGGGTACGAAACAAGACGACTCGGTGCCCTAGAATTCCGACAGGGTGAATCGGGAAGGAGCCGTCAAAACCTGCTTTCCGAATGGTCTCTTCTCTCTTGCTCCTGCCTCCTTGTGCGCTTGGTGTTGCTGATCCTGGGTACCCACTTCGGAGTTTTGGCCTTCTTGGTGGGCGCTTCGAGGGTGCCTGAGTTTTGGCGACTCTCCTCGGGAAAGGCCGGGAGTTGTTGTTGCTGCCGAGGAAAGGATAATGTCAGTGTTGGTTTTGGCACGAACCAACATTACGCCCTGGTTGCACAATTTCCGTTGCGATGGCTCTCGCTCAACAGACTCCATTCCGTCTAGGTTAGGATCATTTGGAAGCGCTGTGTGGAACTGAGGATGGTTGCAGAAAAAGCCCTGCATATGCGCAGGTAATTTGGAATTCTCTCTCTCCGAGACATTGTACGCTTGGTGTAGGCGGGGATATGATGTATTCCGCTATAGATTAGATAACGTGTTCTGTTTCGCGCATTAGCATACTGGTGGAAACTTGAAAAGAACTTTTTAATCTAATCTTCTAGTAAGACGGGCGGATACGAGGATAAGGATGCGTCATGGTGGCCTAGGATCACTAGAGTCGAACGGTGGGGTGGGAAACAACTTGTCCCACCTGCACCCTGTAAGGAAAAAAGGAAACATGCGTTACTATCTTGTTTGCCATGGAACAGTAGTCTTGCTGAATTGCCGGAAAGCCAGTTTTGCGTCCGGTGTACGCAAGAAAGTGAGCCATTTGTTGGTAATCTGGGCCGGCCCGGATGGTTCTCGGGTAATCCTTATAGTAACCGGATCATTGTGTTTCTTGGTTTTCTTGTAGTGGCGTGAGAAGCGGCTTGGAAAGGAATCGATAAATGCGGAGTGCGAGGATGGAAGGTCGAAGGCCGCTCTCGCTTAGATGGCTAACTAGTTAGGGGTTGGTGGACGAAAGGCGACTTTGTTTTTGTCTTCTTGCGTTCTCGAGTACAGTGGCGCGAGCATGTGAGCTTTTAGTGTTTTCCCACAGGATTCCATATTGTTTCTTCTACTAGTTGCCATTAAAATGTTGTAGTAGCTCGTCAGATGTAGAAAGGGTTGCGATACCTAGATGGTGTTCCACAACACGATGACGTCCCCGTTTTCGGCTATGCCTTCCCTGTTTTGAAATAGCTCTCTCTGTATCCACTTGGCATCCTCGTATCTTGATACCTGAAACCTCTCACTGCCCCAATATTGCGGACAACATCGCCAGCGGCTCATCCGCGTCGACGACCTCGGGATCTCAACAGCAGAGACTGCGCGGTGGGGAGGACCCGTTAACTTACCACCGGCCGGTATAACGGCGGCATCCCTGGCCATATCCCCCTTCAACACCCATGTAGGACCCGCCCATTTAATTTCGAGGCAGCCACCACGCAGTCTTCCAGGCACGGCTGAGGATCTAAATCATCCGCCAGTACATGTTTGTAGTGGCGCTCGTTTGCCGCTTCCGTTTCGATCCACAGATCGTGCAGGTACGGGCGCGTACACGAAGTTCCATCGTTGACCTTGTGTCGAAATGGGGTGAAACTTCGTGGGAAATGCGCAAGTTGGAAGTTATCGCGATTCAGATTACCGTAATCAGCGACTCGCTACGAACCCTCGCCAATATGAAGATCCATGACCTTTAGGGCAATCGCGAGAACTCATCGCATGCTAACCGAAGTGCTGAGCTTCCAGACTCGGAATATGTAAAATGAGGTCCCAGATCAAAGGACAGTTGGTGGAACTACTATGCCGGAGCAAGTCTAGCCTACGGCGCCGTCGCACGACTACAGTTTTTGTCCCGAGAGAACCTGGGGAAACTCGTGCTTGCTAGCTAGAATGAGCCATAGACTCAGAGGCATCGTAGGGCATCGAAGGGCTTGCGCTGATGCGGAAGGCCCGCCGTCATTTCGAGCCGTTGGGGAGACAGGCGGATCCATATTTGGTCCAGAAGCTACTATCAGTCGTAGATTGCCATCGGCCATAACTGTCGCCGCATCTGCCACGCGCGATATGTTGGTCGTCTTTCTTCCCTCACCACCCTGGTCATCTCTATTCTCCTACAGAGTGCCGGCGGCATTCACTCTTTATTTACAGTTGCTAGTCTGCGACTCATTACGCTCTTTAGTTTAAACCCTTTCGCTTCTATGCCGTCTCTCGTCTCAACCGCTATGTAAATATGATCTCCCGGCGAAAACACGATAAGTCGGGACACGGCTATGTGGACCCTTCACTTGAACTCAACCTCGGGTTGTGGTCACTCTTCGCTGGCGCCTCAGTCTTCCTTGCCCTTAGGACATGGATCAAAGTCACTCGTCGTCATGGCCTGTGGTGGGACGACTACATCCTCCTTGTCGCCTGGGTGAGTACTACCCTAACTGGAGCGAACTATGTAGCAGTGTTCGCTCGTGGTACATGCAGTAGACATCAAGAGTGGCTGCTGACTGTCTTCTAGGTCATACTAGCTGCAAACAACGCCTTGATCACTGTCGAATTCGCAACTGGCTATGTTACCGACACATGGGATGACCGCATGCACATACTCATCAACGTCACTTCTTGCGGCACCCTCGTCAACCAGGCTCTTACCAAAACCGCCTTTGCCGTCACTCTGCTCAAGCTGACAAAGAACTGGGGCAAATGGATTCTCTGGTACTGCATTGTCTCGATGAACCTGTACATGGCAGCCAAGGTGTTCCTGCAATGGGCCAAGGTTTGTAACAAGTCTTCGTATGATGTGTGGTACCGCCTGCCCTTTTGCATCGACTGGCATTTCAGAGACAATTTCAAGGAGGGTGGTAATATCTACAACATCATCATGGACTTTGTCCTCGCCGTCTTCCCCTGGGCTATCACCTGGAAACTCGACATGCGGAAAGTGGAAAAGATCGGTCTCTGTATTGCAATGAGCTTGGTAAGTAGCAGGAATAGGGTAGTCCATTACCGAAGTCAGCCACTGATTGTTTTGTAGGGTATGATCGTCGCTGTCATATCAGCTGTCCGCACCGGCTGGAAAGACGACGGCAACGAGAAAGATGAATGGTACTTTTGGCGCAACGCCCACTCCAACATTTGGTACTCTTCCGAGATTGTCGGCACCATCATCGTCCAATGCATACCCGTTCTCCGGCCTCTCCTCAGGGACTTCAAAACCTCTCTCACGTCGAAGAAACTGGCCTCCATTAAAGAAGGAGGAAATACCACCAGGTGCAGCAGGTACGTTATATTATCTCCTAACAATACACCGAAAGATCTAACAACCCCTCTAGAATACCCTCCATGTTCGGTTTCGGCTTTGGTCCCGGCCCAACCATCGGCACAGGAAAGTCAACACACAACACGCTCATCTACTCCGACGCCCGCAGCACCGTCAACGACTCCAAAAGCGAAGGCTGCTCAGATTCTTGGGACTCACAAGGCATCTACCAGAAGCGCGAGTTTGAAATGACAACCATGGAAGTCAAGGCGCACAACACCACCAACAACAACAAGAGTGGCGACAATATCGTATAAGATGATTGCGAATTGTGTAGAGCAAAGAAAAAGATAGAAGGAGGATGTCGGAATCCTACCCACAGGTCATATGCTGGTAATAGCCCCCGAGTTTGATTGTTTTTTTAGAAGAGAATGGACAAGAACATACCCGCTTCGTTGCGATATACAGGAAACCATATAGAACCCCTTACGTCATATTCCATTTGTTCCTTATATTTTTTTTCCTTGGGATCCGCAAGGGAGAGAACACTGGGTGGGGGGGCAGGCGGCTGCTACGTGGGGGTTGGGTTGGGTCAGCTTACACAAACAAAAAGGGGATGAAAATAATCCACCCACTCACTCGCTCACTCGCTCGTGGATGGAATCAAGGAAGCCAGCATCCGTCGTCGCGCATCTACAAACGGCAGTTTTGCTCCTCTCGGCCATTTCCTCGGCCATCTCCAACTTTTTTCACCACCCCAAACCCACACCAACCCCACTTACCCTCATATCCGCGAACCTGGCTTTCGGGTCGAATTTAGGGCGCGCGCACCCACGCGATTACTAGCATTATGAGCTTGTTTGCGCGCGCGTGTGTGTGCTTGAGTCAAGAAGCTTTTGCGACATCGTGTGGTGGGTGGGTGGATGAGATGGGCGATGTAGATTGGGATCGGCTGGTAGCGGTGGGGCTCGAGCGTGGGTGGGGGGGTGAGATGGACGATTTCTCATGGGCAGGGCTGAGAGCTGGGAGGGAAGGGGTGCTGGGTGCTGGGTGTGGAATGGGAGGGGTTTTTAGGGGACGGATGGGGGTATGGAAAGCTGGGGTGCTACGAGTCGGAGGGTTACTTTAGTTTTGGTGTATATGTTTATATGACTGTATTGTACCTACGTAGGGCGCTTGTCGCTTGTCGTTTGAAGTATGCAAATCTGTACATCTGCACTGTGTATGATTTGTGCTGGTGGAGTCTTTCTCTATCTTAATATTACCCCCTGACCTCCAACTTTTAAATATCGATACGGGCATGCGAAAAGACAGTGTGGTACTCAGACCGCTATAGTATTAGATTATTTCGCTGCTGTAATTTCCCGCATTATTCTTATATAGAAACCGAGTCGGAAGCGGAAGAATAGAGGACGTCGGAGAGGTGTGAGATGTACGAGGCTCACTTGCACCCGCCTTGCCTTATCACAGTACTCCAAATCATATTCGATCCGCTCATTCAATCATTCACTCCTTCACTCCACCTCCTCTTACACGCCTTCGCCCAAAGATAGAAAGCACACCCAAGCCCGTCTTTGACAACCCTGCTACCACAAACCCTCATAAATTTCCCACCCATACTACTCTTCCAACGCCACAGAGAAATAGCAAACCCTTTACAACGCCGTGTACCTATCCTTTGCGGTATGCGCAGACCCTAGGAGAAGTACGCCTGCACACGCAAGCGTACATGATTAGAAATATGCGTCAGAAGAGTAAAAAGTAAAAAGCAAGCTGGGCAGAGAAGTCGTAATCGATGCTTTCTTCCGTTGGCACACCAAGGATGGCGTACCCATGGTACATTGATGGCGGAATATGAGAATGAGTTTTGGTCTTATGTATCTTTACACCCTCATCACAACCGAAATCCATGCCTAAGATTCCATCATAGCTGTGATGGCACTAGAGGCTTAGACCGTCTTACGTGAATAAGAGATGTGTTTAGTATGTCGTAAACGTGCGGATACTCGCGCCTTTGAAGCGTAGATGATGGGACATATATGACTGGTGACTTAGGATAGGGGTTGGTACCATGTGCTGCACATGGAGAGGAAGCAATGATGCATATACTTCACCAATTGTAAAGTAGGAACGAGACAATATGCAAGGTAAGTAGGTAGCTTGAACAAACGAGTTTGCAACAGAACATAGTACATATAGTGGAGTGTGAGATAACCTTTGGGTTTGACATGCAACTTTATTCTTTTGCATTATGGCGCTATATACAGCATCTGACGTCTTTTTAAAACGCAGGTTTGGTGATGTGGTCTAGGGGCTGTAAGCCGTATATGCATGAGTTCATAGATTGACTGCGCAGTTCATCGGGGATGAATGGACGGAAAACAATTTTGCTAGACTCTTGTTATGCAGACGTCGGCGAGGAGCGTTTCCAGTCTAGGTAGCGAGACTGGCCCAGCCGCAAATATCTGTATGCCTGGTTTGATCAAGTACTGTTGTTATGTAGGATAACTGTGCCTAGCAGCTTTTTGTCATAAACCTAACTTGCGCATGTGTATACATATATATCCGTGCTGTTCCAGGCCTTGCTCGTTCCACATGCAACGCGGATGGTTGCGTGAAACTCGAATTCTCTACAGAGCACAGCGGAGAGCAAGTTTGGCGGACTTCAAGTATGTGGACGTCTAGTAGAAATGGCATCTAATCGCTGTTTCTGCTGATTGTTGAAAAATTGAATGTAAAGGAGGCCTGGTGTTGGTCATGGAAATCGCATAATGTTGGGAAATTGCGGATGGAAAAGATGGTGTGAACGATTGAATGTGCGGAAATGATGATATCGGCCATGATACTCGAAGAAGATGGGTGTAGTCTTGTTACATCGACCAAGAAGCTGCGCATATTGGCTATCGGGGCCCGGTCCGTCCAGTCTTTTCCATTGCGTCGTTGGATTTAGAATCATGCTGCTGTAAAGATCGGTCGGGCTATTCCACCTAGGGCAAAGCAATCCGAGATTTGTAGGTTCAGCTGTAGTCATACCGTATAGTAAAGTTCAAGGCGTCCTATACGCTGGGACTCATTTCCTTCCTATGAGGGTGTGCTGTACGTACCTCGTATTCGTTACACAACGCCCATCAGGCGTTCAGCACCCGTGTACCCAGGAAGCTCTACCGGCGTGCATGAGCAATACGATCCAGGTCCACATCGCAGTCGATAACTTTGAGTTATATGAGCATGGGAGAAGGGAATGCGCGTCGTTCCGCGGCTCACCGATATACGGGTACCTTGGTAGCTGTGCCGTCGACCTCGTGGCCAATCTATGCAACCCCAAACCCGCCTTCTCCAGATGGTCAAGTATCGGTATGCGACTCGTCGTCGTCGTCGTATGATGGGGCGCACCATTCAAAGGGCCCAGATGCTGACCTAGGAAAACGCAGCTGATGTTGCTACGTCAGCACCAGGGTAACGTCATGCGAGTCGTACAGCATCTCTCATGCAGGCAAGGTGCGTGAACGGTGAGCCGCAATCGAAAGATCCGATGCGATCAAAGAGCAGCTTGTCTCTTTACCGAGAACCTGCTCCCAACAAATTTCCATGCGATGGAGTCGTGTGTCTAGATCATCTGGAGTGCGAGGCGAATTTCCCTTTGGAGCAGCCCGAGAAGGCATTGATGCCGTGGTTGCATAGCCACCTTTAATGGATCCACTTGAAGGCGCAAAGCGGCCCAAATGGACAGTACAGTAGCCCATTGATATGCCGTTGATGATCCGTGATTACACTTTCTTGGTATAGATGGGTGGACACTGGTGTGGAGAAGTTCTGGGGCGCGGAGGGAAAGGGTTTTCCCGAGGGCGTGGGGTCCCGTCGTACAGGTCGAGTAATGCGTTCCCGGCTAGGGTAAAGTTTTTGCTTCCTAGTTTGTTGGGAGACATGGTGGTGCTTTTGAATTACTGTGTGGGGTGACTGGGTAGTGTTGTTGTTATGAAATGATGATGAAAGTTTGCCGTACTCCCGTCACGAACGGGGGGTGCGACAATGGAGGAGGGCCTACAAGAGGCGAGGCTATGTCAAGCCACAGCGTCGGACCCATAGAACCAGGATGATCCCTTGAATGGTTCGAGGCAAGTGGCTCTAGCAGCGTCCGGCGAACCGCTGGCCTTCGCTTCGTCTGCAAGCTGCGAACTTGAAGAAAAAAAAATAACAGCCACCCATACACCCGGGTATACGTAAGATGTGGTAGGGAGATGTGCCGCCCCAACGATTGTGTGGCAGACTGGGGTGGGTATACTTTCGGGTTCGGGCCAGTGAAAGGCCGAAAGCTTACCAGGCTGAGAAATGTCACAAGCACGATTGAGCCGTTATGTCGGCTGCCGCGGAAGTAGCTTCGCCGTGGGCCTATCGGAGGATGGCTACCAGTAAGCAGTAGGTTCGTCTAGGCTACAACTACGAAGTACCGCAACCGCTTAGAGGGCTGTTCGTTTTTTTGTTTTTTTTTACAAGCGCCACTACTTGGCAACCCGCCTTACGTACTATGAGACTAGTTTCGTGGCAAGGGAAGAAATATATCGAGGCTAAGCATGGCATGCGTATCGACGTCGTCAACAAAGCAGAGTGGGTGTGGGATGCGGCGAGGTACGTACCAAGCGTGCACGTGAGACGCATGCTAATGTGACCTTAGCCTCAGTCCAATCGCACGTCCCTACCCACCAGATCTAGCCCATCTCGGTAGGGTGCAGCGGGTTGAATGCTCGGCGTTAGCAACGCTGAGTTATATCTAAGCGTTGCGTAGAGATCCATAATTGATTGAAAGATGGGCTGAGATGGATAGTCAGCTGTGATGGAGGGTAGTGTTCTGGGGCTGGCACGGTGGAGCACAAGACATCTAGCCTATACTTGAGTGTGGTTGCGCCGCAAATAGAAGAAAGGGGCACGGCGCTTTCACAATGTATGTGGCGGCACAATTGTCATGCATGATGATATGCTGTGGACTTGTTTTGATTGTGATTTCGCTCCTGTTGTTCCGAACAGTATCGTTGGACTATGCGAATAGAAGGTGGGAATGACCCAGGCTTCCTCGATGCAGGTGCTTGATAGGTGGCGCTGCAGGACGCAAGTTGTTGCGTTCGCATACGTTGGGAGCAGTTACGAGGGTGAGTTTTTGGGGATAGGATCCGGGATTTCCTTGTTGGGCTAGCGTGCCTTGGGCGAACGGGAAGAGGCAGACGCTCGTCATCGAATTCTCTGCATCGGACCCTGTGTTCGGACGACCTCGTGCTTGGTGGGTGGTGATAGAGAGCCGTCCCGATGTCGTACAAAGGAGTACGTCATGTCTGCACGCTGCACGAACAGTTGAACATTCGTTGTTGTAACGCGGCTCGACACGGGCTGCGGGATGCGTATCGGCAGCAAGACAAAAGCTGATACTTTTACAAGCCGTTGCAAGATGGTTATCTCCGTGCCAATCGTTGCATCTGTCGTGGCTTGGGTTACATTTTATTATTTTAGGGCTCTTGAGAATTGCGCGACGGCTGTTGGCGGGAATTTGTTAGATAGTATGCTTTGGGGTTGGCGAGTTCATGGACTAGAGCATGGTAGAACGGGACGGGAATGGATTTTGGTCCATGGCAAGGTCCAGTGGCTCAGCATGAATCTAGCCACGATCAGCATGGAATTGGTCTACCGAGCGGCAACATTGTATTCTGTACGTTGAAATGGTTCTAAATTTCTTCTGCAATGCTTCGATTGACGTAAATGGCTTTTATTTTGTAGAAGCAAAGCTCCACCAAAGCGAGGTTCGCTTGTAGATCCGCCACGAGCATGTTGGTGCAGATCGCATTGCCACTAGATGCAACGTCACCGGCCGGGGGCACTGCAGCATCTGTAAAGGCAAGCGCAAGGCCGCAGCCGGCAGACATGTGGATGTGGCAAAGCAAAGCCGATGCCGACGCGAGCGTAGTCGGTAGGGGCCCAGGTGCGATAGCGACTTCGCGGATGCCGTCATAGGTGGTGGTCGCGATGCTGTGCGGCGGACATGAGAGAAGAAGTGGAAGGGCATGTAAGGGTCCTGGGTGGGCGATGGTCAGGTGCAGACAATACCCGCTGGGGCCTGCGTAATGGATGGTACAAGAGGTGCGCGGATTTGTCTCCCGACCTACCAGATGGACGACGACGACGACGACGACGATGCTTCTCCATGTATCCCAGCTGCTACTGTTACAAATGGACAAGATGCAATCAGTGTGAGGGCGGTCCACAAACGTCTCAACGTCGCCGTATCGGCAACAGTGTAGGCGGTACGAAGAGATCAAGGGCATGCGCAGCGCAAGTATAGAGTGATGGAGCCCATGCGTTGCGTGATAGGCGGGCATTGACGGCGCTGGGGAAAGTTTTGCAAGCCGTGGTCATGCGGCGCCAGGGGTGGATGCGGTTAGCACGTGCAGTAGCAGCGGTAGCGTTCACTTTACCCCAGAGTCTGCCCAAAGCAGCTAGAGCGCCCTTCTGCCGCAGTCCGAGTGCTGCAGGCTCAAGCTTCAATTTTCTGGGGAAGTTTGCGAGGGTTGCAACTGGACAGGCCTTGGGCCATTCAGCGATCGCAGCGTTCCGCTTCTATCGCAGGCTGTGGGAATTGCCCGCTGGTCATGGAGTGGTGGGCTGGTATCGCGGCGTAGCGTGCTGTCAGTTATGGGCGGTTCTTATTCTTACAGCTAGGCGCTTGACGGGCGCAGAGAGACATGGGGTCCTGTATGCAAGACCCATTGTTGTGCGCGCATTTCGCAGCGCCGCCATTGTCCCGCTTCTCATGAAACTGCACAAGAATCTCTCTCTCTCTCTGAGCGGTGGCAGCTTTGTCGCAGCATGACCAAGGGAGTCGCGGTGCGTGACGCTGTTGGTACATATTGGCGGCCGCTAGCTGATAAGTTAACGTATGGGGCCGCTCAATATATGCTCGTCGGGCCAGACGAGATGAAGTCGCTCAACTGCAGCCTGTCTTGGGTGGACGCGACACATCCGAGCCGAGCGTACAGCTTGTGGGTCCCCTGGCGCAGGCTCTCTGCGGCCAAGATGCAAAAGGCTGTCGAGGCCTGGCTGGTCATCGCAGGTGCACATCAATCACTGCCTTTGTCGAGGTGCATGTCATTGCTCTCAGTACAGGCAGACCCTGCCCACTGGCAACGGAAGCACTCCGGCGACGCCCCTGCGCCAGAAAGGCCGTTTGCTGGGGATCCACTACTTCCAAAGCGCCCTGGTGCTTGCAGGCCTGGTGGGCGCTGGCCAGTTGCATGACACGCTCGCGAGCTAGCTCCAGAGGTGTACGAGCCGTGAAGTCTGGGGACCTGCTTACCATTCTATAACGCCGCCTTCGTCTTGCTAGCCCTCGACGGTTTCTAGTTCCATCGCCACGGTCTGTCCGTTGCCCAACTTCATCGTGTTGTTGCTGTCGTCTCGTTGTCTTCTTCACCATACAGTACCTCTGCCAGTCCATTGTCGCTCGCCCTCGTCTCGCGAACCTTGGCCTGTGCTTGTTCTCCCCCAGATTCCCTTGTTCCGCCCGCGCCTCCAGCCAATCGCTGCGAGCCTGCCGAATTGCTCTCGTCGGGACCGAAGCTTGTGTCTGCGCTGTAATCTAGCCTTTGCAGGCCGTACCAGCAAAACGCCGTCGGCCTGTCCTAAACCGCACCGTGTACACACGCTTACACCAAGGCTGGACCCTCTTCTCTGCTCGACCCAGCGCAACCCACTCTATTGCTTCCCACGGCCCTTGAAGCCCTGGCCTCGACACATAACCGGGAAACCGCGGTTCAAGACGTACCACGCAAACCTATGTACGCACCCACTCACCTCACCTCTACCTCTCGTCCCTGTAATCTCTCCCATCGCTCAGCATAGCCGAGCATTTATTGCCAGGTCTTTGCCTATTCTATTCTCTCTTTCCCCGCCTTACACAAACTACCTCCAACACCTGGCCATTGACGTCCGTCTGCCGTATACTGGCATTGTATCCAAAGCTTCAATTGCTTCTTGACGCTATACCGCTCCGGCCTGTGTGCTCGAGACGTTGCTTTCCTTTCCTGCTCATCCGACTTGTGCTGCACCGCCTTCACAAAAACACGTGTTTCGGTACTACACTCTTCTCCATAACCTCCTCATGTTATCATCAGCTGACCCAAGTGCGTGCTGGCAGCGTGCTTGTCCGCATAGATTCTTTATTTACTCGGCGAGCTTGGTGGCTCCGCACAAGCTACAAGCTACAACAAGCTCGACGCAGCCTCAACCGCCAGTGTGGTAACACGGATTCTCCACTCCTAGCAACCTCAACGCGGGGTTAATCTGTCCGCGAGCTTCCCAAGACAATTGTGTCGTGGTGAACGTGGTTAGGTAGTACCATGACTATGGTCAAAGTGGAGAGCACGAGCCTGGCGGGTCCTGCGAAGACGACGAGCGAAGAGTCCCCCAACACCAGCAACAGTAAGTATTAGTCGGCCGCGAGCGACACCACACACTGTTAGCTAACAGCGGCTGCCAATTGCAGCCCCAGCCCCAGCATCGACTGCAAAGCCCGACCCTCCACCAGCCACGATCCCCTCATTTCCTCCACCCAAGAACGACAAGCCACGGCCCCATGTCTGCGCCACCTGCACCCGCTCCTTTGCGCGACTAGAGCACCTAAAGCGCCATGAACGCTCACATACAAAAGAGAAGCCATTCGAGTGCCCTCAGTGCACGAGATGCTTCGCGCGTCGCGACTTGTTGCTGCGCCATCAACAGAAGCTCCACCAGCAGGGCAACACTTCCACACGCCCCCGTCAGGGACGTAGGGAAAGCACGACCGGCCTTCCACCCAACGCTTCCGGACGAGTGCGCAAGAACTCGATATCGGGCAACGCGGTTGGCATCAAGGGCAATGTCATGAGGCCGCGCGCCAATACCATCAGCCACATTGACCCGAATGCCCTCAGCAGCTTCCTAGCCTCGCATGGCACTCCCATCGCAGGCCCCAGAGGCGGACATCCAGGCCACTCACATCATTCAAGCTTGTCAGGTACTAGTCAGTTTGACTACAGGGGCATGTCTACTGCCGTCGGTAACCACGGCCAACATCACGCTCTACCGAGACTCGACACCCACCGTGGCTTCGGCATGGGAGGCGGCGGCCTTCGCACAGCGCCCATACAGACTATGGCCGGGCATGATGAGCATGACTTTGACAAGTTCTTCGCATCGTCAACAGGCTCCACCATCGACCCGAATCAGCTACATCACTTCAACGCCGGTCTTGGCGTTTCGCAATCGCCCTTCAAACAGCAGTTTGCTAATCCCTTTGCCGGAAACAACCCCATTGAAGAAGATGACTTCAGCTGGAGTATGGGCATGGATAGCTCCCTCGTCTTCTCTGCTGCAAATGAATCTGCCTTGGACGGCTCGTCGCCATCGGCAATCAGTACTGCAAGCCAGGGTGCCTTCAACGACATGATGCTAGACGGCTCGAGCCAACCAAACTCCGCAGCCATGTGGCATAATCCCTTAGTTACCCACACGAGCATCAACCCGGCTACCTTCTCTTTTGATTCCATGAACCCAATCTTCCCCGAGTTGATGGTCAACACAGGTACTGGGCAGGATCTCGGCGATAATGGCGTCCAGGGCGATTTCTACGCCTCTACTCCACCTCCTTTAGCGGCCATGAGCCCTTCAGGTGGTATGCCCGGTATGCCGAACCAGTATTTTCAGACGCCCATAACATTCGCTTCTGATGCTCGCAGCATATCATCTTCCTCGGTCAACGGCAGTGCAAGGCACAGTTCCGTCTCCTCATTTTCCACTGAAACCATCACAGACTCTACGAGGCAAGCTCTAATGTTCAACTTAAGTCAAGCCATGGGCTACGGTCATGGGGCTCAACGGAGATTCTCAACCCCATCCATCAGCTCGCCCCTGTCTTCCAACGGAACTGTCAAGCCCTCAACGCAGGCTGGCATACTCCCAAGTACCATTGACATACAGCGCTATGTGAATGCCTACATTCACTATTTCCATCCCCATTTTCCCTTCCTGCACATTCCCACACTTTCCTTCAACACTCCAGCGTATACGTACCAGCTTCGCACTGCCGGTAATTTCAACCAGGATACTATGGTTGGTGGCGGTGGCTGTCTCATTCTTGCCATGGCCGCGATTGGGGCGCTGTACGAGTATGAACAAAACGTCGCAAAGGAGCTTTTCGAGGCAGCCAAGAAACTGATCCTCTTCTATCTTGACGAGCGTCGCAAAGCTGGCCTTTCCGCCGTTAACGGGCCGAGTTCTGCTAACGACCATATCAACAAACCACCGCTGTGGCTGGTCCAGGCAATGCTGCTCAACCTCATCTTTGGACACAGCTGCGGTGATCGGCAAGCTGCCGAAGTCGCGAGCACTCACTGCGCTGCTCTTGTAAGCCTAGCCAAAGCTGCTGGTCTTGACAAGCCCGTCCCTCCAGAGCAGGGTAACCCTAATTCACCAAACAACGCCAACGGTGATAATATGCACATGTCCGATGATCAGCAGGCGGACAGTGTAGATGAGCACGCTCAGTGGATGCAGTGGAAGAATGTCGAGGAACGGAAGAGAACCTACTTTGCAATCTTCTCCATGTCGAGCTTGCTCGTCTCCGCCTACGCACATTCACCGCGCATCCTGAACTCCGAAATTCATCTGGACCTTCCATGTGAAGAGGATCTCTGGTCCGTTGACAACCCGCAGGCATGGATAGCAATGGGCGGATCAATGATCGCGCAGACTCGGGGACTGTCATTCATCTCAGCAATGACATATCTCCTCGAAGCTAGCACACGGCAATCAAACCCAGGCTCAAGAATGCGCAACCCATATCCACAAGCATTCGTCAGCGGTCAAACACTTAATGGTCCTGTTGAGAGTGACATCCGACCCAGCACTTTCGGTTGCTATGTGTTGATCAATGCGATGCATGTTTACATCTGGGAGACTAGAAATAGACACAACGGCCGACTATGGAAAACCCAAGAAACCGAGGCTATGCACGCACAGATCGAGCCTGCACTCAAGGCTTGGCAAGTTGCTTGGAGGGCCAACCCGAATCACAGCATCGAGCGACCGAGCCCCTTTGGGCCCTTGTCTGCCGACTGTATTCCACTGCTGGATCTGGCCTATGTGAGGCTCTTTGTCAACCTTGGTCGGGCAAAGGAACTTTTGTGGCAACGTGATTTCGATGGCATGGCCAACGAATTGGCTAGAGGCATCGACATCATCGGCCAAGCAGATGGTTCCCCGGAGAGCTCTTCTTCTATGGACATCAGCCATTCTCCAGATCAGATGGGTGCACAGGATAATGTCAGCCCTGGACGCACGAACCAAATGCCCAACGGACAGTCATCGAAACGCGAAAGACATCTCCGCAAGGCTGCCTTTTACGCTGCCGACTCTCTTTCCATGGCGGATAGACTGGGCGCTTCGTATCCCGACTACACATCCCGAGAGTTGCCCAACTCGTCCGCGTTGTGTACATTTGACTGCGCACAGGTCCTTGCTGAATGGGTGGCGACCGTGCAGGATCGCGTCGGACGCTACCTTGGCGTACTAGGCAGGGATGAGATTGACTTTACCGCAGTCCCAGCCATCTTGCTGCTTGAAGAGGAGGATGTGAAACTCTTGCAGAAGATTTCGGAAATTCTCCATCACGCTGACATGAAGATGGCTTATGACATTTCTTCGACCAGTATGCCAATGCTAGGTGGTCTTTCCAACCTTGGACATTGCGGATATGGCACCAAGTTGCTCATGGTGACGGCTTACATGCTGACTAAAGCTGCTGTATGGCCAGGTAAGTTGAGCTCGTCGTCTGCCTAGAGATCGTACTGACGAACCAAGCAGTCACCCATATACACGCCCGCGCACTCGAAGCGCACGCCCACCACATCAGCCAACGCGCAGAAAACTCCGTAAATATTCAGTAAATACCCGTTCTGGACGAATTTTGTACAGTACTATGACACCGTCACGCATTTCCTTTGGCAGTCGGTTGGTCTCTATATACTTTTCACGACGCTTTCGTATGACCGCACACATCTGTCATGCGGGAGGCGTTTTTCGATCATGCCCTTCGCGGATGAGCGACTTTGACAACCGGACCACGACTCCCCATTTTTAACAAGTCTTCTTGTACAGATTACTTATTTCCTGGGATTGGGAATAGCGCTCTGACGCTTTGGAGCGGTCAAGCCAGCGCAGTCTATAGGGGTATACTACTTGGATGTGGGTAATATCGGATCGCGGGCTGTTATGACACACTGTTTTGACTATTGACGATCTGGTAACGATTTGATCGGTTCTTTTCAGGTAATGGAGGCGTTTTGAGAGAATCTTCTAGCTCTGGAAGGAGTCTTTTTTGGGAGTTCTTTTATATTGGTCGTTCGTACCAATGGTGTCTTCTAAGGAAATGTACTGCTATCGAGCAGGCTGTTTTTCACGCGGCGGTGGCTGCATACTTTGGAAGAGACGATGTTACGAACAATCACTACGATCTATTGGGAAACTGACACGGGTATTGGGGCGGCGCAGGTGCAACGTCCAAAAAGTCGGTTTGATCATACAGTCTGGGGACTGATACACACGAAATGGATTAAAAAAATCTACTAGCCCTTGAAATGGAATTTCGGGAGCCAAACAGTTTACGTTTTGTGTGCTTCACTTTGAAAGCCCAGTGAATCTTACGCCGTGCACTAGGGAAGTCTCACATGGACGTGGGGCATAGGTTGAGAATTAATTAAGCCTTCAGCCTCTACATACAACACTGCTCAACAGTCTTAACTATGACAAATGTACAGGTTCGAGGATCCAGCCTTCCTAGACCCTTGACCCTTGATCGTCAAGCCGGAACCATTGATCCTCATCTACCTAAACTATCCCCCCTTCATATGCGTATGACGTCCTCACCATCGTAAGTATCATGTAGATCAGACATGCCCATCTCAGCCCAAACCCACCCTACGATGAACCCATCCCAATCAACCAACCACACCCAACCCGCGGCTCTCCGTCCGCTCCAAGCAAATCCACCGCCTGCCCAGCGCCCAGAAACCGCACGCTTCACTACCGCATCGTAGGAACAACTGCATACCAGCGGATGCAGCGGCATCCCATTCAGCGTATCGGAGCTTACTCCGCTCATCGCTACCCGCCGCTGATGACGGCCGGCGATGCCCGTCCTTCTGTGGTCACAGGATGAGTCTGGCTAGCTAGGTAGCTGCCGGCTCGGCTGGAACTGGACGGGGATGAGGCTGGGTCAGGGTTACAGTGACATGCTTGAGGGCTTAGCTCAGGAACGCCGGGGTGACGTGGGTGGACCCTTGTTGCGTGGCAGCAAGTTAGGGTTAGTAGAGGGAAAGAGGAAAAGAGCATAGTGCGTGGACGTGGTACGTATTGCGGCGGTGTTTGCATGCAGGTTTGGGGCCGGGGTAGGACCGGTAGGTGGTGATGGGTTCCCGGGGCTCGGGGGGCATGGCTTGGTAAGGCGCGGGTTTAGGGTTGGCCCGTTTGGGGTTGATCGAAGGAATGGGAGGTTCCGGCTTGGAATGTTTTCGTTGGGAGTGTTTGGGTTACATTTTAGGTGTAGGTTTCAGGTAATTTTCTCGGCCTTAGTGGTGGGGATAGGTGCATGTAGAGGTAGGTTGATGGGGCAGTAGTTTGCTGGAGCATGTTTGTGTGGTTTGTAGAATCTTGCTTGAGAGAAGATTTTTCTTTTCCCGAAAGAATGGTCATACATGGAATAGGACTCTACTTTGTTAGCAATCCCATAAACTTGAAAAGTTAGACGACACATTGTCATGTCACATCGCGACTACTCTATTGCACAAAAATAAGTGGGGCCGTGCGTGATATATCGATTGGTCGGCTCCGGGAAGCTCGCGTACACCTTGCATCGACAACCGTCATCGCATCTGCATCGCTACCAAGCAACAACATCAAAGAAGCCCGTCTTAGGTTCTAGGTCGCAACAAAAGATACGCACCACGAAACACAAATACAAACACAAACGTAAATCATGTCACGCCCCACCACGCGAAAAGCCGCGCCAAAAGGCGAGTACATCGAAACGGTACGTCCTTCACCAAACCACCATCCCAACCTAAGATGCCGCAAAAAATCCCTACCCATCACCTTCCCTCCCTCCTACCCGCACTCACCCGCACCATATACCCATCATCCCAAGCCCTACCCTACCCCTGCCCCAGTCCTTGTCCAGCCCAAACCCTCAACAATCTAACACCAAATGTGCCGGCGCATAGGACTCAGGCAACAAAGTATCCCGACGTAGCGCCATCACGGGAACGGCCAACATCACGCTCGGCGGGCGCACCGTCATCATGGCCGATGTGCAGCTACGCGGGGACTTGCACCCGACACGCTCCGCGCCGTCGCAGTCGGGCAAGGACGTGACGCCGACGAGCATTAGCATTGGGCGGTGTACGGTGATTAGCCAGGGCAGCGTGATTAAGCCGCCGAGTAGGATTAGTAGGGGTATGGTGCATTATTATCCCATGAAGATTGGGGATAATGTTTTTGTTGGTGAGTTTTTTTCTTTTCTTTCTGTGTTCGTGTTAGGGAGGAGATGGGGTGATGATGCTGACATGCAAAGGTCCCAATTCTACCATCCAGGCTATATCTATCTCGTCACATGTTCATATTGGCGAACATTGCACTATCGGCGCCTTTGCTATTATTAAGGAAAACGTAAAGATTCTGCCGCATACGGTTGTTCCGGCTAATATGGTTATTGCGTCGGGGTCGGTCGTGGGTGGTCAGCCGGCGAGGGTGGTGGGTGAAGTGGGTGAAGGGTGGGGCGTTAGTGGTGGTGGAGGCGGTGGGTTGGGGATTGGGGGTGGTGGTGAGGAGAAGTGGGTCGAGGGTGGTGACTTGAGGGAGTTAGTGAGGAGTATTCGGTAGTTGGGGATGGTGGGAGATGAGATGAGATGAGATGGGGAGAAGCAGCAATGAGAAGGAAGGGGGACGCGCGTTTAGGGAGACAGAGCGTATCGAGTAGTAAGTAGCATGTGATACCCTTGTTTGAGCGTACTTGCTTTGAGAAACACGCACGTTGTGTCGTGGGATGTATGAGAAAAGAGCAACAGAAGAGGAGCATGATGCATTTCAAAACAAGATAGGAAGCGCCTCATGTCTCGCAGATCATTTCGACGAATATATAAACCCCTCCCACCCCTCCCACCACGCTCCCACCCTTCCTTCTATACTCCCCTTCTTTCTTATATTCATCGAAAAGTACATGTCCAGGTCACATGTTCTAAAACTCCACCCGCTCTGACTATGTTTGCTTCTCCTTTCCTCCTTTCTGATAAAATGACATCCAGAATGTGCACTGAATACGCACGATGATTTCAAAAGACTCAAAAAATCCCGCCATGGGGCGAGAGATTGATTAAAATCCTATACACACCGGCGACTTTCAAAAACACCTAGCACCAATTCCGATGTGAAAGAAGCAGTACCGCATTTTCCATACCAAACAACATCTCCGCGGGGCAAGGGGGTGTTCCGTTTGCCGCTGCATATATAAACCCCTTCTACTCCGCCCTCTCTTGCTCTTCCTCTTTATCTACTTTCTTACCTAAAACTTCCACTTCTTCTTGTTCTATCAAAACGATCAAGCTATGGTACAATGGTGTTCTTCTTCTCTTCCACGTTTTTCTAAACCTATGATCTTATGGTCGCTATAAAAATTGGACGCTTTGAGAGAGATGTGCCTGCAGCTGACTTGTTCTGTGTATTAAAATTTTCGGACTTGAAATACAGAGGAAGTTCTGGCCATGTGTGCGAGAAGCACCTCCCGGGGTTGAAAAAAGGATGACGCGAAGAAGTTATGTGCGCTCCTCTGAGGTTGGTTGGCTTTCTAGTGTGCATGAAAGCCCTCGGGTGTTCTAACTATCCCTAAAACTTATCCATGTTTGGTGTTTCTGAAAGACTTAACAAATATGAAGCATGGTGTAGAAAGTGACTTCTGGGGTTTTGATGGAGTGGCGGGATCCTCGTGGACAGAAAATTTCTGCACAAGTAGTGCATGCTGGTGTGTACAAACTCCTGGTCCAGTTTCCAATGTTTCCTCCTTCTTGTCAGGCGGTTTAAAAAATTGAAAATTAAAAGAAGAGTCTACTGAGTGAATGTGTTTCAAAAAGCCGATACATATAGGGCATGTTTGGCGACTGCTTTCTCCCTCTTTCTAAAAATTCTCTGGGGGTCTGAGTATAAAGGAAGTAGAAAATTGTGTAATGTCTTCTGAAAATAAGGAGTATAACATATCATGTCTCCCTCTGTCTTTTCTTCTTCGAAACATCCGCGTCTGCTGTATTGAAAACGTCGAGTTGGACAACCTATGTCTCCCGCAAGGACATCTAATTCACTTTTTATCTCGCTTCCTACTGCTGTAAACCACCAAGTACATGGCTTATGCCGTGATCCTCGCAAACAGCCACGTCTGATACATCTCCAGCATTAGACAAGACTAACTAAACATATAAAAGGATTGACGCAGCCTCCGTCTCCGTCTTCCTCTCCTTCTCTATTCTACAACGTTCCGAAGATTTAAAATACCAGCGCTACCATCCGATGAGAGTTCCTAAAACAATGACCGAGTTTTCCATGCGTCCTCCTTCTCCGCTTCTCTCTCTCTCTCTCTCTCTCTCTCCTTAAACACATTCCAAAAACCATATCCGCCATTTTCAAATTTCTAACAAAAAAAACCCACGTCAGCTTATGTCTCTCTTTTTTTTTCTAGAACCCGCTCGTCAACAACTCCATGCCTAAAAATTATTGTCTTCTTCTACCATGTCTCTTTTTGTTGGATCCAGTAGAAACCATGGATGGATACCATTTATGCGGAGAGCGACTTCTCCGCTCTTTCTACGTTTTCTAAAAACAACTCTGGAATGTTCGTGTGTTGCAACAGCACATGCTTCCTTGGTTCGCCAAGGAGCTTGCTATTCGGCTAGGTATATCAACTTCCAAACCTTCCCATTCCTCTCTTCTTTCTACTCTCCTTCTACTAGATTCTTAAAAACCTGTTCTGGAAGTGTTTCTAAAAAGCCACGAAATAAAGCTACATGTCTCTGCTTTCTTCTTTCTGTCCTACTTTAAAACATAAAGAAATTACATCATGGGTGTCTTCAAAACGCAAGCATGAGATGGCATGATTTCTGCCTTTTCCCTCTCTTTCATACAGGAAAATGACACCGACTTGAATATCTAAAATTATTCTACAACAACCCATCTTTCTTACTTTCCCCTCGTACCCTTTTACACTCAGAAAGAAGAAAAGAAAACTGCCCATATCTTGAAAATTGTAGATGCCAGCAACATCTGTCCGTCTTCTTCTCCTCTTTCCCCTCTTTAAACCATAAACGATCGAAACATTAAGTATTCAAAAGAGAGTACGCCCAAGTTATGTGTCCGCCTGTCTCTCTCCCTCTCTTATACGAAAATGCTCACGTTCTCTACGCAGATTTCTGAAAATCTTTGAAAATAGTCCTCTACCTTTACTTTCCCCCTTCTTCTTTCTACTCAAAGGAACTTACGACTTCCACTATGTCGTTGTTTCTTCTTTCCCTTCTTTCTATTTAAACAAATACACGTCAAACGTATAAACGTTTTAAAAAGTCCCAGAGAAGGACTTTCATGTCAGCGCCTCCTTTCCCCTCTTTTCTACACTAAAAAGCAGACAACAAATACTGGATGTCTCTGAAAGTGCCAAAAGAGCTTGGACATGTTTCTTTCTTCGCTTCTGAGTTTATATGAATAAATGGACTTTAAAGCCTTACGTATCTCAGAAAGAAATTTAGTTCAGAATGTCAATGTCTCCGCCTCCTCTCTCTTTTCCACACGAAGAGCTCTAGAGAGTTGTGAATGTCTCCAAAATTCGAAAAGCCCCCCCACGTATCCGTCTTTTCCCTCTCTTCTACTCCGTATAAAGATGCCCATCAATGCACCCAAAAGTCTTTAAAAGCTCCCACTACGTGCTTTCTCCTCTCTACCTCCTTACCTCTCTTTAATATAGAAACTTCAAAACACACATGATAGCAGACGCTATGTGTCTAGAAC